CTAGGGTGAGTCGCAAGTAGGCTTACAACTGACAAGTTCTTTGAATTCTTGTCAAGTATGCAAACAGCAATTGAAATCGATTCAGGTGACTCTAGGGACGCTTCCTGGTATGAAGAGATCGTAAACACCTCGAATTTCTGGGGTCGAAGAAAATTTGGGACGCTTCGAGCAGTTGACAATCCAAGCGAAAAGCTATCCACTTTTACAAGTATCATCTCCCTTGGTAGGCCAGATATAGTTTCTCTAAGGCCCATGCTATCGAATCCTTCAAAATCACCCCCATTATTTAGGCTTTCTAAGAATCTATCAACCGGGGCATCGAGAAAACTGCTGCCGTTGCTATATACTGAAGTGCTCCCATGAGTTAATGAGTTTCTCTGATGGTACCCGAAGCTTGCACGAGCGTTTTGACCGCCGAACGATTCTCCACGTCTCCCTCCATAGAATGACGAAGCATTCTGGTTGCCAGTGACAAGGTCTGAAAAAGTTGTTCTATCGTTATTCGCAGCAAGATCTGCGCGTGCTAGCAACGAGCTCACTCTTCGAGACGCCCTCGTAGAAACGCCAATATCGTCAAACTCATGGCCTAGTTGGGATGCCAAATCCTCATCTTCGTCAGTTTTATGCTTTGTGTTTGATCTGAGCAAGTCCGAAACAGATCGGCCATGATTTAATCCACCAAAACTTTCGCGAAGCCCAGATGGTCCCCGACCAACCGGTGTAGTAGCACCCGTCATATCAAAGTGGGAACTTCGTCTCTTCGAATATGTCCCACCCGTAGTCGACACTCGTTTTTTGGAGTGAGTAAGCGCTGAATCTTTGTCTCTGTAGCGAGCAGTCCAGATGGTGTACATTCCAGACTTTTCATTCCATGTCACAACGAGCAATAAAGGATGTTTATCAGGAGCTTTGGAATTCCCATTCGAGGCCTCATCTTGCGCGGAGACATATAGTACTTCTTCAGTTGGATCAAGCGCATCAAAGCTTCCGCCCTTGTCTTGGGTGGACAGCGAAGGATTGCTAGCAACGACCAATCCCATCTCAGAATGAGGGTCCATGAGACAAAACACTCGAGGAAGAAAAGCATTATCGTCTACTTTCGGAATCCACTTCGACGACTGAGCGAGAGATAGTGTAAGAGAGGGTCGAGCACTGCTCCCTCCTGAAAGGGTGAATGAATTCTGATGTTTGTTTTGCGAAGAAACGAAGGAGTTCGGCGGAGGCGCTGGCAACAGCTTCTCCCGCTCCCCTGCAGCCTTTCTTTGAAGCAGCAGGCCTCGTGGTGTAGGCCAAACGGCATCGACTTCGAATGGCAAAGGGACAACATGAAAGTCACCATTGACAAAAAATATGTGAGCTTGAGATTTCAAAACCACAACCAGTGCCCTAGGTAAAATATTTTCTCCATTTCCATCGCCAACAGCAAGTGTGGGAATAGCTCCGCATTCCGATGTCGCTTTACTTCTTCCCTGTCGACACTTCTTCCCTCTTAACCCGGTTTGTAAGCCATCATCCTTTATAGTAACTGCAGCTCGGGATGGGTTTGGGGTAGTTTGATTCTTCCCAAAATCCCTTCTGCTATCTCGCTTGGTAGAGCTTGCCGGGAACGTTGCAAATAATGCGTCAATTATTTCCTCCTTCTCGATATGAAAACTGAATGATCTTGTAACTACCCCGCCTCGGGACCAAACAACGCAGTTATTCGTGAATATTATCTCCTCCTCCAGTAGATCTCCAGTCCCGTTATCGAAATTGCAAGTTTTCCAAACAAATAGGTCATCGGAGGGGTTTGCCGGCAGTCTCGACTCCGCCACCAGGAATGGTATGCCGGTGGGCTCGTGGAGACCCAGCGAGCGGACTGAGGCCATTACCGAAGGCGGACAGGTAAAATTTCCCCCGAAGGATCTCCGGCCAGTGAGAACAGTAATTGAAATATGCCCATTCTCACGTCAACTGAAAAAGGATGCGGAAGTGAGAAATTCCGAGTTGGACGTTGCGAATGGCTGGCTGTTGTGCTCATAGCTGTAAATATCGGTGCGGCTGTTATTTAGACGCGAAGCGCGACTTCTCAAAAAATGGTGGCGAACTTCCTGTTCATTTCAACAACAGCTCAGAGATACAATCCGTAACGACAATTCCACAAAACCCTATACCAAACGAACAGTCACTATTCTCCGACTCTTGATATCCTCTAAATCTTTGTGGAAATGATAGCAATCACGTTCGTTTAACTATTGAGCCCAGAACCTGCGCAACGTTATTTTTCACCAAGTTATCTTCCCAGAGGCTTTGTCCTAGAATCCCTTTACCTAACCGGTTATCCAACAGGCAATAAAGGGAACGAAGGATGTCGAGCCTTTCGTTCGATCCTGTTGTCCGACAGAGAGGGAATGGGTGGCAGTTGAGGTAGCTCTCACAAAAATCTGAGCGATTACATCCCTCCAATTCCTCTTGATCAACCCTACTAACGACAGAAATAGTTACCAGCTGCCACATCGAGTCTACGATACGAAAGCGTATCCTATACAATCTTCAAATGACTCCACTCTAATAATATATGGCCATGACCTTGGAATTCGAATCTTGTGGAGAGGTGGGAGAGCCTTCAAATCACAACAGCAACAGCCACCCGAGCAAGAAGAACCAACAACCAACGGAACGCGAAACGAGGATGTCATTATGATAATCGACTCAGATGAAGAAACCCCTGCCCCAGAAGCTAAGGGTTTTAATACTCAATCAGTGGAATTCGAATCCGAAGAGGACGAGCTCGATCCGTCGCGACCGTTTCATGACATACTGCGCCATATTGACATACAACTTGGGGTAAAGGTTCTGGGGCTGGCAGTCCCAACATTTTCTTCAGAACAACTCCGATCAACACTTGAGTCGTATCCGCAGATATTCTCTAATACTGCCGTCTTTGCAGCGGCTTGCTCCGACTGTTCTATCCGAGTCTTCACAATACCCCTAACACCTCCTAAAAACCCTGAAGATAGCTCGTCGTGGGGTCTTCAAACTTTTACAATCAGCACTGGGTCCATTCAAGCCACTCCATCTGGTGTTGCCGTGACTGTCACGGCGCGAAAGCCTGGTGAAAGCGGTAATAGGTTCAAACCTCAAAGCCGAAACCGCGCTCCTAAAGGCTTCTCCGATCCTGAACCCGATGACGCCTGGGATCTCCTAGTAGCTATACATTCCGCTGAAGGATCTGGTACCCTTTCAATATATCGAATTCCTATCGCTTACCAGCCCGGCCAGCTCAAGGTTTCCTTGATTCTACCATCCGAACCTACTTTCCCAATACAACAACTGCTACTGCCATCTCCAGCAAAGACTATTTCATTCAACCCTTGCCAATATCCCTCAGACCGCCACTCTCATCTACTTGTATCATTCGCCAGTGGCAGTGTTAAAATTTATTCATGCTTGACGTCACCATCTCGTAAACCAACTATTGACGCACGTGGGTCATCCAGTGATACCGATCTCAAAGAAGCTGATGGGGCTTGGTTAATTACCCTTTCTCCTGAGTTTTGCCGTAACCCTGTCGGCATCCCCCGACGGAAAACCGTAGTGGATGCAGCATGGGTTCTTGGTGGAAAGGCCATCATGGTTCTTCTATCCGATGGATCGTGGGGTATCTGGGACCCCGAGGGAGCAGGCCCTGGGAGTAAGGACCATACTAGCACTTCGCATGACCAAAGTGCTTCGTCTACTAGAGGTGGTTCATTGTCATCTTTCACAGTCTCTGGCTTTATATCCGGTCCTGTATCATCCTCAAAACCTCTTATATTTGGACCAATAACAGATCCCCGATCCAGTTTCACACCCATGACCCCGTCTACCAGACGCGTCCGAGAAGACACACTCTTCAAAGGTTCTCCTGTGAACACCCCATCAACATCATCAACGAGAGGTAGAATTTCGGTAACAACTGCTAAAATTTCAAAGGACGGACTCCCTGATGAATCGATTCTCATATGGCATGGTTCTCAGAATATCCGAATTCCCAGTTTGCTATCGCTATGGCGAAATACCACAAAACCCACCGGTCCATTCAATTCTTCGAGTAGCTGCAAACCAATTCCAATTGGGAATCTCAATCTCCTGGGGGAAAATCAAAATGGAATCACTCAACTGGCAAATACTTCCTCCACTGTGGATAAAGAGGACAACAAACCCGTTATCCCCGATGTTTTAATAACGGCAGAGCATCAACTCGTCATACTAACACCAAAACCGTCGAGATCAGGACATGTTATATCCGAATCCACCGTCCAAGGAAATCCAAACGCTTCAGTTGAAAATGATCAATTTATGCTAAGGAGGGGAGAGTTGGATCTTGAGGGCATGGACAGAGTATTATCCAATATGGCAGAAAGCATGCGACCAATCGACGCGTTTCGGAGTCCACCAAAAAAAGGGATATTCTCGTAGAGATACCTACGCTTGTAGATACCCCATGATATGTGTTCAACCCTTTGTCCCGTTTCCCATTTCTTCTCTCTTCCACACCCAAATCAGCGAACGCCTTCACATAATAAGCCCGAAGAACGGAATACAACTCAACTAACTCTTTAATTTAGAGCCAATATACCCGTGACAAAGAAATGTAATTGGCGATTTTATTTCTCTCCCTTTCCATCATCTTCCCACTTCACATTAGATTTCAACACCATATGAAAAGAGCACTTCTACTCTTCGATCCCGTTCCCCCTACATTCCATCCCTTCCCGATTTCGCTACGCAAGGTGGAGCACAAGGCGAGATACCATGTCTTGAAATTTATCCTCACCCAACGCATTTCTTCACACGTCACGTAAAAATGATGTGTTGCGAGTTTTGTTTTGTTGTGGGGATAAATAGGCTCTGTATTCGAAGCGATATATCGAAAGACTGCCCCCACCCTATGCTCTAGACACGCAAGTCGACGAATCGACGAGAGGGAAAGAGAGAAAGGCATTTAAACTGGAGCGCATCATCAGATTGGGCATCCCGGAGGATAGTAGGAAAGCAGAAAATTGGGGTGAATTTTTTTCCCTTGAAATTCTCTGTCCCACGTTTTACACCTCGGGATCTCGTTGATTCCATGTCCTTTCCTGTCTTGCTTTTCGGCTTGCCCTTTTGCTTTCCCTGTGTTTGAAATAGACGAAGGTGTGGGTACACCTCTCCGTTGGGATAATTATGATGTTATTCCTTAACGTCTCGATCGGGTAAGGCATTACGTAGGGATATTTATTTCATCACAGAGCAGGTAAGTCTCAGAACAGAAGTAGAAGGGAGGCACAGCATGGCCCAGTCCAATTCAATATCATGCAACGAGATGCGAGACACTCAACCCTTGACAAAGGCTGGATGAAATGATGAAAATGAGAGCACATACTTAGAACTAGTTAATAAAATGGCGGCTTATCGGTTCAAATTGAAGCATTCAAAGATGGAAAAATTGTGGTTTTTTTTCTTTTTTCTTACTTCCTTGCTTCCCTGATCTCTGTATGACTACTTCCCCTAACTACCAAAAATAAAGACACCATAAGACAATGAGGAACTGCATGTTAGTAGAAGAGTCCTAAGCCATAAACAATCGAACTGGGTGCCCAAAAAACCATTGTAAATAATAAGAAAAAACAAATCATAAAATGAAAGATCAAGAAAATGAACGAAGAGGACAGAAAGAGGCTAGCCAACAAATACTACAAGCCAAAGGGAATCAATAATGGTTGAACATGGTAGGTAAGGAAAAGGTAAAAAGGTTGAAGAAAAGAAAAGAAAAGAAAAGAAAGCAAACACGAGCGAGGAGACGTGGAAAACTTCGATCACGCACGCCACGCCATGCCATGCCATGCCATTCCTTTGCCTGCACTTTTCCCATCAGGTCCTTGAACCCATCAAAACCTGTCTCCTTCTCCATTTTCACAGTGCTTCCTTTCCTCCCTATTCCCATTGCCTGGTCCTCCATGGTGGCGATGATGATAATAATCAACAAAATCAGTCGCGATAATATATTTCATGCACGATCCAAAAGAGGAAGGCAGGGAGGGAGTAGTGACAGAAACAAAAACACAAACATAGAATACTTATAAGAAAAGCACATTGTAAAGGTGGAGGGGATATATGTGCCTGTGTAAGCGATGAATAAATATAAATGAGAAAGGATGGCAGGAAAAAGGTTGGAGGGATAGCGAAGAAAAAAATAGTCGATCCCGTAATTAGACTCCCGGAACGCATCCCCTGACGTCTATATTTATTTTCCTGACGAGGGCTTTCCTTCCATTCTAAAGGCAGGATTTAATCGTGGTAATGCTTGAATGAAGAGTTTCTTTTCCTCTTATTCCTTTTATTCTCACAAAGGTCATAAAAACAAAAGAAATTAAATGACAGTCAAGGCCCGTGAAGAACATGCATATGATATCAATAATACCTAACGTGGATAGTGTTAAAATGGGAGCAACGGGAAGAAGAGCAAAAAGGAAAAAATCCGATAATTTGTGAAGGGAGCACTAGACATACATGCCCACGATTGTCGCGGGTCAGCTGTATTGCAGATAATAGCAGACAAACAAAAAGAGGGACGGAAATAAAGAGGTTTTAAAACCACTCATACTTATTTCTCCCAAACAAAATGGATAGACGAGAGGCAAGGGGAAAAAACAACAAGGAAAAACAAAAGGAAAGGAGAATGCTTGTGCGTGCGTGTGTGTGGGAATATTATGAGGCTTTGCTAACAACAAGGCCCACAAGGGTTCGACCTGCGGGCAGACAAAAAATTAAATGAAATCTCTATTAAGACAAGAAAGAGAAACTAAGAAAAATAGAGAGGGAGAAACATAATCAAATGCGGGAATGATCAGTGGGTGATGGCGACGGAGGCGGTCGCGGAAGATCACGGGGTATCGGTGGGAGACTCTTGAATTCTAATGAACGCATAGCCTCAACCTTGCCCTCCCGTGCCAATGCTTTCCCAGTTCCATATCCAACAGACTTTGGAGATTCAGGTTTAGGGGGCGGGGGGGGCAATCGAGGAGGGGGTCCGCATGGTCCGGTAGCTGTGCGAAACTCTGGGTTCCAACCATCTCCGTTCACTTCTTCGTTCCTTTCGTACTCGTGCGATTTTTCCCTTTGGTAACTTGTTTCGCTAGGGCTATTTCTCCCACCTTTACTTCCGGTACTCCCAGCTTCCCCAACCTCTTCAACGACGGGAAGAGTGGAGGTGATGCCAGGCATATCGCTAGAAGTGGCCTGGATGGTACTTAAAATGTGTGGGTTCGGTTCCGGATCCGTTGCGAGGTTTCTGCCTGCTTTTGCCGCATCTCGTTCAGCCCTCTCCATGACCCGGTCAATTTCTGAACGTGGGTGGGTATGAGAAAGTGATGTACCATCCATAGATCTTTGGCCTTGTTCTTTACTTTGCCTCTCGCGTTCAGCCTCTTCTTTAGACATGGTGATACCAATGATAAAATTGAGAAATCGCTCCCCATACGAGTGCGGAGGTATCGGGGATATTTGATTTCGATTATGCGAAAGCCCTTTCCAGAAGTGTTCTGCCTTCTTAACCATGCCATACTATATTAAGCGAGAATAGTTAGCTAAAATATACTCCTCGATAGAAGTAAGCAACAGAGATAAAAAGAGAAAACATACATGTGTCAAGCAATCAATGACGCCGAGATAGTATATCTCTCCTCCCGGTTGGCCATTCTCATGGGTAGCTCGAAAGCCACCATCATCGGAATAAAAGGCGAGATTTTTCCGTTCGTCTAGTATCTCATCTGGCAGGGCCGCTGATTGTTGAATCGGCACCGGCTTTTCGCGTTTAATTATTTCTCGGAGTTCCCTTGCCTTTCGAGCGTTTTCGAGCCTCGAAGGTGTTCTCATGAGAAGACTGGGCTGCTGTTCATCACCCCGTTCGCCACCAGGTTGGAAAACTTGAAGAGTTTTGTCTCGAACGTTTTCAGCGTTTCCCTTCTCCACGTCATGTATACCAACCAAAAGCGAATAATCCATGATCTTTAGACGCTGAAGTAACGATACGTCCCTCCGAAGTTGGGATACAAAAATTTCACGTTTCATAGGGCCGAACTCAAGGCGGCGACTTCTTCGAATCCAATTCAGATCTTTCAACGTTGCTCTAGGGTTTGTCTCAAGATCGTCTTCTCGAAAATCTCGTCCAACGGTTGAGCCTTTAAGATCATACATTTGGTGTATGTCTCGATGAGGCGGAAACAAATTATTCATCACCACAAAGTGGATTTTCCGACCGTAGGCCATCTTAACCCGGTGGAGGCCGTAAAACTGGGAAATTAGGGTGTTTGGGTTCTTTTCGATGTGTTCGTAGTAGTCGCGCAAAATTCTTCGAAGGAGTTTATGTTCGGCGTGATGGATGGTTTTGATGATGTATTTATAGTCTCGAGAGAAGTAAAAGAAACTACCGCTTTTACCAGGAGAACCCAACTCAGACAAGATATACTTGCTCGTTAAAGACACCAAGTAGTCTGCGGGATCGAGTTTGAATTTCGCACGTAAACGGCGGAATACCCAGGGTGCATAGTCTTTGAATTTGAAATCATATTTGGCGGAGGGCGTCAATTCGTTACCAGTTCTATAGAGGTGCGAACGTGAGTATAAAGGCGAAACGAGAGAAAGTAATACTTCACAGCAACTTACATGTCAAAAGAAAATTTGTGTTTTGTTTCAAAATCGGCATCGGTAAGCTCGCGGTCCATTTTCGCGTTGGTTCTTGAAACTGTAAACCGGATTCCGGTCAACATGTTGTATGCTGTAACCCAATTTACATGGTTCTGATCAACTTTTGTCCCGACGATAACACGATCGTCGTCCTCTTCTTCTTTTCGCCTTCGCTTGCTAGCTCGTCTCTGTTTGATCATTTCCGCCCATCGAGCAGCATCTTCTTCTGGAGGAAGCTCGTCGGGATGAAGATCTGAATTGAGTGACCGAGTAGTTCTCCGGGCTAGGCTGAGGGACGCCCGTCGCAATCCCGACGGGGAAGCAAGTCGGTCCCCACTAGAGACGGTATCCTCGGAAGGATCCACATGTAGCGGGGACAGGTCGCGGCTATTCTTCCGGCCATTATGGAATTTAGGAACTTGAAGGGTATGACGCTGTGATCGAGGACTGAGTGGAGGTATGGGGATATCTTTGTCGGCCCGAATGGGGGCACTAGGAGAGGAATGGCGATGGCTAGGTTGAGAAGGCGTTTCTTGGGGTCGGGAGAGAAGAGCACCATCCAACCTCGGTGGTAAAGACGAAGGGGGAATTGATTCAGTGGAAGGGGCATTATCGGAGGCGAGCCGATGACCGTTCACAAGTGGTTCGGGGCTAGTAGACCTGGGTTTTGATGAAATCCCATTCGTCTGAGGGTGAGGGATTACCACAGTTCCATTCAACTCCAAATCCGACTGAGTGTGATCCGCGGGAGAATTCATGAGACCATCATTGGATGTTGAAGTCAAAATATCATTCTCCCGCTCCTTTTTTCTCTCGCGGGTTCCGTGGCCACGGAAAGGGTACTTCCATTCCTCGACTTGGAGCTCTCTCGAGCGGCAGGGTAAATGGCAGATCTTGAGGTGCCAAGAGAACCCAAAGATGGCAGACTTCCCCCCTTGAAGTTGGTGACAAAATGGTCAGAGGCGGTATCGACATGGCCATTCTCCCCATTTGCATCACTGGTCCAAACAAACGCATTGCTTATGGAGGATTTGTCATATGATTTTCGAGTCAAATGGTCGTGGGACGAAGATGATGACGAGCCAACTTGGCGGTGGTTGAGGTTGTTGTTGTGGTGATGGTGATTGTGGAGGAGCTGAGGTTCGCTGGTGAATGATGGCATGGTGGTGGAGTAGCCACAAACAACGGCGAATTGAGGGATAGCGAGCGGGTCTTCCTTGCCACTCCTGGAGCAGAGACTTGCGGTCGTGCAGGGCGAAGACAGGGTAGAATAAGGCCGTCAAGTCGCCCGCCCGCAAACCACTATGATGCGCTCACGGCTGAGAGGGCCTGGTCTGTGATAAGAAGCAAAGGGGACGGCCTACCTCCTATGCTTAGTAGGCGCGGCAAACAAGACAATGGGAGATCAGCATATTAAAGGGTGCGTGTAACAGGAGAGACACAGCAAAGAGAAAAGGCTGTCATGTGAGGCGGGGGCATTAAGCCGGACCCAGCTGCGACGGAGGGGGGCTAGGGACGGCAAGCAGATATACACGGAATTGAGCAGAGCAGAGTCACCGCGGCGCTGGTTGCGGTGGGCAGAGGTGATTGGAATCAAATTCCAAGTTTGAAGGTGAAGTTGAAATTGGATTTGATGGTCGCTGGAGTTGGATTGGGCTGGAAGTCACGGGAGTTCAGGGTTGGCGCAGATGCCAGTGTGGCAGTTACCCGCCCATAGCCTCGCTCGTGACTTCGCCTGCCAGTGCCACATCCCGCCGCCACCAAGGCACCACCAACTAGCAACTTCGGGGAAACTCACCTCACTGAGGAACCAGCTGGGCGACAGAACCCTATCACGGCTGACAAGCCACATCAGTGGGCATGCGCAGTCAGTTGGCTCTTGTTGCTGCAGACAAACGACGAATTACGGAGCCTCCACGAAAACGCGAGAGTACGATTCCTCATCTCTTCCTACGAGCCAATGGCCATGTCGCTAAGTCAATTTTCTCTCCATACGCACCGGTACCGCTAGAAGTCCACCAGACGTAATCTCTCATCGCGGCGTGCCAGGGTCAACTAGACCAGCATGTGGAGATGTGCTTGCTGTGGCGCAATCAGCGGAAGATGAGAATCCCGGCTCCGGGGCACGTCCGGAATAATAATAGTTAGTGCAAGCGAATTAGACTCCCAACTCATGGATTCAAGCTTAATTTCTCCAGCAGACTCTGTCAGGACTCATGGAAAACCGCAGATAGCAAACATATCTTATTCTTAGCGTTTTCGGCCCATCACATGGCTGCCATTTCAACGGGCATCGTGAAATCCACAGTCACCAAAATTCCCTCTTCGCAACCGGCTCTTTTTCGATCCCGATGTCAATGGCATTTGGAACACCTCGTGGCGCTGTCTCAGACAAAAGAAAAAATGGAAATTGCCAATCCAACAACCCATGTCGGGAGCTAGTTGACCAGTTGTCTCGCTCACTCTTCTACCCATCTTATCAACTGCAACAATCCGCGGGTCATCGATGATCACAGACCATTCTCCAGTTCGCAACGGTTAGCAAATAAATACACTGTAAAAAATCTCCAAAGATTCTTCTTCTTCTTGGAGAAAAGCCTGCTTCCCGTGGCCCGTTGCTTCATGGGTTTACGTGCATCATTCAGCTCTGCCACAACTTGGCCTATTTATTTCGTTTTGTTAAAACATCCATTCCCTGCACTGATGACGCCTTCATGAAACGTGCAATCTCCACACCAGAAGGGTTGGTTTTTTTTTTCGTGATTCGTCGATTTTTTTTCTTTCCAGGCTTTTTTTTACAGGAATAATAGAAATATAATAGCGGTGAAAATTCCGTCCCGCGAAGCAGAATAATGAAGAAAACTGCGGCAGAAAACAACATCCTTGAAACATTTATTTCGTTTCTCGAAGCGGCTGTTCCTTTGTGTACGGGTCACCGTGAATGTGCCTCATGTGGATTAGATCGATGACAGTCCTCCATTCGCGAAGTGCCCATTCCTCCAAGACACTCTCTACTGTGAACTTCCTTCCACAATTCCTGGGTGAAATCAGCTTATATTGGCAATAGAATTTTCTTTCCTGCCATCCAACAAGCAAAAATTCCAATAGTTTGCTTGTCAATCCTTTCCCTTTTTTCTTCGCCTTTTTCAGCCGCCTTCTCAACAAAACTAGTAGCGTCATTGACTACGCAACTGCGTGCTACTTGCTTTCCGCCCCCTATATCTTGTCATACACTGATACCAGGGTGCAATAGGCGTTTATCTATCAAAAGTGTGAATCAAATACTGTGTACTGTGTCTAGATTATATTCCATGGAAAGCACTTATGATAGATACCCTACTCCAAAGTGCAAACCACCAATGATCGGATCAACCTTTTCTTATTTCAACGATCTGCTGCCTGATCGTCACTCCCCAAAAATCCAGATATTCCAAACCGATCAGGGTCTGAGCACTTAGTCGCGAACCTGACGGCATATAACCACAAATTATCCACAAAAATCTGCATTTCCCTCCCTCCGAGTCTCTTGTAATCTTCCAATTCCGAATCCTCTTCAAAGAAACGATTCAAACTCTGCACTACATCTCCACATCTCACTCTCATCTATCCTCATCTCCAATCTCCTCCATCCCGCGGGTCAAATCCAACCCACTCACCAACACAACCGAAATATAAAGCAAAACCATGAAACCCAACTCTGTCTTCCTCGTTCTCTCCACCTTTCTCTCTCTCACCGCGCCCGCATACAGCCAAAACAAGCCTCAGACTCCAAAATGCGCCCTCGCCTGCCAAGATTCCGTTGAGCGTGTCACGGACTGTCGCAGGGACGACTACAAATGTATCTGCAAGCCGGAGAACTTCGATAAGATCGTGGAGGAATCAGGGCCGTGCGTGTCTAAAAATTGTGGCACGTTCGTTGCGCTGAGTACGTTCGGATATCTCTTCTTTATTCTCAAAAAACAAGAAGCAGAGAAAGAAAGAAAAATGTTTATTTATATTTTCCCAAAAGCGGAAAGAAATCGGGAGAAAGAGGAGCGAAGATATAAAAAATACACATATACAATGAGAAAGAACGAGTTAAAAAAAATAAAAATAAAAATAAAAATAAAAAGCTATTCCATATTGAACTCTCCGCTGACAACAATAATAGATGAAGTCCTGCCTGCCATGCAAAAGTTTTGCAAAGATCAGAAATGAGAAAGCCGCCGACAGGATAGTTATTGCGTACATATCTAGGACGCCCAAAAGTGCGCCGTTATCACGGCGAATATATAAATAGATATTGATATACATAACAATAATAATAATGCTAATACTAGTAACTAGTAACTAACTATGCGCATGCTTATCTCACCGCCATCTATTATCACTGTGATGAATACATGACGAGCAAAAATGGGCAGTAGTTTTGTAGTTATTTTTACGATCATTATGACTCTCGTGCCCAACCGCACCGCTCCATATATTTATATATATATCCTACAACCTATATGAAGAGCCAGCGGCGGCGATGCCTAATTAAAATATCCCCCAAAGCTCCCCTTTTCTCTTCCCTCCTCCACGCACAAAAAAGGGCGTTGATATATCATCAATTATATATACGGTACAGCCGCGAGCCCATGTAATATGTACACCAGATGTACAGTACATGCAAGGGCAAAATATAAGAGGATAAAACAAATAAATGGCGGAAAGGCGGAAAGGCGGAAAGGGAAGAGAGAGAGAGAGAGAGAGAGAGAGTTGACAGTGTGTGCGTGCATTAAATATATTTTCGCTACACACACACACTTTTCTAAATATCAGAACTACCCTATCTAGAAAAGCATTTGATATCGTGTATGTATGCGGGAAGGCGAAACATCGATGATAGACAGAAACAGAACAAATTATCCCATTGATATAATGAACGGGTTCTCTCTTTTTTTTTTAAAAAAAAAGGGGGGAACGGTGGGAACGGGAGAAAAACTTCCTTCCTCTTCTCATAGTTATCAAATCAATATAAACAACAACGAAAACAACAAACGCGACAGCGAAAGAAAAATGAATAAGAACGCGTCCAAAAAAATACCCCCATATACCCTACATCTCTTCTTCCTCCTCCCTTCATCGTATAATAATCATGAAAATAAGCGTATTTTGGGGGATAATATCGTAGAGTAAACGATAAGATAATAATGGAATCGCATTTGTTTGTCCCGCCTCGCCCTGCCAGCGTCACAACCAACCCGGGGGCCCCCCTCTATACTACAATCACACCGTTCTTCCTGCCAATCTCCTACATACACAATACCATATAAACTATGTACAGCCGACTAGTCTATCCATAGGGTAGGAATAAAGGTGTGCACGCAGACACAACAGCATACAGATACACCAGCATAGAAGCAGAAGCAGAAGCAGGAACTAGGGCGGATGGTTAGAGAACGAGAGAGTGTAAAATAATAAATAGCGAAGCCCGACAGGAGACATAATAAGAGTAAAATAAAATATGATATAAAAGTTAAGTAGAGAACACTTTGAAAAGAGGAACAAAACCACATATCACTACAATAACCAAGGTGGACACTCCCACAAGACTCTCATCGCCCAACTTGAAATACTTTACGCGATATCGCGAATACCATGGATAAAAAAAGTGAATAAACACACTGAAAAGTCAAAAAAAAGCGTTCAACAAGACAAGACTAAAACTGAGAAAAAGCAAGCCATCCATTTCCTTATTTCCCACCTCGACGCCGTTTCATACCAAATTACAAAAAGGTGATTCATGTGCACGATACTCGGTTTTAAAAAAAATCCCCCCAGAACTATTCGGAACCGAAGGAGAAGGAGGGTAAAGGAGGGAGAGAGAAAGCCAAACATGAGAGCCAGACCCTTAACCCACGGAATCAAAAGAATAGAAGGCAAAAATTGTAGGAAAAAAAGAAAACAAAACAAAACTATGCTGCTTTCTTCGGCGTAGCCTTCTTTGTGGCCTTCTTGGTTCCGGTGGTCTTCTTTTTTGGTGTGGCCTTAGCGGTAGATTTTGTGACGCGGCCAGACTTGGTCGTCGCTGTGACCTTGGGTGCGTCGACAACTGCTGGGGCCTGTTATCGCGATTGTGGACAGTTAGTATCAGTGAGTGTATTTTATGAAATTAATAAGGGAGAAACGCACGACTGGGGCCTTGCGAGGCTTAGCTACGTTCGCCTTCGTCTTCGTAGTAGTAGTCTTCTTGGGGGCTGCGGCTTTCTTGGTAGTAGCCTTCGTCGCAGCCTTCTTAGCTGCTGGCTTTTCCTTCTTGGGAGCAGCAGGCTTTGCGGTAGTAGTAGCCTTCTTAGCAGCGGGTTTGGTGGGTTCCTTCTTAGCAAGTTTCACGGGACCAGATGGACCTGTAAATAGAGTTAGAGATTTATTGCTGGCAGGCGAGCGAGGTAATTATATCGGGTATCATTCTCCCGAAGGCATCATATAGGACGCGACGTGGAAAGGATATTTTAGAACAGCAACAAGGAGGACACGAAAAGAGAGTGGAATATATAACAGACGAACCCTTTGGTTGAGTGAAATCGCCCTTCTCGACACCAGTCTTGACAGCACGGTTGAATTGGGTATCGAACGCGCTCTGTGAAGTGATATTGATTTTATTGTTGGCTTGAACATATTTCTTAAGAGCCTGGCGACTGTGGATGCGAAGGGGAAAGAGGGAAATCGTTAGCCCAACATGTCAACAAACAGCAACGCGAACAACGAGTAGCGGGAAATCAGCGACGGCGAGGTCAGTGATTCAACGCCAGGGAAAAGCTTACCTGCTTCCATTGCGTTCCTTGAGCTGTAGGGGAAGTAGAATCAGCAGAAGGAACCAAACACAAATTGGCGCGACAAAATTTTGCGATGGGTAGAAGCTCCCATGGTGGTGGCGGCCACTCGAGAAGCTAGGCGTCACGGGGCCGAGAAAACAAGCGACCGTGGCGCGAACATGATGGACTCACATTGATGATGGCATCCTTGATCATATCTATATAACTAGAATCAGCAAGGGCACGCGATCACAATTATACTGATGGCAACAGAAGAGAATGGCGTTGTGGTGTAAGATCAGGAGTGGAAGACAGACCTCTGTAGGAAGCGTGGGAGGAAGCGGCCTTGGAGGCGCTGGCTTTCTTGGCAGGCATGGCGACGGTGGATTGCGAATGACGATTCAAATCGATAAAATAGAATATCTGTTGATCAGCGTCAATGAGACTGGATATCAGCTCTACGAGAGAATGGAAGCAGGTTGCGGTGGGATGTTGTTGTGGTTGGTGTGCAGGACGTGAGAAAACAGACGGGTGGGCGAGGGAAAGCGTGGGCGAGACAGCGGGGCAGGGCGCCTTTTATACATTCGCCCAGCACCGCATAGATCACCCTCTGTCCGCCGCCATCTGGCCTGCCCTTGATTCGCACCACCACGTCCCCCTCTGGCTGCTGATATTCTTCTGGCAGCTGCTGGGAGCTGGTCTTGGGCTATCTGTGTAGGTTCTTGTCGCTTCGAGAGACCCCCTGTGCTTGGTGGGTGAAGCATCACGGTCTGGAGAGAGCTGCTGATCTCTTATCTAACTGACTAGAACATGAACACACCATCGATCTCATAGTTATGGATGGATGTAAGGGTTTATTTACCAACGCAGTGCGGCCTCTTGCACTGACCCGGTCCTTTTTTAAATCTATGAACCATCTTCGTTTCTCTCCCTTCTCCAGTTACATAATTCCCATCAGCTGCTGATTGGTGGTCCTTACATGTATTCGTTGGCTGTTGCAGAGCGCCAGCCGCTGTGAGCTCACTGACAGGTTCTATAAATGCTTCCCGACCCACAGCATCCTGGGTGGTCTACTCGGTATGACTATGGTTCCCGCTGACGGGATGACAACTGGTCTAGCCGAACTCAGCAGATATGACTTCTATGGAATTGGCTGGTCATTGTTGAGCTGATTCTCAATGACTGGGTTACCGAGTTGCCGTGATGTTGTGTCCGTCAAGCGTCAAACATAACTACGGCGTAAGAGAATATCAACTTGCGCCCTGGCATTCCATTGCAGAGCGAAGAAGACCTCGCAACATAGCCAACAAACATTTTTCGATGCCTACGATGGATCTCTTGTTCTCAGGAGCAAAAAGTCACGGGAAGATGGCTTCTAGTAAGCCAAAACTAGTTGAGTTGACCACGAAATAGAACGAAATCATGGTCAAATGACCATATTTTGTCTTTCTCTTTCCACTCGTGGATGCTTTTTCGCCATCCGATCCCCGTCTTCCCCAAGGGCAAACGCAAAGGAGAAGGCGGTGGTTGATCTCAAACCTTCCTCGGCGTTCCCAGCCTCGAATCATCCAAGCAAACTTTACCACTCCCGTCACCTCCCCAGACTCCCGCAAACAGCCCCTCCAAAAGCATTACCTCTGATCTTTTCCAACACACAACTGTTCTCGGTTCATTTGGTAGTTCGGGATTAAATTCGTGCCTATATTCGTCTCATTTTCATGTTCAAATTCTCCAACCACTTATTATCGCCGCTACATCAAGATCTGTTGCCAATCACACTGATTTGAGGCCTTCGGCCCCTCAAACTCCCTCCTCTCAACACAACCACTACATTGCAAAACGCGAGAGGCATGGGGATACCCACGGCACCGGGCGAAGGCGATGGATATTATTCTTAGAAAATATCTCTCCGTCTGTGATTGGAGATCATGACCAAACCACCATCATCGGCTGATCGCATTCAACCCCTGATCTTTCAGCCACGCAACGGATTCAGGTCTCCGTATTTCGAGCTTGAACTTGTCTTCCACTGCAAAACTCATAAATGAGGTGTTAATTTCTAAATTGCTTAATTATCAATTTTTTTTAAGTTGACTTGTGTTTCGTAGAGAGGACGAGAGAAAGGCGCTAAATGGAGCTGCGACTGGCCTAAAAAACTTCGACTCGACAATTTCAACTCTCACATGAAGCTACAGCCGAGTTCATTCTTTATTATTTGATTCATTTTTATCCAATAAGGCTAATTGCACCAATTTCTGCACAGAATCGAGTTCATCCGTTGAAAAATAAGTTTGTGGCTCCGCGGTTCGTCCCCGAAAATAACAGCGCAACCACAGAGAATCAAAAACTAAAGGATCAGAACATGGTTATCTTTTCGATTACACGAAGGAGTGGGCGCCGAGATTCAGAAATTTCAGTCAAATATCGAAATCGCTTATCAGCTCTACCATCGTTGAACTTACTACAGCTTATCACACCCAGTCAAACAGACACATAACATCCAGTCAACATTTTTTATCTTAATCAAAACATGGTACAAACCCACCCCAACAAGAACTTCCCATCTCTTTGCCTAGAAATCCACTGTGGACAAATCAATCTAGTACAATGATAGCGAACAGATAGAATCCAATCGCGACGATGATGATGGCTTTGTGCGTTGTCCTCATCTACAATACTGATACTTTTCTCCACCTCTACTACCTCGATCTATGCAACCGCAGGTGCGCTGTAAACATACGCAGTTCTCCTCTTGAAATTGTAGTAGTAATACCGACCGTGGAAAAGGGGGGTTAATGAGTTTTTTCAAATTCTGTGTGTGGGAGGTAAAAATGGGCTTTTATCGCGAAAATGCGACAATAACAATTTGTGTCGTGCGACCGAGTCGAAAGCTGAGCTTGGCTACTAGAATCCGCTGCCGTTGCTTTCGATACGAGTAACAGCTATCCCAAACTATTTATTCCATACTATTTAATTATTTCATCTTTTCTCGTAATGTGTATTCCTGATTTTGTTCGGGAAGCATCTGTTTTCTGAATCTATTTCTTTATTGATGGCGGTTTTGATCAGACGACCAAGACAAATAATGGAAAATCGCAACCTTTTCATAGCAGTGGGGGCTGGCTTTATTAATTTTCGATTATTGGGATGGTTAATTAATCCGAACCGGGTCCTCTTTGGAATAGAAAGTGAAGTTGTCGTGATGTGCTCTTTCATCTCCATTTTATGGCTGTATCGCAGGGGGATATATCTGCAGAGATATATATATATATATTATCGTATCTCTTTACTGGTGCACCACCACTACCACAAAGAATATCGCCATGGAAGCCCCTCACAAAACACATGCACATAAGCAAAATCCCTACCTGACCTTCTCTTAAAATTGTAAATAACCTAGTGAATATTCCAATCGTCCCCGACGAATTCAACATCGGAATCCAGCTTCCTGCCAATCAACACAAGTCAAAATCACCCCGCGACAAAGCCAACCAACCAAACAAACAAAACACTTGCCCAATGACCTCATCAGCTTCCAAATTTAGACGCAAGCGCGACCGGAATCCGTGGACCGTGCGTCGGGCCTAAGTGTCCTGGCGCTTAACCACCGGAGAAATAGAATTACCGAGCTGAACGCCGACCTCAGCTTTCCAGCAACGTCGATTCTATGTCGAGCAGGGCAAACAACAAGGTGAGATGGGATGGTACCAATTAAGAATTGTCAACTTGTTCCCTGTTTGATTTTATGGTACACGTTGTCTTATCCTGCCTGCTAGGGGGGTGCGGGGTGTGGGTTTGGTGTCGAGCCTGGGTTTTGCTTTGAATTCGCGACGGAACGGTCAGTACTATCTAATGTGGACAAAGATGACTCAACTGCAGCTGATGCACGCCTTTTTACAGGACACTTTCAAGCATATCCGGTGCCCAATACGATATCAAATCGGGACTATTCACCATGATCCAAACGCTAAAGAACCCCCCCCCTCCCCCTTTGAGAAAGACGAAATAATATATTATGAGTTTCCCAGCCACATTATGCACTACTTGTCCTTCTGCGGAAAAGCCTGTTTGCTCCGTTTTGGACCACAGCTCATTCGTATTCAGTCCATATAATCTACCGCGGAGAGCAAGGCTTCTCGGCGTTTGGAGCCAAGAATGAGTTTTGCAACTCGTCGGGGGAGATCGTGGGTCGGGTTTCCCATTCTTTTCCCTGGCCCGTGCATCGCGATTTTCTTGGTGGATTATGTTGGGTATCTGTGCTGCATATCTTGGGATCCAAGCTTGTCAAAAACGGAGATGCTAGGGAGCCTAGCTGGAGGACGATATGGTGGAGAGATTGCTCCTTAATATATTGCGACGACTGCCCACGATCTTCCCATATCCATCAGCTACCTGTAGTAATTTGGGCTATACTACTGAAGAAACTGAATATATCGGCAGAATTCTGTCTCGGATGGGAGTATGGGTGATGATCAGGTGGTCGTTTCTGGACTCTTCAGAGAGCATTTCGAGGGAATGCCAGCTACCTCCCTTATTTTTTTGCCGATGCTGACCCAGTCGACGGCAAGAAATTTGCTTTACCCCTGCCAGCTCCTGCCCCATAAATATGAAGTGACAGGAGTACTAGATGCGAAATCTTGTAAGGTTTTCTGAGGTAACCTCTGACAAGCTCAGAACAGGAGGAACAAGCCGCGAGATACAGAGCGATGTTGATTGATTGATTTGGTATTTTTTTCTGACTGAAAAGAGCAATGTCTGAAATTACGGAATATATACATGCCCGAACAAACTCGCAGAATACCTCCACATCCTGGTGCGCGAGAGGCGGTCATCATCATCACCACGGCCATAAACTTCTCCCCTTGATAATGTCCGAAGCTTTTTCAGCAACGGCATACATAGTCGCTTGCAGATGCGCACTAGGAATGATTGGAAGGATGGAAGCGTCGATGATACTCAGCTTCCTCGTTCCGTGCACCCGCAGGTCAGCACCGACACATCCGCCCTTATTCTTGGGCATCATAGGGCAACTGCTGCTGGGATGCGCAAACGACGGAGAGAGTGAGAGTGGGCCTCCCGCAGCAAGCTTCGCGATGATCTCATCCTCAGTTTGGGCATCTTCGCCTGGTGAGACTTCCTGGGGCTGCATATCAGCGAGGGCATTTGTTTTGAAGTAGCGGCGGGTGAATGCAATGAAGGAGGCGATCTGAGCGCGATCGAAAGGGTTCGTGAAGGCGTTGTATCTGGTTGAAACTACAGTCAATGTCATAATCCAAGATGGTGACTCTCCCCCTGCTCTTTTTCAAATTGTTAAACTTACGTAACGATCGGTTCGCCATGAGGGTCGTCGGGGTTGAGATGTACGGTCCCACGGCTTAGAGGCTTTTGTACCGAGTTAGGTACCATTCCGGAACCCCCAAACGGAAACTCGAGGGCAGAGACGGAACCTTCTCCAAGCTGCTTAGCTAAGATGGCCCGTTGAGCTTCGTAGCCAGCAATGAGCTCGCGAGAATACACGCCAGGGAGGTATTTGGATGCTACTTGTTGCTTCAGGCTACTAATCATATCCTCAGTGTTATTGGTGACCATGGGTAAAGAGAGGAATGCAATCGTGTTGGACTGGGCCTTGGTGTATGGACCAGTTCTGTGGGCCTGATATTCCGCTAGCGCCTCCGCAGCGAAAGTCTCGTTTGTCGTCATGATATTTGGCTCCGGGAAACTGTTAGTAACCTTCCAGTTCAAGTATGCGACAGGATGATCTTGCAGGTTGCTTCCAACTCCCGGCAAGTCGACTCTGGACTTGATTCCTGCAGCTTCTACAACACACTTAGGCCCAATGCCGCTCAGTTGGAGGATCTGAGGAGTGTGAAGAGAACCAGCAGCTAAGATGACTTCCTTTCTCGCGCGGAAGGTCACTTCTTTGTTCGTCTTTCTGTTGATAGCTTTCACGCCTGAAACTGTTGTGGAGGCTCCTTTAAAGGTCAGTTGGGTGACCTTGTGTTCAGTAAGCATCTTGAGGTTTGGGCGCCAACTGGCTTTGTCATAATAAGCTGTCAATGACGAGGATCTAGTCATGGTTTTCGCATCAATGGTGGCAGGAGCCCAGAATTGACCAACAGCATTGCCCATGGCGTGTTCTCTGAGGTGGGCAACACCAAGCTCTGTGAAGGCATCCGCCATCTTATACTGGTCAGGAACCTGCCAGTCAGGGAAGGTAACTTGCAAAGGGCCGAAGCGACCGTAAGCGGACTCGTCATATGTGTATCCATATTTCTTGACAACTGCCTTTTTCGGGGGCGTGAAATCTGCACTCTTTCTGAAATACGGAAACATGCCTTTCCAACCCCAGCCGCGGTTCCCAAGCGCTTCCCAGGAGTCATAATCGGCAGCCGATGCTCTGTCATAAGCCATTCCTAATAAAGCGTAAGTTTATTTATGAAAAAAAGCACAGTTTGTACGATTGGCTCCAACCTGAATATCTACATACCATTGACCGTCGATCCACCACCGGCAACGGACCCGGCCCTGACTGCATAGGTGTTACCTCCAAGGCCGGGCTCTGGAGCAGTTCTGATATCAAACATGGCTGGGATATTTAGAGAGGTCGCCAGGTAGGGGATTAAGGTCTTGTTGCTTCGGTCAATAATGCCATATTCGAGGACCAGCACAGATGCTACATGGAACGCAAGTCAGCTTCGCTGATATTTACATCATATCATGTTGACACGAAGCATTGTTTCTCATTCGCACACATTTCAATTGCAAAAAGAAGGTAACGGGCAGAAGAAAAGAACTCAACGAACCAAACAGATTCTCCGACAGCCGATGCGCGGCAACGAGGCCTGTCAAACCACCTCCTACAATGATGTAGTCAAACTCATTGGGGTCACGTAGTGACTGCTTGTCACTGTCACGGACCAACACCGATGAGGTGGCGAACGATGCGAAGAGGATGAGAGCGCAGCAAAGGGTGCGAGCTCTACTCCCAGAGGGAAGAAACGAGAGTAACATGGTTTTAGACCATTCAAACGGAAAAAAGATAAAAAAAGAAGGAAAAAATTAGAATTGATAGAAGTTAACTAAATAAAAAATTAATGAGAGACTGAGTTGATCAACATAAACAATTACAGGATCAACGGGAATTCAACTCTATTCTTATCAAGAAAATAATGAGCGACTGACAGGAGTTTTCGCCGCTGCTTCTTTCTTACTTTTCGACAGAGTTCACTGTTCACCCATCATTGCTGGGGTTTACACGCTAACTTGACTAACACGTGGGAAATGAGGATGGGGAATTTTAGTTGAGGTACAAGCGCCATGTGGCAAGCGAAGAAGCCATCCGATTTAACGAACCAGAGGACAGATTTTTGCTTGTTGACTTCTCCCTCTGGGCAAAAAATTCCCAGGTTACCGCCATTCCCGGTCAATCGGGCGCTCTGGGAAGCCTAATGGTATCCACAATCCACCGGGGAGGAAGAAAGGCAGGGAAAGTCCAAGGGCCCCTGCGTCCACCGCTCGGCAGTGAGGGCAGAAGGCCTCGTTCGCCGAGAGAGCTCAGCTGTTTGTTTGGAATCTGCCAGAGCCATAGAAACGTGCGCGGAACTTTTTGAAGAGGGAGGCAATTCACCCCGGTTCGCTGCTATTGTGTTGACTAGTTCCACTAAGCCAGGGAGCAGCCGGAGGACAGGGCCTACAAAAAAACATCAGGACGTAGAATTCTACACCCATTGACCAGCGTGATCAGATATCGCAGAGCGAATGCATATACTGCGCAGAAGTGTGCTGTGCTTCTCAGGGGTTTATCTGTGGCTATGTGGCAGCCCAGTTTGTCTCAGATTTACACTCCCGCTTGATGAGTGAATATTTTTGTGCATCATTTAATATCCTTTCTTGTTCTTTAGCTAATACCGGACCCTCGGAGAGTTCAGTGCGGGGTACCTGAAACTTTTTCAATTCCTGGAGTCGAAGCAAATCCATGTAGTTCTTCCGGAGCAGTTGTTAGAAGCCCTTTCATGGATATCAATGAAATTATTCAATCGTAACATTCACAATAATTGTTACCTGACAATATACTCAGCTGGGGCCGTTGAAGTTTGTATTTCGAATGTTTTTCTATAATTTGAAGATTGAATATTGATTGAACGTGGAGTCGATTTCCTAGAGGGATCGTTGCTGATCCCTGGCACTTTTCAAATCCAAACGCTGTGCAATCATTGCCAATTTAGCTGTTGTGAATGCCGAATGTTCACTTAGTTTAGGTCCCCTTTATTCTGATCTCCGTTTTTGAAGAGATCGAATGGCAAGCCGTAACGTTCCCAATGTAAAAGGGTGTTTTTGCCCTCTTACATATGATACTATTTTAGAATCTGGTAGTTACTTGTATTTTGATTTGCTCACGAGAAAGACAGATTCGTAGCTCCGTGTACAATTTAAGGAAGCTAGAGCCTGGCGGTCATGGCCGGAGAACTCTGTCATGAAGGTAATGTTTCGAAAACCCCCTTCACATCTTACCGAGGATGCCGCCACTCGGAAATCCTTTCCGTTGCTCTGGACCCGATGTGAGTTCCACCCGATTGATAAGCTCAATGGAATGGGTGGCTGACGGCCGCAGCGCCTCCAGTAGTGAGATTCCCTTGAACGGACGGGTTGTGGATGCGTTATGAGGGATGAGGATTTTGAATCCTTCGGTACGCCGTTGGGCCTTTTGCTTGCTCGAAGCGCCTTTTCCCCTTCGAGCAATTCCTCACTCAGTTCGTTTTGAGCAGCTAGCCAGTGAGTTCCATGTAACCCAAGACATGTAACTCTCCACACAGCTGGGACGATCCAAGCTAAAATAATGAAGTTCGTATTATTCTGCAAACACAAATCAATGGATTTGAACCTTGCATGTTTAGCTCCTCAGGTTCAGGGGAGGTATTGTGAGTTTGGAACTGTGTACATCTGTACTTAAGTGGGGCACGAGAGAGAAAAACAATAACCTGCAAACCATCTCGGTCCAAGATTATATGTTTTGAATGCGCAACCGTGCATTGAAGATAGAAACAATATACGAGAACGCATTCTGCCAAGGCGGGAGAAAATCAAATAAAAGTGCAAGTGGTGTGGGAAGCATTGGGCTTGAAATGCATGTATGTCCATGCAAAAATCAACACCATCAAATTAGCGTCGCGTTATCTGGAACCAATGGAAACTGAACAGAAATTCGGTGGCGTGCTCGCCATGCACGGAAGAAACGCAATGATTCTCTTTCAAGCTTCGAAAGCGATCACGAAGCTTTCGGTAAGCGGACGGGATGCTCGTCCGGCCGGGAAGTTTGATCCAAGATATTTCCAAAAGTTGATATGGGTTACATCGTAGGAGGACCTTGGGACTCACGCGTGGACGAGAGAGACAAGCTCATCTGGCTGAATAGATCCCATGGTTGTTCCTCGCCTATTGGTTAGCTCTCTATGAATTGGGGATTTCGTCGAGGTTAGTATGTAACCGGCGAACCGAGCAAAAAGGGGCGAGATCTGAGGAGGGGAAGCCAAGGTATCAGTTTATCGTAGATCTAACTGTAAAAGGAAAAATTTGATTCTCTTGGACATGAATCTGTGAAAACTTTGCTTTTTCAGCTTCGCATCGAAGAAGCTAAAAAGCACGAGAAGGATTATTTCCAAGGTTACCTGTTCTCCACTTGGTGATCCCTTTACAAAAGTTCATCATACAAACGACGATCGCTAAGTTCAGAAAACAAGCCGAAGTGCTTGGCGGAAACATGATTGGTTCGGCATCTCAGGGTCGGCACAGGGATGGTCTGTGGCTGATTGTTCGACCCATGCTTGCATCCACAGGAGAACATAACAGGATGTTTTGATATGATTGTTTGATGAACACCTTGGTATCAGGAGCGAGATGTTTACTTGGATGACGCAAGGGAATGGCTACTGCTGCTTGAGAAATAAACATCGAGGTATATCGCTATTGCCCTGAGTGCAAGCCAAGTCGATCTACTCATGATGTCCGGAACCTCGTGGTGACTTGTGGACCATGACATGCGTGGAATCGAAATTATCCCTCGACCTCGTGTAGATGACAAAAAGTATGACTTGCACACGGAGACTTGAGCGACTTCTGGTTGGATGTCGGTTTGGGCAATTTTACGACCCCCACTGTTTTAAATGTATGAGCGTCCCGTTGAGCAAAATCTTGTTTCATTTTCATGGACACCGTTCGGCACTTCTTGGGATAGCTGCACCATGCCCTTGCTAGCGGACTGGGAGTTGGGCTAAAACTGTGGACATATCCGGGGTTCTGAACAAAGATTTCAAAAGACGACTCTGACTCCTTTCTTGAAGAACAAACAAACCTTCGCTCCGACTCGCTGGGTGGCGCACACCGAGAGCATTGAGCCTGGCATGCTGTCGGTTGGTGAAACTAATGTTCTGTTCTTGTGCGTGAAGCTTGACTCCGAATAAGCAGCACTAAAGAAAGTGATGTTGTTCCTCTGAGGTTATGCTAGACTTTGGATTGACAACATCTCGATTGGTCCGCTGGTTTCCAGTGCTTATTGTAATTGGATTTCCCTTCATTCCACACCTCGTTGCCACTTCGTTACGTGTGAAGTGTGTGAGATATGATTTGTTGGCAGAGTTGGAGCATTCTGGGTGATTGTTAAGCCTTTTTGTAGAGATCAAAGTGATTGAATCCGAGGGGTGCAGTGCCCACAGAACCGCAAAATCGGGACACCTCAACTCCCAAACCCCAAAATGCCAACCTGTCTGCGCAAAAGGAGGTCCATACATGTTGATAACTTAGTATGGCAAGGATTGGGAGCTTGACGGGGTCGACTTCTTGTAAGGGTTGTATTTACCTCCAACGTTAGCGTAATTGGAGGTATGGTCCAAGAAATGCTTGCATCAATCCTGGCATTATTTTCTCCCTCCTGTGGCCAAGCAGCGAGGCCATTAGTTTGGTGGAGTTCACGATGAGGGATGGGCGATTTCCCACTTGCAAAGCGCAGGCTATTATTTTTCTTTAAGTTCGATTGAGGAAACCAGACACTTAACTATGTGCGATTCGCCCGCTAGCAATTCTAATTCTTTTCAAGCTCAACGATCCGAGATATCCTCACGGATCGCCACTGATCTTCTGATCTGCCCGTCAAGAGAACTTAGACTTTGGACTCATGTGAGAAATCGACCTTCGATGATACTGAAAAATTCAACTTTTGCTTTGAAGGATGGATCCAAGCGTAACCTCAAAACCAGACCGTGGGCCCGAGTTGATGGGAGTGTCATGTTTTTTGACTATTTTTGGAACCCTATTTGTTGTCGCTCGATTCTGGGCTCGATATGCCGCCGCCAGAGCATTCGGATGGGATGACTTTTTCTTATTTCTTGCAATGGTATGATATTTACAATCCTGTCCATCGGAGAAATGTGAACTGACATGGTGATCAGCTTGCAGGTCTGGCGGGTCAAGGCCTAACGATTGCTGGTGTTAAGTATGGGAGTGGGAAACCGTTCTTGACACTCGATATTGCCGATGTGGTTCAGTGCATGAAATTTTCAACTTTTGCGATATTATGCAATGGCCTTGCGATGGCATTTTTGAAAGTTGGAATTGGCAGTTCGCTGCTTCGGCTCGATCTGAGCAGGGTTTTCAACTTTTGCGTTATTGCGTGCATTGCGATCAGCCTAATCGTTAACTTGACTGTTATTCCTACCACTTTTGCGGGTTGCAAGCCATTAGAGAAAACATGGAATAAGGACCCAACACTCGCTGGGACTTGCTGGCCTCGAAAGGTCTCTCTTGTCATGTCATATCTCCAGACCAGTGAGTATATATACTCGAGATCATCTATCTGTGCTGTTGCTGATAATGTAAAGCTGGCAATATTGTCACAGACGTTGCTTTCTCGATTGGGCCCCTCGTATACCTGTCCCAAGTTAGGGTTTCCCGATACAATAAATGGGCGCTACGAGGCGTTTTTGTTATCGGTTTGGCGTGAGGCATTTCATCCATTGTTTACCAATTGTGGTGGAGGCCTTGAACTCACATCTGCGTAGGGCCTCTGCATGTGCAATAGCAAAAGCTACCGAGTTGCCCGCAATTCTAAACACTAAGGATCCGACATATGCAGCCGTGAATTTGACAATCTGGGTGAAGTGAGTGGTATCCTACATTCCGTATTTTAAGGCGATTCTCTAACCTTGCTGTAGAGCCGAGTTTAATGCTGGTCTTTTCGCCGCATCACTACCGCCTCTGAAATCAACGTTCGAGAGAGTACTGAGGAAGTTCGGTGTCATGAGTGGCCTCTCGACACCATCTAATACACGTTCATATGGAAACGGAGCATATTCTGGAAGAAAGAGGTACGGGGACCAAAGCTCTCGCGGAAGACGCCAGACCTCACTAGCCTATGGCTTTGGAGATGATGACGCCGAGGAGAGGACAGCATATGCTATGAAAGATGTTAGCCGATCATCGCCAACCAACACTGGAAGCATGGATGAAGACCAAAAGCAGATCTTGCCTGCAGATGGGAGTGACGGCTATATAACAAGAACGACTGAATACTCAGTGAGCCGTGCGACTTTGGCCTCGCGTAATGATGCGTAGGGAGATCTAAGACATCGCAGATTTGTCTGCCGGGTCTCTTTAGCTTGAATAAAATGTACAATAGTATATTATCGTCATGAATAATGGGTGTACGCAGTAGCTCGTCCAGCCTTCGAGGTTGTGTCAAAGAATTAGCGCGATTAGCGCGGCTCAACATTTACGCGAGTTCAACTTCCCACTTTCAACCTCGCAAAATTCTGCTAATGCCCTCACAGAACGCACACATTCCATTGGTCTTGACACTACGTAAACGCGCCTGGTCTCGTAATGGGGACTATCATCTGTGTCCCAGGTTCCGGCAATGAGCTTACAGCTGAATGTGATCAGCGTCGCTCAGTCAAAAGCAGTTTGGATAGTTTCCGCTAACCCGTTACGAATTTTCTGGGTCTCGCCCTTTGGTTGACCAAGGTCTTGCGCGCCCTTTGACAACCCCACCCGATTTTACTTAGAGCAAAGCTAGAAGCAAAAAATATGAGGGAGCCGCGATGAATGCGAAATCAACCGCCACGGCTTTTACCTGGCTTCATTTTTTGAACCGCCCGGAACATCCTTCATATCTATAACTGATTCAGAATTCTATGCTTTTTTCCTGGAGCTTTCCCCGCGATTGCCACCTCGTACGCCAGTTCAAACCTGATTCGCGGATATTCAAATTTCCATTTCTCAGGATTTGCGATATCGTACTCTTATCATGGTGGCATTGTCAAATAAAAGAGATACATCGGCACACCTCGAAGAAAAGGATGTGGGAACTCATGCGGGGGCTTGCCAATGGCAAGGCAACCAGCCAACGCAACTCGCGCCAATTGACCGTGGAAAGGATGCTTGGCTGTTTCTTGCGGCCTGCTTTTTCATGGAGGCTCTGGTTTGGGGATTTGCTTTCACATATGGAGTGTTTCAAGCTCACTACAGCTCACTTGATATGTTCAAGCACTCTGGGAACATTGCCGTAATCGGGACTTGTGCGATGGTGAGAGAGATGTTACATTGCTCAATTTTTGAAGCCCTTTTTTATTTTTTAAAGCGTTCCCGAGGAGATCGCCGCCAGCGACATTTTATGTAACTCGATCGACTGATTCGTCTTCCCCTAGGGAATTATGTACCTTGACCTGCCGATTGTTTTCGCCCTATTCAGACGTTGGCCTAAGTACCAGCGGACTGGTTGTGGCATTGGCGTCCTGATGATGTGCCTTGCCATGGCCCTCAGTTCCTTCGCCACGAATGTTACGCATCTGATTGTTACCCAGGGTGTATTCTATGCGCTCGGTGGGAGCATTGCATATTCGCCCTGCATCCTTCTGATGGAGGACTGGTTCGATAAACGCAAAGGCCTTGCTTTCTGTGTCATGTGGGCGGGGACAGGATTGGGCGGCGTCATCCTTCCATTTGTGATGGAACGTTTGCTTGATCGTTTTGGTTTCCGGGTTGCCCTCCGAGCATTTGCGGTTGCCCTCTTTGTCCTAACAGCCCCGCTGGTCTACTTCGTCAAACCTCGTGTGCCAGCCTCCCAGCGTCCCAGATCACCTCCAATGAGCCTCCATTTCGTGTTCAGTTCGACCTTTGCTCTGTTCGAGATATGCAATATTATTGAGGCCCTGGGTTTCTTTTTACCATCCATTTACCTTCCAAGTTATGCCCGCTCTATAGGCGCACGAGGGAGCATGGAAGCGTTGGCAGTTATCCTTTTGAATATCGCATCTGTGATTGGGTGTGTATCGATGGGGGCTGTTATTGACACATGGGACGTTACCACGTGCATTTTGCTTTCCACGATTGGATCAAGTCTAGCGGTATTCCTCCTTTGGGGATTCTCTTTGTCGCTGGCGCCCCTTCTCGTTTTCGCCGCCGCTTACGGGCTCTTCGCCGGATCGTATACAAGCACCTGGCCAGGGATCATGCGCGACATTGTTGAGAAAAAGGGTTCCACCGATTCAACCATGGTTTTAGCCTGCCTATCAGCAGGCAGGGGAATTGGTAATATTGTCTCCGGTCCTTTGAGCGAAGCCCTTCTTCAGAACACGCCTTGGCAAGGCGAAGCGGGTTATGGTTATGGGAGTAGTTATGGGATGCTTATTGTGTTCACGGGAGTTACTGGGGTAATTGGAGGTGGTAGCTTTCTTGCACGTCGTTTGCGGTGGATATAATATGGCCATGATGCTGTAGGTTAAACAATTATCTTCAAAGTGATAAACCAACAATCCCAAGAGGGACAAGCTGGTGTTGTTTTCAATGTTGTCATAAACTAAGAGATATTATGAAGGCAGCTAACGATTAATATTCAAATTGGAGGCCGCTGACGAACGGAGTCCTGGAATTCTCATTTGTTAATCATTTGTGATACATATATAGACTCTAAAGGGATGCAAGGGTATGAATATGGAATTTTGTGTTTTGTGAGAGTCTGAGAAGCAGGGCCTTAAGTTACTCGATATGATTTTACAATATGGAGATGTGTTTGCAACATCCTAAATATCCAATGCATTTCTAAGTCTAGATATGGAAGAGGGCCTCCCCCAACAAAAGAAAACAAAAAAGAAAAGAAAAGGAAAGAAGAAGACCGGTCAGAAAGACCTCATTAATATGGTGTATTCTCATTAAACATGACGAATTTATCTACGCAGTTGCCCTACAGCTTCATATGCTCGGATCCGCCCTTCCATCCACTCCGGCTGCTACCTCCGTCAAGTTCAATCACGTTCCCGGTCAAATGCGATGCGCCGTAACTGCAAAGGAACAGAATCAGAGCGGCAAAGTCCTCGGGCTTGCCAATGCGGCCGGTCGGTTGTGCATCAAGGAGGGTATCGAGATATTTCTCGATGCCGAAATTTGACATGCGGGAGGGGAAGACACCGCTATAGAGCAAAACATTTGGTAAGCTTTATGGACCTTGCTTGCATATACGGTTGGAAGGGCTTTTGTGGTGTGCGTTCAGAAAATTGGAGACATGAAGTTCTTTCGTTGCTTACGGGCACACGCAGTTCACCATGATGTTCATCGGAGCGAATTTTGAAGACTGTTGGCGGGAAAGATGGATACAAGCCGCCTTCGAGGGACCATCTGCATTGAAAAGAGGAGGGGTTTTGATGTTAGGACGAAATTTTGAATGCGTTTCCGAGCTTAGATCACAGGAATGAGTTAGGTTAACAACATACAACTAAACGTTCCGGTTCCTGGCGGGGATAGCCCTCCCTCATCCGTTGTTGTAGGGTCAAGAGTTGATATCCCCCAAATGGATGCGATGTTAATCACGCGAGATGGCATATCGGGCGAAGCGGCTTTCTGGAGAAGTGGTAGGACTCTGTATTGGTCCATGTCTAGTCAATATCGTAAGAAATATGGAGGACATCCTTGTAACAGCCATAGCTTACCCAACAGTTACTGTTATTAACATAGTTAGCAGGGCAATTGGGAGTATTTGACAGCCTGAGTTTGGGGCTCAACCTACAGTAGAAAATAGCCTTAACATTCAATGACATAGCCTTATCCCAACCAACCTCTGGAAAGTCTTCCAACGGCGCACCCCTGTTGTTTGTATTGCGGTCACTACTTAGCAAAACCATACCATATAATATCGAGCCTTCCGCTCCTCCAGACTTTTTCTTCTGAGATCACTCACCAAGTAGCGCCGGAATTGTTAACCAAAACTGTCAGCCTGTCTATTCTCTTTTTCACTTCCGCAGCAAGATGATCGCAGCCGGCCTTATCCTTCAAATCAGCAACGATGTATTCGCATGTTCCTGGGCCGAGTTTGTTTAATTGATCAGTGCATTTCTTCAGCTCCTCTTCCTTGCGGCTCGCAATGATGACCCGAGCGCCATTCTGTACCAGGCCCTGCGCAGCCATCTCGCCGAGCCCAGAGGCTCCCCCAGTGACTAGAGCGACATGGCTATTGAAGGAGAAGAGGTTGGAGACGCGAAGATCGGCGCTGGAAGGCATTGTGGGTGTATGGGTGGGTATTCTGTTTGGTGACGCAAAAATTTTATTGATATTCAAAAGAGCTCAGAAGATCTAAGCCTACGGTATCTTGCCATTGATTCCTTGGGTTTTCACTCGAGATGATTGTTTGTAGATGTCTACTACAGTGGGGTTTGAAACCCTCCCTCCCCCTCCCCCTCCCTCCCCCTCCCGGGCGGCCAATCATACTAACTATTTAATGTTAATATCTATAGCTGCTTTTCGTGAAGATCTTCGCCAGTTAGTGTAGAAAATATTATTAATATTTTATGAACAAGCTAATAAAGTGTGGCTCAACACGGCAGCCTATAGTGACAAATGTGTCAAATGGGTTTTTTTGATGTTTTCCACTGTAATTACTTAATTCCACTTACAGACACTCATTGATAGAAATTTATACTAGAAAGCAATGCACCTTGAATACTATAAACACATTTTAAAACAGTGAATTTATGTCATTGTAGATATTATCACTAGATATCATTACTAGATATCATCGCTAGATGTCATCGCTAGATATCATTGCTAGATATCATCATTAGCATCGCTAAATACCATCGCTAGATACCATCGCTAGATATCATTGCTAGATATCATTGTGAGATATTATCACAAGATATAGATATCATCGCGAGATATCACTGCCAGTATATATATATATATACTGTAGTTTCCACACTATGGGCTGGTGGTTGCAGTGTATAGATAATGGGTTCAGTGGCCGCATCCACTGTGGGCCAGAATGTATATGTATATATATATATATATATATATATATCACTATGAGCACAATGATTCAACAAATGATTATGTTGACTTTTTGCTATGAATAATCTATTATAGTTCTAGCTTATTATATTTAGTGATGATATTCATGATGATATCTCGCGATGATATCTATATCTAGCGATGGTATCTAGCGATGGTATTTAGTGATGCCAATGATGATATCTAGCGATAATATCTAGCGATGATATCTAGTGATGTGGTTCCCCACTATGCTGCGGCTGGCGGCCACGCCCACTGTGGGCCGGGCCACACCACCACACCCATGGGTATATATATCACTATAAGCACAACCATTTAACAAATGGTTATGTTGGCTTTTCACTATGGATAATCTAGTGATTATAGTGCTATCTTATCACAGTGATGATATATATTGAAGATGATATCTAGCAATGCTAGACTGGCCGTGTGACCATGCATGGGACTGGGACCAAATTTTTCCTCAGTCCCATTATTAGATATCTTAGTCCTAGTCCCATATAGTATTTAGTAAATTAGTCACTTTACACTGTTTATATTATAAATCTAGTCCCAGATCATGTTTTACTAATAAATTAGTGATTCTGGTTCCATTTGGTCCCATTTTGTAAACAAATGGGACCATGATTTACCCTATATAGATTGACAGCAGTGATAGATTTGCAGCGGTGGTAGGTTGGCAGTGGTAGGTAGGTTGGCAGTGATAGATTAGCAGCAATAGATTAGCAGCAATAGATTAGCAGTGGTAGGTAGATTAGCAGTGATAGATTAGCAGCAATAGATTAGCAGCAATAGATAGATTAGCAGCAATAGATTAGCAGCAATAGATAGATTAGCAGCAATAGATTAGCAGCAATAGATAGATTAGCAGTGGTAGGTAGGTTGGCAGTGATAGGTAGGTTGGCAGCAGTAGGTAGGTTGGCAGCGATAGATTAGCAGTGATAGATTAGCAGCGATAGATTAGCAGTGGTAGGTAGGTTGGCAGCGATAGGTAGGTTGGCAGCGGTAGGTAGGTTGGCAGCAGCGATAGATTAGCAGCGATAGGTAGGTTGGCAGCGGCATAGATTAGCAGTGGTAGGTAGGTTGGCAGTGGTAGATAGGGGATCTAATAGCGAGCCATCAGGGCATTGAGCACTAAGCAAGATAGGGGTAATATCTCCACCAATCATATCATCAGATTGATGTATTATATAATCATCAGAATGGGACCAAACTTGAGTCAAAATCATGATCAGTCCTAGATCATGTTCTTGTTTTTGATAGTCAGTCACTTTACATGGAATATCAAGATTTATTAGTCCCATTTCACTCATGTTTTGATAATTCTAGTCACTTTACACTCCCATTCTGAATCTGGTCCCACTAAAATCATGCCAAGAAATGAACTGGGACCAAACCAAACCAAACCAAATGTGAAATTCATGGTCCCAGCGGCCAGTCTACCTGATATGATGCTGACGGCGCCACATTCGGCGATGTCATATTTTAGGGCAATTGCCTGCTTCAATTTAGCGCTGGCACCTTAGTGCAGGCTTCTTTCAGGTGAAGCAGTCATCAATGTATATATTGCTAAATTTGAAAATCAGCACAACTTCATTCAACAGAGCAGACAGGATAATAAATCACTATCAAAGCATACCATATTTGTATAGAAATTGTGACAGAAGATGATGAGATTTGATTCTAATGATGCACAAGCACATTGTTTTTAACTACCAAGAAATGACAGAATTTTCAAATACGCCAAATTAACGATGTTGGTCCGAACCAACGCCGCCATTCACACAAAAATGTTCCAGGAAGACAAGTATGTTTCGTTTCGACTGCCACCGCCATTGTGAAGAGTTGGGAACTGGATAACAGGTTTGCATTGTCGTCGCGGCAATAATGGATAATATTTTCATGTATATCGGGTGGTGCGACACGGGCTGAGTGCTAGCGTTGACTGTACCCGAATTGGAAGTTTTACTCGCTCCAGGCCGAATACAGAGCATAGATCCAAGGTCATGGTCAGAATCTTGAGATAATGAGATCCATTGGCTTTTAGTACACGTCAGTTTATTCTGGAGGAGGAAGGAGGATAAGAAAGTGGGATTGCGGGAACATTGTTTAGGGGAATGGGTCAGAATATCTTCATTTACGTTGAGTTGACATTTCCTTCGAGTATACATTAGACCTTGGTAGTTACCCTTGAATCGTTATTGATATTGCTACACTGTACCAGTCTGCCATTTTCCACAGGTCTTTAGAGAAGTTGTACACGACAGCCATAAGAGGTGAGGGTGTCTATTTATACACCGATAGAGGAGATAAAATCCTTGACGGTTGCTGCGCGCGGCAGTATCAAGCATCGGACATGGAAATAAAGAAGCAATCGAGGCCGTGATCGCACAAGCAAGGAATCTGGCATTTGCACACGCATCCTTTTTCACGTCAGATCATGCCAAAGAGTTATCAACAAGAGCAACGACGCATTCTCAAAGGGTTACCTTTTTATGCTCCGGTTCCGAAGCAGTTGATTCAATCTTGAAGATCGCCCGGCAATGTCACATCTACAAAACGACTCGTATCACGGAAGCACCTTCGGCGCCTTGGCTGCGGGAAACAACACTACCAGGAGAGAACCCTTCGCACCCATCCTGAGCTCCGTGTTCCATCATGTCAGCCGCTGTCTCATGATGTTGATGGCGTAGGCGTGACAGAGAGTGAATACGAAGACCGTCTAATGGCTGAATTCAAGGCTATAATTAACACGCTTGGTCCCAAGACTGTGGCCGTAGTCATTGCCGAGCTTGTGGTGGGTGCAACACTTGGTATCGTACCAGCAACGAAATCATCCCCCCGGCCTCCGTGAACTCTGCAACCGCCATGGGATTCTCATCATCTTCGACAAAGTTATGTGTAGAATGGTACGTTCCAGGGCCATTCGATGGAGTGCGCCGGTGCTCTCACTGTACAGAAAATTCTGGACCGTGATAATTTGATCCTGGATGTGATGAAGAGGGGATTGCTGCTTGAGTCCTTTTTGCCGGGGGGTCTGTTGTCATATATGAAAGAGTATGGTGTTAGTCTGCGTGGATCACGGCTGTTCAGAACTGTGGACCATGGACGGTTGGCACTCATCTGTACTGAGGCATCGCTGATACGAACCAATTCCTCATCTATGGGTAGTTCTTCATTTGGCTCTGACGTCCCATCAGCCGTAGGAGTCTGATCTGTCGCAACGTGATCCTGCCCCTGTGATATGAATATTTCGGCCTGCAATCTCCTTTCCTCGTAGTGTGAGCACTCACTGTGCCCTTGTTTTGTTGTTGCACTTAAAAATGACCCTTTATTTGTGAGATCCGCAGAATACGGAGCATATGCATCCTCGACTACAAATAAGCCGGAAGTGGGTTCGGAAGACGCCATGTGTGATATGGGTATACTGGCGTCGTTGGCAACAACACATCCTAGCATTCTTTGTTAGGAGAATGTTGAGGTCTCCGCCATTGATCCATCGAATGTTCCTCTTGTACCCACAGTCGACATTACGACGGGAACATCTACTACAACGGGGACGGTTCTCGTCACACTTGCGATGCTGCTGTAGACATTGTATACAACCTGTGTCAGATGTTGGTTATTGGCAAATCCATACAGGTGTTATAAAGAAGACTTGATAAATTTCATATATAACCTCTCCAGGACCTTCTCCCCTCCGTGCCAGCTGGGCATTTTATTTCTAGTTCTCTGGAATCTGAATCAGCGGCTTCGAGAGATTTTCATATTGTTGATTGACTAAACTCACCAGCTTGTTAATTATTGCTTTGAAGTCACAATCCAGGACGCCAAAAAACAAACAAAATAGAAACTATTTAGCTAGTACATGTCCATGTCCATGTCCATGTACAGTACGTACGTATGGATTTCCAAGTATAGGGATTGAAATTGAATCCAGAGCTCTATATAATTGCTAAAATTCTATTAATATCGATCAATGGCTCAAACAACCAATGGATATCCGCAAAACCTCCAAATCACAGCTTCTGACTAACAACATGTTTCCTGTCCATCCCCATCTCCTTTTTCGCCCGCTCCTTCAACTCTCTCCGTAATAGTTTTCCAACCGCATTTTTAGGTATCTCATTTACAAACACCACGCCCCCGCGCAACTGCTTGAATGGCGATAGCCGATCTTTGACGAAGCTCTTAACCGTCTGTTCATTCACACGAGTGGTGTCGGCCACGACATATGCGCGAGGCAAGTCGGAGGCTGGATCTTCTGGACTGGGAACACCACAGACAGCAGCATCCTTAATGTCTGGGTGGCTAATGAGGACACCCTCAATTTCTGCGGGAGCAATCTGCTGGCCTTTGTATTTCAGGAGCTCCTAGAGGGGGAGGGTTGCCAGGTTAGATTTGGCTTAGTTAGAGGTTTAGAGGATTAGTAAGAAGGAAGTGAAGGTGTTGACGAATAACCATAACTACCTTCTTCCTGTCGACGATGTAAAATTTTCCATTCCTTTGAATACCGATATCCCCAGTGCAGAACCAACCATCGTGGAAAGCATTTTCCGTGGCTTGAGGATTGTTGTAATATCCTTGTGTTACCATTGGTCCTCTAACCAAGAACTCGCCTGGTTGCCCGGGTTCGACGTCATTAAAGGAGCTATCCACCATGCTGAAATTGAGAGATGATTAGATCTAAACATAATTCTGGGCATTCAGATATGAAATATGTGGGGTAAATACCGTAGTTCGACATTGGGTAAAATATATCCAATGCATCCAGTGTAATCATGCACTCCTCTCGGCATCATTGTGACCGCGCCGGTAGTCTCGCTCAGGCCCCAGGTTTGGCCGATTACAACTTGCCTGCCACCTCCTCCAAGTTTTTTGCTCGCAGCCGTCTGCAGGTTACTATCCATAGGTGCTGCTCCGGTGGTTGCGTTAACAACGTACTTGAAATGATCAGTGACATCAGGGGATTTGGCGATTTGTAGATAAATGGAAGGGATCGTGTAGAATGATGTGATCTGATATTGTTTCACAAATCTAAGCATATTTTTCCACTCGTATTTGCCCATCCATACGACAAGGCCGCCGACAGAAAAAGGAACGACGAGATACCCGAATATGCCCGCTATATGGCTGATGGGCAGATGTGCAAGGGTGCGAGATGGAGGAACTTCTCTGCCTGCTGCTATTTCCCTGGCTACCCAGGCTTTCCCGGAGAGACTGACTACGTAGGTTTCCGAAACCAAGTTCGTATGAGAAAGCATGACACCTTATTTTGATCGATCAGTAATTTAACTTACATCTCATTGGGCTGGTGATAGATATTTTACCTTTGGGAAGCCCAGTTGTACCGGATGACCATAGGATCACGATAATGCTCTTCTCCAAAGCTTCGGCATCCGTAATCCGTTGCCACGTCAATTTTCCATTTGAAATTATATTGATATTACCTTCGAGAGAAGAGAGCTTGAAGGATGGATACGACTCCAACATCAACACTCGTTCTGGGGGCAGATTACACTGCTTGGCAGCTTTCAAGGCGATCTCTTTCATTTCTTTGCCGCAAATTATTAAACGGCTATTGGCGATTGCAATCTGTCGAGACAATTCTGCAACTGTCGACGACGGGCTGGCCCCGGAGTATACTCCGCCAGCAGCAAGGGTGCCATAGAAAGCAACAGGAACGAAAGGTTGGCCATGGCTAATGACAGTTACCACGTCCTTATTTGGCCCCTTCGCCCCAATTCCGTAATTAGTTCGTAGGCCGTAGGCGGTGCGCTCTGTTAGATCGTGGAGATCTTTCTTGGTGATTATTTGGGAGGGATAATTTGCATTAATATGGAGGGGGGTCTCGTCTGGTGTTGGACAGTATTCGGATTCTTTATGGAAGTTAGGGTACACGCACTAAGTATAAAATCCTTGGTTTGGGGGTTGTTGAGGAAGGGCATTACCGAATAGAAAGGTGAGCAAGTCAAATTTGGGCAGTTCGACAATGTGGTGGAATTCTGATAATATATTTTCCGTGACATTGTGCAAGAGGCTGAAGTAGTAACTACTTCAGAGAGGGCAGTAGAGAAATAAACAATAATATGTGTCCCGGTGTTTCGAAAGCCCTTGCGCTATTCAGAACGAATGTGTAGTTTCCCCGACGCCGCATTTCCAGAGCTTCTTTGTGTGTTGTGTGGGCAGCACCATTACTATCGCAGCTGACCATTTGCTGGGGAGAAATCATTCTTGATTGACTGTTTTTGCGGTTGGTTAATGACAAAGATAGATAAAAGAGCTAATCGGGCTCCCTGGCAGCCACGAAGGGCTAATATAATTGTAGACCATATAGTAGGTAGCTGGATGGCTAGCTACATACATGTCCATATTGAAATCCTGATATGTCTGGGTTGATTATGTCCAGGACATTGGGGAAAGGCAGGCACGTACGGTCGGTGATTTAGGCAATCAAGACAGCCCGAAGGGGCCACAAATGTGCTCATAGAATGTTCAAACGGAGCAGTTGGATGATGGCATTGGACGCCGGTAGACTCGTAGGCAAAGTTTCGCTAGTGCTCCGCAAACACAACAAGGTACCTTCCCATACTAAATTGGCCTAGTGGTACATGAACAAGACTGGCCGAGGTTGTTGATGTGGCAAAGATTGTCGCCTCGGATGTTTCATCCAGTAAGAGGAATTATTTTATTGATCAATAATATTGCATAACCATTGTCTTTGGGTTTCTCGCCTCGCTGTAAAATGATGACACCGGTATGAGATAATCATGATAACACACTCCAGCAGACGCGAAATAAACAAGAGGGAAAGGAACCAAGCTAATGAAAGTCACGTAGTTCCTCTGGGTTTGGACTTTGCCTCCTTTTTAGCCTTTGCATCCTCTTTCTTTTTCTTCTTCTGTAACTCCAGCTTTTCTTCATGCTTGCGCTTCAAAACAGCTTTTTCCTGTTCAGTCTTCGCAATCGGCTTGAAAAACCCCTCCAGCCGGGATTGTTGTGCTGTTTTTAAGTTCTTTTGTAGACGCGCCGCGGCGTTTCGTACTCGATCCTCGCTGAATGCTTTCTCCTCAACGAGGAATTTCACCAATCCCTCGACATCAGGCGCTTCCCACTTAAAGTCGCAATCCGGGTGATCTGCTTTGCGAACATCGGGGTCGAAGAAGAGTTCTCGAGCTTCCTTATATGGCCAGTCTTCGGGGATGGTGTATTTCTTCTTCGGGTCGGATTTGATGGCCTCGACGACCTGTTCTAAGGACCCGTGGTCACGGATCAATTTTAAAGCAGTGTTAGGGCCGACCTTAGGGATGGGATCGAGGTAGTCGCAACCCAGAAGGATGCAGAGGTCGACAAACTAGGACGGGTGAAGGGTTAGTAGCTCAAAAGCAAAAGAGTACAGATCAGAAGTCTTTAGGAACAAACTTACTTGCTTTCTATCCATATCTAAGCCCTCTAGAACGCGATCTAGATGTATTTCCAGAATTGGTTCCTTGCGTTGTTCACTGAACGTGAGATGTCGTAGTAAGATTGGCGAGTCAAAGCACAATGTATCCATATCCTCTGATGCCGCAGCGTAAACCTTCCCTGCCCTTGCAAGTACAGCACATTGGGCCTCTGCCTCAGTTGGCGCGTCGATGTAGGGCACACCCATCAGTTTCAATAGCTTCTTGCATTCCTCATTATGTTCGCGGGTTACCCTGACCGTTCGTCTCGAGAACTTTTCCACCTCTTCTGCTGTGCCAACCTCCTTTGCTTCCTCATGCGCTTCTGCAGCCTCGGACTTGCGCATGAATCGTTTAGCCAGTTCTCCAGACTTGAGCTTTGGAGGTGCACCGTCGAATACATAAACAGGTTTAATGCCGTTGTCGACGATGCGAAGAGTACGGTAGAACATGCCCATGAGATGTGAAGTTGTCTCGCCGGTTTCGCTCGTAAGTTGTTGGCCGTCTGAGCGAACGGCAATAAGGAAACTGTAGATGCTCATGGAGCTGTGTACATATTAGTTGTATATCCATGATCTGGAACGAATTGCTGCATGACATACGCATCCTAAACGAATGGAAGTAAGATTAATGGTCAGCCAAGCCCGGAAACACTTCATGCAGGTGATTATGCAATTTTGAGCAAGGCACAGGAGGCAAAGTACATACAATTGCAACCTTTCGGCCGAAATGATTTTTGATTTCACCCGCTTTGACTGCATCAGGAGCATTTTCCTGTATTATTTGGTACAGATCTGGAAGCGTAATCCCATATATTAGAACATTTTCATTGCCCAGTACGTGACATGTAATTGTACCGGTCTTTCTTTCTTTCTTTTTGTTGGGGGGAAGATAGATAGCAAAATATCGAGGAAGGTAACTTACGTTTTATTCCCATTTCAACCAAGGTATATGCGACACTGGTTAAGCTGAGAGCCTGGTAAGCTCTCCGGTTTAAGATGTTTCTTTTAAACTGGAATACAAGGATAATCTGCGGTTAATCTCACATATACAGTAAAGGGGGAGAAATTAAAAGAAGAAAAAGTATCATCTATCCTAACCGCCTTCACCGGAATGACTTGAAGGATGCTTCTGTCGTCGCGACACGATAATTATCGGAGGCGCGTCACATTCACGTGATGACGTGATGCAGCTAATACTGCCAAGTGAAGATTTGCGTGTATTTTGGTTGTCCACCTCGGCAAGGATTAGTGGTAAAACCCCATATTATTGTCCATCATGCGTGATCCTGCTGGTTCTAGGAGGAGGTGTTTTGAGTCTAGGAAGAATTTCTGGGTCGTTTTTCTGCTTGGTCATCAAAACTACCAGTCTCTGCTGATTATTCACCTCTAAGTCAAGTGTGGTATCGCTGGGATCTGTTATTTAGCTAATATTAAGCTTTAACTAACTATGATGTGCTCTATGAACTCTATGTTCCCACCCTAGCATATGGTTGTTCATGGGTTTACGAGTGGTGCCCAGGTAGGTCATGATTATTTGGTTATTTCTCTCCTTGTGAGGCCCGAGGATCCAACTCGCAGGTTCGGATAGATTTGACTCCTAATTTTTGAATTGGATGAGGGTGGCAATCTCCACAGAACCCTCAATCTCGAGCCAACAGCACATGTGTTCATGATACATGTCCTTCAGGCTGTAGCTTGCAGGACTGGAATGGGGCTGACATTAATATAGAATTATCTTGGTAGGTATGTGGAGATAAGAGGCTGTGGATTGGTGGTCGAAACTCACACCAGGTTTCTCATCTGACTTTCGTGAACTGTCGTTATTCGGCATGACAACGATAGAACCTATTTCATGCAGATGACAGGAAAATAATCCTAGCTTCCATACTAGTAGTAGACATGAAGGGGGGTGTGCAGAGGTCTTGCGGATGATTGGTGCGGCTTTAACCTTAAAAGCTAGTTTTTAAGGTTAACCTAACATCAAACAAAATGCTGCCAAAAAAAAAAAAAAAAACCGTGACTGCCGCAAGGGATAGCTTGTTTACCCTCCAGAAATTAGTTTACCGAAGGTATGACTTTTGAGACGTTTTCTTAACTCAACGCTGGCTTGAAGGAAGGCAGCCGAAGAGTACCGGTAGCGTCGATTGAAGCCTGCAATGTAAGTAGAGAAGAGCTAACCCCGTGATAGTTGAATCGATGCACTCTGTTAGGAATTGGGTGAAAGTTCCTTCAAGCGACATTCATTTTATTTCTCATCTGTTTTGTGGTTAGATGAAGAAGATGTAGGTGGTGAATGAAATTTATCAATCATTAAACATGATGAAATACCTGGTTTTTGGCAACTGTTTCTCCTCGCCTGAGGGATATGTTTTCAGCTACCTACGGAGCATCGAATTTCTTCTCTTCGTGACCACGATCACGGTCCCCATAATATCTGCCCCAAGAACTCTCTAGCAGCATTCTTGATTTCCAGAAGTGGAACTTTTCGCCGGTGCCATGACCGTCTCCAACGAGTTCCTGTAGGAAGCCTGGATCAACCCCCTTTCCCAACTTTGGTGCTATTCGTACCGAATATCTCCTCGCGATCAGAGCTCAACGAAGAACTTTCACACGTTGGTCGCTGAAATACGAAGAAGGAGCTATAACTGTGTTTCTCCTACCAGCCCAACATAGCAGCATGTAGACTGCTGTCAACACTGCGTTGGCGGATACACCATTATAATGCAAACTGTGGACGCTAGGAAACAGCACAAGATGCTGGGAAAAGTGGTACTTTCGCAAGAGCACGCGGATAGCAGTTATATGGATGCAATATCAGCCCAAGGGGTTGAGAGGTGGTTGTCACATTTCATATACCCCTCAAATAAACGTCTACTCATAGACCTACGAAAGGAAATTGGCGAGTAATGCCGGAGCTCAAACTCCCACGGAGCCACATTGACCAACCAAAAGCCGGGAGTTATCACGTTTCGCACTGTGGCATGCTTGCGTCGCAAACTACTATTCGGACCCAAAGGGAATGAAGCACACTGCAGATTTTGCATTTGGTCAGTATTTCCTGTCTTCTGGAGCCAGGAGATGTGGACACCGAAGCCTCATTGGAACTATGGGAGAAGACATTTGGAATCGCAAAGAAAGAGTCCCGGGTGCCTGCATTACAAAAGTGCGCGCATGCGCTTCTTACTGGGAAAGAAGGGAAGAGTGAAGGTCTGGTGGATATTTCAATCGCAGTACAGGCGGAAACGAGGCTCCAAGGTATAATTGATGGAGCCGGGGAACTCCAACTGGGCATGAATGGGTTGATATGCTCGGAGTTAGGTGGTGCTTTGTTACAGCTAGAGGAAGGAGAGAGAATGGGAGTAAGTTACAGAAGGCTTGCAAGGTCGATTCTTCAATTCTTCAATTCTTCAATGCGAGTTTTGTTTTTTTCAGAAGAGTTCTGGGCATTAGATTTTCTATTCTTTCTTTCTTTCTTTCTTTTTTTTTTTTTTTTTGCAATTGTTTTCCTCTAGATTATATCCGGAACCTAAAAAAGAAATGAGATCACAGAGATTCATGCCAAAAGCACTGGGATACAGGATCACTGGCATAGGTGATTTTCCATCCTCTCCTGCAACGGGCATTTGAACTTTTGAAGGCAAGGCTATTTGATTGGTTGACATAGAGGCTCTGGTAAGAGCAAATTTTGATATTCCGTCATAACGTGAATGTTATTGCGAATCCTTGACTACCATCAACTCGGTTTTTTCTACCACATTTACTTTCACCCTGTTCTATCCCCACCTATTTGGAACACTTTAATTCATTTAGAGTCCCCTTGCGCGAGATTTTTCGATTAGCTATGCAGGTTCCCCGCTAAGGGGCCCATATTAGATTTCCCATTAAGATTATCCGTATTACTAACATTTTACCTGCTTCTTGTTTCGTCCGGATCAACCTTCTTCACTATCCAGAGGGACACAAACATACGATAAAACACCAAGTCTCTTGACAGGCAACTGGGCAGCGTTTCATATCAGCCTGTATGTAACAGTAGTCAGTCTCTAGATGTCCGCTCCGATGTATGCAATGCTTCTTCATCCTTTTTTTTGTTCTTCTGGTCCCCACTCCAGCTCAGAGCCTTGTTGGCTAAATCAGCGGGATAGAGAGACTCATTGATCGTGCCCTAAGATAATAGTCTGAATATTGTTCACAATATACAGGGTCCCCGTTCATGCACCACCAACGACATTTTGAAAAACAACGGCCTTTTCGCAGCCGCCGCATTCGTCTCGCCGATTGCAGAAATCTGGACGGATGTCAGAAGGGGGGTTTTCGTTGTGGGCTTTGCATGTAATATTATATACTGGTATTAGGGGAATAAAGTGGGGGAATATAATAGAACTAATAATCCATTGCCGCAAAATATTCCAAGCTGGTAAGTATAGACTGAGGAATCATGTTCTGAGTCTGTTACATCAAAAGATCAGTTCATTCATGCATGAGATGCTCTTCACGAACCTTTCTGGGAATAATATTTCTGATATATTTTATATCATCCATGATTTATTGGCGCTTTTACCATCGCATCTCCCCCGGGGTTTCTGCCCGAATTTTACAAAAAAACAAGTGGCCGCAATACCTTTCTTTGTTCTTTTCACACTCATCTACAGAGAGATGATGCGTTTTGAGAATGGGATGCTGGCGTCGGGTCGATAGGTATCGCGGACAAATATGCCTTTAGAAAATATTGGCTGGGGCATAGTTTGGTCATTGATCAATGAAAGAATCTTAGAATAGGTGATAGACATGCAAACATGTTAGGTATTGCCTCCAATACATATCCTCGGTGAGCGAGATGGAATTCTCATAATTTTCCTTTGGGTTTAATTCCTTGCCGAAGCCGAAATATGATTAAAGTAACGGAGCAAACAAACGTCTATCTGTTGCTTTGCCTTTTTACCACGTAAATTATATTCGCCTTAGACCTCTGGGCCGTGCGGATCCACCTGATGGAAAAAGGCTATAGCCACGCTGATGGAGGTGGAAGGTTCGTTAATTGTAACTATCTAGCAGGCACAGCACTGCTTAAATAGGTGTGGTCACGTGGCATTCTAGCGGGCGATAGGGATGCCAACACCCACTGCATAAAGGGAACTTTGGAAGGGTGTGCTTCACCAGGGTCGGCATTGCCAATAAGAACAGGATTTGTCAACCACCAGTATATCTTATAAACATCTCCAACATGATAGATATAGAGATTTTATGCATGGATTGTTTGAAGAACGTAATACATCCATTGAGAAATAATTTTCATTCCTTCGTGAATTCAAATGAATCATTTGCTCCGCAACAGGGGCTTGCATACTCGTGATAGTTATTGTGTCTTGGATTTTTGGGCTTTTGCGTGCAACCTGCTTTTTGAGACAAAACATGGGTCCTGGATAGTTATCGCGGAAGTGGATTGATCAACCCGCGGCATTGTCGCATTTGCCACTAAAAAAATTATGAAAATAAATAGAATAAAAAACATTAAGTTGAGCTGTATTTTGGTATCTCTAGCAAAAACCGCCCACAAACTTCCCTGCCGCTCTGCCGGCTCACTTTTGATTTGTTTCATAATTAAAAATTATCCCTTTCAACTCTTAATTGGCCATACCTTGAACAAGACAAGTGTTAGCTACACCTCAACCCTCCTACCGGGCTTTTTATTGTAGTGGAAGGGGACGAAGAGAACAACATACGACTTCACAGCGATGCTTGAGATCATGGCAGTAAACCGCGATGGTCTTTAGTTTCTGGTCCATACCCTTTTAGAATATGGATGGTCAGTTTTCTTGCTTTCCTTCATTTCAGTTTTCTTTTTTTTCTTGAAGCGGAGGTTAGAAAGAAAGGGCCTCAGTGTGGTCCTTACCTCTGCCTTCTTTTGACACTCTGGATCTGCCTGGCAATCGATATCGGCATTGCACTGGAGGCGGAAGAAGAATTATTGTTAAAATCATAGCGATGATGTAACTGGATATATATTTCTCGAAATGTAGGCTTATGTCGAACATGATGGACGACATACATGGTACCCCACTCTACACAGCTCGACCCTGACCCTCTGTGCTGCTGTCATTCCTGTCGTTGCCACGAGGGCCAAGGTCAAGGGGAGGTCGATCTTCATCCTGAATTTGGATGCTGGGTGGTTATCAGGCGAAAAAGGGCCACTGGAAACGGTGATCGACAGCGTAGAGGACGCAGGAAGAAAAAAGGTTTCATGCAGGTCAGAATTGCAAGCTGAAGACGAAAGGAAATGAGAAAAATTAAAATATCGTGTGGGCTCAGATAAAATTTTAGTGACGGGGCTGGGACGGGATTATTTATTTATTTATTTGATCAATGGAGGTTCACGCTCAGACTCCGGATTTTTTCTTCTCTGCATATAGCCCAACCTGCGAAACAGGAATTTAAAGGAGAAAGCCCGAAAGTCGAGGAACTGGATCGTTGGTGGCTTGCAGCGCAGAACAAGCTCTGTTTGTTTTAAGCCCGTCCTTTTGTGGATGGCTAAGTGATTAGTTGCTGAGGGATTACTCCTTGCTTAGCGGGCTGGCTCAGTTGGTGAGAACGGTGAGATCCTCAGCATACACCCCGAATCGACCATATTGTTGTTCGTATAATAATGAGATGTTCTTATGTTGTTGCTTTTTGTTCCCACACATATTGTGATACAGTTGATATTAGCCCAAAACTTTCAAGAATTAAGAATGCATTAAACCATAACTGCAACGCATATTATGGACCACTGATGAGAATTTCCAGCCAGGGCAGCCAGCCAGTTCCATGCGGACTGCTGCATCAAACCATCCACGCGAGGCTTTGCACAACAAGTTGAGGTGCATACCGAGGAGAAGCAGGCATTTCCCTTATCTGCGCTTTCGCATCGCATTCCCAGAACTCTTTTGTGCTTGTCAGGCCCTGTTGAGAGGAAGCTACACAAATCGCCCAGGGAACAAAGAGTCACCTGGCTCCTGAGCAACTGCTTCTGCACCTCATCGCTATTGGCACAACACATGGGTCAGAGCTGCCGCTGGTTGCGGGAGGAAACCCAATCCTCTTGGTGCGGGCCGGGGTGTCCGGCTGATGGCTCGTGGCTGATGGGCCAGCTATCAATAGCCTTCCTTGAGAATAATATGATATGCTTGAACGGGCAAATAACTACGTTGTCATGTTCAAGTTTACTTCATACTGGAGTTAACTAAAAAAACAAGCTCGATGTTCGGCCCTGCTGCCAGTCTAAACGTGGTACTTCACCAGACCATCCATGGTACATGGATTCCCCCGATCATCCCTTGGGATCAACATTAAAGAAAAATAAAATAGAATGCGTACACGATTTTCCTTTCATTATTGACCTCGTCAACGATACTTGGAGATATTACATTCGGATAATCGCATGCGCTTCAACGCGAACCACCATATATGGTCCTTGGTCAATCGACAAACGAAGGACGCATAAAACCTCGACATCCAACTGCCACATCAGGAAAATGAAAAGATATTGATGTGGTTATAATTTTCTATCGATTGTTCTGACAGCATCGCAATAGTTTCGAGAAATAACCCTGAGGTATCACGCTTCGCAAGGAATCGGAGGCAACAGACGTACGGAGTATAAATCTATTTTTTATTCTTTTGTCTCTCTCTTTCGTTATATGATTAAATAACAGGAAAATCCGTGTGAAAAAGGGAAGATCGGACATGGTATATGTCCAGTACATGCACAATCCACCGTTCCCATGTTCTCGGTGAGTTCCTTCTATCGTGGCATTGAGAAGGGCATTTTTACCCTGTTCAAACATCAGTGGCTCCGTATCAAATTGCGATATTATCTCGATTCTCCCTGAACGAGTTGTATCCAACCGCCTAATTGCTAGTCTCGGGCTCCAAGCACAACAGCCTGCAACCTATTCGCCATTCCAGAATTCCTGGATCATCTTTGCAGCGACTCGATCTCTGAATCCCTCCCCGATAACTGTAGTAAGTCACATGTCCATGTACATGTCTATGCATAGGAAGCTGCCGCTAGAAAGGGGATTGGAAAATGCAAAATCCAGTCATCCGTTCCATTCAGCAATCGTGCTTAGCTCTCACAATATATGTGCTACCATCCCAATCCTTTAGGGCCTTTCAAAAGAGTGTTGGATTTGCGAAAAGTAGCAGCGCCCGCATTTTCTATGGGAAGAATGACTTTGTACGAAGGGGCACCTTCCGTCTCTTTGATTCGAAAAGAAATCACTCATAAATTACTCATTTTCTGGGGTATCAAGTGTTTTAAGGCCTTAACTAGATAAATTGATGAGAGCATGCCAAGACGTTAATACACTAAAAAAGCCAGCCCTAAACTTACCTACCTACCTTAAAGTTTAGCGCTCCATCACGATTAACCTAGCATTTTTGGAAGCGCCCCAGCCGATTGAGCTTCAGCTTTGAATACTTGAGACCTTTCGAATGAGCCTGGGTTTTTGCCCGAGACAAAAATTGTTTTTCGACAGCTGCCTTTTGCCGATTGGGTATTTCATAAACTGGGTCGATATAACTAGTGGTTATACGTGGGGGGACGGGATCACCCGACCCCTGGATATAATTTGAAAGGTCGGTTAGGTGCCGAAAGTGTTTCTGCCCGGGAATTAGAACAAAATGGCATCCCACCATCGAGGTCCTTCTTCACGTACGCCAAGCGGACCCGGCTGTGTCGGGGACTACAGCTATCTCCAGAGCAACCAGCGCGGTTCTTCGCCGTCGTGTTGGCACTTGTCTAAATCCCATTACCAAGGCGCAGCAAGGCGGACATGAACCTCCCTCCAATCATTTGACTGACTTTCTCGATTTCTCTGGAGATCGTTTCCCCTTAGCATCCTAGAATCGGGATCGCTTTATCAATTTCTCCGCCCGACCCTCTTGCGTGCAAGTCAACGCTCTCTTACGCCCAATGCGGAATTTACAGTATCGCTGATTTTCTACAGCAATAACGATAGCGTAAGGGATGGATATAGTCGCCGTTTACTTGGCTAAAACTATGCCCATGAGTTGTCGCTGTCTGAGCTATTAAAGGAAACCCTACTACGTGTTTTCTTTGACTTGGTGGAACTAGATGTCGCTAGGGAAGGAAAAGGATATCGACTTTGATGATCCGCTGCGCGAGAAAACGATTTCCTTTGCAGATCTCCTTCTAGATTATTTCTTTCTACCATGTGCGACGCTCCCTCTCCACTGCGCTCTTACGCTTCTTTGCTGATGTTGTTAATGGTGAAAGTCACAGGCAGGAATGCTCCAGTCGTCCATAATTCACACCTTTCCATGATGCAACAGGCACAAACAGGCGGGCATGAACTTACAGGGGCATTGGGCAAAAAAATCATTTGTTTGGAGCTTTTGCCTCATCTGCAACTGCCATCGTCGTATAATTTCACACGCATTTGACTCCGGTGAGGCGTTCAAGGGTATGGAACAGCATGTCCATTTTGTAACGGGACTAAGACTTCTGTTACCACACCCTCTGCCCCAGAGAATACCTGTCCATAGATACCCCTTCTCCCCAGCTCATATCTTTCGCCTCTCAGGGGCAGGCGAATATATCGATATAATTCTGCAAGACTTTGAGGAGAACGATTGTTGGAGAGGTTGATCTCATAACCAGGGCAGCGAGCAGTTACACACTAATTTCCAGGGCGATCAACATGGCCTTTCTTAAGCATAATCAATCTATCAGTTCCGACAAGAGGAGGAAACAATACCCACATCACATCGCTACTCGCTCGATTTTTCTCAGAACAGCTTCCATCATGTCTTTAGTTTCCCGCTAAGTTTGAGTAATTTCTTCAAACCAGTCACCTATTTGGTTGACGAGTCAAAGCGTAGGCCAATTGAATGTTCAGCACATGGGGCGGAACTGTGTAGAACGATGAAGAAAAGGTAAAGAGTGGAAGATGGCAGGTTCCATTACCTCAGACGGCTGGAGTGGCAAACAGGGCGCAGTGATTGGCTGTGTTCCGGAATAACATTTCTCCCCCGCCCTTATCGCTGGTACAGCCACGGCGGCGGCGGCGGCGGCTTCTTCCATTGTTGTCTGTTTTCTCGTCAACCTGTGACTTTTCCCCTCCACCAGATCTCACCACCACCACCATCCACATCTTCATAGACACTCCCTCATTCCATCACCGTTGCTTGCAGAACATATTGCGTAGGTTGGCTCTATTGTCCGTCCATCTGTTCTCAGTCTGGACTCCGTGTCCTGGATGCCCCCCAACCAGCTCACCGCTAACTCGTCGCTCAGACAGAACACTCCCCTCTCGAAACACTCAAGGATTCGCAGCACACGACACCACCACCACTCGTCTATTGCTCGTCTTCTTTCAAATCTTTCTCTTTCTTTCTCTCCTTACTTTCTATCTCACATCCCTCTTCTCTCGAAATGGCTCTCAAGAGAATTAATAAGGAACTCTCAGACCTGGGACGGTGAGTAGCCTTCTTCTCGTTGGCCATTTTTGGTGTTCCACCCCCACCACCGTCACCAACCACGCCTGCGGGGCGCGCTGCCTCTTGATTTCGCTTCCTCCACGCCCCTGCAAAAGCATCCTGCGGTTCAGCTGAGGAAAATGATTACTAAATGATGTCGATATAGCGATCCCCCTTCGTCTTGTTCTGCTGGCCCCGTTGGAGATGATTTGGTAGGTTTGGTTCTATAGCCCCTGTGTCACGTTGCCATGCCCGATCTGTTTCGGTATGGTGGAGTTATACAAGGCTCGCACTGGAGAGAACACATCCCTACTTGGGTGGTGTATAATGTCTGGTTGTCGTGGTTTGAAAAGAGGGCGTGGACTGACCTGGTTATACCACAATAGTTTCACTGGCAAGCGACTATCATGGGCCCTGTAAGTCATAATTTTTTTTTTTTTTTTTAAAGATACTTGATATGCTGTCCCTTTCCCCCTCCCTTATTTGCAACTGCAAGAGCAAAAAAATCCACATTTGATGGGAGATATCAGGCTTTTACAGTTGAGACATGGCCGAATGTAGACAGGAGAGAGACGGTGACTAACATATCTTTTTTTTTCTTGGACGATAATAGGGTGACAGCCCTTATTCCGGTGGTGTCTTCTTCCTAACCATACATTTCCCCACCGATTATCCATTCAAGCCACCCAAGGTCAACTTTACTACGCTCATCTACCATCCAAACATCAACTCAAACGGGAGCATTTGCCTGGACATCCTCAGAGACCAATGGAGCCCTGCCCTGACTATATCAAAGGGTTTGTCTTATCCACCCGCGTTTCCCTATATTAGTTCTGTTTGTGGCTATTTGCTAACATGCCTGGTTTTCTCAAGTCCTACTTTCGATCTGTTCCATGCTCACAGACCCGAACCCGGATGATCCTTTGGTACCTGAAATTGCTCATGTTTACAAGACCGATCGTCCGCGGTATGAAGCGACAGCCCGCGAATGGACTAGGAAATACGCGATTTGATTAATGAATTAAATGCAACGGCCAACACGTTCACATGGTGCTCCATATTTACCCCAACCACCCATTTTTTTAAATTATGTTTTTTAACGCCCCTCCTTTCACCCGCTACATATCCCACCCCACCTTGAACCTTCGAAAAGACATGCCTTCCTTGCTTGCTGCCATGGAATAGATCATGTTTCCCTTCTTTTCTTGCTTTGCTCTGTGTTGGTCTGGCAGAGTTGGTCGGGCCGGAGGAATATGGATCAATCGACGCATTTGTCAGCCGGCACAATCAGCCATTCAACCAGGGACAAGAGAAGAGAGAAATGGTAAATGTTAATGAAAAAGAGAAAGCTGGAACAACAAGAAACATAAAAACGACCAAAAAAAGAGCATGTGTGAGAGAGTGGCCGACCCCATCAATATCATATATGTTTCCAAGCAGTACATCTTTTTTCCTATCCTTCTTTTCAGTTTCCTAAAAATCGATATGAACCACAAAGAAAGGGTCAAGAGCAGATATGCGAGGTAACTAATCGGAGTGTTACTGTACTTTTTCTTCCTTCTCTTTCATTCCTTTCTTGCGCCGACAGTGTATAGCAGTGGAAGGGCCGAGAGGCGGAGCAGAAGGAAACGGGAGGCGGGAAGGGAAAGTCAAAGAAGGGTTTAGCATCCGTGTGTTTTTCGCGCTGGTCTGATTGTTAACTCCTGCCATACATTCTTTTGCTCCTTCTTTTCTCTTCTTTTCTTTTTCTTTGTTTGTTTTTCTTAACCCTCTTATTCCCTCCCCTCTCTCCTTTCGTTTTGTGTTCCCCTTTTGAATTTCATTTAAAGCAACTTCATGATCTCATGCGTCGGCTTCAGTCTTGCTCCTTTCATTCTGTGGTTTCTTGTTTGGGTTTTGTTTTTGTAAGCAGTATGGAATGAGATGGACATGCGGGACGGAGAGATAAAGAGCATGTCAGTAAATAAGTATAGGTAGGGTTCAGGGGGGTGGGAATGTAACTAAGTGGCCTGGTAACCAGCAGAGTGTTCTTGATATAATAACCAGTTTCCCACTCTTCATTTATTTCTATTTGGGTTTTAGACCAGTTTTTTGTCATTTGTCACTGATGCCACCACCTGCGTGCTGCCCTGCATGCCCTCACTATATGGCCTGATCTCTCATTCTATTTTCATTTCACTGGGATGGTCCTCAGTTCCATGCCATCCAGGAACATACTCCCCTCTGCCAACTGTAAAAATCAGGCCAGGGAAGACACACTTCATGCTTTTCCATATTTTTAGCACTCTCTCTGTTGATTTGCTCTGTGAATGAGGTAGAATATATCAATAATAGACATCTAATTCATTCCTATTGAATGATTGATCTAAAAAGGAGCTTTCTTGCAGTTCTGAAATAATGGACTGGGTAGATAACTAGAAGAAGCATATTTGTGTGAATGCACACTCATTCACTCTGGAATTTATAAACTGAGTAACTATCCAAAACAGATGGAATAATTCATATAGTTATACACTGCATTTTTGCCAACAATATTCCTTTGGCAGGGGTTCAGGTGTGTGCTCTTTGGTAAGAAATTGTCAGGGTTTCTCACTGCCGCTGGGTTACATTGAAACTATAAAAAAAAACTGGGTTTTTTTCTGTGAAGGGTGTCTTCCTCCGTTGGTGCCCTAGCATTTTATTTTATTTTATTTTATTTCCTTTTCTCCCGTTCCTTTCTGTTTTTCTCTCCTTTCTATTGACTGATTTTTATTTCGCCCTATTCAACTTCCCAGCACCTGGCTTGGTCGAGACTGTTTAATAAGAGGAGAGGATTCCCCCCGATCACCTCATTATTCTTTTCAATTGTCTCACATCCAGCAGCCCTTTCCTTCCTATTGCTTCCCCGCCGTTTGTGTGCGATTGTCCTATCCCGCTATCAAACACCAGTCTTAATCCACTTCTACAAGATGACCAATCCGGCTGAGAGCAAAAGAAAGCGGCCTAGTAAGTCCTTTTATTATTTTATTTTCATTTTTTTTAAACTTTTTCGTTTCGTTTCGTTTTTTCTGTTGGTGGCTGCCCGACGAAGAAAAGATACAGCTCTAAGTTGGTCATTTTTGGGCACGAATTTTTTTTTTTTTTTTTTTTTTCCCCTCGCTGCTGCGATGATGTTTGTGTGCTTACACCCCAACCAACCCAAATCCAATCCAACCCCGCATTGTAGTGTGAAGTAAAGGAATATTCCGCTTCTTTTGAATTGGAAAAGGAAGAGTCCGGTTCATACAAGAGTTTCCGGGAATGTTCCATTTGCTTTTCGCTTTTCATCCATTCTACGCTTTCCCGGGCACATCACGAAATAGGATCAGAACGAATTCTTCAGAAGTAGAAGGAGGAGGAGGAGACCGCGAAATCATGACTGCTAACCGGAGCACCGTCTTTGGCACTTCAGGAACCCAATCCTGCCCTCCCCCCGAACTCCCTCAGCTGGTCGCTGAACAGCATGTCCCCATCGCCTCCCACGATAAGGAAACCAAACGACTGATCGTGGTCCTTTCCAACGCGAGTCTGGAAACATACCGCGCCTCGCCAAGCGGCAGAAATGCCAATGGCAGGGAGGAGAAATACTCGCTGCTCAACAGCGATGAGCACATTGGCGTCATGCGCAAGATGAATCGGGATATCAGCGATGCTCGCCCGGATATCACTCATCAGGTTTGGATTTACCCTTTCCGTCCTCGGTTGCAAATCATACAGACCCTCCCCTCCTTCTCCCCTCCTCCATTGCCTTTTTTTTTTTTTTTAAACTTAATCAACCAATCTACCTGGGCTTAATCAATCGTATTTATGCAAACCATAGTGTCTCCTCACCCTCCTCGACTCCCCCATCAACAAAGCAGGAAAACTGCAAATCTACATCCACACCGCAAAGGGTGTCCTCATCGAAGTCAGCCCAACCGTGCGCATCCCACGAACCTTCAAGCGGTTTGCTGGATTGATGGTCCAGCTGCTGCACCGCCTCTCCATCCGCTCCACCAATTCACAAGAAAAGCTGCTGAAGGTGATCAAGAATCCCATCACGGACCATCTTCCGCCAAACTGTCGCAAGGTGACGCTGAGCTTTGATGCGCCCGTCGTCCGCGTGAATGATTATATCGAGTCATTGGGGCCCAAGGAGAGCATTTGCGTCTTCGTGGGCGCGATGGCCAAGGGCCGCGATGACTTTGCTGATGGCTTCAAGGATGATACGATTAGTATCAGCAATTATAGCCTTAGTGCTAGCGTGGCGTGTAGCAAGTTCTGTCATGCCGCGGAGGATGTCTGGGATATCGTCTAACCGACCAGAAATGGGAGTGGCCCCTGTGGACAATCTTTTTTTCGGGGTGGGCTGGCTATATACTTCTTTCCATGGAGTGGAGTGTATAGCCTGCGCAACCCAAAACAACCTTCGGGGGCCATTTTGCGAAAACAGGGTTGGTTTATATGAGGTAAAGATGGTTTTGAAGGGTTTTCTTTGAAGACAAATTTTTTTTTTCCCTTTCGTCCTGCGACAACGCCCTTTCACACACAAAGGCATTCGAAGCGGCGAAAGGGGAACTGTTACTACTAACAATATTGCGCAACTCACCCACTGGACCTCTAAAGAAAAATGGAACTTAAAAATACCCGAAAAACAGCCACATCAACATAAACTCAAACAAGCAGCTCCCACAGTCGAAATGAGAGGCCAGCCACGATCACAACATCCACGCTTGTTCCTCGCGGAGACTGCCTGAAGGAGGAAAAGGGAGAAAAAGACAAATACAAAACAAAGCAACTTGCTTTCCTCTCCCTCTTCTACCTAATTCCCATTCCTCATCCTCTTCTCGTCCTCCCCCGTACCGCATCGGCAAACACGTCCCGTCGCGTCGCATCGCATCATATTCACAACAAAACATTTGCTTGCGAAACGGATACGCCAGAGGGGATGTCGCAAACAGGGCAATTTTTTTTTGCTTTTTTGCTTTTTTTACTTTTTTCTTCTGTTTAATAAAACTTTCTCCATATATACATCCATACACACACGCAGCATGCATTTATGTTATTTTTCATGCTGCATTGAGAGCTTATGTCGATTCTGTTTTTACAACCAAAACAGGGGCGGTTCAACAGCCTCAACGCGCGGGTGGGCGGGTGGAGTTTCAGGAGTTCTTTTTTCTTTTCTTCTTTTCTTCTTCTCTCTTTTTCACTACTATTTTCTTCATATATTGTTCATAATTTCTTTCCCCCTTGGCTTTTCTTTCCTTCTCTCATGAGGATGCAAAATTCAATCGTCCGGGTTCCCCGCTCGCTCATACCCACTCATATCAACCCATCTTTTCACTAAACTCCACATAAACAAGATGGCTCAGCGGGTGAAAAATTTTACATTTCATTTCATTTCTTTTTTGGCCTTGCTAAATGAACCAACGCTTTTTCTCATTATCTAACCCTCTTACTCTTAACTACTTTACTTTACCTATTCGAAATGTGGAAATTTATCAGGCACTTCAACCTGCCTTCATTGGCCCGGGGGAACCCCGCGGATTGCTGCTGGCATTTGCCTTCGATTGTTATTATTGGCTTGGCCTGGTGCCTATGTATAGATACCCACCTTGTCCAGGAAGGATGATGGAGGATGACATTGACGACGACGACGACGACACGATGTACCAGAATACATATGTGGCAGAAAACAAAATCCCTCGTCTTTCTTACTTCTTACAATTATTTGAAGCCGGGCACAACTTTTTAACTTTTATTTTAAAATGGAAAAGAATATATACAATATCCGTGTCCTTCCCTACAAGTACAGAGCCAGAACTTGTTCGTGCAAAAAGCGAGAATAAGACTTTGAAGGAGGAGGGCTTGTACGTAGCAAGCAAGCTTGCCCCCATGCCCGCCCACCCGCAGGTGAAATGTGTTTTACATTAGCCATTATGGATAAGAATGATAATGATTACTGTGTTTTGTCGGTAGCAGGGATACAGGCAGTTGGTTTTACTCCCAGCGCTGGATGCATGGGCACCCAAAGTATGGAGACTGGACAGTGGGTATCTCCATAGCTAGTGAGTGGGCGGTTGGGTCAATGATACATACAACAACAGGTTTAAGTTCAACAATTTGGTTGCGAAGGGGGTGGACGGCGTAATATTGGCCGTTTTGGATTTATATTGATCATTTTTTATTTTAATTTCCCCTTTTTGATGTGGGACGTAGGGAATGGGAAGTTAGGCGGGGGGGGGGTGGTGGGTAGCGTTGGCCCGCAAAAAGTGAGGCTGCGGTTTTTGTCTCCCGCGAATTGGCTGTATGTACGTAACTAAGCTGCTGGCTTGCTGGCCAGTTTCACTGGCTGGCTGCCCAACCCAACAACAAACTTCTCTTCCCGGCCTTCTGCTTTCCATCTATCAGGTAGCGACGATTATTCTTTGCTTGCAGGACCACATTCCTGATACCTGGGTGTACCATATCATGGGTGAGGCGCCATGCCATGTTTCTTTCTCCCCCTGTCTTTACATTTCCGCCCTGCTCCGTAGCTGAGCAATCCCAGCACTGGTCCTTGCTTCTGTTTCACAGCTGACTCTGGTTTTTCCTTCTTTATGTTGTATGCTGACGAAATGTTTTAAAGGTAGTTAGTTATTGTCATTGCCAGTGTCAGGTACTTGGGCTAACTGTGGTTCGCACACTGGCTTAGAGAGATTTCGGGCGATCCAACGATTCTGCTCCAGTTGCTAGTTGGATTGTTGATGGAAATCCCTTGCGACAACGCAGTTTACTAAACACGGCGGCTAAAGACACATCAAAATCGGACATGATAGAAAATAGTCATAGATGATATTGGATTTCCCAATTCATGTTGGCAGCCTGTTCCGAGAATCCAATTTAAATAGGCAATCATGCATAACGCGCTTCACCACAAGTCGGCACTCGTAACTCATTGATTAATCCCCTGTTCGCGGTGTTGCTTTTCTGTTGGAGACTTCTTCCCCACAGTGTTGCTGACCTTTCTTCGGTCTCACACTGTGTGCAAGGGAGGCAATTTGGTCCGAATAACAGTTGAGGAGCGCCGGTGAGGGAAGCACCAGCTTTTATCGTTGCGGTAGAATGTAGCAATTGGTAGGGACCCTGGCTCTGATAATCGATGTTCCATGGCTAACATCATGAATAGCTGGCAACGGAATAACCAGAGGATAGTCGTTCACTGTCCAGCTTTTGTCAATGCGTCCAACGTGGACAGTCACGAGAATGTTTTCAAGTCTGTTGAATCCTCACTTCAAATGGCACCTGTTCTTTCTAATTTTTTATTGAGCGATATAACAAACTTCAATCGGTCTAAATGCATGGTTTCGTCTGAAGTGGACAGTGATATAAGAGCTCTTTGCGGCAGGTGAGCTTTAAAGCAGGTTAAACTCAAATATACCTCCAACAAAAGTACGAAACTCCTGCCAATGGCCATAGTCTTTGAAGAGAAGATATTCGAAGCCGTACATGACAATCTATATGTGGTCATACTGAGGCAAGATGACCCACTTGTATCTCATGCGCTTAGCGATTCTAGGGCAGTAGATGTCGACAATTGAGTGTAGAGACGTTGAGAACGCTGAAGGAACTCACTTCTGAGACCCTGATCAGACATTGGCCCATGCAACTTCAAAAGAGTGACGATCTGCTTCTGTCAGGTGTGCCCTAATTTGACAACCTGCGTGCCGCTCCCGCAGTATACGCAGCCTCACCCTTCCCTAGCGGCTAGCGTGCTGTGCTAGCGCCTATTCTACAAAAGTCGACGCGCCATGTTCTAACTATGTAGGCACTGACATCTTCATCTTCCTCGCTCTCACATCACACCCCCTAGTAAAATGCTGGCGACGCAGAGAGCCAAAGCCGGAGTGAGGTGTCTGATAACTAAGGAGGTTCACTAGCGCCGGCTTGTGCGCACTAACTTCCAGTGTGGCTTATATACTCACTTAACCACTTATTAGACTCAGAAATTTACTGACGCTAACTGGATACAGTTAAACCCTCGGCTAGCATCATCATTGATAACTCACTGGAAGATATCAAATACAACTTGGACATCATAGTATGTATGGCTGTGGTCTATGAATCCAAGCATGTTTGCGTAGCCTCTTAGCATTTGCCAATTTACGGCCATAGCTCCACCTACTTTGTACAGAGATTATATATTCCTTCAAACAAGATCAGCAACTAACAGCTATGTTCCACACAGATTTGAGCAGTGCAATTACTTTCAAACAAAATAGAGAGATGGATCAAATGCAACTTGTCAAGCCGCACACCAGAATTAATTCCATCCCATCTTGGAGGGATGAGATAGCGCGGACAAATAAAATGAATGCAGAAAACCACTTCCTCAGAATGTAGGCAGCTCTTGTTGATAACTTGGACTCTACGGTTTCACCAGAATGGCAGATGATGGCTATGCCTCCGACGCGCACGTGAATTGATATACAAAGTGCAACCAAACTCTGATGCTAAGCCAATTCGCAGGAGCTCCGTTGAATAATCGGCGAACTCGAGTGTGTTTGACTATCAGTAAGACAACGCTCGCCTACCCTCAAGGAATTCTCTTAGTTACTAGTAACCATTACCCCAGGCCCGAGGTAAGAAAAAGATACCGTATCAGACATGATCTCAAGCTAAGCGATAAGAATGGCCGAACGTATCACTCATACTACGCAGGATTCTGCAGGTACGCTAACTGGTCTCGCGGATTTATATGAACAGAGCATCCTACACGGCGGTTAGGCAGCACCATAGCCCATATGCCACAGTACCCTGTGCTGATATCCTTCACTCCCACAGACATCAGACCCAACAATGTATTTGTGGACTATGATGTGAAACCTGATGGTTCTATCAGGGTAAACCAAGCTCAGATCAGTGATCTTGAGATGGGGTTGATGATTTCACCGGGCTTAAATGTCTGTGGCGCCTGACTAGAAAATCCCATGTATTGTAGCTCTGAGTCCCACATTGCCTCTCAGATCAATCACCCATCTGACATTTTTTTCTTTCAGCTTTGTTGTGAGTAATCAACCCGTCCAGGGCTTGGATTTGTTAATGGCCTTGGTGTTTTAAAGTGTATATACAATGCTTCAGAAGATTCTTTTTTGTTTTGATTCAGAGGGTTGACTGAAGAGGAGATGGAAAGGTCAGTTGCAAGGCGTCTGCTCTCACATTTTGGAGATAGCCCAGGACTGGTTGGCCTTGTGGAGCATTTGGACTACAACGCTGCACTGTGGTGAGACCTTGTTCTGGATTTGACCAAGGAGTTCTCACCAGAAAACCCAAGGAAACCATTCTCCATGTGGGAGGATGTTGACGAATACTTCCGAGATCTCATCACGAAGATGACCAGCCTGGATCCCGCCAGAGGGATCACAGCGAGGGAGGCCCTTGGACATCCTTGGTTTCAGAACGTATAGCGGGAACTGAAGACTATGCATGCTATTTCTCCGCGCCAAACCAACTCAGTTTCCTCTTGCTGAATTGGTCGCAATCAATCTTTTTGGTGAAGGCACATACTCGGTAGAAAATTTACGGATTCCCTTCGAAACTCTCGAAGTTTAAAGTATAGTAGGTGGATGCCTATTTCGAGTCCAGTCTTTGATGGTCAACCTTCCATAGTACTCCTCAGATTTCAGACCACACGTCGACAAGTAACAAAAACCAATAAACAGATTCCTAAAATATCGCCATGCCCCTTATACCTAGCATATTAAAATATAACTAATACCAAACTAACCCTCAGCCAGCATCATCTTTCCACATATACCGATGAAAGTGGGCTTCATTTCTTGATCAAATGACGAGATGCCATGGCATTTTTGGATTTATCCAACTCAAGAATAGAAAAAGTGGCTCCTTTGGTCTCTTTTGCTGTTGTGCTCCTTAAAAGCAGATATTGTGGAATATTTTTCAGGGCGGATAGGGGCAAAGGATAGATGGAGATGATAGTTCAAGAAGCTAGGGGATAAAAATACAATTTTAATGAAGGGCATGGGAGTGGGAATGGGGTTTGAGGGGATAACAAGGCAAAATTTGTATATAATATCCAGGCCTGGCCGGGGGGTTGGCATCCCTATCGCTCGCTAGATAGTTACAATGAACCACCTCCGTTAGTCATAAATTTCCCTATCAAGGAAGCTAGGTGTGATACACGCCAGATGCAAGTTTTCCTACAGATAATATTACTGTCTCTTCCATCTGTCATCCTCTGATTCTCGTCCGGTCATTTCCAATTCTCCTTTGGGCTGGAGTTTCATATTCCGGGAACATATAAATATTCGTTAGTTTAAACAGGTTAGGGAGGGAATAATTTGAGTGCATGTACGTCTACCGGATGATTTGAAGCAGTGATAGCGTATTGAAGGATGTTAGATTCATATATAACAACTTGAAGGTATGATGAGTAATTGTAGTAGCGTAAAACATGAATTTTTTGTAGATATTTTTGCCACTATACCAGAAGGTTCAATCCTTAAGGCGATGAACCCATCTTAAGATATATTTACATGGTTTTTATCCATTTCACAAGGAAGGGCCCGCGTGGCTAACCGCTGGAGAATTCCACAACCCCCCAAGGATTGCTCCCTTTTGGTGTCGTGGTACAACCTCCATCAACTTGGCCTGTTTGACAGAAAACATACGTACGGTATCGAGCCAGTCCCGAAAAGGCAATTTCGGGCATCTCCAACCTCTGCTCCATACTGCACTAATTGATACAGCTATGCTGATTCATTTCCTTCAATTTATCACAATCAACTCACCAGGCGTTTCTTGCTACGTGTTGCTGCCAGGTCATCCTATCCTGACTACTAGTACTCGAGCGAATTTGGAAGCGCTTTTTGATAGGTCTCAGTGGTTTCGACCACGCCAGCTTTCAATTCAAACTTGGTGTGCGCAGAGCAAGTAAGCGGATCCCCGCTCTTAGTCTCACCTCATTGCGGCAGCCATCAAGAGACAAAGTGCTTTTTCCTACAGTCTGCGGCATCATCGTCATTGAGCGTTGGAATATATATGCACACCGCTAGCGATATGAAGCATGCTAGCCATGCTCGGAGGCCCTAGATAACCAAATAAATACAGTGTGGGGTTTAGGTAACAGCTTATCGAACGGCCTAAAATGACCCTTTTTGGACCGACACGTTACTGAAAAAATTAACTGTCAGAATGGAAGGCAAACTCCCACAGCTACTGTTGTATTATTACTCTCCATTTGCTTCCATCGTTGGGCAGCGAGATATGGAATGAGGAGTACGCTGGAAGGGCCACCTATGAAACTGCAGTTTTCGGCATGACGTGCAGAGGAGAGGGCGTTAACTAAAGACCTTCAAGGCCTTGACCCATTTATTTTCCTCGTCCTTCGCCCCATTCCATCTTTGTTTAGGACCCGCTAATCGCCCCGTCGATACGTCTGACAGTCGTTCCCCACTCACCTAGCCGTGTTGCCCTTCACCACCCCTAAATTCATCGGTCAGGCTTGTGGTAGCTCTGGCGAGTGGATCTTATTTATGGGCCGAGAACACCCCGCCAAGTCCCCATGATTCGCTCGGGTCTTCCTCGTTTTTTAAGCATTGAAACCGATCATGCAAGACAGTCTAACGAAGCTGGCTAATATTTTAGGATCGTTTTGCTTTCTTTCCTTTGCTTGGTTGCTTGCGTGACGCTGGCTAGTCTCGGTACTTTGCTGGTAACCAACTGGTGCGGAATGATATGATATGGTGAGGCAGATGAACCCGACAGCCCTCGTTTTCACTATTCTGGCCCCATTGATGCTGTGCCCCGTGGACCCAGGGAGTCGTTGTTCTAAATCGGGGTTTACTCCGTAGATTTTGGTTCGTCACTCCGTTTGCCAATGCAGGGGACAGCCGGCGAGACAGGCAGGTTCCATGACTTGGTTCTTTTTTCTTCTGGTTTTGTCTGGAGACAGCGAGATAAATACTTTATTATCTGCTGCCATTTTTTTCAATTTCTTTTCTTCGTCCTGTTATATTATTTGATATCGTTTCCCATAACTACCTGACCACTGCTTTCGTTCTTGGGGCACTCGTTGCAAGATTCTTGTGGTCGGTGTGTTGGTATATAATTTTACTGTCGCTTGTACTCCCCTGGGAACAACTCTTGCGAACCTGATATATTTTCGGAGGAAACCATTACTCCAATTTGTTATTGTTATTACCTACCAGATATCGTATATTTATACATATATATTATTTTATCTGGTTTTTGTTGAGTTTTCGTTTGTTTGATTAATTCGCTCTCCCTCCAGTTCAGACAGACACCAGCAAACATGCCTGTCGCACATCTCACATTGACCGTCTCACATCTACCAACCTCAACTTCCTTCTTTCTCTCCTGCTTGCAGCCTCTTGGATACCGATTTATCGGCCGCCATGATAATAATGTTGGTTTTGGCTCCGTGCCTGGAGAGCCTGCAGACTTTTGGATCGCGGAGGAGAGACCAGGGTAGGGATTTATTCAGGACAATTCTTTGATGAATTTCTAGCTAATGTCATATTCAACAGAGTCCCCGCTGGTGCGGCCCATGTAGCTTTTCCAGCTCCATCCCGCGATGCTGTTAGCCAGTTTTTTATTGCTGCTCTTAAGGCCGGCGCGAAGATTCATGGAGAGCCCACGCTTCGTGATGCGGAACAGAATTATTACAGTGCAGCTGTTATTGATTTCGACGGCAACAGCATCGAAGCTGTCCACCGCCCCAAAGGTTCTGGATCTGGTAAGACTTCCGCTGACAGAGCATTAACGATTATCAAGAATGGCTCTGTCATCTCCAAGGCCTCGTCCACCAAGACAGAAAGTGTTGTCCGTGCTAAAGCGGAGATTGGCAGCTACGTTAGCAAAGCCAAGACAGCAGTATCAAAGCCAGCTGCCGCAAGTGCCTCTCCACAGAGCAAGGCACCGCCTTCCATTCAGCTCCAGCAGCAACCTGTGCCGCAGTCCAAGGATTCTACAAATGGCGCCAAGGCTGTGGTTGGAACTCTCCTAGGAGCCGCGGCCGGAGCAGCAATTGCATATTCAATTTTCAAATCTGACTCGTCGGAACCTACACCAGCACAGCACCAGTATGTTGAGCAACCTGCCCCTGCTTTTGCGCCAGCACCTGAGCCGACAGTATACAGGGCCATAGAAGCAGCACCTGCCCGGAGTATGACCTTCGGCGGTATCGATAACGAATACGCCGACTACGCGCGGACCATGCTGTCCAAGAACCCAAGAGCAAGTACCATCATGGACGGCCTTGAGAATTGCTCTAGGATTTGGGACCAAACCCGAAATGTCGGAGGCGGTAGTGACCATGAATATCATGCTCCCCGCCGCGCATCTAGCGCGAGCGTATACAGTGGCATGCAGGATATGGACATCCCGATCCGTGCCATAGAAGCCGTTCCTTTCGAAGAGGGCTCCGAATGTTCCTACTCCTACCCACGTAAACAACCAAGCACCTTCGTCAGCAGCTTCAAAGAGCGGCCCTACCACTACGACGACAACGCCAGCGCCTACAGCTCTTCGACTCTAAAAGCCCCCTCAAAAACCCATTCTCACTGCAACCACTCAACACACTCTCGCCCTTCCTCGCACCACTCGCACTCTTCCCGCTCCACACGTTCCATCATTACCATCAAGGATATCCACTCCAGCTCCAAATCCTCCACCCCAACCGCCTCCATCTACTCCACCACCCACTCCGCTCGCAACATCCCCCTTCCCTCCGGTTCCATAACCACTATCTCCACGTCCTCCAGCCGCCGCCACAGCAGGGATCACCACAGCACCCACGGCGGCAGCTCGCCCACCAAGCATCACCGCCACCAGTCCTCTTCGGCCTCCTCCTCCCCCACCCGCAGCCACCACTCAAGCAGCAAGCATTCCCACGCCCATTCCCACGCTAGCTATGCAAACTCTCCCCGCCACATGCCACTACCAGACTCCGTCGCGGGCGCAAGCACGATATTCCTGGAAGGTGTAGATGTCGATTCGCACGTGACTCCTATGGCAGCTAGTCGCGCGTCGACGTCGCGCCGATCCACTCGCTCAAGCAAATTTGACGAGCCCGTGCGGCCAAGTGATAGCGTTAGCCAGGTGTCGACAAACGTGTCGAAGAAGAGTAGCCGGAGTAGTCGGAGGTGAATTTTTTCGAGTGGTACGGATTCGCTTGTTGTTCTGGCAGAGTGTGAAAGAGTGTTGGAGTTTTTGAATTTAGGACCTTCTTTCGCTATGTAGGAGCTAGCTGGCACTAGGAGTTGGGAGTTGGGCGTTAGGAGTCGGGAGTTTCGAGTTGGAGGTTTGCAGCGTTGAATAGAATAATAGAGGGATCATTTCTGTTTGTTGGAGCATCTGGTTCTGGTCTTGAACTTTTTTTTTTCTTAGAAATTTTTGGGAAATTCTGACAAGCGGTTGGTAGGCTGGAGTTCTTCGTGCGACTTATTTACTTTCTTGCCTTGCTTATTGGTTTCATATCTTTCAGCTGGAGAGAACCGGCGCTTGCTTGGAAGGATGTGTCTTTTCCTTTCATCATTGGGGTTTGCTTTGCCGCCTCGCATTGCTTTACTTAGATTTGCTTTTCATTCTCATGTGTATATGCTGTCATGCCCCCTATGCTGATGTTTTTCCTGGATGACTTTATTTTATGAGAAGGACTTATTCCTGCATCTAATCTTCCTTTTCTTCCTTCTTCTTCTTCTTCTCTTTAACTCTGTTAGCCCTGCACTCGTTTCATTGCATTTTTCCTTGCATTCTTTCGCCAAAGCGCATGCTCTCTCCACATTTATGTCCCATCCCACTTGCGTTCCGCGTTGCATTTGAATACTTAATCATGCATATACATTGTTCCCTTCAGTAGCTACATCATCTACATTCTGCATCTCTTCTTATGTCTTTTAATCTTTTTTTTAAACAACTCTATGACCCCTCACTGTTTTCCATCTCTTCTTCCCCCACCATTCCCGGCATTGCTATTTCTGTACCTACATCGTTATATCTTTTCGCCCCCCTCCTTCCCACCAATTAACTCGTTCATCCTAGCTATACATCTAGGTCTACAAATGTTACATGTTCGGTTTTCTTGGTGGGTAAAATTATCTTTAATAAATATCCTCTTTCCTCCCAACGGGTAAGCATATGGAACTCCCGGCGTAACGCTGAGACGAATTTATTTGATGGCACAATTTCTTCGTTATCTCTGCATTCTGTACACCTGCGTTCTTGGTATGTCTGTACAGCACATGTATCTATCTGCACTTTGTTAACCTCAAAGTGAAAGGCAAAATTGCTCGGGTCCGTAGTTAGATGTGAAATGGATGTCTATATTTGGGCCTGGAGAAGATGTGCATGAACACTCTCCCCAGACCAAATGGATTATGTATCTATAAGAATTACCACCATGATAAAATTGAATTAAAGAGGTTTTTCTTTTATGTTTTATTTTATTTTATTTTATTTTAATTTTTTTTCCAACTTGAAAATGATCTATGAAATGGCGTTTGAATAATGCAAGAAGGAAGGGGGGAAATGTAAAACATATGATTTCATTCCGTCCCACTTGTATCTCTCCACCAAGGCGTCTCTTGTTTTTTCTTTTTTCTTTTTACTTTTTCTTTTTCTTTTCTTTTTTTTGGAGTTGGATGTTGGATATCAGATTTAATTTTAAATTTCTGTGTATTTTGTCAGTACATACATAAATAAACATGTTAGGAATTCGAAAAAGATGGCTGAAAAAAACAGGAAATGGGTGCAATTTCAGGCAACAAAAGAAAAATTAGAAGGTTATGAATTGAATTCATTTCGTTGACTGATTTGTTCACATCACAATCACCATCACCATCATCATCATCATCACAATATTTTTCAATGGAGAGGACAAAGCTCTGGCAGGAGCATCCAAACTCTTCATGCTTCATGTTTTCTGAACCCGCCTTGGAAATGTCCCATTGGCTGGCTGGGAGCGGTGAAGGATAGACACATCATCATATATCCCCAGGACAACTGGTTATTCCATACTCCATACCCTATTCACATGGACATGTATGTCTAGTACATGCGCACTACTGTAATGCTCTATGTACGCCACACACCCCCACCCTGAATTTAGCTTTTCCCTGAAGCTTTCTCCTTCCCGTCCCGCCTTGATGATGTTTGCGGCTTGAGAGGGATTACTTAGTGAAGGAAAATGGCAAAGGAAGAAGTACCTATGGATTAAAAAAAAGATAAAAGCGGGTGGGCAAAGCAATATCTCCTCCATGGCAAAGTAATCCATGGACGACGGTGAAAAGACACGGCGGTAGGTGTCTGTTTCAGGCTAGATATTTGATCCCTTTATTGAAGCCTGTTATCTTTTTTCAGGGCTTTCTCTAGAGGAGGGCCTAGAAGCGCACGTCCCTTCATATACCATCATCTGTGGTGTCGCCAGGCGCTCAGTTTGCAAAAATGTTCGAATGGAAATGATAGGTAACTCTGCAACTTAGGTGAACGGAAGAAAACCACTGCCCCTACCGCCTTGTAAAGAGGGCGGGATTCTTTTTTTCTTTAGGCCTGCTCTGAGCGATTTTCGTGCTATATTTGTTTTCCTCGGATTTCGGTTTCATGTTCACATGCTCAGCGACAGTTAGGTAGGGCTGAAAGCTTCACTTAGACTGCTCGGGGAAGTGCGTTGAGAGTCCTGTACGGGTCTGGTTTATTTCTTCAGGCAGTGCCAGCAGGGTGCTGTTTTACCAAGCGCTCATCGCTATTTTTAGTCCAAATCAGTAAAGAAGTCTCTTCTGCAGAGAACGGATGTTCTCGAAAAACAATAATAGTATAATAATAATAATAATGGTGTGAATGGAACAGAATCATGCCGTATTTATTTTCTCTTCTTTAGTTTACTGCTTATAGATCTGAAGCACGAGGTCTGATATGCAACGGCCATCAGCAGGCCTATTGACCACTCTCTCAGATACGCAGATACGAGCGGCAGCTTTCCTTTATGGGACCTGAGCCCCTTGGGTTGCTGTCAAATGTTTGGCTTTTTTTCTTTTTTGGTTTTGGGAGGGCAAATGCGGGTGTTTCAATGTTGAGGGAACACAGTTTTCTGCATCTACCCAAAAGGATGTCCAAATTCCGGGTTTTATTTTCCTATATCTTAACTCGGAATCAAAAAGTAAGAATTGGATTCAAAGTAGAGAGGTCTCGCGACCAGTAGCCTTGCGTGTAGATAACCAAACTGAGCAGCGACAATAATAGGTCGCATCGAGCCCGGGTTTCCATGGTTTTGTCACCAAAGGGGCTGTTCATGCCATCGGCCAACACCTTGTGTGACTTATGAAAACCAATGAAAGTTAAGCTGGAGAGGTGGAGGATCCCCCAAACATGCTGCGTGCCAGCCCAACGTACGCATATTTCTAGCCATCGCATGGCATTTTTTTGTTTTTTTTTTTGTTTTTTTTTTCTTTGAAGAAAAAGCAATCAGCGCTAAGAAAAGCTTCGAGGCAGAAAGCAATTTGAGATGATTTCGTCTCTCTTCACTCAAGTTAGATGGGTGTCTTTTAGCACGGACAAAAGGATGAAACCAGAACAAAATTCTTGGAGGCGATCAAACCAACTTTTCATGACCCAGGGAACATGGTAAACAACAATTGAAAATTAGTAGTCCTCTGAAATGAGGAGATTGTTTCTTCCAGATGGCGAACCTCCAGAAATGATCATGTAGGGTTGCAGAATCCTTAGCAGGGTTGAACTGTGAGACAATGGCGACGAAGATTCGTGGGAGCTGGAGGCGAAATCCAAATCCAAATTCACCGGTAAGAACCGGAGGCCAAACCCTTCAAGAATCCCCCAGATTTGACCCTTGGCAATCATGCATCTACAGGTAATGCATGGATGGCTGGACGAAATCTGGGTGGCTGGGAGGCCAGTGGAAGGTTGTAGCGGGAAGCTCAAGAATCTCAACCACGGGCAGGAGGCAGCCTTTAAGGTTCCCAGCGCCAAACTGGCCAACGCGACCCTGCAGGGAACATCGGTATACTTCAAGGGGAGTTGTAACTAGCGAGGCACCCAATGTCCGGGATCAAACGGTCCACGGAGAGTTTTCCGGGCAAGCAACATGTCCACTCCGAAGGAGGGATTCGAGGGGAAGATGTGCCCAGTAAGAGTAATTGTAAATAAATAAATCATAAGGGGCCAGCTGGTCGCCATCCACCGAGCTGCAGCATCGCACCAAGCAACACGGAAATGCACAAGGTTTAAACATTCGAGAGGACAGATTGACTTCGAACCCTCTTGAGGAGGCGATAAAATGGCAACGAGTCGATAACAGTATCTAGTAATTAATCACAATAAATACCAAATCACTTCTTCGTTCTTCAACTTGTTCTACCTTTCTCATTTTATTTCTTGCCTGGTGCTTATGGAAGACACAACAACCCTGGTGGCAGTTTCGGCGACAATTTTCTCCTCGATATTCATGCTACAAGGGAGAAGCAAACAGAGTCAGTAATCACAGACAGACAGCCAAGGATACGGCCAGTCAGTCAGCATTGGGGGAGGAACAGCGGACAGACGAGGAAGAGAAGCCTGAGGATCGCCTTCGACGACGAGGAGGTTGATGGCTCGCCCCAAAACGGGTTAGCGGAGTCGCGTTGATCAAACAGCAGATTTGCATTTAATTGTCGTTTTAGTCCCAAGGCGCCCAAGGACGATGGGGAACAACAACACCGCCAGCAGCAACATCAGCGCCGACGACAACGATAACGACAACACCTGTATTTCTCCCGGCTTCAGCAGCAACACTGGTACCGCCATTTGCCACAAGAACAATTATCACACCCATGGTCAGGCTGCCACTGCTGGTCTCTCCATGACTCCGCATTTCATGATCACTGTGCGGGACATGCCATATACTGTGACCAACTCGTTCAAGAGGTAAGCTAATTCTGTCCCCATCTTTAGCTTACCACTTTTTTTTTCCTCGACACGCGCCTGACTATGTATCTGCACAGAGGTCTAATGATGCACACCTACGGGCGCCCCATACGGCGCATATTTGATGAAGAATCACGTCCAGCAGCTAAAAAACGACGTGTTCAATCAGACTCCGCTCTAAAGGGTCCCACCGAAGACGAAAACAACCTCGAATGCGCCATACGCGAATCTTCTGCTGCCATCTTGTCCAGTCCGTCGCGTCGCAACTCAATTGCCGCCTTCTCTGAAGACCTGGACGATGATCTCTCAACACCCCCTTCTTCGCCTCCATTACAACTAACCCCGCCTCCAGTGAACACACGCAAACCCACTTTTGCATTCCTGAAGCGGAAACGCGCTGCCACAAACACTCCTACAAATGGGACCCCCTTGACAGAGGTAAACTTCAACAGTGTTCGGGCATCCCTGGATCCTCCAAAGATGAATGGAAAACATCAACAGGTCCAATCTCAACAACGCACACTGAAGCAGATGCAAATAGACCTGGGAGGGGAGATGCGCAAAACATGCTCCTCCTGTGGGATGGAATATGTCCCCTCAAACGCGGAGGATGTCGCGTTACACAAGAAATATCATGACCTGAACTCGAGCGGAGTTGACCTGGGCAAGGCATTTGTGCGGGCAAACGCGTGCCGCTGGGTGTACGAAGCCGCCAGGTTCGACGAGGGCTATGTCGTGATAATCGACAGGAAGAGTTCCCCTTCCAGCCGGAACCAGGCCATACGTGTCCTAGAGGTGGTGAACAAGGAGCTTTCTGCGCCGGACATTGAGGAGTCGGTGTTATGGAGCCAGATCCGGCCGCCTAAGCGGCTGAGGAAGAATGGAGCGAAGGAAGAAGTGGATCGGTTTAAGGTGTTCTTGCACATGAAGGATAGCAAGTGTGTAGGACTTTGCTTGACGGAGCGGATTTGGGAGTCGCATGTGGTGAAGCGGTCAGGCCGTGATGGTCGCGCGAGGGCGAGCGCGAATGGCGAGCGGTTTAATAGTTCATCCATCACGGCTAGCGAAGAGGTTCACCCAGCTGTCGTCGGGATCTCGCGTGTTTGGACATCTGCCTCTTCGCGGCGAAAGGGTATAGCGATGGACCTTCTCGATTGCGTGGTGAGCAATTATATCTACGGCATGGAGATTCCTAAATCGCAGATTGCGTTTAGCCAGCCGACCGAGAGTGGGTATCGGTTACTCGAGGCCTTTTTTGGACCGGACGAGCAGTGGCATGTCTATAAGGAGATCTAAGAGTCTGGGGAAGCCATAGGTTCAACAAGAGGCAACCCCAGTAGATGAGGTTTTGTACTTTTACACATATTCGAAATGGGTTTGTTTATTGCGCTGTGTATCTTCTCACAGGACTGAGGGGTACGAGTCGAATTCTGTTTTCGAAATCTGAACTTGTTTTCTGGGCAACAAAGAAGGGCATTGGGATCACGGATGGAACGGATGGCACGGATTTTTGAGAATTGTTCATTTCATTTCATTTATGTTTATCCCTGGGGGTTTCAAAGGTGGATTTGCTTTCAGAGCGGGGATATATTGTCGTTTCTTCAGGCGAAAACTGCGGCTGGTTAGCAACCGCGGATTCTGTTTTATTTAATTGTGTCGTTTCTCTGCCTTCGAAACCCAGAATCGTCGATAAAGAGTGCCTACCTATAAATAAGATAGCTAAATAAATACGTTAACGTTGGGGTTCCGTCACCATTAGTCGCCCGCAAACACTGTCCAGGCTATTCCTGTTCCTCTTGTTCCTCTTGCTTCCTCACCAACTAAACAAACCACCGTGCCTTCTCGGCTCTTTGTCCACAACATCAGGACCCGATTGCTGTGTTCTCTCCATATCACTGGACAACCCCTCTGCTCTCATGCTTAGATTGAGCCGATCCTCCTACGATGTCTGGATCAAATCCTTTCCGCCATAAGAAGAAGCCTAACGACCAGACTGCCCCGCAACTCCACGAGCCGCACCAGCCATCCCTATCGTCAGCTCACAACACTCACTCTGACCATCGCGCAACAACTTATCCCGCATCAGGGACACATGGCGAAGGTGCGCAGCTCGATGCTCCCTTCGTAAAATACAGCACGAAAATTTCCCATATTTTCTAAGTAAAATTACACTCTCAGGAAGCTAACTCGAACTATGTATCCCACTCCTCTAGGTCCTTCGCGACCATCCCAGCGCCAGAAAACCGTCCGTATCGCCTCTCCACCCGTCCCAACACAGCCGCCATTACATCCCAGTGCTGGCGATCATTCATCGCCAGCCAGTTATAGATCCCCGTTTCCCCACCGCGGTACACACCTTGGGTCGCCACCCCCTCCTTCTAGAGGAGAGAGCTCCGAGTCAGACGAGGAATCTGAAGGAGATCCTTTCAATCCGGATGCTTCCGGAAGTGATAATGGGGAGTATAAGGACAATGGAGATGGACGACGTGTTACAGAAGGGAAGCCTGGGGTAATAGGGCTTGGGTTTGAATGTGCCCAGCGTGGGTCGAAAGAGTCATATCGCGCAGAGCCGCCTGCGCAACCCGATGGACATGATCCAGGCACATCGCTGGGAATTGAAGATTCGATGACGCCATCACATTTGGCTACTAAGGGGAAGAGGGCGACAATGGATGTTGATACGTTTACGAGAATGCTTCTGACTGGGGAAACAGGCGAGGTGGGAAAAGAGTCAGGTCCCGCAGCGCAGAAACTTTTACAGCCCAACCAGGGACCGCCCATCAGCGACAGCAGCAGCAATACAGACACCGGATCTACATCAAAGCAGCCTATTTTCGAGACGCGGCATCTCCCGCGGATAGATACTCCCCGGACATCACATGAATTATCGACTTCGGAGGCAGATGATGAGCGGCTGAAACTGTCGAATTTGCCCAGCCCAGCGGAAAGGCAAAAGCCTCTGCCTCCGAAAACAAGGCGTGGGAAGTTGATCAATCCCAACACTGGACAGACATCCCCTTTAGCTGGATTAACCTCTATTACTTCCCCAAACCATCGCTCCGCCTCTCCTGCTTCTTTATCATCTCGATCATTCACCGAACAGGAAAGCGGTGATCTCAATAAGCCTCTCCCCAAGCCACCAATTGATAATTCATCGCTTCCAGTAAGCCCGAAACAGACTCATGAAGATTCAGAGAATCGACCTCCTCTACCGCAACAGAGACGTCCACCTACACCCCCCCTGACCAGACGACACAGTCAGCTGAATCCCAGCAAATCCATATTATCAAGAAGTAAATCCGCTAGACATTCCATGCCGCCTACCCACACTACCAACAACTCTTCGTCATCCACACATATCTCATCACCATTAAAAGCACCACCCACTCCTCCATCCCGACGAAAAGATCGGGATTCGTCAACTTTCTCCTCTTCAGAAACACTTCCATTATTCCCCCAAGAACGACGACCGACATCATCACACCAACGAAGCGATTCCAGGGGAGATTCAGACAAACGGAGTCCCCACATCGCGGAGACAATATCAACAACATCTAACAATCGTGACTCGCAAGGCCCACCACGCCCGCCTCCACCCAGACGAGGAGGAGGGAGTAGAGCAAGTCTCGATGAGACAAGGACACCTGTTTTGCTGGGAACCGCAGATTCACCAACGACGAGAATGGAAAAAGGCACACAAGATTCGAAACTAGAGTCTCCGGGTACGCCATTGCAGTCACATGCCGTTGATATTCTCGCGGACTTGTCACGGCTGCAGAAGGAAGTGGATGATTTACGAGGTCGATATGAGGGGCGGAAGCCTAGTGCGTGACCGCCGTTTTGGGACAGATGGAAGAAAAGGGAGAAAAAATAGAAGAAAGCCTGGTGTCTGCAGGGCTGCCACTGGCTCTCTCTCTATATTGTTCTTAGTTGTTGAGTACTCGATTTAATCCGCATTTTTATTATGTTTTATGATTGGAAAAACTTAATTGAATGATCGAAACGTATAGCTTCCTGTCGAATGCATCTATTATTTCATTTTCAGCCACAGCGTTTGTTTCGTATTTTTGTATTTTCCCCCCCAAGGCTTGCCTGCTGATATTTTTACTTTCTTCCAGACAAGTCATTCCCCATGTCTTTCCTAGTTTTATTTGTCTCCTCGTGTGATTTTATAGCGTACCTTACCCAGCTCGTCAGCGTACGAGCCGTGGTATATATACTTATATTTGTTACATATCATGCCCAACTCTCACATCCATATCTGGTTCCTTTTGCTGTCACTCTACTGTTAACGCTTGCTTAGAGTCGAGTGATGCTAATTTGGATATAAGAAAAGGAAATGCACTAGAGCAATTGAACAGCTTTTTATCCATTTGGGAAGCATTTTTGTCTCTGCATTTCCTCTCTCGCCAGACCAAGATAAACACGCACTGTCTCAGAATTCAATTTAATTTAGAGTATAAACTGTTACGACTCAGGTTGCAGGAGCAAAACGAGGAATTGAACGAAGCAAGACGGCAGCAGCACTGGAAAATGAGAAACGTGGCCAAAGTTATCTTATGTAGCATGTACAGGCAATCCAGCGGAGCCGTGTGTTGCTCTGTGTAGATGATTGACTTTCGAGAACAAACGTTCAATTTGGGGAGCTTTCCCGAGTTAATTTATGCTTCTTTCTGCATAACATGTAATTAAAAGCCGAGAGAAGAAAGAGAAAAAAAAAAAACCCCGACAAGATATCACAATTATTGGAGGGAAGTGGAATAGAGCAAAGAAAGAAAGGAAACCAAAAACGTACCCATGAGTTGTCTGCCACAACTGATGGTTTTCGATCCAAGGGGGTGCACTTACAGTACGGAGTATATTTAGGATCACTGTTTACAAAGATTACACCGAAAATAGAGGAGAAATTACATCGAGGAGAAACCAAAAAAGAAATGGGAAAAAGAAGAAAATCGGTATCGTAACAGGAAAAGGAAAGAAGAGAAAAAGAATCACCGGAATAGTCATCAAACATAAACACCGTCCTTTCCCCCCCAAATATCCGAGTTATCTCCGTAGCCTTCAAAATAGCAAATGCCCTTGGGAACACAAAAAAACTAAAACAATAATCTTCGCCATTCATACATAATTCTTCATTTCCATCATGCTCGTAGGTCTGTTTGATTTCCATCTTCCTTTCCTCGTCCCGAATTTTGCTTTCTAGATGGAGTCCTTGGCTGAATGAACGTCGCCATCGAGATCAACATGACCCGGTGGTCGAGCTGCCGTGTCCACAATTCCTTCATCGTACGTCATGCCATCAACCATTCGGGCGTCAAAAGTAGTATCCGCGTTGCTGCCTACCAAGGGTGGCTCTGGTGTATTGGACCCCAATGGAGACATTGTTGAACTGAAGGGCCCATTCTCCGTTCTCGGAGTTGGTTGTGGATACGACGATGACGTATGGCCGCTGCCTGTCGGCGGCCTATTGTTTGGCGCAGGACTATTCCTCCCACCAACGCCGCGGTTGTTGGAAGCGAAGGCCATTCTAGCTGCGGCGGTTGAAACTGGTCCGCTGACGGTGCTGCTTGCGCCCTCGCCGAATCCAACAAGGCTGGAATTTCCCTCGTCGCTTAACCCGCCTACGCTGGAGACGCCGTCGTCGTCGCCAAGTCTGTCTTGGTCCAGGCTATCGCTGCCACTGGCCCAAGTTGTGCGGCCGCCAATGGAGCCGGTGGCACTGGCACTGCCCACTGTACTTCTCTCTTTGAAGTGAGACTGTTGTAGATGGTCGAAGTAGCCTGGATGCTGTTGAGTGGTAAATCCACCTGGTAACCCATGGGGGTTGGCCGAAGGGGTCGTCCCGCCTCCGGCAGGCCTCGTGGCGACGCGCTCCAGACCTGCTAAGCGCGAGATACGATCTGCGCGTTCCGCATCCAATGTTGTTGTGGACGTTTCGGAAGCGTTTGATGATCGGTGGCCATGGCGGGTGTGATGACGAGCGCCCTGGTGGCCGTCCTTGATGGCTATGGTCGAAAGCGCGGAGAGTGATGTGGTCCCAGAATTGGGTGTTCCACTGGATTGAAAGAAGCAGTTGTTAGTAAAAGGTGAATTTTAGATTCACGGTCTTAAGAAACAGCTCGCGAAGGCGAAATTTCATGCTTGGGGAGGTATAGTTCTTACGGGCCCATATCTGATGGAGTGACCGGATCCGAAGGGGGCGGGGGAAAATCAATCAACGTAGGAGTCGTCATTTTTGATGCACAAAAGCGTTCTTGATTTCTGATAGGAAAAATGGTGTCGCAAGAACGAAAGCACGATTAAGGGATAATAAAATGATAAAAAGAACAAGAGTTGGTAGATACAGAGCTTAATTTTTGCGCGGTCACAGGTTGGCGACGTATGCGCCGTTCGTTTGATCTGCAAATCCAATAAATTTTCCTCCCTACTTTCCTCTACCCTGGTTGCTCAAGCTCCTTTGGAACAGCTGGCAAGTTAAGGCTTAGGACGAAGCGGAAATGCTGGATATGGTGTATTTTGCAGGCTAAATCCCATGCGATTCGGGCTCACAGCTCGAACGTCGCGCTCCGAATGGCTTGGTTCGTCCCAGGATACTCCTGGGTAGAAAGATGGTCTGGCAGCCTCTAGCACTCCGGAGAGGTATGGAACAGTCGAAAATGCTTGTGATCTGGCCTGGAGAGACGAGACTTAAGCAGCGTCGTTCTGAAAACGTCAATATCATCCAGGAGCAATTGCGCCAAACGCGATCTAAGGGGACAACGAATGCCTACAGACTCTCCACCACTTCAAGAAGAAGGCTCGAGCCAAAGAATTCGCAAAGTCAACCGTGAGTTGGGTTTACGACTCAAAGGAGCGTCGTGGGGGCGGTGGAAGACAGACGAAGTGCGTAGTGGGTTAACTTTGAGGTCCAAGTTGGAGGACGAAACAACGTCATAGCAACCAGGAAACATCCCACTTCTCAAAAGGGAAACACAACTCAGATCACACACTCTGGAACAAAATACAATGTCCACTACTTCGAAACAATGAGTTCTGATTTCTCTAATCATCCCTCACGCGCGATGGAAACGGCTATGCCCATTATTTATTCTGTATCTACCAGGATGCGGGATATTTCAACTTTGTGACTGTAGCACGTTGTGTTGATGCAAGATACCCCCGGCTACGCAAAGCGCAAGCTCCATTGAACTTCCTATGGAATAAGTCCCCTCATAGCGAAACGATTCGAACCCACATTACAAAATCGCCAAGAATCGCAAAAGTAACTCTAATCCCTAGAAACTTTTCCGGGCTTAGATCGCAGGAGGTGGCAAGATCCATCCTGAATGGATCAAGAATGACAAAAAATAAGGAAAGAAATTGGCTTTCCAAGCAAACAAAGAAATATCAGAGTGTTTTCCCATAGCAGCTACGTTTCGGGTTCACCTAAAGTCCCCCGCGCCTTCGCCCTTTCAGCTTAGGTGCTGCAGCGGGCGCGGCGGGCGCGGCTATGAGTGTCTTGCACCGTTTCAACACCCGCACCCCAAATTGCTTGACCTCAAAACAAAGCTCTAAAAACTCGGAGTCCTCCAGGAGAGAATCCAGGTTCGGTCCACACGACATAACCAAACAGCAGAGCCGAAGCAGGTTATCCTCTTCATCGCCATCTTGCGTATTTCTGTATACATAGCGAATGTCGCTTACGGTGAGCAAGGGGCACGGGACACTGTTTACCGCATCGATGAGTTGGTTATGGATATGGTTTTTGAACCAGGGGGCTTGGATTTTGTCTGCAAAGATATAGGATGAGAAGAGCAGGCGAGCGCTGCTGGATGGTCCCTTCTTCGTGGTTTGGAGAAGCTGTGCTTCGTGGCTTTTGAGCTGATCGGCGCGCAAGTCCGTCACTGGCAAGCGAGAGGTTATTTATCACCATCCTCTGTTAACGAATCCAAACGCTCCACCAAATACACAACCACGACCCGAAAGCCTTTTTCGACTACTTACAGGTGAATTCCACTTCTGGCTGCGAAACATCAAGGTTGCTAGCAGAGATTTCTCCATCGTGAGATTTCCCAGTGTAAAGCCACTGAAGAAACACAGCGAAGGTCTTGACATCGTCTTCTGGAAGTCTGACCAAACGAGCATTTGTTTCGGCAAAGTTGTTGCGCAACATGCCGCGGAAGAAGAGCGACTGAGATTTGAGTAATCCCTCGTGGACATTGAATACACGCTGCACGCTGCCCTCCGACCCAACGTGGATTCGGATAAGACTGCTTGAGATGAACCTGAATTTGCAAGTTTTGTTAACAAAGATAAGAAGCGCGAAGCATCTTTGGGGACTTGGAGAAATCCCCTCGGGGATTTCCCCCTCGGGTGGGAAAACATACTTCCACAAGTGAGGAGTATAATCGATGGACGGCTCAGCCCGGGGAAGCACGAGGACATCGGCATCTTGCTTTGAAGGAGAAGTGGTTTCTGCCATTACTATATGGGAGGAGGAGTCGACTATTTAGCACTTGTGATGTGTTTGGCAGATGCTATGGTATATTTGGCGGCAGTCAAGGCAAAGATGATGTATGTGATGAGAGGTAGGTAAGAAGAGAAGGGAGATACGCTGAAGGCTGGAGCAGTCCTGTCAAATATAGTTGACAGTTCGCTAGCTGCAGTGAAATGATTGGTGAAGCATCATGTGTTAATTGTGACCAAGATCAGCCCAGGGTTCCCATCTCTTTATCCTAGTGCTGTTGAGGATGGAGGTTCTCACTTCGCTGGCAAGTAACACTGAAGCGAAGGTGCCCATGGATATGTGATGTAGCCCGACAATTCGGAGATGAGAATTCTTTCAATCCAACGGTTTCTGAAGCCGCGCACGCAGGCCATACTGTTTACTTAGGGAATGTTGGGCTGGGATTGTTAATCGGATGGCATGGAATCGACATCCTTTCCCATGGATGGAAGCTTAAAGCATTCCACCAAGTCGACGCGCAAATCAGCAGCAACTGGAAGAGAAGAATAAACTCCACACACTGAAAAGTATGTAACTGCCACCTAAAAATCCTGGGCCAAAGGTGATCCTGTATACTGGTTCATCCCATCCCCATTGACATTCCCCGGGCTGCCAGAACAGGATGGAGCGCATGATGGATAAGAGAGGTGCGAACTGCCACGGGAAATCCTCTACGATATAGATATTCATTCTCATTCTGGCATCTGCAATCAGTGGACATTGGGATTGATGGATTTTGATAACTCCTAGTACTCCTACTACTAGTACCTTCATGCAGTGAAATACATCTTGACATCATCTTGTTGCAGACCCTGACTCAGCCACACGCCCTACAAGACGCACCGCCACAGCTACCTTCTAAATACGGATTAGCGGGCTTGGCAGTATGCTTACCTACTCCTCTTCAGCCCACATTGTCAAAAAGTCGAGAAAAAGCGTGAGGTGTCGACTCTGCTTTTTTTCTTCCTCCTCCACCTCACCCGCTCCTCTCCACTCCTCCTCACCTTCACCCTCTCCCGTTCGTCTCCGGCGGTCTTTGGGATTGCTCTTCTCCATATCTCGACAGATGCTCAACCGCTCTGCCCCGCTCTGCAGACGATAGCTTAGCTTATTACTGCTCGCGTTCGCACAACACCAATTTGTTTCAAGCGCTGGCATTTACTTGTCAAGCTCGGGAGAAGCAAATAAAGGAAGACAAAACGCAAGCAAGTGAGAAACGAGATACGGATTTCTATTCTTCTACTTTGCTGGCTTGAGGATATTGGCCGTGTTTCAGCCACTGCGCTGCGAACCTCATACAAAGATAAACACGATAAAGAAGATAGTAACCCACCAAGTTTCGAATCGGAAGAAGCAGCAGAATCCGCTCTCCTCGCCGCACGAACAATCATTTAAATCATTGCGTACTCCGCAGCGGTTTAGAGACTCGGAATCTTGGCCTTTGAGATTACCGTTTGTCTCTTGGTTAAGTCGTCCCTGAGGTAGCTTGGTCTTAAACTTTCTTTTGAACTGTGGCTTTGAGTAGCCATGGCAGCTCCGAATCAGTATGCATGTGGGTATTTGTCCATGATCTTTACCAAATCCTTATATCCTTGACTTGTGCGGCTTCAATTTGTACAATTCACGTTGTAAAAATCATACTGATGCGCATGCAGATCGAACGCAGAAGGGAATTTCAATCGTGGATGCGGCTCCAGTCTATGAGTCCTTACCCGGGTTTACGAGGTAAGGACTGGCGAGACTCTAAGCAGTGTGAAAATTAAGCGGGTGCTAATTTTATATAATCTTGAAGGCCGGATGGTAACTTGCGCTGCTGCACATACTCCCCGTGTGGCCGATATTTTGCCTGGGCGGCTCCAGAACGGTACGTGATGGGCACAACTCCCCCCAGTGTGATTCTTCTAAAGTAAATATTTAAAACAGCGTCGTAATCGTCGACCCTTCTGTTGGCCATGTTATTACCACACTCCCCTCCGACAATGTTTACGAATTGGGCTTTTCGCCCCTTGGAACATATATTATTACATGGCAACGACCTTCCAAGGACGAGAACGGCGATGCCGTCAAAAATTTGAAGGTTTGGAGGGTTATTGAAAGCTACCACGGTGATGAGGGGAACGAGCAAGAACACTCTTTCGTCGGAAGCTACGTGCAGAAATCCCAGACTGGTTGGAATCTTCAATATACGGCTGATGAGAAGTATTGCGCCCGAGTCGTCACCAACGAGGTTCAATTCTATGAAAGCGGAAACTTAGGGAAGGTGTGGAACAAGCTGCGGGTGGAAGGAGTGGCGGATTTTGCTCTTTCTCCAGGAGACAGCAACTCAATTGCGGTTTTCATTCCGGAGCGAAAGGTTAGTCAGCGCTGATATACATTCTATTTCTGTCGTTACTTTTGCTTAACGCCATGGTCATTGATCTAGGGGCTACCAGCATCCGTGAGGATCTTTAACGTACCACAATTCAATACACCTGTCTCACAGAAGAACTTTTTCAAAGGTGATAAGGTTCAATTGAAGTGGAACAATACTGGAACGACTCTTATTGTTCTTGCGCAAACGGATGTCGACAAAACTGGTAAAAGCTACTACGGGGAAACTACTCTTTATCTCTTGAGTGCTAACGGCGGATTCGATTCAAGAATCGATCTTGGTGAGATGCACTAAGCTCTTTATATAAACGGACATATTTCGTGAGCTAACTTCAAGTCTATAGATAAGGAAGGACCCATTCATGATGTGACCTGGTCCCCGAACTCGAAAGAATTCGGTGTTGTTTATGGATACATGCCTGCAAAAACGACCATTTTCAACAATCGTGCCGTCGCAACACACTCATTTGCCCTCGCGCCTCGCAACACCATTATCTTCTCGCCCAATGGACGATTCGTAATTGTGGCGGGCTTCGGTAATCTTGCTGGGCAATTGGACATTTATGATCTGGACAGGGATTATACGAAGGTAGCTACGATCGAGGCATCCAATGCCAGCGTGTGCGAGTGGAGTCCCGATGGCAAATTCATTTTGACTGCCACCACGAGTCCCAGACTCCGGGTTGATAATGGAGTACGCATTTGGCATGTCGGAGGCGGGCTCATGTACAACGAGGATTTGACCGAGCTGTACCAAGTCTGCTGGAGACCACAATCTACGACTGTTCACCCTCCAGAAAATCCATTCCATCCAATGCCCAGCCCTCACCCTTCTGCGCTAGAATACCTAGCTACGAAGAAAGCGCCTTCGAAGCCAGCAGGGGCTTATCGACCTCCCGGTGCACGCGGTCAAACCACACCACTAGCGTTTAGACGAGAAGATGAAGGAGGGGAGAAATTCATCAGGGATGAATCGTCATCTTCCATTCACGGTACCAGCTTAAATGGATTTGGTAAAAACAGGCGACGCGTCGTCCCAGGCGCAGAGCCAGTTACGGAATATCTTCCGCCCGGCGCTGCTCCAGGAGGCGGGGTAACACTCCCTCCTGGAGCAGAAGGGGATGAAAAACTCTCAAGATCCGCGGCGAAAAACAAGAAGAAGCGTGAAGCAAAGAAAGCGAAAGAAATGGCAGAAAAGGCTGGTAATCTCGCGACCGATGCTGGCATTGACTCCACTATTCCAACGGGTCCTAGCGCTGACCGCCGGGAACGAAGAGCTCACTCGCGCAGCCGATCTCGGGGCAATAACGTTAACTCTCCAGCTCTTGATCCCAACAGCTTCGGTCGTCCGAACCGCGACCGCAGCCGCAGCACCCACCACAGACATCGCAGCGATCATCAAAACCGCACCAACGGTGGGCCTCCCACAGGCCAGAATCGCCCCAGTGTTAACACCCGTACCTCGCAACCCAACGGTACGGCAGCCGCAGCAGCTGTACCAAGCCCACCAGACGTGAGGGTCACATCTCCAACTACTCCTAGTGGTGGTGCTATCCAAGATAAAAAGATCCGCGGCCTCCTGAAGAAGATCCGCGCGATTGAAGAGTTGAAGTTGCGCGTGGCGGGCGGGGAGAAGCTAGAGGACACCCAGATGAAGAAAATCCAGACTGAGGACGGAGTGCGGAAAGAGCTGGAAGCTCTGGGATGGTCTGGATAGAATGGTCCGTATCTCGTTCCAGTTTTTATTTTTTTGGGGCAAAACGGGTGGACAGCTCTAGAAAACTGGCTAGGTAGTAGGAGTTAATGGAAGGACATTTTTGGTATAATTGGCCTGTGGAGCAACCGGGAACCTATTTTCCTGAACCCCTATCGTTGCCGGTCCACTGGCCAGTACGACTCGGTAGGTCTGGAGTGTGTAGCTTTGGATTAGATACAAGGCCGAATAAACCAATATATATTATCTACATTATTACGCACTAGCGGGTGTGCATCTTATAGCATCCAATTTTTGTAATTTGGTTCCTTGTTCCTCCCTAATCCTGCCCACGCTTGGGCTCACACAACCCTCATATTTATCTTGGACTCTCCAATGCTTCTAAGACTTGTATAGAGGCTGTTACAACTCGAAGCACGCGAATCAAAAAACTGGGCCACAATCCCAAATGCCATTAATAATCCAAAGTTGCCCTCCTTTCCTGCCATCTGGCAATCACCAGCGGATCTATAGGACGATTTTCGTATATGTAAACCCGCCTCCAGGTGGTGTATCGATTTCGGTGAGGCACCACATCTACGCTAACCCCGAAACAGAAAAATGAATTAGGGCTGGCTGATGGACAACAGCCAACAAGCACCATCAACGCCAAAATCGTGAAGCAGACATGAAACAGATCATGCCACAGGATTGCATGATTGGGGCCGGACCCAATAAATACGGTGTCACTTCTTGACTTTTCTACCAGCAGCGGCTAGGGAGTGGCGTGTCTTTGCTCCGTTTTCCGGGAATGGAAATGGGATCGCCGAGTAAAATCTGATGGCGAATTTTGATTTCTTGCCTGGCTTATACTATTTTTGTTCGTAACTGAGATGGCTGGCTGGTGAGTTCGCTGGACTCTAGAGCAGGTTTGGTAACTATATGTTTATGCACGGAATCAATATGGTTGATGATATGGTCGAGGCGCTTAGAGGTGTGGTCGTTTTCAACGGAGCATCCAATTTGCTCTGAAATCTCTTGATGACTTGAATGGTATTGCTCAGCGATATGTCCGAAAAAGAGGGACCCGCCGCCTCCAATCGATATTTTTACTGCTGAGAGGCGTGGGCGAACAATAGGGCTACACCAAGATGCTCAGGCTAGCTAATCCCCGATCGATCGACAGCAGCCAGTAAGTTGTTGTCCACACGCCAAAACCCGCCAATTACTAGTTGAATCAGCGACGAGCTTCATCTGATACCTGCCCTGTTGCAGACTCTGCACAAGCATGTTTTGCGTCTGCAATTATTCCTGTGGCGGTGCCATCCGTCAGGACCTCGGGAAGCTCACAATACCTCCTCCCTTTCTCTCGCCCCCCTCCTAGCTACTCTAATTCTTCTCACTCCTCCATTTCGTGTTTTCCTAAGTTCTTGCTGTGCTCTAACGCCTCTGTGTTTTTGGCCAACGGTTCAAAAGACATCGGAGAGCTTTTTCTGTGAAGCAGTGCCATCACAAACACGGCGTGGGAAATTGAAACTGTTGTGAATCAAAAGCAGCGAGGATTATATATCCGTTAACGTTCATTCCTTTCTATCCATTTTAATAATTAGGGTTTCATCCCTTCGAGGGGTCGGTTTCCTCCATTTTACATTTTTCATCTTGCTGTTATATCTTTACTTCCTCCACCATCGAGAGTGCGCCCTCAAGCTGGATATTGAGAACATAAACTCGATTTAAACTTTTTAATCGACGACAACGACCCCTTTCATTTGCGCATTACGACAATATCTTCACGGGGCGTCATTTTTCCCAAGCATCTCGAACCTGAAGTTATCATTCATCCATTAGCCTCTCGTTTCTGGGTGTCTTTTGTCCCCGAGCCAGCTCACCGTTTCTCGAGTTTCCCATTGGAACCATTTCCTCATTGGTTATTGTGAATTCATCAATTGCTACTCAGCCATGAGCAGTGGAGGGAGCTCCTGGACCGGCCAAACAGAACGGGCACGATGGCCACCCTTGACAAGGATGTTGATGTCCGGCGAAATGAGTGGAGAGCCGCCACGAGATTTAACCATGAAAGAGAGATTTGATCGATGGTGTGTTTTCTCTTCCATTCCTAGACGAGCTGACTGCTGGTGGAATTGATTTTTAGTTCGGAATATTTGACTTGATTGCTGATCTTATGGATTCGGGAGACAGGATGGTCAACGAAGGGTGGAGAAGATTGTGAGTTATATCCATCCAGTTCCCACGCCGCCCTCCTTTTTTTATCTTCCGGATTGGTTTGTGGATGGAAATCATCGCAAATGATATCAAAGTTGCTGATTTTGATTCACTAGATTTGTTTTGATTTTTATCATTTCCCATTTTATGATATTCGTGTTTGCATTTCTAAACTACCAACTAAAGGTGTGTGAGATGCTTCACCGTTTCAGGTGAACAAAACCGAAGCTAAGAATTCATTATAGGACAACCTTATCGGGGCGAGAGGGATTTTTGGCCTTACATATGCTATTGCTCGATCAGCTGCTCTGGTTCTACATTTCGATGCGGCCCTAATTCTCTTCCGTATGTATCTAGTGTTCTCCCGCGCAGACACGGAGTCCGAACTGACTGGCAAAATATAGCTGTTTGTCGGACACTCATATCGCTGGCCAGGCAAACTCCGCTGAACGGTATTATTCAGTTTGGTTCGTAAATTAGTCGCATCTTTCCTGGCCTCTTGATATACCTGCTGACATTGGTATAGATAAAAATATTACATTTCACAAACGTTCGTCGATGATTTTTGTGAACTTCAAACTTTTCTCATATCAAATACTAACCCCATATTAGTTGTCGGATGGTCTATATTTTTCTTCTCATGGCTCCATACAATCGCTCACTGGAATAACCTCGCCCAGCTTGCCGCCAAACAAAACCTTGGCTTCAAGGGTTTCATACTTGCCAACTTGGCTAGTGGCCCTGGCTGGTCAGGGTATGTTATGTTAATTTCTCTGACAGCCATTGTCATAACTGCGATGGAGAAACCACGCCGGGCAAATTTCGAACGTTTCTGGTACACGCATCATCTATTTGTTATATTCTTCGTTTTCTGGGCGGTTCATGGTGCATTTTGCATGATCAAGCCCGATTTCCCCCCATTTTGCAACGGTATAGGCGTATTCTGGCTCTTTTGGATGTATGGAGGAGCCGTCTATCTCCTCGAGCGTATCATGCGAGAAATCCGTGGACGCCACAAGACGTATATTTCCAAGGTCGTCCAGCATCCAAATAATGTTTGCGAAATTCAAATCAAAAAGGAGAATACGAAAACTAGGGCTGGACAGGTAATGTTGAGATTTCCCCATATAATCATTCTGTATATTTCTAACCCATGCTACAAATATAGTACATCTTCTTATGTTGTCCGGAGATATCTGTCTGGCAATATCACCCATTCACTCTCACGAGCGCCCCCGAGGAGGACTTTATCTCAGTACACATCCGTTGTGTGGGCGATTTCACTAAAGCTCTCGCAAAATGTCTCGGCTGCGATTTTGAAAACAGCAGCGGAGAGAAACCCAAAGCGGGCATCTCGGCAGTCGTGGGCGTTGGCACAGATACCCCGGACGACGATGTGGACCCAAAAATACGTCGAATTTTACCTAGAGTGTATATAGACGGCCCATTCGGAAGCGCGTCTGAAGACGTATTTAAATACGAAATAGCAGTTCTTGTAGGCGCGGGCATTGGTGTCACGCCCTTCGCCTCGATCCTGAAGAGCATCTGGTACCGCATGAACTATCCCCAGAAAAAGACCAGACTAAGCAAGGTATATTTCTTCTGGGTGTGCAGAGATTTCGGCTCGTTCGAGTGGTTTCGATCTCTCCTGCTGGCCATCGAAGCACAGGACATGGCTAACCATATTGAAATTCATACTGTAAGTACATATATACGCATCACCTCTTCTCACCTTGCCATCGCCAACGGTCATCCCATTTCTAACTGCAATAAAATCGTGAAAGTACCTTACCGCCCGAATCAAGGTCGATGACGCCACCAATATTATGATAAACGATGCAAATGCAGAGCAAGACACCATCACCGGACTGCGGTCTCCAACAAACTTCGGCCGTCCAAACTGGGACATGGTCTTCCGCTCGATTCGCAAGATCCATGCCCCAGCTGAGGCGGGAGTTTTCTTCTGTGGGCCTAAACCACTCGGAAGCGCACTTCATGTGAAGTGCAATATGTATTCCGAGCCCGGATTCAATTTCGTGTGGGGCAAGGAGAATTTCTGAGTAGGGAAATTGGTCATTAAGGAAGGGGAGGGAAAAGGCCATAGGCTTTGTAGATCGGAGGTTGGGGGATAGATACATGATGAGCTTATTATGCATGTAAATGTACTTGTACAGTTTCCATTTCTGTTGTTGCCCCTTTCTCGTGTTATCTTCAGATATTTCATCCACCGCAGTCTCCAAGTGTGGTTAGACTTGGAGAAGGGCGAGTTGTCGGCGGGATGTTACTCCACTTTTAGTACCATCTAGTATACGCATACGATCTCGTTAAAGAACTATTAGAATCATATGTTTCACTCCTTTTAGTAAATTCCTTAGTCCAAGCTTTGAGCTCACGTCTTTAATAAGCTTCGATCAATGGTAAGGTGTTCTAAGTAAAAACAACAGCAATATTTATCCAGGTTACTTCGTTCCAGAAGAAACGAAAACTATCTAATCCAAATCAACCAAGATCTAGGTGTTAAATAGTACAGAATTAGGAAACACGTCACGAGGGGATATAAAGCGATAAAAAACATGAAAGGGCAACGAAAATGCATATCGGAAAGCACGCTTCGTACTCAGAACATTGAGAGGTCAACAGAACCACACTCGCCGTATCGAGTTATCACTCTAGTCTAATCGGGTGGTTTTATAACCAGAAGCGTCGGGGGGATCCAGTCAAGTCTTTGGGTGAGTCTCCTCAGGGCTCTGCTCGCCAGCATTATCATTGCTAGTGACAGCTCCTCCATGACCATCAGTACCACTCGCATTCCCTTCTTGCTTATTCTCCTTGTCTGCTTCGTCCTCTCCCGCCTCCATTTCCTTCCTTGCCTCACTCCGATCTCTTGAACTTGATGACCTCCACTTGAATCGCTTCCCTTCCTTTCCCTGCTCACTGAGCCAGCGGAAATCCTCCTCTTCAACCAAGATGCCACTACTCCTATTGTCGCTGCTATTGCTATTCTGATTGAGGTGGCGGCGGGACCATATTCGTGAGAGCCGTTCTTCACCACCATGAGTTCCTGTGGCGGGTACAGGCAATTGACTTGCAGATTTTTCAAATGCAAACGCTCCTTCGACGACGGGTGTTGCCGGTATGACCAGTGTCTCTGCCGCCTCTGCCAGTCCTTCTGCAACAACATGAGACCCTTCGACTAAGCCCTCAGCTTCTATGCCATAGTCTACCTGACCGGCTTCGAGAGAGCTAGCAGAAGATGGATCGACAGCCTGGTTAGCAGCGATCTGCGCAGTCCAACGACAGATCAAGTAGCGTTTAAGCTTCGACACGGCACCCAGGCTATCGACACCCTCGTCGTCCGATTTGGGACTCGCCAGAATAGTCCTTTCGGGCGCGCTCCAACGTTTGACGAGATGCCATTTGAGGCGAGCGATGTGACCCTCTGGGCGGACATATTCACGAGGACCCATACGAGACCACAAGGAGGGGTTCTCAGTAGCCATTTCGTGAAAGAAGTTCTCATAAATTCCACGCTGGTAAGGGGTTTGGCGCTGGCGGGCGATGATATGCTTGACAACGTACCAAGCGGCGAGCACACAGAGCATGAAGGGCACGCATGATATAAAGTACCACTTTATGCTAGGGTTATCGGCAAATGTGTCGACATTCATACCTAGAGCGAGTTAGAATATGATAGAGCGGGAAAGGGGTAGCGCTGAGGGATGTGTAGATATTTGAGGCCTACCGAAAAAGCCAACTATGAATGTTAGGGGCAAGAAGATAAATGTTATCCAACTCAATCGCCACACTAGATAGTTGTGTTAGTGAATAATACAACTCCAACATGACGAGAGGGCACGTACTGCTGACTCCAAGTTGGATGCTATGTCTGCTATCGCGAATTGACACGCTTTGATAGAGTAGCGAAATTAAAGTCTTAGTTGGCTTGACCAAGTCCTCTTCAACCAACGTGCTAAGTCTATCATAATCTCCTGGGATACTGTCGAGCCACGTATCGTCGGTGTCCAGATCATCTGCAACGATAGTCAGTACGGGGCATGTTAAACTAGCACGGGAATCAATCCCAGATGAGGAGGACAACACACCATCCAATTCCCTTAATCTTGGACGCATCTCTTTGATAATATCAATATGTATAAACAGCAGCTTTTCTACCTTCAGCCAAATACTTGAATTCAGCCACAGCTCTGGTGCCCTCGTCTCGTCGGCTGGCTCTTCGTAGATCTTGTCTTCCAAAATACTAACGTGGTCCATTGCAAGATCCAAAAAAGCATCCCACTCCAGCACCAGTGCCTTGAAAATATCCTCTAGGATGATCCTCGAGCACTGGAATGCAAGCTGCTCGTCCGTGGCAACGAGGTCGCGAGATTCGAATGCCAGGAAGAAAGGGAGTCGGCGCCAGCGCGATTCCCAGACGCCTCGTGCACCAATCAAGGTATCCTCGATGCTGTTGTTGTGTGAATTATCAAATATGAGAATAGCGTTGCCGTTATCGAGTGTGTTGAGGCGCGGGATGTATTCGTTCTTCAGGCGATTTTTCGCACTGTCGGTTTTCGCGGGTTCAATGATGTAAGGGTTCTTGATATCCGGATTCGTAGGTACCTCAATGGAGGTCTGTTTGTGTTGGATATAACAACTGACGCGTTGGACATAGACATCATAGCCGTATTTGGGATTATCTAGTCGCAGCGCAGAGTTCCATTGCTCAGCATTAATAATTCTCCCCATATAAACCTTGCTATGTTCAACTACTTGTCTGGAGGCCTACCGTTTTCATCGAAACAATTCAGCTCCATCATCTTCAGGCTATCATCCTGCTCATGCCGGGCCCTCGCTTTGCGCTCCGTCGGTTCATGGCAACGGTGTTGTTTGAAATAATCCAGGCCAAAGGACGTCTTGCTAATCCCGCGCCAGGGGTCATATTGTACCTTCCACGTCTTCCCGCTCAGGAAGGGCTTCCCTCCGCGTCGTTCGGGGCGCCTGTGGCGGACATAACGGCCAAAGTTGGTGCCGACAAGATCGTCTCGGTTGTCGATATTGAACTTGCGAAGGAGATAATTGGTGGCCCACTCTGCATTCTGGACATGGAAGACACGCAGCACGGCTTCGTCATTTCGTTCCTGATTGGTGTATACCCTACGGAGGTGTTCGAGGTCGTAGATTTCCTGCGCGGCTACTTTGCGCATTCCGACTTTGCAGTCATCTAACGCCCAAGAGAAAGCAATTAGTTCCATGCTCCATGGGCCTATTTCCACTTATCCCCAGTTCCTAAAATCTATACACACCCTGTTTGACGAAATCGATGATCAGGACCCTCCCGCCGAATACGTCTATCTCGGAGTACTCCTTGTGCCATTTTGGGCCAAGGTCATGCTTCTGCGTGTGTCGAGCTAGAGGTTCTCAGGGACATGTGATAAGCTTCCAGCCGGACAGAATAACCAGGGGGGAAGGGATCTCATGCTCCATACTGCCAAATCTTCTATAAGGTTCATGCACAGTCGAGAATTCCTCAGCGACTCGAGGAGACGGAGCAGGAGAATGTGGGCCATGGATATCGACTCCAGAGAGGAAGATGAAAGATATCAGCAAATCAGTCCAGACTTGGGTCTGAGCAAGGAACAAGCATACCATGGTCGTTCGGCGGTAGAGAACCAAGGTTTCTTGTGTCTAGGCGCGGCTGTGGCCGTCCTCCCGTCGTCGGTGGCGGGGCTGAGGAATGGGGGCTGGCTGAGTCTCCCATCCTGGAAGCATAAAAAGTGAAATCAATCTATTACTTCCTGCATGAAATAACGAGACATAACCCTGGAAGAATGAAGATGCGGGGCCGTCGATACAGAAATCAACATCTGAGGAATACGACCTATGAGTGGGAGGTGAAAACTATTTATGATCATCATTTTTAAGACCAGCACGCTTGGCCTTCTGTGGCTGACAAGATCAGCCGCTGTTCTGTTGACCCAAAACGAGCTCTTAGTGACGGCCAAGCACAGAGCTGCTCAGCGATTAACCTGCCTGTGCAGGCACCTGAGAGGCTGAGCAAAGTCGGACTTCGGTCGCTGTGGTCATCTGGATAGCTTCTGGTTCATGTTCATGGGCGCAGATGACTCGGGAAATGATACGCGAATTGAACCTACAAAGTACGGAGTAAAAGGGAGACTGTGGGTTCCTCCCGGTTGCATCTGGGCAAGGCAGTGCTCCAACAGAAGCTGAAGACCAGAAATTGCCCTAGAAGGTGCATTAAATCGCTCTGGTAGACGTTTGCAACTTCTTGCCAATCACAATGTTATTGTTATTACAATACTACCACAAGGCCCATGATAGTCGTACATACGAAAAAGACCTGTTGCAAACAGCCACAGATACGAACATTTTCAAGTCATCCTTGGGGACAGGTTCGGCGTTCCGGCGACGTTCCAGGGTCCGTCCAGGGGTCTTTCGGGGGAGCAGGTCCCGAATTTAGGGGCCAAAGCGGTGGGCCGAGGGTCTAGCCTTTCGAGCCAAGGGACATGCAGACGAATGCCCCCACCACCACCCCGCCAGCGATTTCCAGGCCGTGGATGCTCCAGCAATTCCACCCCGCAATATCAACAGCGACCGCAGTGACGCAGAGCTTTATCAAACCTCATATATAAACCTGAATTAAACAATTCAATCCCCTATGCTACGTTTAGAATCCCGAGGACTAATTTCACACGGCTTTTATACACTCAATACATTGCACATTTCGACCAATTCGTCTTAATCATGTCCACCTACACCGTTGCCAGCGGAGACTCCATGTGGGCAATCGCTGTTGCTCACGGTATCTCGCTTGACGCTCTGATTGCCGCAAACTCGCAGGTATCAGACCCCAGCCAGATCGAAGTTGGCCAGGTTTTGAATATCCCCGGCAGAGATGCTCCTGCCAATTCCGCTCCCGCTGCCAATGTTCCGCCCCAGAAGGAGGGTGGAGGAGCCCCCGCCGCCGCTCCACCGGCCCCTTCAGTACTTCCTTCTCTTCCGCCGCCGGTTGAACTGAACCTTAACAATGAGGGATTTAAAACGGTTGGGTATTTCACCAATTGGGTAAGCCTTTTGCTCTCTCTCTCTCTCTCTCTCTCTAGCAAAAATAGTTTTGATGTATACTGGTCTATGCAATTCAATTGGATCCTATACTCTTCGGAAGGGAATAACAATTCTGGTCAATAACTAACTATGATTGTTTTGCTAGGGTATATATGGACGTAACTATCAACCTCTGGATATCCCCGGGAATCATCTCACACATATTTTGTGTAGGTAAAATTAGAGTGAAGAAACCATATAAAAATATAAAATGAGACGGGAAAGTACAGTACCTACAATAACTAAATATATGTTAATTATAACTTATAGATTCCTTCGCAAACGTCAAACCAGATTCCGGTGAAGTGTATGTCCAATGCAAATAAGTCACCATCACCCGACAAAGGACTGTACAAAACATTAAGCTAACCCGCCGGTTGCCAGTTACCTAAGTGACACATACTCCGATCTGGAAAAGCACTACCCCGGCGACTCCTGGGACGAATCAGGGGAGAACGTCTACGGTTGCGTTAAACAGCTTTACCTCCTGAAAAAGCATTACAGACATCTAAAAACCCTCCTCTCCATCGGCGGCTGGACCTACAGCGCAAATTTCCCCGCGCCCGCCTCCACACCCACGGGCCGACAAACTTTTGCCCGCACCGCCGTCAAACTCCTCGCAGATCTCGGTTTCGACGGCATCGATATCGACTGGGAATACCCGCAGGACGACGCACAGGCACACAACTTCGTCCTTCTACTGCAAGAGACCAGACGAGCACTGGATAGCTACGCAGCCCAGCACGCGCAGGGCAAACGGCTACTACTGACAGTTGCCGTCCCCTGCGGCCCGAGCAATTACAAGAAGCTACGCATGGCAGATATGGACGTGCATCTCGACTTCTGGAACATGATGTGCTACGACTTTGCAGGCAGCTGGGATAGCAAAGCGGGCCACATGGCCAATGTGTTTCCGTCAAATAGCGTGCCGGAGTCGACCCCGTTCAATGCCGATGAGGCCGTCACCGCTTACATCGCCGGCGGCGTGCATCCGAAGAAACTCGTCTTCGGCTTGCCGCTGTATGGCCGTGCGTTTGAAAATACTGATGGCCCCGGGAAGCCGTTCCAAGGGGTCGGGCAGGGATCGTGGGAGAATGGAGTGTGGGACTATAAGGTCCTGCCGCAGCAGGGTAGTGTGGAGATGAATGACCACGAGCTAATTGCTAGCTGGAGTTACGATAAGACTGCCAGGAAGATGATTAGCTATGATACACCAACGATTGCGGCGGCGAAAGTGGATCACATTCGCCGAAGGGGGATGGGGGGTGGGATGTGGTGGGAGCTTAGCGGTGATGCTCCAATAGGGAGCGAACGGAGTCTGATTGCGAAGACAGTCAAAGGGTTTGGAGGAGTCGGGAATCTGGATCACAGTATGAATTTATTGGCGTATCCGGTTAGTCGATATGAGAATATGAAGAGAGGGTTTCAGTAGGTAGATTCTCCCCGGTCGAAGCTATGATGCGTTAGTTAATGATTTTGACAAGTTATTGGATTTGGTACAACGATAGTTCAATTAGCTATAGCAATTTTGCCCTTTTTTTTTGCATTATTGCTAAAATTTATCTCCAGAGTTCCCTGTCCACAATATTGTTGCGATCTTATGCAGCGTCTATGATCTATATTAGCCTCTGGATTTTCATATTATAGCAACCATTCAATTTTGGAAGTGTTTTTACAAAAGACAATTCTAATACACCGCAAAAAATAATATCATTTATCTAATAGATATTGAGAGGCCCAATTTAAAACTTTCATGCCAACCCCTCTCAATATACACATAGAAGGCCTATCTATCCATTTAGACATCCACAGCCCAGTAATCGCCCAAGGAGAAAATCGAAATATAGTCAGGTGTAACAAGTCTTGATCGTATTAAATCACAATCACTCCCCAACTAAATTTTCTCTCCCTAAGAATATGAGTACATTCGCAAAAACTAACGAAGAACACAATGCCAGGTGGGGGGAAGCAGAATGTAGATAGGAAGGAGAAGGGGAAGTATCAAAGCACAAGCAATAAGAACCCCAGACCTTGAGAAAATTTGCAATCCCTGCTAATCTGTCCGTCCATTCATCCATTTCCGCAACTATATCTCAAGCTAGAAAGTTACCATGCCGATGTTTCGCCGATGACATACCCGGAGTTTTTGTAAGAAGCTTTCCAAGCAAAGAGACATATAATTAAAAGGAGAAATGCCATAAGAAAAAGAAACAGAATGCCAGCCCAGGTAGGTATAATCCATAACGTTGTGAAATGAAACTTGAGGAGAAAGAAAACATCTTAGAGAGTCAAAACAAAAATCCATTACATCTCCCCACGTGCTGGTCATTCAGACCCCATCCATCCATCAACACGGGCAACGAGAACGACATCCTTATAGCGCCTCAGTCCCAAGCCTCAAGCCCCAACGCTTCGCAAAAATCCGCAAAAATCCGGTTGATGACCCTAGCTAGCAAGAAAACCCAAATAAGAACAAGAAACTGTCTATTCAGCCCTCCCCTGCGTAACCTTCGCAGCCTGAATAGCCGACATCTTTTGAGTCCAGCCCTGTGTAGGGTGCGGCTTCTTCACCGTACGCAGGTCATCTGATGAGAACCCTGGAATGCGCATGTTATAGTTACGTTCGAGGATGAGTTGGATATCGCGGATATCAAGTGTTGACGCCGGGCGGAGTTTAGCCAAGCGGCATGCTGCAGTGATGACGTCGTCGACGAAGTCATCTGCCATTTGGAGAATGAACTGAATAGGGTTTTTAAGCGTTGTTAGTTGGGTGTCTTATAAAGGTGTGTGTGAGAGAGATAGAGAGATGGAGGGTATAATTTCGGAGAAGTAACGTTGGTAGAGATACTGTGCAAACAATAGTAAAATAGAAATAATACCTCTTCCGCATCAGGTGTAAGCCCCTGCCCTTCCCCTCCCCCCGTTACCTGTTTCACAAGTACATCCAACATTTTCTTGCTAAGTACATGCTGCCCCTCCCCCTCGAGTACATAGCCCGGATGCTTTTGAATAGCTGGTTGGCTCATTACTCCCATCGCGCCATGGCTGGGTCCACCGGATAACGTAGGACGCGCGGGACCCATGGATACGGGTTCGGGAGGTTTGACGTTCAGGGTCTTGGGAATGGCCATGTGCACGCTACGCGAACTGCTATCAGTTCGATTGTGCGCGTATCCCTGAGGGTGGGAGTGGGTGTTAGGAGGCTGAGGCTGTTGTTGCTGCTGTTGCTGTTGCGGTTGCGGTTGCTGTTGCTGCGGCTGTTGCTGTTGCTGAGGTTGCGGTTGCTGTGGTTGCGGCTGCGGCTGCGGCTGCTGCTGCGGCTGTTGTTGAATGGGTGTCTGTTGTTGAGTTGAGTTTGAGTAGTTTTGGGCAGATTGCTGGAAGGCAGCTTCCTGGGAGAGGGGCCGAGGTGGGCCTTGGGGATGGCTTGCGATGTTCTGGGTTGAGGTAGTGGATAAGGGAGTGCTGGAGGACTCAGTTTGTGATGGGTGTTGGGGAAAAGGTGGTTGTGACTGTGGTAGAGGGTTCTGAGCTGTGGATTGTTGAGGTTGCCCGGTGATTTGAGGTGGTTGTGAAGTGGGTTGACCCGCCTGTGAAGTGGCAGGAGACATGATGGTTTGGCCAGCCTGGTTTCGCGCAGCTACAGCAGAGGTAATAGTGTAGGGAGATGGCCCATTAGTAGAAGCTTGAGCTGGCGGACGAGGCCCATCAGGCAAGCCCGGCTCAGTTTTCACAATCGGACCCTGTGGCTGTTGCTGTTGTTGCGGAACTGTGGGAGCGGGACCACCGACGACAGGTCTATTTTGCTGCGCATTTGATGTTTGCTGTTGTGGCGCCTGCTGTGGCTGTGACTGCGTTTGCGTCTGCGCCTGTGACTGCCCAACTCGAAAAGAGTCTTGTTGTTCTTTAAACTTGATAAGGAACTCGCTTCCCTCCTGGAACAGCTTGTTAGCGGCCACCTGCCGATTCTTGAAATCCTGCATCTCCTCCGGAGTCAAATTCCCTGCGCTCTGCCGCTGCTGGTATGCCTGGCGTAACTCGTTCAGTTTTGCTTTGCCCAACTCCTGCTTTTGCAACGCGATGCCATATCGCAACTTGGCATCATTCAGCCACGCTTCAGCCTGTGCCTTGTCGACCTTGGGCGGATATACGAAACTCAAACCATTCACTTTAGCTTGTATCTGCGGCAGGAGCTGTTGAAACTGTGTTGCACCCAGAGATTGCCGTGGCTGTTGTGGTTGTTGCGGCAACTGGGGAGGCACCTGGGGCGGCTGTGCGTCTTCACTCTTCCCCTGCGCTTGTCCTTGGCCCTTCTGCTGCACCTGCTGCATTTGTTTCTGCTGTTGCTGAAGCTGCATCTGTCGATACTGAAACGACTTCATCTGGCGCATGAGAGTCTGTGAAATACCAGCTAACTTTGCATGGGCGGCGTTATACTCGGGGGTACCCGCAGCATTTGCATTGATCGTCTCCCACAGGCTCCGCACAGCCTGCGTGTTTGCTGCTTTCATCGCATCGGTCAGGTGTGGGAGTTTCTGGACTTGATCAGTGCGGATTAGGTTCTGTTGCTGGGCTGCAGGAATGGCAGCAGAGCCCTGGTTCGGGGGGTTATTGGGATTGTTATTAGGCGGGTTGGGCTGGTTCGATGAGGCGGAGGATTCCATCGTTGCAGCTGTTTGGCAGCGACAGGCACTTCCCAGCGGTGGTTTCAAGGACGGCTCGCTCCTCCACGTACGATTTCAGGATGCAGTTAAGAATAGTGTATATATATACCTTGGAGTTGAAAGGAATGATAAGAATAATATGATGAAGGATAGCCAACATTTAGCTATATTGGCTGGAGAGTTGGTTTGACACGAAGAGTTGATGTTGGAAATTGCCCAATCAGGACAAGTCTTGGCGCGGACTTTCAAATCCAGGTAGAGATAACTTAGTTATGTGAGACGGATCTATATTAAATCCTCACTTGAGGTTCAGGAGGCTTCGATATTCATTTTCAGAGAATGACTTCATTTCCTTGTCCTTGCAATGCTCGGGAATTATCATCAAGTAATATACCCAGGCAGATACATCCATTACCGTTGTTTAAAATTGTAGGAATTGGACGTTAAGACCGTTTTCCTGGCTAAGAGTACAAATAACCCTATCTTTAAGCATGCTTTCCAGACACAAAATATACACCTAGCAATGCGACTGCTTAGGAAACAGCCAGGAATGTGGCTTCGCGTTCTGCCGCTCTTTTAGCCAACAAAATCCATTGCTGCATACAGTGGATGGAGGGGTCGGTGTGAGAATCTTTCGGAGCAGCGGTTGTTTCATTCCCCTTCCCCACTCTATCCACCCGTCACCAACACATCAACCTCACTCTCATACGTCGCTTTCCGGCTGGACATGGGCAGCTGTACGGTAGGATACCAGCAAGCGCAACTGAGTTTCCTCTTTCTCGTATGCATCACACATCAGTAGGTGATGACTGGGCTAATGAGTGGAGAGATAACCCCACACCAGATCTACGATCAGGATAATATAATATGAAAGTGTAGAAGTTAAAAAGCCAATAAAAACCTCACACGTTGTACATAGCATCTCCTTCCCTACCCTGTTTGTTCATCTCATCAACTCGCCCAGATCCCTCTCCATTCCCGTCATCCGCTCTTCCAACTTCTGTTTCCGGGCTTCTAATTCATGAATCTCGAGTATCTCGCGACGCAGGTCTTCCTCAGTGACGTGCGGAGATACTTCCGCATTAAGAACTTCGGTGCTGGTTTCCAGCTCTGCAGGGTCGTAATCACTGGAATAATCTTGCGAGCGGTTCATCCGCTGCAACTGAGCGGCTTGCTCTGCGATGCGCGACTCCAGATGCGCGATGGAAGCAGAGAGATGCTCATGGCGGTGGCGGAGGGTGGATATTTGTTCTTGGGCGCCGGGGATAGGGCTGGCAGACAGCAAAAGGAGAGATTAGACGCGCAAACCAGTCAACACGATGGATGGGTGGGAACATGCAGAGGTATAAACTCACTAGACATTACACAACATCTCTGCTCCCCTTAGCAACACCTTGACATCAACTTCACCTCTCGGCTTCTTAATCTCATCTACCATATCTCCACCGAGGACCTGGGTTACGGCGGATTGGCTTTTGTTGTGTTTTGCAGCATATATGCGACTGGCCATGGAGTCTCCTCCCTCGTGTGGAAGGGGGAGGACTAGATCCGGGAATGAAGACCCAGACGCAGCAGTGGTGACTCTACGGGTAGTTCTTCTTTGGGAGTTTGCTGAGGAAGCAGAGGTGACGCGGGGTTGGGAATTGGCAGAGGGGTCAATGGAGAAGAGGGCTCGTTCGTGGGGTTCTGTGTCGCGGATTAGGGTTGTGATGTCATGCGGGCCGAGCATAGCATTTGCGAAGATTTTGGGAGGAGGGAAACTGTGTAGATATGTTAGCGAGTGTCAAATATATGAGCGATAAATGATATAAGGTTGGGTGAATCGTCTCATACGGGAGATCCGCGATGGCAGTTGCAGAGAGGGAGATCTGCTCTAGATGGCTTTCAAGGAGACCCATTGGTGAAGGCGGTAAGCGAACGGGGATCAAAATTCAATCTCAATTGGAGTGGATTATAGAGGTATGCTATTGAATCCGATTCATACGGTATGAACCGGGACAGAGTTGATATGTTTACTGCTGCATCAGCATATCAATGCCTCCACGCCAAGACCAGCACGTCGAAGGTCCAAACAAAGCTATACGATCAACGATGCGACTGGTGATCTCCAATCCCCTGGTATCAACGACAAAACATATCCTCCACAAGCAATCACAGCTGCTCACCATTCAGCGGCGGCTCCTCGCCACTGTCGACTGACCACGGCTGCTGACCCAGGCAGCTGTTGTGCTGACTGGTACGCGGAGCTGCTGAGTCAGCCCAGCCTCAGCCCAGCCTAGCTGCGGCATAGCCCTTCCAGCAGCAACACCACATAAACCGACCCAGCCCAGCCCGCCCATCGCCCGCCACGCCTAACCCAACCCGGCCTGCCTGTTCTGTCGCCTTCTTCTGTCGACCACCTCAAACATCACCTCGACACAGCATTGTCATTGCTGTCTGCCCTCCCCATCCACGCCCCCCAGACGCTCTACGTTCCTGCTAGCTCTCTTCCCCCTACGGCTCTTTTGTCACTGTACTCTGTTTCACACTCTCCTTTCTTTGCTTTGCCGTCTCTTCCCTTCCAAGCTGCCAGCCGCCAGCTCCATCCTCCAGTTCCAACTTTTGCACAGGCGCCGAGTAGTACGCCCAACAAGCTACTCACCTTCAGAGTCTCCAATATGCCTGCTGAAAGGCGTTCCCTGAGGTCCAACAAGTCGGACACCTCAGCTAACGGAGAAAAACATCGCTCAAACTCTACTTCCCAGAATTCCAAAGATAAGCCGGCTCCTCCTTCTACCAGATCATCTGTCCGGGGGAAGACAGCTGCTGCCTCTGGCAAGAAGACGTCCTCCTCCAATACCGCTAGCTCAACATCAACACCAACCTCGACTTCAGTATCCACATCTGCTGCAAAGAAGATGGTTGCTGAAAACGATCAGACTGCTCCTCACACCAACGGCGGCTCAGACCCCGTCGAGAATGGCGTCAACAATGTCAACGGGACGGAGGATGTGGAAATGGCAGAAGACGACGCCGATATCAATGGATCTGCCACCCAGAAGAATCAGCGTGAAGGAGGAGGTGAGTCTGATGACGGGATGACCGTGGTGGTGCCACCATCCAAGGGCTCCAGATTATCAGGAGAACCCGAACAACATCAGCACGATATCACCATGAATGAGGCAGAGGATGGTGACGAGGCTGAGGTTGAGGTGCAAGTTGATCCCAGGGAGAAAGCTTTATCAGGTATTATTGGCTTAATTTTTTATTTTGTTTATTTTTTTTTCCCTTATACCACTTTTGATAACTCTGGCAGACATGGTGATTCAACTAACTCATGTTTATTATCGCTTCTCTTTTAACAGATATCAAAAGCAATTTCACACTGCTCGAACGTGCTGTTGTCCATTTTGATCCCCGATTTACATTGCGAGCCTTGCGGTCGATATCATCGGTACGGAAACAGCTGTCTGCTTACCTTCTTGCCCAGGTCATCGTAGAAACATATCAGCCCTCGGATTCAACGGCATCATTCCTATTAGCTTCCATTGGCAGGAAATCGGCTTTCGCCGATGCTGCCGCTGATTTGCCAATGGATATCGATGGTGAATCAAGGTATCCTGGAAAGGGATCCGCTACGCGCGATGTTCTTCCCGAGGTCGATATCTATCTGGCTATCCTCATCCAGATCTATCTATATGACAAGAAGGACATTGAACAGGGTGCAAACTTCTCCAGTAGCCTTGTGGAGCTAGTGCGATCACACAATAGAAGAACCTTGGATTCTTTGGCTGCTCGTGTTTATTTCTACTACTCGCTCTTTTACGAGCAGCTTGCTCCGCTTCCCCCGTCTCCAGCCGCAGCCGTTATTTCCATCCGCCAGCCACTACTTCAGGCATTGCGAACTTCCGTTCTTCGAAAGGACCAGGACATCCAGGCAACCATCACCACCCTCCTCCTGCGCAATTACCTGTCAACGTCGCACATCTCCCAAGCAGACCTCTTCGTCTCTCGTTCAGAATTCCCGCCGGGAGCACCCAACAACCAGATCGCTCGGTATCTTTACTATCTTGGTCGGATCCGTGCCATCCAACTGCAGTACACTGAGGCTCACGAGCATTTAATCGGTGCCACTCGCAAGTCTCCCTCGAGCCATACCGCAGGCGGTTTCTACCAGGCATCCACTAAGCTCCTCGTTGTCGTCGAGTTGTTGATGGGTGATATCCCTGACCGCGCAATCTTCCGCCAAGCAACCCTTGAGCGGGCTATGCATCCTTACTTCCTGCTCGTGCAGGCCGTCAGCATCGGCGACCTAGATGGATTCATCGGCATTGTCCAGAAACACAGCTCAACCTTCCGACGCGACGGCACGTACACACTTATCCTACGTCTTCGACAGAATGTCATCAAGACAGGTATTCGTATGATGTCTCTGGCTTATACGCGGATTTCCCTTCGGGATATCTGTCTCCGTCTAGGATTGGATAGTGAAGAGTCAGCAGAGTATATCGTCGCGAAGGCCATCCGGGACGGTGTAATCGAAGCTTCACTGGATCATGAGCACGGGTATATGAAGAGCAAGGAGGTGGGAGATGTGTATGCGACTGGGGAGCCCGGTGAGGTCTTCCATGAGCGCATCCGGTTCTGTTTGGATCTTCATGACGAGAGTGTCAAGGTATGGTTATATTTTCTCTTGACCTTTTCCGCTATATATTATAACAAGGTATATATATGATATTAACCGGGCAAACGAAATACAGGCCATGAGATTCCCCATGAACCAACATAGGCTCGAGCTGAAAAATGCACAGGAGGCGCGTGAACGGGAGAGAGAACTAGCCAAGGAGATCGTCGAGGGGGACTTGGATGATGACGATGCGGGCGGAGACTTTGACACGATCTAGCTACTTCTTCCTTGCCGCTTTTTCCTATTCTTGTGTTTCTTTATGTTTTTTTTTCTTTTTTTTAGAACGGAGAGAAAGTCGGCTTGGTTGATTGATTGCTCGATCTGTTGACTTATGGATGGATGGATGGATGGATGGACTGAATGGTGGGATTTTGGTATTGGTACTATATTTTAATTGAGGAGCGATAAAGAAACAGAAGCATTTTTCTAGTGCTGAAATCTTTGCAATTCTCAATTCCTACTCCTTGGGAATACTGTTATTTCGTTTTTTTTTTTTCCTTTTTTCATTTTTGTTATTTGTCTTACTTCAACATTTTGATATTATTTACTATTTTGCCGGGCCCGGGAAAGCCGGCGTGAACTCTCTCTCTCTTTCTTTCTCTCTCTCTCTCCCTCTCTCTCCATATATATCTATATATATATTACGGGACTGTTCATATTCAGAAGAACATACGCCCGACTTGACAGACACATATTCCGGCTGAAGGCATGGGCTAACATAACAACAGTTCGGGGTTTACTTTATGGATGGCCACAATTATGTATGGCATTTTTCCTCATTTTCCTCCCATGTCTTGTTCAAAAAATTTTTAATTCCGGCACCTTTTCCTCTTGTGTTTACTTCCCATTATCCTTTTTTAGCCCTCCTTTACTAATCCCTAGACGGACTTGCCGAGAAGTTCACTGGTTGCTTATTTATTTATTTATTTATTTTATCTGTGTATTTACATTCGTTCGGCCATTGCAATTTGTCAAGTAGCGCAATCCTGCGGAAGATGGTGCAGGTTGAATAAACGAAGAAATAAACAAGTATGCGGACATCTGCGGAAGCCTTAGTGCATAGTTTCACCGAAGTATGAGACTTAGACCAGCAATGGAGGAAGAATCTCGGTCATGAGGCCTAAGTGACGCTGTCGTCCCGTATATACGAGTTGTCTAATCGTGTTGTGGTTCTGCGCCTTGTCTTCGTCAATCCCGGCCAAGTCCAACTCGTCGCCAGCCAAAAAAAAAGTTTCAGCTTCATTTCACTCAACAACCTTATCCACCACCACCTCTGCACTTGCAACAACCTCAATTGATCTCAACCACCTCCCGTATCCCGCCCAATTAGATTATATTCATGCCCGTCTAGCATATCAACCATCACCAGGGAGCCCCGGCCGCAGTCTGTCGAGCTGCCATGCGAGCTCGACCAACGCTCATGCCCTATGGGCTTCTCCTCCGCCCAGGGACTCCCACCCGCTCACCGGCTGCAGCGAGAGCAGCAACCGCCCTGATATGCTCTCAATGCTTAATAGACAGCTGCATCTCCAGCTCCAGCTCACTCTCATCTCCCAATCTGCCATACAACATCCGCAGCTACCATCCTTCGCGCCGAAAAAATCAATCGGCCCTTGGCTCTGCCGCATCCGCCGCCCAAAATCTATTCTCGAAAGAGAGCCCCCCTCCTCCTCCTCCCCCACCACTGTCATCACCTTCTTCCTCCTCGCCCTCACCAGCACTATTATCGCGCTCACCAGGAACTTCTCCGCGCTTGCCAGGCACGCCAGGCGGCGTCCCCGTAACCATTGACCCCCTCCGCATCGTCGCCAAAGAGCTCAAGTTCATGAAAAAGAATATCCACAAGCTTCTCGGCTCCGGCCACCCCCTGCTCGACAGAGTCGCAAAATACTACACAACAAGCGAAGGCAAGCACGTGCGGCCCCTCTTAGTTCTGCTCATGTCGCAGGCGACGGCCCACGGGCCCAAAACGACCCGCCAGGTCCCATTCGTTAGTGCTGCCGGTATCAACGATGGCATTACATCCCCTGCCATACTGTCAGATACAAACCCGGACCAGAGCGCATTGCTCTCCTCCACTTCCCCGTCCTCGCTCGAGGCTGCGTATACTGGGCTGGCAGGGAATGTTGACGCCAACTACGACGCCGACAGCGGGAACGGCACAGACATCCTCCCCGCCCAACAGCGGCTGGCGGAGATTACAGAGCTAATCCACACGGCTTCGCTGCTGCATGACGACGTGATCGATAACGCCGTCACGCGGCGCTCCACCGTGTCCGCGAATCTGGCATTCGGGAACAAAATGGCCGTGCTGGCGGGCGATTTTCTCCTGGGCCGTGCGTCAGTTGCGCTTGCCCGCCTGCGCGACCCAGAGGTCATCGAGCTGCTGTCCACCGTTATCGCGAACCTGATCGAGGGCGAGTTCATGCAGTTGAAGAACACGGAGCGGGACGAGTTGAACCCGTCCTTCACGGAGCAGACGATCACGTACTACCTGCAAAAGACGTACCTGAAGTCCGCCAGCCTGATTAGCAAGTCGTGTCGGGCGGCAGCGCTGCTGGGCCATTCGTCACCGGAGATTGTGGAGGCGGCTTATTCGTATGGCCGGAATCTGGGCCTTGCGTTCCAGCTTGTGGATGATATGTTGGATTATACGATTAGTGGGGATGAGCTGGGGAAGCCTGCTGGTGCGGATTTGGAGCTGGGACTGGCGACGGCACCGTTGCTTTTTGCCTGGAGGGCAAACCCGGAGTTGGGGGCGTTGGTGGGGAGGAAGTTCAGCGGGGAGGGGGATGTGCAGTTGGTAAGTTACTATTTTTTTTATTATTCCTATTCCTATGGTTATTTGTTGTTGTGTGTTATCTTACTCCCACCGTCGAAAAATCGAAGCTCTCTATATAATGTTTATATCTATATAGATACACTAACATGTGAGGTGGAAAAACCGAATACAGGCCCGCCAAATCGTCTCCCAATCCGACGGCCTCGAGCAAACCCGCGCCCTCGCGCAGGAATACACAAATAAAGCCATCCAGTCCATCCGTATCCTCCCTGACACTGAGGCCAAGACAGGCTTAATTGAGATGTGCGCGAAACTCACCAAGAGGCGGAAGTGAGCGAAACAAACAAACAAGCAAGCAAGCAAAGGGAAAAAAAGAAAATACTATAATGGAGGGGAAAAGAAGAGAAGGAAAAGCCCAGAGGAAAAGCGAATGGAATCCGAAGTAGGCGGTGAACGGAAGTGCCCTTTTTCTTTTGTCTCTCTCCTGATTACTAGCCCCGTGTGTCTGGTTTAATAGTGGGCGTATCGGCCGGCCATATATAGATAGATGTACTTTTATGGAAATGTATTTGGCATATGTCAGATGTAAGTTTATGTTGTGTGTGTGTGTGTGTGTGTGTTGGATTAAAACTGAAAAAAAAAACGAAATTATAGTACGGGGACGGAGACGGGGGGTGTAGTAGATAGAGGTACCTTTTATTTTCTTTCTTACTTTTTTTCATTGTTGACATTGCTATCGTTACCGTTATCATTATATATTATTATATTTCTTCCTTGAAGAAGTAAGATTTGATTTCCCTCCTATCTTTTCACGCCCGCGCTGGTTTTGTTTATCACACGGGGTTAGATAGCGCGGTGAGATATTTGTTTAGGTTACAGTAGAGAGAAACGAAAAAAAGACGTGCATGTGCATGTCTTCTGCTTTAATTTACGTAGGATTGATATAATTCAATTCATCCTTTGCGTTGTCGCCGGTTATCAACATTAATCCTGAAGCTTGAGCTTGGGAATTGATATAACACGCCCAGATGTTGCGCAGATATAACAGGAACATGATATGATGCAAGGGAGAAGAAATGGAAATATTTCAAAATGACGAGTGAAACAGGCACAGAAAGATCTGGGTAAGTTAGAAAGATGCCTGAAGTGTATGGAATATGTTTTTGATGTAGCTGTATATGGCCAGTTCAACTTCATGATTTTGGCAAAAAAAAAAAAAAAAAAGAAAAAAAAAAAGGGAAGAAGAGTTTATCGGTTGAAAGGGCCAGTCATTTTTCTTCTCACAGTTGCACAGACTCGTGAAAATTACCGGTTGTTTATGGATCGGATATTTTGCTCTATTTGAGCTGGGGTGTCCTCGAAGGATCTTGCGGTTTAAAAATACAGAAAGTTTCCGCGCGTTGAATCATCCCGTCCGAGTCGTAAATCACAGAGAGGTGATCATTCTAAAGGTGTATGCATGCATAGGGATATGTACCTACACATGTCGTGCGGAGATATGGTAGCTTCCTGCTAAGAGCAACATCTTCCACAAAAGCCACGCAGAAGGGTGATGTCGAAAATTTCTTTAATATCCTTCAATGATACCTATGTTCTCCACGGATGTAAGACAAGTCAATTGCATGTGGGGAAAATCCATGACGAGTACGGAGTAGACCAACCGCCGATGCCACGACGGGTCGAAGGCTTGGGATTGGCCGCTTCAACTTGAGCCTCGGCGAAACCGTGTAAAAGGCCCTGTCGCGGTGATCGGGCTGCCCGTCATCTGCCCACTGATTTTCCTCGCCGTCAAAGGCGGACCCAAAGGGAACATATCGTCGCTGATTTCATGCTCAACCAACCGCACGGAGCCTAGAGATGGCGTAACCTTCCCCGGTCTTGAGGCGCTTAAACCCGCTTTGTTAGGTAGCCTCATCCCTGTCGGAGAGATGGGCGATAGGTTCCTTTGTTGCGTTACTACGCCGGGTGGGGACCGGTTTAAATCGCCATCATTTACGTTCAACGATAGCTTAATTTTCGGCTTTCGCTGCTGCTCCTGCTGTGGTGGCGGTGGTGGTGGTGGTTGTAGCTGGGGAGACTCGACTTTGAGTCGTTCGAATTCCGAAATTAGGCTGTGGAAATATACGCGTGCTTGTATGCTTAATGCATAGTCTGCGGGAGTGCACATCGCATGATTGAGAGCTAGGGAAGGCGCACCCGCTGATACCAGGAGCCGAAATGCCTTCAAATTTCCCCATGCACTAGCATAATGCAAGGCGGTGTTGCCGACGTTATCTGCAAGCGTGACGGACGCATCTTGTCTGAGAAGCGTTGCAATGGTACTTGTATCTTCTGAGGAATTGGAAGAGGAACGCGGGCGCTGCTTCGGAGGAATTAGGCATGTGCTTTGCGCCGGGTGGGATGCGTTGGAGTTTTGAGCCGCAAGCATGAGGGGTGTGGCGCCATTATGGTCAGGCCGGTCGATGGTTTGGGGGAACTGAGTGCACAGGAATTGGACACAGGAGGTGTGGGAATGAGCAGCTGCAAGGTGGAGAGGTGTAGCTCCATCAGTGTTCACGCTGATGCCGGGGGCCGCATCGAAGCCGCTCTCCAAGATTTGAGGGGTGCATGAGTCGTGGCCGAATGATACAAGGAGTTTCTAGGAATTGTGTTTTAGTGGGGGGTTAAGGAACAAAATATGAAGATGCGGTTCCATACAATGATTTCCAGGTTGCCAATAATCGCTGCGAGATGCAGTGAGGTATTGCTCTTATCGTCGAAGTTTGGGTTTTCCAGGAACCTGGGGTTATTCTTTATGATACGCTTCACCAGCAAGACATCGTTCCACAGGATAGCGCTCCGCAAGCGGACATGCACTGGTAGGTCAACCCTAGTTGTCAAAAGTTAGCACAAGCCCGAGAAAAGATACGCTAGGTAAATCAGTTGCATTGCAGCTGCGAAGCGTACATCATCTCCTGGGACACCGGCAAGTCGCTAGGGTCAAAGTTGCAGGTCTTCCATGTTCTCTTCGGGAGTTTCAAGAAGTTGAACGTCTATGGGAAGGTTGGTCAGGGCCATGGAACGGGGTTCAGATGGCTGCCGAGAAGCTTCGAACCCGTGGTAGAAAAGGAAACCAAAATGTCGTCCAGGAGTCGAGGGTTACACTTGAGCACGGCTTTCGAAAGGTGGAACGTGGTGGTAAACCTTAGCTAGCAAACTCTCGGTGGGGTTTAACCATCGATGCAGAGATTGATAATTAATTACGCTGGGTTATCCGGCGAATTACACGACGAACGATGTATACACAGAATTACATACAGAATAACTAGATGCTCTTCTTCTTCTTATAAGTACAGATGTTGAATGCAACTGTCAGAATCCCAGCTATCGTATGATCTCTTTGATGCAGATGATTCGCACTCAGTTATGTATCTATTCTACTTTATTTCGTTTGAACTGCTAGTTATTTTGCATATTAAGTGTATACACGATCCGTAATTCGCCGGGTCAGCGGTGTAATTATCAATCCCTTTCTGAGAGTGGAACCTGGTTGTAATGCCGTGGTCTGAATCTTATCCCACTCTAACACTCTAACTCCAGATTAGTTATATAACCCAAATCTAACCGTAACCTCCTAACTAGTTAATCCTAACCCCTTACCTAATAGGGGTCTGTGTGAGAACGTGTGTGAGAACGTGCGTGAGAACGTGCGTGCGGGTTAGATGAGGTGGAGTTGAGCGTAGTTTAAAAACTGGGCCAACTTTTCAACAACCATCGTCAACTGTAACCATCCCTAGAATTGATGGATAGTTATATATATATATACACGGAGATTGGCTGATTGCAGTTGGAAAAGCGCCTATAAAAATCTTTTATAAGTTTATTGCATACCTTACAAAATAACTGGTTTAGTTAACTATATCCAATAACTTAATCAGAAAACCAATCAAATAACTAACTATTATAATTTTTAAAAAATTTATTTTTGAATCATTCCTTACCACGTAAATATATAACCGAGCAGTCTTAGATTGGTTAAAAAATATCTTAAATAGGGACTGATAATTACACCGCGTGCCTGGCTAGTTTACACCTGCTAAAATGTCTACTTTTCATACGGAATAGTGGATACACAACTTTCGTGTTGCAAAATAGCTTGAATGGATCGTGAGAAACTTCTCGTTGCTTGCTCGCAATTTGAAGTTGTAGTTACACAGATAGAAATTTTTATATCATATTGAAATCTGATGGGGGTGGAAGGCCGGTTCATCGCAACTATCCAACGGGTGCAGCACTGCTCAAATAGCCTTCTAGCGAGCGATAGGGATGCCAACAAAATCTATATATAAAAAAGATGTCATCATTCATCACCTTACAGAACTAGATCATCTCAATTCGATCTCGATCTTGTCATTGATGAGAAAGACAATTTTAACACTGTATATAATAAATTCATTATCAAACAATGAAGAGCAGTGAGTATCCAGCTGATACATACCTAGCTAGCGAGAAGTATCTACTTGAATAGATTTAGGTATCTATTTCATAAGCAATCAATTAAATATTGATAGATTGCTAGATATCTAGTTAGGCTAGACAAATTATTAGATATCCAGCTGGTAGGCATCTAGATAGCTAGCAATATCTAATTCTATAGAAATCAATTGGATATCAAGTGGGTAGGCAGCAAGCTAGGTAGAGATCTGATGAATATGCCATGGAGAACATTCAATCTCTATCAAAATGCTAATTATTTTATATGTAACGTTGTTATATACACTATTCCTTTCAAAAATAGACATTTTAGCAGCGATGAAATTGTCAGTCCCCTTCTCAAAATATTTTTACCTTCGTTCATCCCATCCCACCCGGTTCCATGGAAACGGACCGTGGGATTTCAAGTAGAGAACGGTAGGGAAATAAGATAGAAGAATTACTTCATGATTATACTTTTATTAAGTCTCTTCCCATCGCACCCTATCTGGTTCCATGGAATGGAGCTGGGCTTTGAAGTATGAGATGCGATGAAATCGGGATGGAGATAAGGTCAAAGTCTGTGTGGAGATGAGGGTTTTAAAATGTCTGTGACTGCTCACTAGCTCACTAAACATCATCCAATAACAACAAAGTAAAAAATCTTGTTCATTAGATTTCAGTTTAAATTCTTAATGTGAGTCAAAATTTTTGCAGAAGCTTCTGCATAACGTTTAATTTGATTTCATTTTATTTTTATTTTATAGATTTTTAGTTCAATGGTATTTATTTAGCTCCAAATATAATATAGATAAATTTTAAAAACGTTATATTGGCTAAGTGTAATTTATATTTTGCAATTTAATACTCGTTAAGCAAGCGAGCCATATAAGCAAGAGGACTATCTTAACAAATTTCAACTTTCTACTGTTTCATATCTCAACAACTTTATAAGATAAAAGTTACTAATTTTGTATAGATAAAATGTAGACTGTTAGGTTTGTTTAATCTACTGCATTATTTATAAAGATAATTTTTCAATATTAGAAAATATCTGATAAAAATTTGTGGTTCCTACACTATGCTGCAACTTACTGGCGCTTGCCGTGGAGAGGCGGTGGGGATGCGTGGCCATGGCCGTTGTGGGCTGGGCCACACCACCACACCCACAGGTATGTATATCCCTATGAGCACAACCATTTAACAAATGGTTACGTTGGCCTTTTTCTATATAGTGTTAGCTTTATCACAAATTAATAAGTCAAGAAGATCTTCAAAAATATTGACTTCTTTCAAATAAATTTATATATATCTTTTAATGTAGTTCACCACATTCTCGTTAGCCTGACCATGTGATATGGCCCAATTGAATTTCTCACACATCAACCTCATATAGTTATTCATAATAAAAGAAGAAAAAATAGTGAAAATAGACTTATTTTAACTGCTTTAGCAGTCAAGAGTCAAGAATTAACTCAAAGAGCTACTTTCTACATATCTAGACAATATTTGCATCTATACATTGATATTTAGAACTAGTAGTCTATGTGATGTAGGTTGATTTGCATGGTGGTTAACGATCAACCTCCTTTGTCTCGCCCAATAATTACAAATAGATATTGTGTTGCTCTCGCTTAGCTAGTCAGCAATACATGGACAACGTTATCCTACTACAGGGTTCAATATCACATGGTAAGGTTAACGACGATGTGGAGTGAAAGAGAACGTGGTGAACTACGTCAACTTTAATCTCAGTGCAGTATAATAATGGGACCTCCCGCTCGCTCGCTTATAGACTATGCTAAGTTTTGACCTTTATCTCGAATAGCTAACTATCTATATTCTCCTCTTTTACAATAAAAGTGTCATCTATTAAAGAGCTACTTTTTACATCTTTTATTGCTTTGTTCTATATGGATAATAAATTGCGATTGCAGGGAAAAACAAAACCTAAACACGATGAGTTATTTTATTACACAATTTTTTCTTCATTTCGTTATTCTCAACATGATTAGTACTGCTGCAGTTTCGGTAAGTATCTACTATATTTCTCTCATACGGCGCATACACTAACTCTAATTATAATCAAAGAATGAAAATTCCTATCCACTTAACACAATCAACTATATAAACGAAGATAATACTTTGCACTTATTTGATGCAAAGAAGGACATGATAGATTATTCAGAAAAGACAACTTCGGATCAAGAGGACCTTTTTCCAACTTCAATGAATGCTGATAGCCACAGTGTTTCAATTGATCATGATTTAAATCAGCCGCTATCTCAAAATCTCTTTTCTGAAGATTTTGAAGCGAAAGATAGCACTCAATTCAAATTTCAAAAACGTGCTGGTTTACCCGTTCCTGCAAATCTAGCTTGTCATCAAATTCCTTGTGATGTTAGCTTTGACTGTACTCGCCTACTGAACCCGATCTGTTCCTTTTGTCTGAGAACAAACAGATCTGGTGGAATATGTCATCCTTAATTACCTGATCTGTTTTTGCTATATAGTATAGTTAAATCATTACACGGTAAATACGTTTCTCAGTCAATGTTATAGGAAGGAAGTAACTATTAGATAAAAACTACAAGAGTTGTTGTTTTTGTTGATGACCGCCCCCCTTCTAGATGATATCAGTGAGGATATCTAGCAATGACATCTGCTAATGATATCTGTCGATGATATCTACCAATGATATAATATCTGAGAGAATAGCTTTTCTGAGCTTATTGGTCCGCCCTGCCCCAGCTGCACGTTCCATAAAGCTCCTGCTATAGTGTCGTGCCTGAGCTTTCTAACTCTCTGAAGGAATTAAAGATATCTTTATCCCCGGGATTTAGAGGTTCATTTGCCCACCCCCTCGAAGGGGGGTTGATATGGGCAACCTGTCCCTAGTAAGTACCCAGCTTCTTTTTCTTTTTCTTTTTTAATAACTACCGGGAACAAATCAAACCAAACCAAATGTGGTCGTACGGCTTTCACAGGTGGAGTTGTGGCTCAAGACAGCCAGTTCTCAGGCCAAAGTTTTGACTAATAACCTTCGCTTGTCGGGTCAAGAAATAGAGGGAGGATGCCCCCTCAAAAAAGCTTTAACTGAGAACCCGATGAAAGAGTGCTTTTTTATTTGTTTCTCCCGGCGGGTTAGCTGGGTCGTTTTAGGTGCTAGGTTGACAGTTTAAACCACGCCGAAAGCTTTCTAGCCGAGATTTTGATCCACGTCAAGTGTATGCTCAACTTTGACCACCATTTCTCTAATTACCATCGTCTTAAGTTCACAATTTATGCCTTACAGTTTCACATAAAGGGTGCTGTACTCGCTAGATAGTTACAATTAACCAACATTCTACCTCCATCCATAATTTCAAAAACAATTTACAATGCAATATAATAATGGAGACTAAATGACCTTACAAAGCTTGACAATCAACTCATTAATAAGTTAGATAGACACTTTTTAGTCTGTCATAACACTGATAGAGTATACATGTAAGTTCTGATTTAATAATTACTATTGTTTGAGAGATAACTAAAATGTTAACAGTATAATAACTATTATGAAAAAAGAAAATTTATATCAAATGTATGTTATTCAATGTTGAGAAAAGTATTAGCTATTAAAGCATGATGGAGGTGGAAGGTTGGTGCAGCACTGCTTCCAAGGTTAAATAGATGCGGTCACGTGGCATCCTAGCGAGCGATAGGGATGCCAACAACTCGTTTATTATTATTATTCAAAAAGTGAAAGAAACAGTATTAGATACAAAATTTGTGTAGAATATAAAGAGAATAAATGAATCAAAGTAAAACGAAGGTTGAGTTAACATGATAATAAATACATAAATATTTTCCAAGAGAATTCAAAATACAGAAATACGAATGTAAACAATTAAAATGTGTTCCTCTGTTGTATATACAGAGAAGCCAAAATATATAGAAACGAACAAAACAAAACATTAATTAAAGTAATAATTTCGAATGTAGTTTTTGGCTGTTAAAAAGGAGCGGGAAAGCAAGGTGCACGAGGAAACAAAACGAATATTGATAGAGGGAAAGTCAAACTGGTATCACTCCCCCTTGATATGTTTTTGCTCCATTACAATGACGTATCTGAAGAGAAACAAAAGGGGCCAAAAAAATAACTTCAGAACTTCAAAGGCGGAGAGCGGGTGATTAGAGTGAGGGAAGTAAAGCGAAAAAAATACAATGAAATGAAACACACTCTCACCATATTCATCAGGGTGGATAAGGGAAAACGAGAATGAAAAAGTAGAAAAAAAAAAAAGCGTAGCTGCCATGAATCAGGACTGACTGGAAGAAATAGAGGTTTCTTTGGAAGGAGAATAAAGGCCTGGGGGATATTTACATAAGATTGAATGAAAAGCCGTTAGTGTGTAGACAGGCAGGGCAAGTGATCAAAAATGTATGTGCGGGAAACGGAGGAGAAGCGGGGTGTCTGAGACCTCGTTTTTTGTCGAAGCACATGCATCACAAGATAGTGCATTTCCCAGCGTTATCGGACGACTTCGAAGGTTTAACAGTCAATGCTACTCTGGCAGCCTCCGTGAAGGCTTCGTTGACACCGCGATTTCGCATGGCGGAGCATTCTATCGTAACACAGTGAGGGGCGGGATTAGCAGGGATTTTTTTTTTTTTTTTTATTTCTTCCTCTTCTCTTTTCCTTATCTTCCGCCGGGTGGATGTGTTCTCTTTAACCCCAAGTGGGGAAAATTGTGAAATAAGTAGTGACAATACCTAAATATCTCAAGGCACCAATTCTCTTTGCAACCTCCAGTCCCTTATCGTACTTGACGATTGGTTTCTCCTGAGGTTGTGGTTCCGCATTCTCGTCCTCCTTTTCGTCCACCTCCTCTCTCAAGTCGCACTTCAATGCGACTAGGACAATTTTGGCTCCGGCGCAATGTTCCGCAATTTCAGCCATCCATTTTGATTCGACGTTCTCCAGGGAGTCTTTGCTATCGACCTATATTTTTCCACCACCCGTTCTGAGCAACTGCTTACATTTATGAAAGCCACTAAGAAGAGACGGAATGCGTCAAACCATGAAAAGGAAGTCAAGGAAGAAGCTTACGCTAAAACATAACATTATGACTTGTGTGTCGTCGTATGATAGCGCACGGAGACGATCGAATTCTTCTTGTCCAGCGGTGTCCCATAGAGACAGTTCCATATGAATGCCATCGACGTAAATATCTTAACGAGGAAGATTAGTATTGGTATTTTGTCTTGCCAGCAGTTGGATGGACTCCAGACGCGGATGGAAGTGTAATATATATACCATGAACATAGTTTTCTATTTATCAACCAGTTAGTGGGAAGTTCGCGAGCGATTGAACAGTAAAAGGGATGTCGCCTCGCACCAAAGACAGTTGGCTCACTGCAATCGCAGACAAGGGGTTTATATATCACTTTGGTCAATGCTGCTGCTTCCTCCACCGGCATTAAGGAGACGGGATTGCCAGATAGGAAAATGGACAGATAGAATGGCATCTTACTAGACTGTAGGGAAGAACCTGTGGAACACAAAACGACGCAATATGATCAGCAGGAATTCGAAACCGCATTCACTGTCCTTATTTCTTCTTCTTCCTGCCAATATCACAGCGTGCTGTAGAACGCCGCGGCTTTGATTCGCCGGGAAGTACGGATGTGCCTACCCTCTTGTGAACACATTCAGCAGTGATGTTTTCCCGCATGCGCCGTCACCCCTATTGACCCATCAATCCAGTATTAGCCAATATTATCCATTTAACGAGGCTTTTTTTTTTTTTTTTTTTTTTTTTTTTTTTTTTTAAAGCAGTTTGAAAGAGTGATAGAGAGGGAGGTATGCGGGACGGTGGTAATGAACAAGTGTCGAAGGTATCGGGGGTGCGGAGAGGAGTGTCGGGCTCACAGGAGAACAAGTTTGCGTTGAACGGTCTTCTCCCGCCTGCATAAACTCATCATGACGAGGGCGGGGGGATCGGGGACCACGACGGAGTAAGGATGTGTAAGATGGGAGGGGTATAAATAAGAAGAAGATCGTAGAATTATTTATTTAGGGCTCGCAATAGTCTCCAAATTGATCCTGGGCTGATGGGAGTTGCGCCTGGAAATTAGTAAAATGCGGGAGGGAAGACAGGGTTGAGCGAAAAGAATGGAGAACAGGTGGAGAGGCAAGAAAGAAGAATAGAATAAAAGACGTATAAACGGTAAACGATATCGACGTGAATTTGGGAATGGTTGATGAGGAAGAGAAAAACGCCAAAAGTGTCAAGACGTGAACACAACGCAGTCTGGATGTAAGCGCGGATTAATGACATCTTGTGCCCAGTCTCCTTCCCATCAAGATTTTCTCCACCCATAATCCTTGGAGATGTCTGGGAATGCCTGGGAATGCCTGATGCACTAGGCAACATGCAGTTAAAGCGCCGCCTAAGATTAGCTGAAGCAGGCCCAAGCTTGGCGTGATCAGCCTGGGAGCAACCGTTCGCCCGCCAGAATAACAAGTGGTCAGCCACTCATTTCGGGTAACTCTCCGGGTACTGCCATCGGCTCTCCGGTTCGAGAGTCTGGAGCTTTTCAACTGGGATCCATTTTCATCGACTGTGGAATTAATACAAAGCGATCTAGCATTTATCCTCGTGTACAGCCTAGAATTAATAGAAGAGTATATTAAGAAATGCGATAAATATTTGACTAATACCCCGTAGGAAGGAAGTTGATGGATCCCATTTAAGTTAGTTGCAGCTAATTATGGCGGTCCGATCCACTATTTAAAATTCTGTAGTGAACAAGAACGATTGCCACCAGCAACTGTTATGAAATTGAGATATTGTGTCTCTGGCTTAAGACTGAAACAAGGTAAAAACAGCAAACTTGCATGTTAAAATACCTCCTGTCCTTGTCCATGTGTTATATCCAGCCCATCCCAATAACAAAAAACAACTCAGCCAAATACCAGCTAAACGCCAACCATGGAAGAATGCAGGAAAAAAAAAAAGTAGATGGAACAAATGACACAAACACACCAAAAGAAGGGGGGGAGGGGGAGGAGGATATGAGGCCTACCCAACGGATATCAAAAGGCTTATGAATGCATCCGATGAAAAGTACTACCTAGCAAAAGTCAAAATGAAACAAATTCCCTCGTCCTAAAATGCCTCCTGCTCTTTCTCGATATTCCTTATCCCTCGTCGAAGCCTATCCGCCAGATCAATTTCTCCAGCGCGGCGATTCAGTCCACCCACGAATCGACCCTTGCCACCGTATTTGCTCGATTGCGCGCGAGCCATCTCGTCTGCCTCTCGCGCTTCTCGCTCCCGCTTGTCAGCAGCGGCTAAGCGTGCAGCACGAGCTTGGTCTAGCTCGTTGGCGCTTTGTTGCATAGTTGCTAACTTGGCCTTGCGCTCTTCATCACTTATCGTGGTAGGTGCAGCTGTAGTAGGTCTAGCTTCTCTTGATGGAGCGGCAGTATCGGACCGGTGACGAGACGGTGGTGGAGATACCCCTCGCGAATGATGCCAACTCTCTTTTCTGGAATGTGAGGCATTTTCTCGAGGCAAACGGTGCGAGCGGTCCGGTGAACGGTCGCGCAGATGTGGAGAGTATGGCCGTCGACGTTGATCGGGAGATGGGGAGCGTCTTGATAGATGGTGATCTGGGGGTGGATTTCGGGATGGCGATGGCGAGCTGGATCGGCGCCGTGATCTGTGTATCCGATTATGGTGGCTTCGTCTGTCATTCTCATCATGTCTCCTGGACCTGTATCTGTCACTCGTATCGTCGTGTCGCCTCGATCGATGTCTTGAAGTTCGCTCATCATCTTCATCGTCCCTGTGTCGATGCCTCCGGTGTTTTCGGCTCTTTTCTGACGACTGTGTAGTTACCACACCAGCTGCTTTAAGAAGCTGTTTCCTTCTCACAGGATCATTCATCATCGCTTCGTAGGCAGCCTGCTCTTGTTTCTTTATGGCAAGCATAGGGTCTTCTCTTACTTTTGCAGCCACATCCCTCGCAGTATTTGCGTTCTGCAAAGCCATAAAAGAGCCTTCGGTGGAGGATTTCTGTAGTTTTGAATTCTCTGAGCCTTTGATGAGATCATCAATGCGCCGTTTCCCCAGAAGATATCCTTCCATCTCCTCTGTTGTGCCTGTCTGCCCCGCTGCCGGCCCTGAGTACATCCAATCTACGCGGTTTAATCGTTTCTTTCCACCTGCTGCTTCTTGCATTTCCTGTAACTCCTGGATCTGCCGCTCCTCTTGCCGTTCCTTCATCATCTGCTCGATCCGCTTGCGCTCCTCGAGTGCTTTCTTTTGTTCGAGCCATACCCGCTCCTGGTTCTTCTGGAGAACGGGATGCCAGGACTTTTTCAGATTGAGATCGCCTCCCATTTTGGTAATGTGTATGGATGTGAATATATTGAAAGTAATGCCCACAGGACCAGAGGGTGTGAGTAGAAGGTCAAATGTCCCTCGAAAGTGCTATCCGACAACGGCGGCAAAACTTGGGAAAAGAGCCGCGCTAGTCCGGATATATCTAGTAGCGTCTTGGCGTTATCTTTCTCCACCTTCAAACTGGAGTAAATAGCTACAAATAGTATAGAGAACATTTTACGACTCACCATACCTTTGCTATGATATTGCTCTTGTATATCATCACACTTGAAGTTACAGATTGCGATCCCTATACTCCGAAAGTCAACACTTTTCTACAGAAACTCCTAGCTCTATCCAGTCAAACCGGCTTTGGTCGGGTCCACGTACCCGCTTAACCTTCCAAGATGTCGGACGACGATTTTATGCAGGACTCCGACCAGGAGGAGTGCGTAATTACCATTTCCCCACAAGCTTCGCGCTACGACTGCTAACTAATTATTATAGATATGACTTTGAGTATGAGGACGCCGATGAAGATGAGGCTGGGGATGTTGGAATCGAAAATAAATACTACAATGCAAAGCAGATTAAAGCGGATAACCCAGAAGAAGCTATTAACGAATTTTCAGAAATCCCCGCTCTAGAGGAGGAGAAAGGCGACTGGTGCGCCTCCGTTATCTCAACTTTGAAACTGGAGGAGGGTTTTGCTGACAATTAATATCTCGCTGATCTAACAGGGGATTTAAAGGCTTAAAGCAAGCGATAAAACTAGAATTTAAACTTGGTCGATATGAAGATGTAAGTGCCAACTATGCCCTCTACAGTGATGTTGTGTTGGTGGTGTAACTAATAGCAATGCGCTCAGGCCGTTGAACATTATCGCGAACTGCTCACCTACATTAAATCCGCCGTCACAAGAAACTACTCCGAGAAATCGATCAATAACATGCTGGATTACATCGAAAAAGGGTCTGATGACGCAAAGGCGTACCATTGCATGGAGAAATTTTACTCCTTAACGCTGGACTCCTTCCAGAATACCAACAATGAACGGCTTTGGCTAAAGACTAATATAAAGTTGGCCAGACTCTGGCTTGATCGCAGAGAGTACGGCCTGCTAAGCAAGAAAGTGAAGGAGCTACATCGAGCATGTCAGCGGGAGGATGGGACGGATGATCCAGCTAAGGGGACATATTCACTGGAGGTCTATGCCCTGGAAATCCAGAAATTCCACCACATTGGAGCATAAACGGTTAAAAGCACTCTATCAGAGGGCGCTCACCGTGCGGTCCGCCGTGCCACATCCGAAAATCATGGGAATAATTCGCGAATGTGGGGGAAAAATGCACTTGAGCGAAGAAAACTGGAAAGAGGCACAGAGTGATTTCTTCGAATCGTTTCGGAACTATGACGAAGCTGGCTCAATGCAGAGGATCCAGGTCCTAAAGTACCTTGTTTTGACAACCATGTTAATGAAGTCTAATATCAACCCCTTCGACTCCCAAGAGACCAAACCATACAAATCAGACCCGCGGATATCCGCTATGACTGACCTAGTCGACGCCTTCCAACGCGATGACATCCACGCGTACGAAGAAATCCTTCGCAATAACCCGGACGTCCTCTCAGACCCCTTTATAGCCGAGAACATCGACGAAGTGAGTCGTAACATGCGCACCAAAGCCGTCCTCAAATTGATAGCCCCTTATACTCGCTTCAGCCTCGCCTTCATCTCCAAACAAATCAAGATATCCCTCCCCGAAGTCCAGGATATCCTCAGCTTCCTAATTCTTGATCAGAAGATCCCAGATGCGACGATTGACCAGGAAACTGGCGCCGTCGTCATCAATAGGGCTGACGACCATGAACGACTGCAAGCTCTGGGGACCTGGACATCTCAACTAAACTCGTTGTGGCGGAGTGTTTTGACCAATGCGGACGGGTTTAGAATCGAGGATAGTGCTCGTATCCACGCGACTTTGGTGAATACCGACGGGGGTTATGGGCAGTTGGGTCTTGCGGGAGATGTTTTGCCATCTCCAGAATTCCGAAAATTGGGTGTTGGTCGGGCAAAGCGGGATTGGAAAGGGAAGTCGGGGATTGCAAAGGCATTCTCACGAGCTCTCTGATATTTTTTCACGAATGAGCTTGTTTTGGCTCTTGCCCTTGCCTATCGTTTCATATGTATTTGGAATTCTCTTGCTGCACCTTGTTTTAATCGAAACATCGGGCCGCTGGCGAATTTTATAGAATTATAGAAACGATGAGGGGCTTGTTGTTTACTCTCAACCAAGACAAATGAGAGTTTCGCAAGCCCCTTTACAACCACGGCGGAGTGGATGGTCGCCAAACCAGTAACCCTCACCCCTTTGTTCCTGATTATCCGGCGGCCAGAATATATCCAACGACCTGAATAACAAGCTATGGTATATTAGACGAGCTACGTGGTCTTAAACAAAATGTCTTTCTCTTCATAACTCATAGCAAGCAGTTGTTTATGACCTTCCCACCAGCCTCTATCCGAATCTTAAAATCCCGTTGCTATTCCAGAGAAATGGAACCAAAACCGCATACGGATTATACAGATTACCTAGCTAGAAGTTCCATTTCATCAATCCCAAATAACAAATGAGGTGCGATCCAACCATACGGCCATCTCCGTCAGAAGAATACGTGAAAAGCTAGATCTAGATTTATTCAGGACACTGTCACCCCTCGCTGTTCTCGCGGTGCCGTTCAACCTGAAAACTGCATACAGAGTATTTATGCACGTACATCACCTACTGAATCGTATATCATATACCTTTGCTGTTCGAGATAATAGGGCGAGTGAGCCAGTGGATAAATCCATCACCACGAAGGCTTGCACCCCGGTAAGAAAGCGCATATTAGAAAAGGAGATCTTCTGCATCATAGCAGGTGCAGGCTGCCAGGTCAACAAGACCCTAGTCCCGATTAGCTGCAAAGTGTCAAGTGTCAATCGCTCCCTTGGTGATCATCAACCTTGCATGGAACGCGCAGAAAGTGGAACCAGAGTAGGTTTCTTGACTACCAAATCCCGCCCAAGCACTGGGCCAAGGAAAATGTAACGTATGGGCATAGCTGCATAACTTACTCCGCAGTAGTTATTGGTAGAAAAGTGTGGCGACTGGTGGATGAAGGGAGTGAAAGAGATTGATATTGCTGTCATTTGGCACTTACAGACGTACTCATTCTTCAGGAACGATCGATTTCCAAAGTTAAGCCGCTTTCGCTCGGACATCAAGTGAAATTGAAGAGTGAAGAGTTTGTTCTCAGATAAAGTTTTGTGGGCTCATATGCACAATGCATGCAATGTATGGCACGTAGATCTCCTCTCTAGCCATCCGCTGCTAGCTTGAAGAGCTAGTGTAAGTTACTGGACATCAGAGAAACTCAGAATAGAGGTGCTGATAAAAGAAAACTATGCTCCGCCAGGGTCGAGGCGAGCCATACACAACCTCGCGCCAGTATGCTCGCATACCATCATCTTTGAACAGAAGGTGATGATTATGTCCATATACCGCCAGTCGAGACTTCAACAACCTAGCCCGTTCTCACATCTTATGCAACCCATCGCGTAGCTCCTTTTTGGAAACCAGAGATCTATCAAGCCCAAGTTATAATATTGGTTGGGCCAGTTGCCAAACAAACCCTTGGGGAGCGGAAAACAGAGTATGCTCTGAACCGAGTCTGTCCAATGAAGCAGAGCCATGAAATAAAGAAATTGCCGTTTATTTTTTTCAATATATCTTTCCCTTTACGTCCGTATGGTCATTCACGTGTTGGTTCATAGGAATGTCCATTTTTGCCTGTAAACAGCTGTACGTAGAAGTATTGCACGGAGGGGTAACGTACAGGTGAATCTACACCCTTGGGCCTTTTGATCAAAAGCACAAGGCTATATAAAAAGGTGCTCCGCGTTTCCGAGGGTGAGTGGTTCGTAGCGAAAGAGGTGGTGGCCTGTGCGACAAATCTTCAGCAGGATGTGCAGCACGGCATGATGCGCGCCGAGCACATCACTCTAGTTGTAGATCCTGACGATCATTTTAGCATGAGCGAGATTCTTCTCCTTCACCAAATGCCAAACCAGACGCCAAAAGACCTTCCTTGCATGCGCTAGAAATTTATTTGGTAAGCATGGTACAGATCAGTTGGCAAGCCCCCCAAACAGTTGGGGTGGGTTCAGGGGCTTGATGCCTAAAGCTTGGCCCATACATAGCCTATGTGTGAAGACTGGATGTATTATTGCGCCTTAATATTGAGACTTCCAGTTAAATTCCTAGCGTGTGCAAGAGACTTTGGTTCACACCGTAATGTTATCTTCATTTTGCTCGCAAAATCAACCAATGTGTGGGAAGGGAGATTCACGGAATCAATGCCGGCGGATCTGCTGAAAAAATAAGAAAAGAAAAAAAACCCGGTAGATCTCGGAGTTATCCGGTTGACTCTTGATATCCCCAGAAGGCATCAAGGCGACTTTGGGAACCAAATTCTGATCTCCGACGCATGACCCAGTAGTTCTTGTCACAGGCGATAACGTATAATAGGAGGGATCGGCTGTTTCTCGCCTGCGACAGTATCTTAACGCAGTTTTCTGTGGGAAAGACTTGCCTTACACTTGTTTAACCACGTATGCCATAGTAGATCACCAATCCGTCAGATTTCATAGACGAACTCCACACCCATTTTCCCGCTCCGAGGTGAGATGCTGTGCTGAACTCCGCAGGATCGCCCAGACACTAACAAAATGATTATCACCTAAAGTTTGGGAAAATTCGTTGAAATTTGGGAGATAGAAAGCGGCAGAGAATCTGCGCAATAGATTTCTAGATAACGCCCTTGGTTTCTTGATGCGACTTCATGTCTAACTGGTTGCAGTCATTGATTTTAATGTTATGGGGTGTATCTGGAAAATGATTATCAGACGCTGTATACAGTTCTGAGGATTTGCCATCAACACATGAGCATTATCCCCATTCTTGCAAGCAGCTACGGGTTCGTTAATATGACGAAAGGAGCAGGTTCCCCAACAACGTACCCGATAGCATGCTCTCGGGAGCGACCAAGTAATTGGAGTCGTATGATTTCCCGTATTTGAGGAATGTTTCAATGTAGTTATACTCGCGGTTCGGGAATAGAAGAGAATGTACTTCCGCGAGAGAGCGTCAATACCACAAGGTATACTCTATCCTGGACACTCGATAGGCATTACTGAATATCTGGTTTTACGGTTTTGGCGTCTGGAGATGTCCAAAGCGCCGCGTTTGCCTGCCGGGTCGTAGTCACGGAGCGTTTTGCCTATAACTAATCCGAGCTCGACTTCAAAATGTAGGCTCACTCGGACGGTCCGCTTGGTGTGAAAATCTTTCCCCAAACGATTGGTAAATGTATACCAAGGTGGCTATGGAAGTTTGCCATATTCCTTCCCTTTGGGAACTAGGATTGCTTGTTGTTTTGAGCCAACGATCAAACTGTATACTCGACATTTGAGCAAATTAGTAGTTGATGGTAAGGGGGACTGCACGACTAACACATTGTTGTTGGATGGTCGAATTTTCGTTCGAACCACAGAGCGAACAGTAGGAGCTTCGATGTCAACTCACAAGCCATGACCATAAAATTTTCCTCTTTTCTTCGCCAATGGCAGGTAACGGATTTCACAATTCTGTGTTCGAACCTGAAAATAAGGAAAAGGAATGCCGGGAGAGTGGAAGAACCAGAAAAATAAATCACTAATGGTCATCACACTCACAAAAGTGAGATCAAACAATGACCCAAATATACTCCGTATTCTTGACTAAACTTGGAGACCAAAGGAAGAAAAATCCCCTCCACTGGTTTCCCAATTTTTTTCCCGCCTTTCTTTTTTTGTCATCTTTTTCCCCCAGCACATTGAGCTATCAATATCTGTCAGCTTTATACTCTCATCACACGGATGCGTGCTGTTTTGTTTGTTCCAGAATTAATTGATTGTTTGGCCCTGAGAAGGCGGGCATTTGGTGGAGAGGGCCATTTGCTGATATGCAATGATATTATGCATGTGATACAAGTAAGAACATATCTGCTATTTTTGATAGAAAGCACGATAGCCCAATCTTATAATCTAGAATGCTGCGAACAAACAGCAGGTAAAGCCAACGGGCTGAGAGGAGTTCAACTCCTGGTTCGATATGCGACTGGTGGAATGTCGGGACTTCAGAGCCTTCGAGTCTTAATAACTGGAGGGTATCATCAACGAGGCATCCTCTTGAACACTTTATCTGATTCAATTGGTAATGCTTCCTGTTGATCAAAGCAAGGGACAGAAAGAGCTTCAGCGGCGTGTAAGGGGTCTTCAAACATGTTTTTGCTTGGGCTGTGGACCTGGAAAAAAAGCAAATCACCAATTTGTGAGGGAGAGAAGTGAGTGTATTCAGAAATGGAGATATGTCGGGTTTCGCGTCTGATCAATTTTTTGGTTTCGGTGAGTATCCGTCATCAATCCACGGTTCACTGAAGATTAACGGAAGGTTGCGGGTGCCGGCTTTTCTATGGAGGACATAATTGCCACACCCAAAAATAAAATGGTCGAGGCAGGAGGTAATTCCTCTTCGCAAATTGTCAGAAGATAAATCTTTCAATTGAAATTGATGCGTAACATGATACCCCCTTAAAAGCTCTGTAAACATAGTTGCACCTTTGCCTAGTTTGTCGAACGCTGCGATATAACCAGTAAATAACTATTGCCAGAGCCTTCATGTCAGGGGCAGCAACAGCGACAAGCAAAAGTATAGCGCAAAAGTGAGTTGGCAAACAAATGATAGCTTGATATCTTAGCTAGCGTTAGAAATAGCCGGTACCGAATGAGCGAATGTTGGTAGTTGAGGACCGATGGAACGACAGCAGCCTTCAACCACTGATATTTTAACAAAGGATCCGTGGGGGATCGACACGACCAGGTTTAAATGTGTTAGACAATCTTTAGAACCAGCGCCTTACGGACATACCTGATAGCCAACCGTTGGAGGGAGTGACGATGTATTGCTTATGTGGCCAGGCTTGCTGGGAGCAATAGGGAACAGAAACAACAAAATGAACGTTCGGAAGAGAGAGGCATGAAAGTATCAAAACCTATTTTTTGATGATTCAGCTTGTGTTTAAATAGAGCATTTGAGTTGAGCGCATGCCGTGTCAGGAAAAAAGCCGTAAAGTACCATGCAATGCACTGTATGTACTGTACGCTACAACCAGAAACGGAACCAGGCACCGGATAAATCAGTGTCCACGGCAGTCCTGCGCTCCCTAATTTGTAGATATCTCGTGGCCGTGGCTCCGCCGTGAATATATGCGTATTCTGGAGAAATGGGTCTTTCGGTTTCAGCTTCGGTTATAATAAACACCCGACTTGATTCAATTCCATCAGTTGCCAAACTTTATGGCAATGGACTCCTCTCCCACTCCTTCAACTATTGCAAATGGAGTTGTGGCGGGCTCTCTTATATTTCTCAAGCTCAAGTGACAAACTATATTTCCGGGCAGGTGGTGATAATTTCGAGCTAGGCAGATAGCAATTTGTTTTTCTTAGAAAATTTCTCTCATTAGAAATTTGGAGGATACCGCCTGAAACGAGAACTCGAGGCTTGGGTATTGCTGGGCAAGGTGTTTTTTTTTTTTTTTTTGTCGGGAAAACGTCCTAGACTACGAAAAAATAGCCATTCTGTAAATGACATCCCGAAAAACTAAGAAAATATCCCTGGCTTATGCCCACGGATATGAAGGAACAGTAACTGGTAATTCTAACAGCCGCCTGCCGTTAGCCTTCCGCGCAAATTATGCTTGTACTGACTTGACGATTGAAAGGTACCTTGGCAACAAGAATGCACACTGCATGGCTGCGCCATAATCATTGCCTTGGTTGGTGTTGCTCGAATTGATTCGTGATTTGACAAGATTTTCGCTGCATGTGCATGGTCGCCTTGCATCGTACATGACAATCCCACACACCAATGGCCGTTTGAGAGGTAACCAAATGTCCATCCGCTTCTCAAAAGTCACTGCAGAAGGTTATCCTCTGGAACTTGCGCCATACGCTGCGTATATCAGAATCTCATTTCAGCAAATATGCAGGTGCTGGGCAGGCGAGTCGAGTGAGTGCTTGACAAGTTCACTGTGCCAACTCCCAGGGGACGGTTTTGGTGACCCAAACCTTTTCATCAGCTGTTCTTAGTGCTGTAGCGAATCATGCCAAGCCAGTAGCCATTGGTCCGGAATTGCAGCATGACGGATGGCATTGGGATTACTATTTGCGGTGAGGAGAATGTCTTGTGTGTGTGGTTGGTGTTTTTGGTGACCAGGAAGTTGATCGTTGTTCGTGTGCTGCTGAATAAGCAGCCCTTCGGGATCTCGCAGGTTGCTCAACTTTCAAGCCCAATGACAAAATCCCCCAAGTTTCCAACATACACTCGACATTCTTGCAAACAATCAATTACTGCAGTGCTGGTTCTGTCCCTCCACTACGCCATGCAGGTCCTATTCGTTGCCGTTGTTTGATCGCTCATGTTCCAAAAAGAAGCCGTCCCGAAGTCATGGCAATAGTTGAATCTGAGTAGCAACTTCGTGACTACCGATCCACTGACACGAGGGGCTCTTGGTAGCTATTGTCCACCTCGCCAGGCGGCCTCAGAATACCATAATACATAAACTCGACCTCCTCCTTCATAGCTATACTAATACGGAGCAGGCTCTCCCGTTCCTGTCAATTGACGTGAGTCCTCGTATCGTTTTTCTTCTGCTTCTCTACTCTGCTGTTGATGTTGTCAGTGCTCTGTATCTGTTATGCATTGCCTTGTGCTCCCAATGTAATCTAATTAGTCACTGTCTTATTTGACATTGGTTAACTTTTTAATATATACATTCTGTTTCCCTTCCGTTTTTCCTCAGAAAATTGGGATCGGTTGCTGTTGCTGGAAGTCCTTTTTTCCCTTTGGCGAAAACCCCAGAAACACAAAAAATATTGATTGGTTGTCCTGGTTCAATATTTCCCGACATGCAGTCCCAAGCAGTTGCGCCGGACCCTTTCAACCTTGCTTACTTTCAATTTTACTTTTCTTCAGCATATCACTACCGAACATATCGGATAGCTCCTGTATTCCAAGATATATTTTACGCCCCATATCCAGTTCATTTCTACCAAGCATCGACATACAACGTCACCATGAGCAACATTCCCTCATCTGGCAACATGGCAGATCCGGATCATATGTTGGAGTTCCAAAAACTCTCCAATCACTATGAGCCGGACCTACAGGTGAGGAGCACCTCTCTGACCTATTTTGGACCTACTGACTAATCGGTTCGTAAAGGGTCCTCTAGTAGGCCCAAAACAATCGAGCAGCATGATAACGTCCGAATACGCGAACGCTGATCCTATATATGTTGCAAAGACTACTGTATGTTTTGGCGGAACATTGCTCATTTCCATGAGGGATGGGGTAGATCTTGAGGATTGTAGGGTTGACTGCCGGTAACTAGGCGCTCTCTCATACCCATTCGCATTACCGTATTATGAAAGGCGATGGAAATTGCGGGTGGAGAGGTGAGCGGCTTGAATGAACCCCCTTAGCTATCTTGTACTTCTGAGACTTATACCCTACGCTAGCTGTTGCTTTTGGATATTTTGAAACGTTATTCAATCTACGAGATACTGCAAAAGTGACACAGGAGCTGGCGCGTCTCAAATCCTTCAACAAGCTCCTGAACTCCGCTGGATGCCAGGAGCATCTCTACGAAATGTTCGTTGACGCCACCGAGGAGCTCTTGAACCAGATATCGCAGGAGATTGGGAAAGGAAGCTTTGACGATACCTTCCTCTTTAACGCGTTTAACGACGAATACAATTCCTCCTCTCTTATTATGCATTTTAGGGTGAGACCAAGCGAATCTCCACCTCCATAACTTCTAAAGGTTTTACTTAACCAAATTGGTATGGACTAGTTAATGACGAGTGCTTGGATGAAATTGAATTCCAGCCGTTATACGGATTTCCTTGGGGTGTCTGTTGGGGAATATTGTGAAAAGACAATTGAAACAGTTAAAACCGAAATCGATGAAGTAGGCCTCCAGGGCCTATTCGACGGAGTCATTGAAGGGTCAGGGCTTGCTATCGAGATTCTCTACCTTGACAGGAGCGAGGGGACGGAAGTCACCCCTCATTTGCTCTCACCGAATAGTCCCATCGCAACCATCAGACTTCTTTATCGGCCGTAAGAATTCCCGTCTTACCCTGTATCGCGAACTAGCAGATGCTGAAATAGTATGTAGTGGTCACTACGATCTCTTATATCAAACCGATCAAACAAGACACGATCAAGGACTCACATCAGTGAACTTCCAATACGCCATGAGTTCTGACTATCTGCCCTGGTATTCGAGCGCGTTGCCGTTTGATTTGAACCCAGTTTTGATGTCCATACCAAGTCTCCCCCTCAATACAAGCAGTATTTCGCCACAAGCGCCCTCTAGCCAACCATACACGTTTTCGGGCAGACATATTGACCCAAACATTCCACCTCCGGTGGTTTCCCAGCCTCCACCAGCTCCCTCGCAACCCTCTTCAATCTCCAGTTTTCCTGTCAGTCCAGTTTCCACTCCGGATAAATCCACAGAACTCCAGATTAGGATGAATCCATTAGTGTGTGAGCCAATGAATACCCTCCCGCTACCTTCTATACCTCTCAGCAAGTAGGTAGATTCTTACAAATCATTATATAACTATGTTGCCACATTCTACCCTATAATACTGACCCAACTCATAGCTCTCCTACAAATCTTGCACACTTCCACCATCCCGATTTCCAGCCTTCCCAATGGGATCCGAACGAGGAGTATAAGTAACAAACTGGGCTTGCTTTATCCCATTGATGAGGAGGTAGCTTTACCGTGATGATAAACGACCTTTTGCGCCATATCACTTTCCGTAGAACCTATATTCCATTTTCAACTGTTTCAATATTTTTCCCTTGAATTTCAGCGATATGGCGTTCCTGCCGGTGGGGTATGTGTCAAAGTTTCAATACTTCCCGAGTCTTTCGTTCACTTATCAATACTATCCTTTAGTTCGAAGAGCTTATGGCCGGTTATTAGCGCCTGTGTTACATTTTCTCACTGTCATACCTACATACAGTTGATAACGCATATTTCTCAAACGCAGTTTAACATATGAATTTAACCGTTTCTCATCATGCTTCTTCTCCCCCGTAGAGGTTGGCGGAGGGATACAGCAAAAAATGTGTTAGCAGTCATTAGGGATTGTAATGTTATTTTCCAATCTTGTTAATTTTGGGTTTTCCATCGTAGGTATGATTGATGTCTCGGTTGCAGATACACGTGCTTTTCTCCTCGCCCATATACGAAAATTCACTAGCACTGACGGGCACGGATAATCACAGTATTGCAGCATGATCACTAACACTATTATTGCGATTTTGCATGATCTAATGTTGTTATGTGTTCGTTAGGCTCTCGTCTGACCTTCCAACGGATCGATCAACTGGTTTTTGGGATGTGATTCTTAAATAATTTTAAATGCGCTCAATTAATAAAATTTGATAACCGAATAATGCGCTACTGGTCGACCGTATCACCCAGAGCGATATATACTCTTTATATCACTAAAGGCCACAATCGAATCATTTTCTCGTACAATTTCAATACCCTAAGGTGCCCGGAGCATATCAAACATTAGTACCAAACAAACTCAAAACAGTCGTTGCGCTTATCAAGGAAGGAGGGGAAAAGAAAGAACCGAACATGGACGACCAGTGCATTCCTCAAACGAGACTGACGCCAATATTGGGAAACATGAGTGTGACCGAAACGAAAAGGATGAGCCGAGAACTGCAAATTATGCATTCAACCCTGCCGGTTCCCCAGTCAAATTCTGCGGATAAGGCTGTGTCAACCAGGAATTATTTGCAGTTGAATTGTTCGGAATGGTTGTTGATGAAGAAATAGACGTCATCCTCCTCCTATGCTGGAGACCGTGAGCACCATCCTTTAAGCTCCGTATATCCTGCAGACCCATGTCGAACATGAGCGAGTTGGAGAAGAGCGCAATACCCGGATGCAAAATCTCTCTCTGTCGTATGTTGGATTTTTTCCCGATATCGCTTCTTTTATCGTTGGTGATGTCAAATTCACCGATGATTTGTGGGAATATCACGTATGATTCGGGCTTTTGATGGATTGCGAATGATTGGAACGTGGTATGGGTTGGGCTTTCGGATCCGTTATTGTTGCCATTTCCATTGCCATTGATGTCATTGACGCCGCTGCCGGGGAATGAAAAGGGAGGAATTACCGAATCTTCGTCAACCGTCCATACATTCCACGAGTCATCATTCTTTAGACCTGGAGTGCTGTTGATTGTTATCGCGCATCGGTCCTTACGTCGCAGGGACCAGATTTTTAGTGCAGCTTTGATAATTTCAGCTACCTGCTCTCTAGCAGAGGCGATAGCTTGTTCATCATTTTGGATAAGCGGTTGCAGCATGTCAACCGCTTCCTTTACTGCTTGGTCAACGGTCTGCGTGATACCGGAAAACCTGGGCAACTTGTCAAGTGCCTTGACGGTTATTCCTCTCCAGACCTGTTCTTCATCCGGACTCAGGGCGGCACATATAGTGCTCAGAATGGCCTCGTCGTGTTCGCCACTACTATCTGTGCTGCGCCTGATAAGCAACCTGTTTTGGAATATTGAAACCAACGTCCCCGCTATAAAATTGTGCACACCAGCCTTCCGCAGAGATGTGGCCACCGGAGTAGGAGAGGAGGAGGTATAGTCGAATATGCCACTCGCTTGTCTAAGTTTGCCTAAGCTTCCTAGTGGACCGAAGATCTACACAATGGAAAATTGAATTAGTGCAACATCAGATTGTGGCTCACGCTGGGTAGCAATCATACCAATTCAACATCCTTAGGGACATTCTCAAATCTCATCACGAAGTCTCCAATAAGTCGGGACAGATCCGCTATGTATTTTTTACTGACGGGAAGGATGCGTCAGCCATGAACTCGAAAGAAGAAAGAAAGGAGGGGAGAAAAAACTTGTTCTCCATCTACCTGCAGCATAAAAACGTAAAGATATAGAACTTACTACTCAGTGAACGGCGTGCTAGAAACCGCCGTTTCAGCGCTCAACATTCGCAATTTATCCTGGAGCGTTGTCACTTTGTCCCCCAGGCCTTCGTTTCGCTCCTCCAAGATGTCCCGATATGCCATTAACCTGTTCACTTCAGTTTTCAGCTCCTTATTCAGTTTTATGGCATCATCCTTCTCCTTTTCAAGTTTTCGCTTCGCTGCCTCAACACGGCTCTCTGCAGCCTTCGCTTTTCCCTGATATTCTTCCTTGACTTTCTTCTTTTCCTTTTCCAAGGCTTCCTCTTTTTTCTTCTCAAGTTTAGTCTCCCTTTCACGATACTTCCGCTCCTCCGCCTGGCGCTCATGCTCTAGTTTCGCCTTCTCCTTCGCGACAGTCTCCTTTTCCTGTGCAACTGAACGCGCCTCTGCCTTCAGTTTCTTGTTCTCTGCTTCGAGTTTCCCTATTGCCTCATCTTTATCTTCCTCGGTCTTTTTGATTTGCTCGTCCTTAATAGCAGAGATCGTCTCGAGCGAGCGTTTGAGCTCATTGACTTCATCCAATCGCTTGAGTTCATGTGCCGTGGCTGTTTTAATATCTTGGGTTCTTTTTTGAATTTCTGGTATTCTCAGGAAGCGAAGACCATCGAGAAGTACGCGCATGGAATCCCCAATACTTTCATCTTCGGCCTTCCAATCCCTCTCAATCGTCCCATTGCTGGCATGATTGGCTACCTTCTTCGCTAACATCTAGATCGTGCGAAGAGGGTTTAGGCTTGAAGTCAGCATCTCCATCTCAATGGCTGTACTACGGAGCCAAAATATCAATGTACATTCTCCTGCATCTACATACCTTCGGGTCTTGTGTTGAGCTCATACTGTATCTGTTGATATCACTTCCGCTGCTGGTACGGCGAAACCGCAGCCTATCTAAAGCTTTGTTAACAACGTAGTGTGTAGGAGATATGGTGCGCTTGTCTTTTATCGAAAAGATATGGTTTGGGGCCCCTTTTCCCATGGATATTCGATGTTTTATTTTATGCCACAGTACTGGTGGAGAGTCCCTTCTTTCTTAAATGCAGCAAATAAAAGAGAATAAGAACCCAAAAAATCAACTACATACACCAAAAAGTTCAGAAATTGCAGCTCTATATAAACATTTCTGTACTGGACATAAATAACCCCTTTACGACGTTTTTACCCCTCTCCATTCCTCAAATTATTCCGACATTCTTCACCACACTGACTGCAAATTGAGGCCTCCAACTTCTCCCTGACCCTTCTAACCGAGTTTCTGTCCTTTTGGTGATGCGTCATATTCGGATTGATGCATGGAAAACTTGCAGCAAGGCTGCAGATGGGGAGAGACTGTCGATCCACCCGAAGCTGTCAACGTGTTTCCTGCGTCGCGTATGACTCCTTTCACTTTTGTTTTCACTGTCGGTTCTTTGTTCTTGTGCAGGATAAGCGTTCTATAGGATAGCTTTTATCGCATAGACCTTCCGCTGGTGCGGGGTGAGAACCATTACGTGACAGCCTTACACGCAGAAGCGGGGCGATGGGTGGATGAGAGACCGCGGGGAAGTGTCAAGTCCTTGTATTTAAAGCTCAACTGGTTGCAAGCGGGCCAAGCGCCGATGCCGACGCCCGTTGACAATATACGCATTGATGAGGCATAAATGGGGTAATTGGTTAACTGGCATCATTGTCCAATCATGGAGCGATATTGAAGGTTGGTTATGCGGTGCGAGGGACACTCCCGCTCAAGTGTTCTTATTTTATTGGTTTTTAACCATCCTGGCTCAAATTTGCTGCAAAGCCCGTGCATCAAATTCTTCGAATCGAGGGATAACCATGGAATGTTTTTTTCATATTTGTCACAACCCTTGCCCAAGAGAGATGAACTCGCAGAATTTAGCGGTGGCCTTCAATCAGCGGAGTCATGCAATGAAGCAGGAAGCTCACTTGCGTCACATCCTCCTGAACCATAATGCCTTTCCGTCAATGTTTGGAGGAATAACTGTCAACTTCGACTACTACCTGGGAGAGGTTAAACGAGATAAAAGAAGAAATTTTAGACCGCGAGATGACACAGGCCAACACACTATGGCTTCGTCTGCGACTATTACGGCATGGCTCCTGTCCCCGGCCACAGTTCAGATGTATCAGTTGTGTAAACTTTGACTTGATAAGAGTCTGAACATTGTCGTTCTTAGCCCCTATTTACTTACCCCTTCGGCTAGCTTTGAGTGTTCCTTGCTTTGATACCCCTCCGTTGCACATCCCTAGTGCTCCAGCTATTCCAGCCATACATTTCTCAAGATTTGAATATCGATGCAGCAGGCTGTCAATATTTCACTTCCATTCTGCTGCGTCTCTCAAGAACGTCTAGCGCCACCCCTAGAGAAATCAACGCGACTACATATCCGGAGGTAAAGCTGTGGCTCACCCTCCTATCAACTCAAATGACGATATAAGGTATGACGAGCTTGTATTCAGAGGGGAGTGGGAGGCGACTTTTGACATGACTTAACACGTTATATAGGTTTTGTGAAGGTTATGGAGAAGATCGAGGTGGGGTGATTGAAATGCGGTGGTGATCCTGGTGTACTGGATTTCTAATATTCTGTTCGAATGCTCTCAAATGCACCGTAGACCTCCGTTAATTGAGCTGTATATTATAAGACGGATACAGTAATCAGCCGGCAAGAAGTGAGGCTAGATCTACTGCTAGACGGAATACTGACTAATAAACTAGACTATGTTGATATCGATACTATTCTTGAGCTGTCCTGCGGTTGAAAACAGCGAGGCCGTCCATTGGCTGAGAGAATGTGTTCGATACTCTTACATCGACATTGTGCACCCTTTTAGAAACAATATCCCTTTTTCCTCTAGCTGAGGGATTTCCTCTATGCATCCCCCACGTATATATGACCTATATTCCGCGCCCATTTGTTCAAATTTTAAATAAAAGAGAAAAAAAAAAGGAAGGAAAATCTGAGAGAACCTGCTAAAATCTCATTCCTATTGATCCCTCACAGCCCATTCATCGTTCTGTGTTCTACCGCCTCGTCCTCTACAACTGCCCAATCCCGCACCCCGCCCTTCCAATCTGCAATCCTCCCCTCCCTCACTTCGACGATAACAACCCTCGCACTTTCATCCATCGTCGCTCCAACCACAGTATCTGCATCCTCACCCTCCCTCGCCGCAGCAAAAAAACTCGTCCCATCCAGCGCATCATCAGATGCAAAAGTATTATTCTCCAAATGTCTCGCTTTACACCATCTCTCCTCTTCGGAGCCTATCTCTGCAAATCTTGCCTCACCAATGATAGTCGTGCTGATGCTGCTCAACGCACTGGTGTTGATATTAAGGAGGAGAGAGGCTAGGCTGGAACGGGTGGCTGCGGGAGGCGGGGAGCCGTCACGCGCCATGGTAGGATGGGGATGGGCTACGGAGCGGGTGGGCGGTCGGTGGGAGACCCAGTCGTGAACCAGAAGGGAGACACGCGGGTTTGAGAGGAGGTTTAGGGTTTTTCTAGAGGCAGTGTTTGTCGTCATAATTATCGTGGGGTGCGAGGTGAATGGGGTTGAGGGGAGGTAGGTGTAGCTCATCAGGGAGATGTAGGGGGTTAGGTCGTGGCACGTCGCTAGGTGGAGCTGGGGAGGAGAGTCAGCTGGTAATTCGGAAGCACAGGATAAATGTATGTACTTACGAATCTGGAATTCTTCAGACAGGAGACTACCTCTGGCGGCAGGCTGCTGGCGAAATGCGGATGGGTGGTGGTAGCGGAATCCTCATAGCTGAGCGGGGGATGGTGTTCCGCCATCTTTCCTACTTATTAACGCGATATGTAAAAGAGCGTAATGGCAAGAAGGCTGCCTGTATAACCATGTGCTGTTTATCGACTTCGAACTGGCCGACTAGCCAGCTTATAAGTTCTGTATGCAAAAATATTGGTGGGGAGCTTGTTGACGTCATCCCGTAAGTCATGTGATATATATACCAAAACAGTCTAGTGTTGCCTTCACCTCAGCCCCAGTCAAAGCTTCTCCTCTCCTCCTCTCCTGGCTCTATCCCAACGTCAATTCTCCTCGTTCTCCTCGTCTCTCCCTATTCCGTCTGTCTCTGCCTCTGTTTGTCAATTCCAGCAGGCTTCCTTTTCTTATCTCTGTGTTGATATATATTATTTCCATTTCCTACCAATCGATTGCTCTCTGTGGTCTGGCCTTTTCCGTTGGCCCTTAGATAGCTTGTGCCTGTAGCGTCGGCCCATCCTGGTTATCCCCTGTCAACACCTGGCCTTCCCCTCTTGTTTCTCATTTTTGGTCTTGTCGCTCGCGTGTTCAACCCAACTTCAACACGCACCGATTTCCCGTCCTTACCCCAACTCATTTACCCTGTTTGTGTCTACTGCTACTGCTTAACTCCCTTGCCATCCCTCGATCCCCGCATCAGCCCATACTGTAATTTCTGGTACCCGAGTTTGGTGGCTGATAGCTGGCGAGCAATATCCATCACTGCATTTTTTATCCGTTCGACACTTCCCAACGCCAACTGCCACTTGCTCTCTCACACCCAGACATACGCACTCACATACCTGTCCGTGCTATTTTTTACCTCCTGCGATTCGTATCATCATGCTCGGCCCACGTCTATTACGAATTCAGACCAGCTCCTGCACCTGCCCCTCGACGTTCCAACTGCGGCCCCTATCCACAACAAGCGCCCTATGCCGAGCTCCTTCGCTCAGAGATATCACCCCAGACAACGCAACTAGTTTCAACGCTAGGCAGAAGGAGTTCCGGGAGAACCTGGAAGCTGCTCGGAAGAAAAAAGAACAAGCAGAGAGTCAGTCGGGTCATGCTTCTCTCGTTTCTCCTGCTCCATTTTCCTTTACTTCTAGGCACTCTTCGGGCTCTGCGCGTCCCACTGCTCCACTTGTGAGCAATGCGAGCGAAAAGCCCGGTTCTGCCGCTGCCGCTGCTCCTGGTGTTCCTGATGCCGCGGACACTTTAGACACGCAAGGTTTGGGCTCACTTTCCACCCACCGCATTGTAGGAGAACACCGTCAATCCGATGCTAGCCACGCTCCAAAACGTGGTGCCTTGTCCAGCTTGATCTATGGCACAAAGGAAGGCCAGCAGCTGGACAAAGATATCGAGCGCTCTTTCTCGGAAGTGCTGGCGCGGGGGAAATACGTCCATTCGATCGTTTTTCACGAAGTTAAGCCGGATAAGGTGGATGAGTACGTCGATTTGGTTGGGCAGTGGTATCCGCGGATGGCCCAGATTGAGAACAACAAGGTCAATCTGGTAGGGAGTTGGAGGACGCAGGTTGGAGATAATGATACATTTAGTAAATAAATCTCCCCCTTAACCCCCCCCCCCCCACCCAATGCCAACTATCTCGCCAATTATGCAATTTTCAAGGGAAAGAAAGCTCACACCGAGTGATATGATATAGTCCACATATGGGAATACCAACGGTACTCAGGTTACCACGCCTCCCTCCACGCCATCTCGCAACACCCAGACTTCCGCGGCTTCGACCGCAGTCTCAAATCCCTCATCAATAACAAACGCACCTCCCTCATGCAAGAATTCTCCTTCTGGCCAACCACGCCCCCGCGCAAACTCGGCGGTCTCTTCGAACTCCGCTCCTACACTCTACACCCGGGCAACCTGCTCGAATGGGAAACACACTGGCGACGAGGCCTGCACGCACGACGCGAAGTCATGGAAGGTGTCGGTGCGTGGTTCGTGCAGATTGGCGAGCTGAATACTGTGCACCACCTGTGGCAGTTTGCAAATTTGGAGGAGCGGAAAATCCGACGCGAAAAGTCATGGTCGATTGAAGGGTGGGCAGATACGGTGCATAAGACCGTGCCGTTGATACAGTCTATGCAGAGTCGGATTTTGGTTCCTATGCCGTGGAGCCCTGTGGGTTAAAATTTTGTCTGATATGGTTTTTTTTTTCTTTTTCACCCCCATGAAAGGGATGAGATTGTGCGGGGAGGGGATGGGCTCCATCATCCGTCGCGGATTATATTATCTATATTTATACATCGGAAACACAAGATCGAAAAGAAAAAAAAGGAAAAAAGAAAAAAAGGGGAAAAAAGAAAGAAGGACCAAAAAAAAAAAAAGAAACAAGATTGCAGGGCCTGAGCAGTCCCGATCATCGGGGGAGCTCATATCAGCACGCCTTATTATGTTTGGGGGTTTGTGTTTTCCAACAAGGGATGACAGCATCATGGCGGGGTTTGGTTGGATGCATGCAGGGCAAGGATTGTGGTTCCGCCGTGGCCCCATGAGACGAATGGGGGAAAAGGTATAATATGGCAGTTATATATGCTACTTTTTAGTAGCATTTTCTATCAGAGGGAGAGCGGGGCGTGGAGGGGGCATGAGATTGGTGGTGTATCGCGACTGGGCCCGGGGGTCTTTTGGCGACCTTGGAGGGGCATCTGATATGGAAATGGGAGGGGAATGTAACGTAGCTAATACAATAAAGAAAACAAGTAACCAAGCTCTATTTATCAGTTAAGCATTGGATACTAATTATCAACACGATGTCAACTACCTCAAGGTGAAGGTTGCCAAACTTAGACCCAAGTCCTACAGCTACAGAAGAAAAGCGACATTTGCACCCATCACTTTCCCCCCATACGCGTTCGAGCCAAGCTCCGCCTAATCATCTGGGAACGGACCCGCGTGTGATCCATGTCCGCGAGATATTTACTACCCGTCAAGCGCAAATGGGAGTCATCACATTATTTGATTTGCGCCGCTTGCCCACCGGCGGCACTGGAGGCTTGCCGAGAATCTCACGCGCACGCCCCTCGAAGTGGACGCTTCAGGCCTTTCTTTCACAGAAAGAATTGAGAATACGATGAAGAAACCATGTCGACAGGTGTACATGTACCTACGCCCAGATATCGATTACCTTGTGTCTCAGCTTTGATGCTGTCCGCGGATTCTTTCCACAGTTCCCTCAGGCAAGCATGGACAGGCGGCTAGCATCACTTCTTTGGGAGATCGACTGTACTGACGCAGTTACAGTTTGAACGGGGTTCAAAATACCTACCTGAACAGGGTTCAGATTTTTAGCCAAGATATTTTGAACGAACGACGGGCTTTTGAACCCTGTCAGACTTCAAAGTTGGAGCCATGGTCAACTGTAGAAGGAGGAATATTGTTGTTAAATCTCTATCCAACTAGTGGAAACTAATATATGGCGCCGTTTGGAGGATTATTGTCAATGTTTTCTTCCACTTGAAGAGTGAGCCCTTTGTTTCGGGGTTTGTAGTAAATACTGTGCAGATAAGTGATAAGATTAACATCCATCCGCTAAACTGCCTGGGAAAATACATGGTGCTATAATGATTCAACCTGAGTTTGTGAATTCACAAGTCATCCATGAAGTGTCAGGTTGCTACCATGTCTAGAGTTGCATTTTCCTCAGTTCTATTACATCCGAGCCTTTCTAGCACAAGGCGCACTAGATGCACCTTGTATTCAGGGCTCTCGTTTCTATCCCGAAAACTCATCTGCCCTATCACCTTCTCGGCACCTGTTCATACTAATATGGATATGCAACAAACTTCGACAGGCAATCCTGAGCAGAGTGCAACAAGAATGCCATCGGTGGGAACTAGAATTGTTGGTGAATCCGGCAGTCAATACATCATTGAACGGATTCTACAGGAAAGGGGAAATACACCAGATATCCGTGTTTACCTAGCAAAGTTTGTTGTCCCTCACCAGTAGTTAGACATTTTCCCACTCCTTTTACATATGTTTCTAATAATTTAGTAACGGAACGGAGAAATTTATATTGAAAAATGTCTACGATTTCGATTACTACCATGACCTTTACCGTCGCCTCTCTAGCTCTCCTTGTCTCCGCTTGTTGCATGATATTGTGCCAAATCGATCAATATTCGTCTACGAATACCTTGCCGACCATCTTCTCAACGTAGCCAAAAAAGATATACCCCTGGTGGCCACCAAGCGAATCCTCAGAGACGCGTTGCGTGGACTCAGAGAGCTGCATGATCGGGATATCGTCCATACAGGTACGAAATCTTGGGGATCCCATCGTGGAAACAAAAAATCACTCACACTAGTGGCTACCTACAGACATCAAAGCAAACAACATCCTGATTGACTGGAAAGATGAGAACGGGGAAATAGCCATTACCCGGGTACAGCTGGCTGATATCGAGGATAGCGCAGTTGTACCCCCTAACTGTGACATCCTCGGGAAAGCTGTGGGAAACTGGATGTGGCGTAGCCCCGAAGCCCATGCGGAGTCCCGTGTGAATAAGCCCTCTGATACATTCTCCTTTGGCATTGTGGTGGGTTGCTTTTTTTTTATATATAAATTTCAGTATGTCCAAAACCGTTGATATATGAAATAAGGTTTGCTGATCGATATCAAATAACTAGTGCATCTGTGCAGTCTTGAAGCACGTCATCTTGGCGGTGGATGCAAAGGAACTTCCTGAAGGTGTGGATGTTCAAGCGATTGTTCTCCAGCGTCAACTCTCATATTTTGGGAATGACGAGTCTGTTGCTGCATTATTGAAGCACATTGGTGACGAAAGTCCTTGGTGCACGGTGATCAATGTACTTTGGAAAGGATTCGATGAGACTACTCCTCGTGAACCGTTTGCGTTGTGGAAGGGTGTGGACCCGGTGTTTAAAGATCTAATTGCGGGTTTAACAGATCTTGATCCGAAAAAAAGGCTTACTGCCCAAGGGGCCTTGAAACATCCATGGTTCCAGGGAACTGAGGATTCAATATGAAAGCATTACAAACATTATCAAACCGAACACATCTGTTATTTTACCCAGCAAAACGCAGCTGAAACGAACAAGAAAGCAATCATAAAACGCAGAAATATGGGCATTCTCCTTACCTTTGAACCCCATGAATCTTTCATTTGCAACTAGATGCCATGTTAATCCTAGTCTCTCTACCTTTCTTGTATATATAGTTGACCAAACCCACGCAATACAACTATTTTCACGCTGGCATTTTTAGGGTTTGCACCCAGCGGGTAGGAAACCTAACTTTACCGGGCTGGTCGAAATGCATGTCCCAGGTGGGTAAAGAAGAAGTTCAAAAGGCCTCGACCTATCTTCAAGGCAAGGATGGCCGCTCACTCTATAAAATTCAGCATGCATCACTACAGGTGAGAAACACTGGGGTGCGTCGATATGACTGCGAAAGGAAGAGATAAGAACAAGAAGTACCAAGGCGCGGAATGGGATTGACAGAGCTGATGGGATAGAAGAGCAGAACCCAAATCATAGAAGATAGTCGCTAGTTGTGTATCCAGGAGAAAAAATGAGATCAACAAAGTCAAGGAGAACCTCAGCCAGCCACAGTTCCTCGAAGACCAGATATCCCAGTAGAGAGCCCAGTCAGCCTGTGCATAATTCTAGAGTCTAATTGGGTGATAGAGTGAAATGAAATTGTTAGCATAGAAGAAAAGAACTTGAAGATAAGTAAGTGTATAACTAGAGGAAGGGGCTTACATCTATATACCAGCACCAGCGATGCTCTGCTAAACCCGATCAGGAAGTTCCAATGATACGGTTACGGTGACGGTGATACTGATACGGTAATACATACCTGGCCCCTGCCCTGACTAACCCCCGAAACGCTCCCCGACCAGCGCCAGGAGAAGGAAGTCATCCTTCGCTCAACCGGCTCCCAGGACCAGGATGAATACAATGGATGTACCAGCAGTGCGGTGATGGTCAGGCATTGAACACACGCGGTCGTTCCTGTTGTCATTCTCCTCTCCTCTCCTCCTCTCCTCTCTCTCCTCTCCTCACTTCTCTTGCTTCCTATCTGTCATTCAAACAAAAAGAAATTTTTCTTCAAACCAAAAAGCTATATCCTACACCACAAAAAAAAACTCCCACCGCCAATCACCAACACGTACTTAATCTACTTATAAAGGGTTCCCATCTGGGAGCAAGGCCACGACCAAAACAAAACTGAAAAGGAAAAGAGAAGATACGACTCTATACTACACTCTACTATACTATACACCATACAAGCAATGGTCTACGTCCGCCAACATAATCTCGCCGCCCTGCGTGCGTACCGTTACGCGGGCGTTGACAAGTCGCTGGTGTCTCGCTACGTGCTGAAACCGTTCTATACGCATGTCGTCATTAAGTGTTTTCCTATGTCCATGGCGTGAGTGTTTTCGTCCTTTTCTTTCTTTTATTCCTGTTGGTTATTTTCTTTTCTTGTTGGTGGATTTTGTGTGGTCTGGTGATCCCTTTTTTTGTAGTTGCTTGGTCATGATACCAAGGGTTTAGTTATATATTACATCCCTAGTAAAAGATGTCTTCCTCCGTCAATTCTTCTACCGTCACAAGGCCTTGTGTTCTTAGCTTTTTGCTTCAAATCTACCTGTGCTAACTTCTTCTCTCCTGGGTGTTGTTCGTCCAGACCAAATGCTGTAAGTCGGATCCTCTAAATTTTTGCGCCGTTGGAAGACCCCTTTCTTGATTGGCTTGCGCCCTGGCCACCCCCATCTACAATTATTTCCCCCTTCCCCCTTTTTCTTATTCTTTTTTATTTTCTTATATTTCAAACTTTCTTGTCTCCATTCCTTTTCTAGAAGAAAATAATAATCCCTCTAACATCAAGTCTTATCCACAGATCACGCTAACGGGCTTCTGTTTCGTTGTTATCAACTTCCTGACTCTGCTATGGTATAACCCTACCCTGGACCAGGATTGTCCACCGTGGGTCTATCTGAGCTGGGCGCTGGGGCTGTTTCTGTATCAAACTTTTGATGCAGTCGACGGGGCTCAAGCGTATGTTCTCTTGCTATCACTTAGCTTTTCCCGCGAATTACGCGTGAATTGTGGTTTTCCATTGACAAACCCACTCCATTCTAGGGGTGGAGCGGGTTGTTGAGCTGGAACTTCTCGCTGATTTGATATTGCGTTTCTATCTGCAGACGGAGAACCAGACAGAGTGGGCCTCTTGGTGAACTTTTCGATCACGGTATGTAGTTTCTTTTTTATCTTGTTTTCCATTCTCGTTCTTTTATCGAAGTCTATTTTCTAACATCCTCCGTAGGAGTCGATGCGTGCAATACCGCTCTGGAAGTCCTCATCTTTGCCGGAGCCACAAACCTGGGACAGTCATGGCTAACCGTATTGACACTGTTTGCCTGTAGGGTCCCTTTTCTGTCCCTCCACACCAGTTTTCCAATACACTCCTGCTAACAAAACTTCCCTCAGCCGCCCTAACCTTCTACGTCCAGACCTGGGACGAATACTACACCCAAACGCTGACCCTAGGCATAATCTCCGGCCCCGTCGAGGGTATCCTAACCTTATGCGCGGTCTACGCAACAACGGCCATAAAAGGCGGCGCGAGCTTCTGGCACAAGCCCATGCTGGCCACGCTAGGCGTCCCCACCTCCGTCTCCCGCTTCCTCCCCGCCTCTCTCTGCAACCTCCCCTTCACCTCCTGGTACATCATCTACGGCGCCTTCGTCCTGCTCTTCAGCACCCTCTCCAGCATCCTGAACGTCATGCACGTCCGCCGCCAGCGGAATCTGGACATCTACACACCCCTCCTGGGCCTGTTGCCGGCTGCGGCGATGTGGGTGCTGGTGTTTGTATACTTGCATCTACGCCCCTTGGTGCGCGAGAGACATCTCGTCCCCTTTGTGATGTATGTGGGGCTCATCAATGCGTATTCCGTCGGGCAGATGATTATTGCGCATTTGGTGAAGAAGGAGTTTCCGTACCGGAACGTCTTGCTGCTGCCGTTGCTGGTGGGAGTTGTGGATGGGGTTTGTGGGTCGCGGGCGTATTTGGGGTTGTGGGAGGGGAGTTTGTTGTTTGGGAGTGGGAATGGTGGGGAAGTGTATCAGGTTGCACTTGTGTTTTGCTCGTTGGGGTTGGCGGTGGGGGTTTATGGGAGTTTTGTGGTGGGTGTCTTTATATTTTATTTCCCTTTCTTTCTTTCTTTGCCTTGTGCAACCGGCAAGCTTCTAACTTGCAGCACGCACAGTTCGATGTCATCACCACCATCTGCGATTACCTGGACATCTGGTGCCTGTCCATCAAATACCCCTTTGTCGAGGGCGCGGCAGCTGAACCAGCAAAAGCCATCGAGGCGAATGTCGTCGATACTGCTACTAATAATAACAAAAATCACTCTGCCGCGAAGGCGAAGACTAACTAAAACTGTTCAGGCCTAGGAGGGGCGAAGAGCATGGCATGAGCGCATTCACTGACTCTGGGATTTGGTCGCGATATATAGTGGACGAGCAGCCTCTCCTGGCCAAAAGAAGAAGAGAAAAGAACAAAAGTATGTTCTGCTTGAGGCGGTAAGGCAAGGAAGGGCGATTGACTGGTCTGGTAGAGTTGGGGGAAGATTTATGCAAATGAAAAAAACAAAAAAAAAATAGAAAAATAATCATGTTGATTGCTTACCAAAGAGTAGTAGTGCAGAGGGTCCGCGAGTGAGTTTTCTGAGCCGCGAGGGGTTTTATGGTTTGTATGGTTTCAATGAAGCGTGGAGTTCTCTTCTTCCTCTGAATGTACAGTACATGCGCATGTAGTGTACGTACGTGTGTATTTTCTTCTGTTTTTCTTTTCTTCTTTCTTCTTTTTTTTACCCCTTTTCTTCCCACGGTTATAGAATAATTAATGGGTCGGGATGTGTCAACTCCTGCTAACTGCATTTTATGGGGGCGTCCGAGGCTGGTTTGTTATTTTATTCATTTTTCTTCTTTTAATTAAACCCCTTTTAATTTTGATTTTGTCTTGTTAATTATTGTCATTGTTATGATTGATATCACTTCTTACTCTGTAAGAGGTACGACTTGCTATTACGGTTGAGGTCGTAGGTTATTCCATCTATGTTCTAACATTTTCCTTCAAGGTTAGGATTTTCCTTCCTGTATTTCTTCAGCTAATCAATCAATACTCTTTGTCTCGTAACTTTTGTGAAATCCTGGTATTTATTACTTGGGGATCATTCTTCCTCCATCCATCTATCCATCCATCCCTCCATTGATTTACAGAGACACCCTGCATCTTGATATTCTTGCCTTCAAGTTGGGTAATTTTGTTGAATTCTTCTTATATGTATGTACTGTACAGTGCAGTACATTTCCATACCTTCGTTTTTGCATCTTTTTTCAAGCCTTCTTTCCTTTGTGCTGCTTGCCGGCTGTATTGGAATGTAAGATCGTCTAAAACAGAAAGGAAAAATATAATCCACTGGTGGGTGGGTGTATTGGTAAAACGGAAGGAACATCAGGAAGAAAGGACAAATAACGAACGGGGTGTTGGGTTTAAGTTAAAACTGGTTGGTGGCTAGGAGGAGATTTTATTTATGAACATCCTTGGATGTACAATTTCAATGGAGTAACTGCATGTACAGTACTTCCATCTGCCGCCTTTCGCTTGCTTCTCCACGGATACATACTACTAGGAATAACAGGACAAACAAAAGCTGATGATAACTTGTAAAGGAGTAGTCGACAAAGTCAGATTGCCTAGCAAGGTGCAAAAAAGAAAAAGAGAAAAAAGAAACAAATCCAAAACCAAGAAACAGACACAGATTTAGATTGCAGGTGCAGGGGAGAACGTAACAACAACATCCAACATCCCACGACCCCCGTCAAGCAACCGCATTTTTTACACGGGGCGCCTAAATGCCAGCCTCCCACTCAGTTTACAGTTTACAGCTTACGACGGCCGCGCCAGGTGCAAAAACCCCTGCGGCAAGTTCGCAGCCGAGTGGGGTCCTGGCAGAGAAACTTGCAGATTCCCCTGTGCATCGAGGGTGGTGAAAATCTCCATCCCCGGGACGGCGTATACCATTTGTGGCGGGGGCATGCCTGGAAAGGCTCCGGCACCAGCGGAAGGGACAGCGGTGGGAGCCTGGGTCTGCGATGGAGCGGCGGGTCCTGCGCAGGGCGTTGCTGTAGAAGCCTCGGGCCGGTGAGGACCTGCGGGAGTAGGCGCGGATGGGCCACCGGGTGCAGTGGATGGATCAGGACTAGAACCAGCAGCAGGTGCAGGAGCAGGTGTCAAGTGTGGAAATTGACTGGCAATCTGCTGCTGTGGGAGAAATAGGTAAGGTGGTCCCTGGGATTGGCCTGGTGGGGTGGGCCCGCGCGGTAGGGCGATGAAGGGGTTTGTCGGGTTCCCGACGACTCTGCCGCCGTGGGTATACGTGAATGTTGTGGTGGGCACCGAAGCCCATCTGGGTTCGAAAATGGGTTGGTCGCGCTCATCTCTGGCGATTACATAGCCTGCTGCAGGCGGTGGTTGCATGATGTCCGGGGGGATGCCACCGTTTGGAGGGCCCCAGGTAGTCTCTTGGCCGGATGGGAAGGTGCCCCAGGTCATGGTTGTGGAAAGTATGTGTAAGGTGATTGGGTTTTTCAAAAAGGGGGTTTGATGGGACAGGATGGGGAGATGAGCTTGTGGGTTGATGATGGAGGTCTGGTTCTAGTATGTCCAGGGTATGTAAGGGAAGACAAGGAATCAAGTACCCACAGAAAATTCCCTGGGTATTTATATGCATAAAACATCCCATATCTGGCTGTAGCCATCTCCACAGGAGTTAAATATTCACCCGCTTCTCTCTGATGTCCTGCTTGTTAGCTGACAAGAGCGGACGCCGTATCCAAGCAGCTGTAAAGAAGACCACGGTGATGTAATATCCAACGAGAGCGACCAGTTTCAAACGTATTTGGCTCACATCAAGCTTGCGGTTACCAAACAATGATTTTGTTTACCAGTATCTTCTTCTGTCTGTCTGTCCGTCTTCCTGTTGAAGCTTTTATCTTGATGTCGTTGATAATGCGGCTGAAAATAAGCTTGGCTGACTCATCCTGCACCGCGCTAGCCCAACACGGCCAGCTAAGCGAGTGCACAATCGCCCATTTTGGCCGCTGCGGAGGAGTAGTCATCCATCGACGATTCTTCTCTTGCTCCATCGCCGCCCCCGAGATCCTGTTCATCGACCCTCTGACCTTACTGTTCTCCGATTGTCCATCTCGTCAAGTTCATCCTACAGGTCATAGCATCGACAACATCTCCAAGCCATCAAGATGGTAAGCTTCCGTTTGCTCGTGTGATAGCTATGGATGGGGATGGATATGATAGCGGACCCCTCCGTCCCGCTTCAAAAAAATAAAATAAAATAAAATACCATTCCCGTTTTTAATTTCTTCTTGAAAGAGACCCCGATACTGATACATCCTTCTTTCATCGAATAGGTTCTCGCGGTCGATCTCCTCAACCCTACTCCTCAGGCCGAGGCCCGCAAGCACAAGCTGAAGGTATGCTCCAGGGAACACCATCTCTATCGACATTCCAGCGGAAACTAGACGATATCGAAACGCCTACCAAATAGCGAAGTCAACTAACTTGCGATATAACTACACTAGACTCTTGTGCCTGCGCCCCGATCCTTCTTCATGGATGTCAAGTGTCCCGGCTGCTTCGCGATCACCACTGTCTTCTCACACGCCCAAACCGTCGTCATCTGCGCTGGCTGCTCCACCGTCCTTTGCCAACCCACTGGAGGAAAGGCTAGATTGACCGAGGGCTGCTCTTTCCGGAGAAAGTAAAGGGGGCAATTTGCTTTTTTTTTTTTTTTTGTTTTGTTTGAATGATGACGATTGCTTCTATTTGTTTAATTATCACAAAAAAACTTCTCAAAAATTAAAAAGGGATTTTAAAAATCGAAAGGCGTTTTTTAAATTCTTCTCACATATTCTATCTGTGATCGTCTTATTTTCCTCGTTTGGCTTCGTCGTTTGGTGCTGCTCTCCTCATTCCTCTCAAGTTAACTTAACCTGTTATTCGTCCCCATTGGATGTATGATCTGCAAATAGGGGCCGGAATTTGCAATCTTTCGTTTCTCCCTTTTCTGAACATATATATACTAATGTGCAAAGAAAAAGAGCAAACAAAAAGAAAGAGATGATTTGCTTCGCTGCATCCACTTTCATTTGCGTTCATCTTTCATTTGCGATTATACACCGAAGTCGCAAGGGGAAAAAAAGGAAGCAAGGAACAGGCCTGGGTACACCCCACAATCCAACACTGTTTATCATGCTCTATTGCGCTACTTGTTCTACATCGGACAAAATGTCGGTGGAAAACAACCCCAAAAAGGAGGCTGTGACAAGTCGATCCCGAAATTTCCGTGCTTGGCCTTTTAATTGCTACACCGGCTAATTTGCACAAACTTCGGAATATTCAAGTGTAAAAGGAAATCAGGGTGAAATGGGCATGGTTTCTAAAAGTACTTTGTTAGACCGATGAGACGGTTATGTTCCTCCTCACCAGTGCATTGTCGGTTGCTTGTACACTATTTTTGAACATGAAATTCATCAGGCTTTATTTCTTGTTATTACGATTGTCCATGATTGTTAATTTTCAGGCTGTAGTTGGTAAACCGCTAGATTAGTGCGTCGGAATGCACCCCTTGACATTCCGGGGGTACAATATGAATATCGTTTTGCATAGGTCACTTCCCGTTCCAGCCCTGAAGATAAAAGCTTCTCATATTGTACAAGTCTAATCAGAGAAGAGGTAATTTAAGCCATAACCACTGCTCTAATTCAAAACATACAATCAAAAGCACCTCATCCCAACCCCCCACTCCCAACTCTAAATTCCAAAATCACAACTCCTTCTCTCTCCTCCTTTTGTTCCACGCAGCCACCTCTTCTTCCCCTCTCTGCTTACACTCCGTTTCAAAACGCGCCTTCAACGCGCTATCGCCAGCTATCCTGGCTTCCGCCCATCGGCTTAGCAATTTAGGGGCCGTCTGCCCCACATACACCTGCTCCGGATGCCCCATGGCCAACGGCCACATATCCTCCAACCACATTACATTATTATACGTCAGTGCGAATAGCTCACTCCATACTAGTCGTGTCAGGATGCGCATGGAACCGGCATAGCCGGGGGATTCTTCAGGCCGCTCGATGCCCTCATCCGGGTCGTACTTGGGGTCGACGACCAGGAGGTGGTGGTCTTCACTGTCATCGATATCGTCGGTGGTGGGCTTGGAGTACGATGCCAAGCTGGCGGAGTCCAGGATGAGGATTGCGTCTTGGTAGATACCATTTGACGGGGTAATGGTGTCGAGGTACGTGGTGAAGTGACTGTTTCGGGAGAAATTGTTAGCGGGCGGTGAATGCATTCCGTCTACTAAACAGTGATATTTATGCATGCATGTATCATCATCTTTTCTGGTTCATTTGGTAACATACCTCTTTGCACCATCGATATCATCTTCCGCAAGCCCAAGCTCCCGCCCATCAAACCATTTCACCTTTAGGAATGGCTTAATGTCCTCGACACCATTGATGCCGTCACCCCAGGAGGCTAGGTCTTGCTCTATGGTCTTCTTTAGCTCGTCCCATTCACTTTTATCGTCTGCGTTTCGACCGTAGCTGAGCCTGTAAATGGCATACCCGATATCTGTCATCGGTGGTTGTCCTGATTCCTTAAGATCTCGTATACGACTTGTGATATCAGAGATCCATGCTACTGGTGCACTGGGTTCTGGCACCGGATCCCTTCGAGCTTGAATATTTTTTTGTATCCGGATTTGAGTCTCAATGGTCTTGAGCAAACCGTTTTCGGTTGTAGGTGTTTCTTCGGGACTCGGTTGCAGGTCTGCTATCATCTCCTCCTTTAATTTTTCAATGTGTTGGAAATATGCAAACGATTGAACATATGCCGTACGCCGTTTCTCCAACATAGGGCTCTGCCTGTCATTCGGTTCTTCTTCTGGTGACAGGTCAGAGCCCCCCTTATATCCATCCGTTGACAGATAGATGGTATATTCCGCCTCCGCAACAAGTCCAGAGAGTGTACGCAGTTTCTCTACTAGAGCCAACTGCTCTGGGCTTATTTTGTCGTCTAATAAAGGCCCACCAGCTTTGATTTCATTTAGCAGAGGCTCTCGCAAGGCATCGATGTGAGATATGGTCCAGCTGTATGCACGGTCTGTCATGACTTGGTATTTAGCACGGATAAAATCTGCCCACAACCCGGCCATGTCAACATTTGGCTCCTTTCCATCCCGTCGACGGATGTTATTCAACGCCTCGTCAAACTCTGACAGGTGCTCATACATATAATTGAAGGTTTCCCGCATGTGCGAAACATGTAGAGGTACATTGAGATAATCAAAGGTGGAAATGACAGTTTCGATATATTGGCACGCATAGTCGAAGTTTTCCGCTTTATCCAGCCTTTTTTGTCGCCATTGGTGTTCCGATATGGGGGCAATTCCTTCCCATAACCTGATCTTCATTGCATGCACAGGCTTCTCTACTATAGTGAGGCGTCCTGCGTCTTCATCTGAACCGAGCCTGGTCATCAACTTTTGGTCGGCAGGGGATGTGATTTTGTTATGGGGCGGAAGGGCCCATTCATTGTAAGGGGAGACTATTAATTCTATTTCGTCGGAGGAAACGACAGGTAACTTAGTTTTTTTGCCATTGGGCAGCGTTCCACGACCGGCAAATTCAAAGAAATGCATAAGAGTTTTCGGGGGGATTAAGCGGTCAACTATTTAAACTGGTAAGTAAGTACGATTTTGCCCACATTAGGGAGCAGTTCTCAACGCCCATGCCCAAGTCCTTGCAGGGCACAACGGGAATTTGTGTCATATGAAACAACAACACCAATACCATGAAGCCCAATATATAACAATCATATACGTCCCAGATGGAAACTTGCAAAACGTCTCGGATCTCTCCCCATCTACTAAAATTGGGAACATGTATGTGAAGTGAAAGTCCCCGTACCGATCAACAATGTCTCCAAGTAGGGCATCAAAGGATCAGATGGATCTAGGTCATCGCCGAACTTCGGGTCCGGTTCCCTTTCTGACCACCTTACAGACGTGGGTAGGCGTTCAAACAATTGCTGTACGTCGGCGAGCATGGAGGCTCCAGCTTTTTTGGGAAGATTGTCAAGTGAAGCTTTGGGACCTGTGCTAGTGTGATGGGCATGGGCGGCAGAAAACAGGGAAAAAGCTGGCCGAAGCTGGCAAACAGAGCCGATCAATGCTAGACGACAGATAATGGTGGGTTTGTATACCCTTCTCGCCCAGGTAGGTGTAAACAGACGCATTGTTGTCAAAATGCCTCACTCGCTGAGTGACGGATAGACCTCTGAGCGTCGGCACCTCTCCTCCCGGAGACGCGTCTGATTTTTATAGTTTTTCATTTATTTGTCCAGCAACAGTATTAACCTGTTAAGCCTAGCTGGTATTCTTTAGCTGTAAGATTTTAGCTGTTAGTGAGTTAGTTATACGAAGCAGGTTTGGTAATATTCTAGAACTTCAGTCGCTGACTCATTCAGCCCTAATCTTAACTAACTAGTTATCTCAATCTTACATAGTAAAATGTCAACCGGATCCAATATCCAATACGTGCATTAGGACGGCAATTTGCCTCCTTGAAGCCCGTTAAATTTTGATTCCGTGGACTGACGTTTAGATTTCATTCGAAACCCCATATACAATTGATGCCGTGGTGTAGTCATGCCGCTAAACACATCCGTCCTCTGACAAACATACCAAATACCAGCGAACGCTTTGCATCCCCCGCGATCACCATGGCCCCTCAAACCCCTACTCACCCGAAAGCCCCTTTAAAAATCCTGATGCTTCACGGTTACACCCAATCAGGACCCTTATTCCATGCCAAAACCCGTGCGCTGGAAAAACACCTCAAAAAGTCCTTCCCCCTCCATTCAGTCTCCCTCTCGTACCCAACGGGACCCCTTCACCTTTCTCCGTCAGATATCCCAGACTTCCAACCCTTCTCTACCCCAAGCGCAGAGGCTAATGACACCGACCAACCTGAGTGCTTCGCATGGTGGAGACGCTCCAACACAGCAAACCCACCCGAATACCAAGGGCTAGATGAGGGCCTTGAAACGATTGCACGCGTGTTGGCTGACGAAGGCACCTTCGACGGTGTCATCGGATTCTCACAGGGAGCAGCTTTCGCGGCGATGGTGGCGAGTCTGCTCGAGCCGGGACGCAAAGGCTCTTTTGAATACTTTGCCGATATGGCAAATCATGAATCCTCAATATCTTCCTCCAGTGCTGGAGATCCTGTCACCGGCATCCCTTTCCCTACCTCTTTCGACAAGCTGACGCATCCACCCTTTAAATTCGCCATATGTTATTCTGGCTTCATTGCGCCGGGTGCGCGGTATCGAGCCTTTTACGATCGGCCGAGAATCCAGACACCCGTGCTGCATGTGCTGGGTAGTTTGGATGGTATTGTCGAGGAGGACAGGAGTAGGATGTTGATCGGTGCCTGCGCGGGGGATGCAGAGAAAGAAGGGAAGGTGATTTGGCATCCTGGCGGGCATTTTTTGCCCAGTCAAAGACCGTATTTGGATGGGGCGGTTAACTTTGTTAGGGAGTGTTTGGAGAAACAGACTGTGGATGGGTTGATAGAAGAGAAGGTGGAGGATATGGAGATGCCGTTTTAGATATGGTAACTCTCTGACGTGGGATTGTATTATGGAATACCCTCCATGATTTTTTTCTCTTCTTTTGAGAGTGGGGACTAGCTTGTGTACAATGACTAGAAAAAAAAGCAATTACATAGACATAGACATAAAAGCACCGATGTATACCTGCTAATATTAGACTTAGAAATACGAACACTTGCCTGAAGACACGGCCCATATATGTCAAGGGCTGCTGTGGGATGTCTACTGCGAATACTATTTCTTCCTGTCTACGAATCCGTGCGGATCAAAACAAATAATAACTCCGATCCATCAACTTGAGTGATATCTTGAGAAAGTACTACTTTATTGTACTGTACATTCAGTTTTACGCATGGCCAAAAACAAATGTTCACCATACACATGACGATAATAAACCCACAGAAACAAAGGCGTAGAGGAACCTTCTAGCGAGCCTTAGGAGTCGTCCGCTCGGCCTTGGATGGAAGGATCCGGGCCATCATCTCCTCCTTAGTGATTAGATGGTCGATGCGCTCAAGCAGGCCCAACAGGCTCTTCATGCTGCTACTCCACCCATTTAACACATCATCCGCATCCATTGGTTTGGTGAAACCCACGATTCTAGCCGGTCGGTCTATCTTAGCATAGATGGTCTTGGACGTGACGAGCTCAGAGATGTACTTTTCGGTTTCCTCCTCGCCTAAATCGAGCAGTTCTGTGAGTCGACTCATTTGGATGCGCGAGTAGTATTTCGCAACAACGCGGATATTATGCTCAATAACGCGCTTACGCAAGTCTTGCCACCGGGTATGCGCCTTGTTGTCGGTTGATGGGTTGGATTGAGCATCGAAGACGTCGGTACTGCAGAGGTGGGGCCCAAATTGCTCGGCAACCATGGGCCATCGCATTAACTCGTTCATCGTGAAAAGCTTGAGGAGGCGGGCTTCGACAGGGACAAGGGAGTTTCGGGAATCAGTTTGGACACGGTGAATGAGGTCTGATTGTTCGTTATCATACGGTGAAAGAACAACATAGTATATGATACGTTGAAGAGTCTGTGATGCGATTAGCCGTTACGAACATATGTATTTGTCAAAAGTGCCGTCAAACACTTACCGCACGTAGCTGTTCCGGATTTTCTTCTACGGATTCGGTATCAAGAACCTGTCGGTAATGCTTGCAAACGTCGAGGTATTTATCCTCGTTGTTTGCGAGCATGATCTGTTGCTCGTAATATTTCAACTTCAAATCTGTCACATCCTCTTCCTTCTCTATCGGTGGGTCTTCAGGCTTCCGGTTTCTTTCCCGCTCCTCCAACTCCTTTTGTTCTCTCTCAATCTGTTCCGGGGTCTTCTTCGGTTTCCGTGTAAAGTATTTTGTGCCAATTTTGCGGCTCAATACTCCAGCCTGCATCCAGTCCCCTTTAGCTATGCAGAGAGCAACCTGTTCCAGAATGAACTCTGTCTTTTCTCTCCGCGTCATAGACCCAAATGTTTCCACTTGCAACTCGCAAAGAATGTCCACAGCGCTGGCGAGGTCGCCTTGCGACTTCTTGATATCTGATAGCATACGGGTAACTCGAGCTCTTTCCACTTCGACGAAAATCTACATAATTGGGCAACTTAGTAACAGCTCAGCAGAACTAGCCTGGAGAGTGTGAACAAACCTTGCCCTCCGTAACAATCCTTAAAGTATCGATCAATGCCATCTTCTCCTCCATATTCGGGGTTTGATCAATGAACCCCATTACAGCCTGAATCAATTTCGTTGTAGCTTGTTTGAGTTGACCATGTTTCTTCGAAAGCGAGACGACCTGCTCGTTCAACAGTTTCCAATCACCCGACTCTTTGGAAAGAGTAACAATGGCAATAAGAAGTCTCGAGGTGGATGGTAGATCGGATGCCTAGGAACAGTTCCGGTATAAGCATCAGTCTAAAAGGAATTCTGACAAATGGTTAGGCACTTGCCTGTCTGGCTTGTTTCTCGAGGGCTAAAAGCTTGTCAATCGCGCCTTGGAGGTCGGTCTAGATAGAGGTATCGGCCTGTGTTAGTGTATGCGTTCCACAAGGAGTCAGGAAACTGCGAACCTTAGCCAGCTCCCGTGCTTCCGGAATCAGGGTATCAACATCTTTTGTGAAATCCTTCTCCGCCTTGAACAAGGTCCCGTCCGACATGGTGGTAAGGTAAATAAACTAGCTGCTCTGAGAGAAGGCAGCTGTCAAAATGGCTTGGAGAGAATGAAACGTAGAAGCCGGCAGACTCAGCTATCAAAATTCCGTTCTGTAATCTTATGGTGCTAACTGGCTCTGAGGAAACTGGGAAAAGGCAGATGGGAATCAAAGGAATGAATGTTTGGGATGTGACAGTTGGACGAAGCAAAGCTGCTGTTTGCTTGCGCACATCCAACCAGGAACTAGCGCGCGCTTAATTAAGACAGGAACTTCGAAAAACAACCTTCGACCTTCACCCCAAAAGAGCAAAATGGAACAAAATACAGCACTCTGGAGACACGTTACCAACCAAGGTGTTTGAATATTCTAAATTCACTTCTCCAATAACTGTTGCACTTGTCGCACCTAAAAATGGTCGGCTGTGTGCTTGTGCCTGTGGTCAAATACTCTCCGACCCATAACTATCTAACCTAACACTCATTGTTCCCAGTCGATATTCTCCTCTTCGTACCGTCTTGCCTCTTCGCGAGTTGGCCCGAATATTATGACTTTGGCAGTTCGGATTTCTGCCATTTTGTTTCCATACGATAGAAAGTGAATCCAACACCCGTTGGCCGACAAGGAATTCCTGCAACCCAGTTTCCACTTCGCCAGTGGCTAATTGCTCGAACCCGTGTAGTCGAGTAGTTGCCTACTTATGGCTTCCCCCGGTGCCCTCATCCGGTGTAGTGCGGTCCTCGAAATCTTTCATTTCATGGGGAACGTGAACCATTCCTTCACACCAACCCCGGCCCCCCTATACTGGCCCCCACTCTCCTGCAAAGGCTCTGAACACGCCTCATTGCAGCCGCTGTTTTTCCTCTACCAACTGACAATTAACCAGGCAAATACAGGGACAGTTTATTCTCCATTTATCTATTGCTGCAAACATGTCGACTTCGAATTGTTGGTATATTCGTCTCGAAGGTACCAGTTCTCCTTCACACCCTCTACCGCCTTCAGTTCCCTAATTAACGCCCCAGATTCACACCAAATTATCGAAAGTCGGCCTACTTCTGCTCAACCCGCAGAAACATGAGATACATGGCTGGTGGTTACTCATCGCGGATGTTTCGCCCCATGTTGTTATGAAAGATTTGAGCCTGTTCTATTCTCTTCTGCAGCAGTCTCCTTTTTCTGCTATCGAGTGACAGATGAACGCGCATACTTGATCGAAACCTGTCAGAGGTCTTCTCAAATTCCATCCTCCATCCTATCTTCAAGCCTGACATCCTCATTATCCTCTGGATGTGTCACTATTAACATCCTCGGGAATTATCGTGAGAGCTATGACCAGTCACCCCCGAATCCTACAAAATCGATATCAAACACCGAATTCTATCTCAAAGGTGACATAGCTTTTATCCCAGGATCCGTCTTGTTATCCCCTTGGAAATCAGCATGGGAATCCCGACTGGTCCTGATTAAAATCTAACAGAAGCTCACTCAAATGTCACATTCTCAGCGTAAACTTCGATATCGTCCTTGTCACTAGAATGATGGCGTGTTTAGTTTCCCCTAGAGATCAATCCAGAGATAAAGAGAGGCATGCGAGACTGCAAACCTCAATTTCTACTCTCCCGTTTCATACACCTTCCAAGAAGTTTGGATTAATAACTAGAAAATCAGTATTATTCAATGACAGAATTCCTACATAGGCTCTTTCTATGTCTCGCGGTTAAGTTCATCATTGGATTGCTCAATATATCTAAAGCCAGACAAAAGATGAGGCAAAGAAAAAAAAAAAAAGCGCAAACATCATCCATCACTAGCCGCCAATACTATGGTAGGGCCGCTTAGACGTCTCCCCTTTGAAGCATGCCATCCTTTCAAAAGATAACGAAAATAAAATGAAAAATAAATGAGAAAACAGACGGAGGAAATATTTTCCCAGAAAGAATACTCCGACTGCATGCTAAGATCGAGGTCTAGGGTTGTGGCTATCATGTGACTTCCATTGTCTGATCACGCCATCCCAGCCAATAATTGGTGCTCAATTGGAAGACGAAGAAAAGAGATAGCAGAAGAATACCCGAGGATATTTTGATATTTTCTTGATTACGGTTTGGCAGTCTTTGAAATTGATTGTTGTCATCTATAATTGGGTTACATCAGATCTCCGAACCCTCACTTTTATGTCTTTCCGAAATCAACCCAGTTGTGATATACAACTCCGAACAGATTCATGACATTGGTATTAGTCTACTAGAATACACGTGGAATTTCCACGTATCTTTAATTCTCCTATTACTTTCCATTCTTCGGCCCGGAAGCGCGCTGGTGGTTCTCATTGCCAAGATTTTTACATAGTGCATGTTGCTGCAGATTGCATTATTTTTTGCTGCTTTTTCTGTTTTCTTGTTTAGTTCTTTCACCAAGGTTAGAAAGCATAAGCAAATATTTCAGATCAAAGCATGAAAGATCTGCGATACGAATCGCCCGGGCCAGCTCCCCTGCTAGCCGCTCTGGATGTGAAACACCAGGTTCATTTAATTGTCGGAGCGAACCCTCTGGCAGCTGCGCGGTGCACCAAGTGTCTTGACGTCGGGGCAATTCCTATTGTCATTGCACCTGAAGGGGTGGAAATTCATGCTCCGCTTTTGCAAAAAATTGAGGATGGTCGGGTACGCCGGATTGCAAGATGCTTTCAGGACGACGATTTGAAGACATTTGGGAGAGACGAGGTGGATAATTTCGTCGACGCTGTGTTTGTTACTCTCGGTGGTAATAATCCTTTGAGTGAGTTCTGCTTCATTTTCTACGCTGATATTATACATACAATATATTAACATAAACTGTCAAGGCTTGCGCATATATCATCTTTGCTGTCGGTTAAGGATACCAGTAAATGTTTCAGATGCTCCAGATCTCTGCACGTTTACTCTTCTCTCCACTTACTCTGATGGTCCCCTTCACGTTGGCATCACAACGTCTGGCAGGGGCTGCAAATTGGCTGCTCGTCTGCGGCGAGAAATAGCTGCTTATCTCCCGTCTGGACTTGGTCCTGCTATAGAAACATTAGGCACAGTCAGGCGGCGTATCTGGGAGGAAGACCATACCACAAACATTCCGCCCGAAAATCTCCCCTTCGAGGCTGATGATGACTCCACAGCGCAGAAACATACTTTCAACTCACTGGTAACACCAGAGGACAATGAAGCAGCGAAAACTCGCAGAATGCGCTGGCTATCACAAATATGTGAATATTGGCCTCTTCGTTTGTTGGCTTCGATCACTGACGCAGATGTGGATGCTATACTTGGAGCATATCGATCAGCAAGTGGCAAAACTTCTTCCACGTTTGAGAGTAGCCTGCCTTTACCTCCTAAGAAAGGAAAAATCATCCTTGCAGGATCCGGACCAGGACACCCGGATCTACTTGCTAAAGCGACCCACAACGCAATTAAAAACGCAGATCTCATCTTAGCCGACAAATTGGTTCCCGCTCCCGTTCTAGATCTCATCCCTCGGCGAACAGAAGTCCACATCGCTCGTAAATTCCCCGGAAACGCAGATAAGGCGCAAGAGGAGTTACTCGAAATGGGCATAGCCGCACTGAAAGCTGGCAAAACTGTGTTAAGACTTAAACAAGGAGATCCATATCTTTACGGCCGCGGGGCTGAAGAGTACGACTTCTTCAGGAATGAGGGATATATCCCCGCCGTTCTCCCAGGTATCACCAGCGCATTGAGTGCGCCGCTCTTTGCAGATATACCCGCCACACATCGTGGTGTTTCTGATCAGGTACTAATCTGCACGGGAACGGGACGCAAGGGAGCAGCTCCAGCGCCACCTAGCTATGTACCTACCCAGACGGTTGTTTTCTTGATGGCACTGCACAGACTCTCCTCTCTCATTGAGTCACTTACCAGCCGTTCGGAAACGGATGAGAGCGCTACGTCCCGAGCCCTTTGGCCAAAGGATACCCCTTGTGCGGTGATTGAGAGAGCGTCATGCGCCGATCAGAGAGTCATACGGTCAACGCTAGAGCATGTCTGTTTAGCGATTCAGGAAGAAGGATCTAGGCCACCAGGACTTCTTGTTGTTGGTGCGAGCTGTGGGGTACTTCATCCGTTGACGAATACAAAGTGGTCGGTTGAAGATGGGTTCAAAGGTCTAGACGAGCTGGGGAAGAATGAAGACATGTCTGTTATTAATGAGTTGGGGGTTATCGGCAAGATCTAATGCAGAAGTCATTTCCACGCATTTTATTGAAAGAGCTGGTGTTTGTATGGACTTGATTTTTTCCTTTATTTTCTTGGGGGGGATCATTTGATCCAGCATCTTACATGTAGTTGTATTCATCTGGGTGTTTTGAGGAACAATGATCTCTTGAAGATCCAGTGCATGCCATTGAGCGCTATTTTATTTAACAAATTGTTTTAGATTGTGATTTAGGAAAATATTTTATATGATTTAATTTTAATTATTACTTTATATATTTTTTCAGTGATATGAAAGCTAGAAAGACAAGTGAAATGTTGTTTGAATGACTTACTGAAAACAGATTTTGCCCATACTTCCGGAAGTTCACTAGCCGCGATACACACCGGAACATCCACGAGGCAAATTCCAACTTCCTACAACTGCTCATCGCCAACAAAGCGGATGAAGACAAAACAGCCGAAATGTCAACACCACCAAAACCGTATCTCTCAAATGGGCATATGCTAGAGCGGTATGCGGTTTCATCCTTTAAACATAGCTCATTTCTCTTCGCCGGTTAATCATCTTCGACGGCTCGCTCGTCGTGCAACCATTGTTGAACTAAAGATCTCTAACTCTCCACGTTGCAGTCCGCCCATCTCTGCCCGAATCCGATACCTCATCGATGATCTCTACATCTTCTTCGGCTTATACATCGTCAGCTTTTTCTCGGTACGCTTTGTATAGCCCTCGTCTCTAGCGATCGAAAATTCCCTCCCCTCCCCGTCTTTCCTCGTTTTCCTCTACCAAACACATACATTCAAACTGGGACCCTTAACTAACTGCTCCACCTTTACTTTTCTAGTTGAATGCCTCTTTGGCTGCCAGTAATTCCAAGTTCAACGTCCAGAATATAGAAAATACTCAAATCCGCCGACCGCGTTGGGGTAGCTCGCGAGGCGGAGGAGGCGGTGGTGGTGGGGGCGGGGGCGGAGGAGGGCCGGGCGGCCCTGGGAGGAAATTTGGTGGTGGTGGAAGTGGAGGGCCCACGAGGCGCATTGGGCGAGTTGATGATATTCGCGGCCCGGAGTGTGGGAGCGGGGGCTGCAGCAGATAGGTGACGATATAATGCCGATCTCTTTATGGTTATTACGATGAGCGGGGAAACAGGTTATCGACATGCAGTTGTTTTCAACTTTTATTATGTATCATGCTACACTTGCTTCCTTTGATTCTTGATATGCGATTGTGCTGCGTGGATTGGAATCCATTTTTCATATCAGGATTCCCTGCTTCGGGGCATTGTCATATCGGTTATGTTCTAGTTACTTTATATCACGTACATATTTATTGTTATTCGTCTTGGATGGATCCCGCTCTCGCTTCCAGTGCATATTTTTGCCTCACTTATTCATATAATATATTCTGTAAATCATCATATGATTTGTCGCTTAAAGCTTTGTTTGAACAGTAGTCAATATTAGCGGCGACAAAGCTGTAGGGCAGGTTGCATCACGTTCTCGACATCTGGGAGGCGTAAATGGAGGTCAGCCTTCTTCGCTACCTCCCTATTTTATTTGTGCTATCAAGTGCCCATAGTTGCCCTCTCACTTGGCTTGTTTAAAATCGACTCTCGTATTTGACTTTTGGATTTGGCCAGCAAGGGGAAATCAGAAGAAATCGAATTTGATCTAACGGGCAGCATTGGCTTCTTGGTGAGTGGATTCGTGAATTGCAACCCCTGTTTATAGCATGAGCGGTACTACAACTTGCTTTCCCATTTTTTGATAATCTCCAATTCCATTCTTTCATTTTTATCCCTACAAGTAACAGTTTCGTAAAAGGATTCCCGAACCGGGAAGATTGCTGCGGGGTCTCGATCACCTCTTTATTTACAACCGTGGAGAACTGGTATTATGATTTCCCCCAAGAACTCTTAATATGTTGTATTTCCATCTCTCTACCATATCTTTGGAATACCCTGCGACCAAATTCACATTCAATGAAATTCAAGCTAAACAATATGAGACTACAGGTCTTGGGGAACAAACTACTCAATCGCGCAGGATCTGACATGCTAAAAAGTGTGTGTCCAAAAGCAATAACATAATTCAAGCGCAATTGCCCCCCATACACAGCATAAAATGGCCACTCCTGTACCTGTAACCAACTTGGAATGGAGTGCTCTAATCTCGAAAACCGTTGCTAGCCTCCCTCAAATAAACACAACAAACTACCCACCCCCTGGAGACCCCCTGAACTCGATCCCAAAGACAATAGACCACACTCAACTAGCCCTTACTGCAACAGAAGCTCAAATCGACACCTTGTGCACTGAAGCCATCAAGTACAACTTCGCAACCGTCTGCGTGCGCGCAAACTATGTTTCGTGCGCCGCTGCGCGGTTGAAGGGAATTGACATTGGCGTGGCATGTGTCATTGGCTTCCATGAGGGAACGTATAGCACCGCCGAAAAGGCCTCGGAGACCCAAGGTGCAATCAACTGTGGTGCATCGGAGATAGATATGGTTATCAATTACCCGCTGTTGAAGGAGGGGAAATATACAGATGTATACGAGGATGTCCTTGCGGTACGGAAGGTTGCTTCAAATCCGGACGATATCGGCGACCATAGAGTTGGTTTGAAAGTCATTCTTGAAACATCGCAGTTGAGCCGCGAGCAGATTGTTGCGGGATGCGTGATTTCCAGTTTAGCTGGGGCGGACTTCGTCAAGACCAGTACAGGCTTTAATGGGCCGGGGGCTAGCGTGGAGAATGTTGCGCTGATGAGGGCAGTTTGTGAAACTCTTGGGAAAGGGGTTAAGGTTAAGGCCAGCGGTGGAGTGAGGACATCTGGAGATTGTGTGGATATGATCAGGGCGGGGGCGGAGAGGATCGGGGCCAGCGCTGGAGTGAAAATAGTGGAGGAGTTGAGAGGAAATTCGGTGGGTGCCCCTGCAGGAGACAGAAGCTATTGAGAAAAGGTTACCGTTAGTGAGGAATTTTAAACATCGATGGATGGAGGTTGTCACAACCTTGCTGGCCGGTTCAGGCACTGTATGAACGGGTGAAATGCTCTCTACGTGGAGAATATCGTATTTTCTATCATGGATTTACTTAAGGTAGTGGATAGTTATGAAGCCAGTCATACAGTTTTAAGCTAATCAAAGGAGGCGAGGGGTCCTCTATGTCATTTGTTTATCCCTATCGTTAATGATATAAAAGTGTAATTAGCGATGGCAAGAGAATTCGCGCGGTAGATATATGGGAATACAGACCCGCACGACCCTCTTTTACGATATACAACCCCCCGGAGCCCACCGTACGATTTAGAAAAGGCATGGTGTAAGTAAGTATTTGTATTCCCATTGAGTAATACATGAAAATAGGAATTTTGATTACATGGTATTTACCTGGAGAAATGAGTCAATGACAATCAGAAATCAATGCTCAGTGACCATCCGCTATCATGTCACAGGTACAACCGTGGCCTTGAATCTCGGTACGGGCTCTTATAGCAGCTGCCAAACCTCTATATTGTATGACTTAAATGGCTAAAGTCTTGCCCGCTCATGCCTGGCTTCGAGCTACAAACATGTTGGGGGGCGAAGAGAGGTCTTGTTTGAGAGAGCTTCCAAGAGTGCAAGCATGAACATTAGTACTAGTATGTTCATGATAGGAGCTTCACTTCCAACTGCCAATTATGTTTCTGGATTTTTGTATGTAAATCCAAATTCAATTATCGCTCTCAACCCGATGCTTTGTAGTTAGGTAGTATTGGGGTAGAGCCGAATCTCGGCCCGATAAGATAAGATCGGTAAAATCACGTGAATTACAAATAGCCAAAAATTATCTCCGAATAGCTTCATTTTTTTGTAGAAAACTGAGAATTTGCTGAACTTCTAGGAGACGTGAGTTCGCTCCTTCAACGCCAGGAAGGCTTATATAACGAAGCTACCCCTTGGGTTGTGGTTACGTTTTGAGCTTTTTAATTCGGGAAGAATCCCAGCCCATAAATTCCAGGAAATTCTCAAGGAGCTATGCATAATTCAAAGGTATGCGAGAAAAATCTACAATAAATTCAATCCCCTGTACACGATGTATTTAATTTTACCTGAAATTTTCAGAAAAGAAAGACAAGCCACGGCCAGCATTCCGAATCCAATGGCAACATCGACGTTGACACTTCGAAGCCGACGGCCATATTTACCCCTCGCGGAGGAAGATCGCAGACCTTGAGCATTGCTCTCCCAGGGAGCATTATTGCAAAGTACGCTCTTCGTACCTCCCACAAAATGGATTGAGGAGATAGGCTGACAAGTACCCTAATCAGCGCCCAATCCCACGACCAAAAAACATTCCTAGCGGGGTCCATCGCCCGGGCATTGGCCGTATTCTGCGTCGATGAGGTGGTAATCTTCGACGACGATGCTCGCCATATACACTTGAATGGCAACCACAATATAAACGAAGATGAATACACTGCGTACTCCGACCCCTCACATTTCCTCGCGCACGTCCTCTCCTACCTTGAGACCCCGCCCTATCTCCGAAAATATCTGTTCCCCATGCATAAAAACCTCCGGACGGCCGGGACATTACCGAGCTTGGATATGCCACATCACATACGAGCGAACGAATGGTGTGAATATCGAGAAGGTGTTACTCTCTCGGCCGCCGAGGAGCAAGGAGAAGTCGGGATGGCTGGCGAGCATGATAACGGGCGCCATGGAAAGAAGAAAGGGAAAAGAAACAAGGATAATACGGGGAAAGACTCGCCGACGTCGTATACGTCGGTTAACACAGGCCTTCCAGAAAAGGTCCGTGTGCCATACATACCTACGCCGGAAAATACGCGAGTAACCGTAAAATTCGGGTCGTCAATAGATCCATCTGATGGTGCTGAGGTTGTATCACCTTTTGCTCCGCGGGAGGAGACGGGCTACTACTGGGGGTATTCGGTAAGACGGTGCGCCTCGCTTTCTGCTGTATTTACTGAATGTCCGTTTGATGGCGGGTATGATTTGTCATTTGGGACATCGGAACGCGGTTGCCCATTATCCGAAGCGGTAGCGGGAGAGGTCCCTAAGTTCGAGCATCTCATTGTCGTTTTCGGTGGCGTAGCAGGCCTTGAAGCCGCGGTGACGGCGGATAAAGACTTACGGGATAAGGGCCTGGGGCCGAGCGACGCTGAAAGGGTGTTTGATTATTGGGTGAATGTGCTCCCTGGCCAGGGGAGTCGGACTATCAGGACAGAGGAGGCGGTTTGGCTAGGTTTAATGGGGCTTAGGGGCGTGGTTGAAGGTAATGGTTGTTGAGATTTTGCCTACTATATATCAAGCAGGTTTTCGGAATGTTGAGGGAAGCTGTCGGTAAATGCAACCCCTGGCGTATATATTCCAAAATCTTATACGATATATACCCTCTCAGATGTTAGCTAACGATCGATTACTCTATAACTAAGCAAAAAATCCGAACATTAGAGGATTTCGAATGTCCTTAGTTCAGAGAGAAGTAGATATCAAAATCTGACCAGACAATAGATACGATCATTTGAACTGCACTGAATAGAATCTAATACAATCCGTGGTCCATCGCCTTCCCCAAAATCCCAACTTAAAAAGCAACTGAATCCAACATCAATTGATATTGAAACGCCGGAAACGCCTATTTTATAAATCCAAAAACCACCAACCAGTTTTGTAGAAAACACCATGTATTAGAAAGTAAAATGATGCCAATCGCATCCAGTTCCATGAATGGGGCTCAAAGGGGTATGTGATATACAAATTTTATATTTAGTCATCGCCACTACTCATAACATCTGTGGCGCTCGTCTCCTCTTCATCCTCAGCTTCCATTTCCCGCATAAGTGCATCTCCATCCTGTCCGTTCTTCTCAGCTTCGAACCATGCTTCTCTACGTCTGAGCGCACGCTCTTCCCGCCGTTTCTGTTTCTCAAACCGAGCCTGTTGTGCCTTCTGCACGCTCTCATAGAGCTCGCTGTTTTGGTCTTCTAGACTGGCGATATGTTGTCGAAGCTCTACCATCTCCGCAACTCTAGCTTTGGTTACCGATTCCTGGAAGAAAGCTTGTTTCTTCAATCGCGCGATTTGATCCTCTAGTGATTGAAGTCTGGAATTGTCTACGGGCTCGTGGGTCACAGGCTGAGACTTTGCGGAATTGGTATTGAAGCCGACGGAGTCAGCTTCGAGAGCAGCAAGCTCAGCTAAACCCTCTGATATCAAAGCTGGTGAGAAAAGCGGATGGGTTAGCGCCTCCGAGAAGTCATCCGTTGATAGGATGTTGTCTAGATCCAATTGGCCGGTCAGGTGGGCTTGGAGAGAGTATGTTGCTGGGATAGCGTCTCCGAGTTGAGCCGAATTCGAAAGGGCATGATCATAACGTGGCTTGACAGTGTTGTGGACAGTTATCTTGGGTGTTTGCCTATCCTGGACGAAGCCAGTCGGCGTCAACATCTGCAGATTTGTCACCGGACAGCCATATGTTGTGATTGTTGAAGCGTATCTCCCCTTCGCGATATCCCAGGACGCAATTGCTCCGCTCTTGTGTCCTGACAAAAGCGTCGTTCCGTCATATGAGAGAGTGAGACACAGTACAGCGCCCAGATCAGGGTTCGGTGGGAGCCAGCGCTCGTTTGCAGAGAGTTGCGAAGGGGTGGACTGTTGATTACTGTCGTAAAGGATGTTTTGGACGGAGGGTACTTTGAAGAAGTCTATCATCTGAACGCTGCCATCGTCGTATCCGACATAAAATGCTCGGTCCGCGGGGTCCACTACCGAACAAAGTGGGCTCGCAGGGAGTAGGAATGTGCGTAATAATTTTCCGCTCCGATATTCCCACACAATGGCGGTGTTGTCGCGGGAGGTTGAAATTGCAATATTATTCCTGCTTCGGCTATGGCCAACTGCAAGGCTAGTAATTGGTGCTCTATGGTGGGAAAATGTCCGAAGCGGGGAATTGGTCTCTGTTTGCGTCTGAAACGAGGATGGACGAGAAAAGGATGTTAAAAGAGGGATCGACCAAACGTGGACATTTGAATCCTCTGAACCAGACACAATAAAATTGTTGGTTGGGTCTACGATCAAGGAGGTAACCGGTTGTAAGTGCGAGGCCGTTGTCGATATTTGGCGGCCTGTGCATGTCTACAATGGATGTTAGGGTTCAAAGAGCTTGGACGTTACTGGAGCAGAATCTCCAAAAAAGACACTCACTAACCTCCCAAATTATAAGCCTCCCACCTTCTGTACCTAATGCCAGCAATCCTGGTTCACTGAACCCTCCCGCTAATGCGAGACTTCGAATTCGCTCTGGGAAGGGCACTGTAGCCTCCTGGTTATTTTTCTCCCGACTGTACACATGCAAAACCGCTTTCCCGGCCTGTGACGCAAATATGTGTGAGCTCCCAACAGCCAAACCATTGGGGTCGGTAGAGCTCTTCTTCAAAGTTAGGCGAAGTGACTTCGAGGGCTGAAATTCATGGAGACAAATCCCAACATCCTTGAGCGCGGGTGAGATTTGTTGGTTGTTGGACGTTAGGAACGACGCAACAAAGCTCTCGGAGAGCATTTAGAAGTGAAAGGAGCTGTCTGCTCCTGGAACAACCTCTCCGAATCTATATGATTTTGGTTCCCGATTCCCTCGATCCCGTCCTCTCGTAGATTGCCATAACTTGAAGTTATCCAAATCCATATCCAGCAAGATTTATTCCACGAATAATTTTTGTGTTTGCTTTGTTTGCGAGATGTGTTTATCAGATGGCGGATCATATATTCGCCGAGATAAGCCGACATCTCACCTCAAGAGAATATTCCAAGAGCCAAAGAGCCATCTTTCTTCTTTATCCTCGTTGTGAAGTCGCTTCAGTCCTACATTTACTCCTTGTTTGACAGCCCTGATGGTCTAGGGGCAAACGTGTCGAGCTGGTAGCTGGTGACTTGTGGCTTGCAGACTGTACCATCTAGGGTGGGAGCGAGGGTACGAAAAAGGGAATCGAGGGAGTTGGCTTCTATGGAAAACAAGTTTTGGGGACGGCGATTATGCCATCTGCAGAAGCAAAATACCTGCCAGCCCACTTTCGAAGTCTGGACCAGGGACATGGAAGTGGACTCAGGACGGGCCCAGACGCCAATAGCAGCACCGACCATCATATCATCGCATCATCATTCACCCCGTCGCTCAAGCCCTACGATATCGTTCATGCAATATTACCCCTGAATCTTTGCCGCTACTGTCTCCACCTTCCCTAGCTCTCCTTATTTATTGTTCTCTATAACTCAAACGTCGTGGCGATGACGATGACTTTAATTGTTTCAGGGTATGCTCGCCCAAAGCCTGGAGCTTGGTTCGGGTGGGCGCGTGCCGCGAACTGAGCTAATTGGCCTCGTTTGGTCGGGCCAGCCGTTCGCCCTTGTTGCCTTTGTTTTTATCTATCAAACAATGCATACAGAAACATCCCCTTTTTCGAGTCAAATTTAATGGGACGTCAAAGCTTCAGCCATGGTTGCACAAATTATGGTAGCTTATTATCTCTTCGGCTCGTTCTCCGTAATTTTGCCTCTGTTGTTGTGCAATTTACATCCCCACGTTTGTCAGTTTGGATAATAAATATTTAGTCCTGTCCAGTTGGCACATTCCGCATTGATGCACTGGAACCTCACTCATATGCGCCGGACTTCTAGCAACCTGGATCACCACAACATTCATTTACGCGACGGCCAATTTCCAACCGGATCGCGTTAACTACTCCGTTTTGCAAACTTCGGCAGCTTTCTGCTGCGAGGAACCATGGCTGGGATGATGGTAGCTCCCTCTTTGGAAGCTCGTCATGATGAAGAATATTCAGCTGAAGCCGGACGCCAAAGGTTTGATGTCACTGCCAGCGTAGATATCCGAACGCATCTAATAAGATTATCAGTTTAAGACAACTTCGAATCCAAAAATCATCCTCTCAACTTCTCCAATCTTCTGCTGTATCTGTCACGAGAATCACAAGCCCTACAAATAAAACATTCGAAACCGAAGAATGTTGGCTTTTCGGTGAATTCATCAGCACGAATTACGGAAATGCTGATGCTCATGACCTGCCTAAAATTCAAAAGCGCAGGTGCCAGATCGTGCAATATAGACAACATAGCTCCTCGGAGAGTTTATGTGGATCATCGGAGGTTGCGGTGAGGCCCAGTAATTTAACACGCGCAAATTACTCGTACATTACTAACGAAGAGGATAGAAGCCTATAAAGATTGACCGACCGGCAAAGCCAAGGTTGATTACGATCCCGAAATCCACATCCTGTCTTGCTGTTCCATGTGGCAAATCTGAAGCGGATGCATTTGCCCAATCGATTCCCGCGTCTAAAAAACTTCCATCTGCATTCAGCTGCTTGAACCTCTCACCGCACACCGAACGGCCTCCCGGGTCTGGCGATGATAGTGGCTGCGCAGGCCAAGGATCTTACAACTCTACTGGTGATACATCCCGACTATCCCTGAGTGACCCGCCGGTAGATAGCTCATCAGGATTACTACGCCGTATTAGCTTTAAGAAACAGATTCCGCGATGGATACAGAAAAATTCCCCGTTACACAAGAGTGGTTCCACGGCGAGCCGAAACAAAGACACAACTCACAAGAGAGCCCTGAAGACAGCATCCTGGAGTGCGGGCTATGCGCTTGATCACCTCGAGACATTGTTAATGCAAACTCCCCTGCCAGTCTTGGATCTCTCATCCCCAGTCATTACATCCATGCGCTCAACGTCAGAAAAAGCCCTCCTAACCCCATTTAAAGAAATTTTTCCGGGGGCACCAATTGAGAAGCTCAGCTCTCTATGCGCTGTTTTCGTCGCTCAAATATACCTTGCTTCGCTAGAGGCATGTCAGAATAATACAAATGGCAACCAGACCATTATTGGAAGTGTCGTGGACGGTATCTCTGGCAAAGCAAGGGCAAGATTAGGGCTTCCTCCATCGAAGACTTCGCAGGTGCGCGTCCAAGAACGCCCTTCGCATCCGAGATATGCGAATATCCATGACCGTCTTAATGAAATTGCGGATGCGCTCCTGGTCGATTTATGTGGGACTTCCGATTCTGGCCTGAAGAGGGCGCTTATGTCCCTTGTTCAACTATTTGAGAGCAACAAAAAGCTTGGACTCATGTAGGCCATGAATTTTTAGCGTCTTTTGGGGCATTGCGGGGCATTGCGGGGGTACCTTGTTTCGAGCTACTGCTATTTTGTTTTGTATTATTACATATCTGATTTTAAGTTAGGTTTAATCCTGGGTATCAAGTACTTTTAATATAAGTTACCAAAGCTTGTTTTGTTTGGTTCCGGGTTTTATGAAAGTATATTGAGTACAGTATATGGCTTCATCATACAAGCTTCGTTGTAAGCTATAACTAGCTATGAAACTGAGTCATTGAGTATTCTGCAGTTAGATAAGGTAGGGACAGAGGACTGGAGGTTATGTGGGAGCAAAAACAGCCCTATATTAGTTGAATGGCTGACATTCATTGAAGAATGAACATATACATGGAACAGGGGAAACTGTTGGGGGGATTGGGTTGGGTGATTCGTACCCTCTATACCACCATGGCGCTGGTGGTGATTGAGCTCTTTTGCCCTAGTGGCCTAATAGAAACTAAGTCGGCGTTTGCCTTGCACGTGAACACCACAGACACGTAGAATAACAATATGATCGCCAACAAGAGGTAAACAAACAATGTCTTTCTGCCTCTAAATACTAATCATTTTTCTTTCTCTTCTCACCACCACCTAATGCTTTTTTCAAACCCATGGTAACTCCGTTCCATAGATCCGTTATAAACAACCACCAGCCTCTTATCTTAGCCGTGATCAGTATAATCCCAATAATCCTTCGGGTGAATAGTTCCGAGTCATCCAAATCATGCGCGTAAAATTCCCAAATAGCGATATCCCTCACCTCCCTCCCATCTCCACCAGCTTTCGATTCGGCCCTCAGCCCACTATTTGCAGGATTCGTTGCAAGGTCGTATACGTCCTGCATATCAGGAATACCCTTCAACCCACCCATCCCTGGGATCCGTTCCTCTCCCGCTTCCAATTCGCCGTCAGGACCAGGTCCGGACAGGGGAGACCGAACTCTGAGCTTCGGTGCAATCACCACACTGCGACCCACGCACCCAGGATCCGCCACAAAGCGCGTCGCCGCATCACAGACGTGATTAATATCTGTCAGTGCGGCGCCGGATAAAATGACCTTGCCGCTGACGCTGAGGATTGGAGTCTCAGTAAAGTACGGGCAGAGAATATTCACCCGAACCCCGTCTCGAAGCGGGGTTGTGGCGCGCAGAGAACGGAAAAGACCCATAACACCATGTTTAGAGACGCAGTAAGAAGTCTGGGAAGGTAGAGGTAAGATACTTGCTACGGAGCCTAAGAGGAGTATGTGTCTGTCTCTTTCCCTGGTTTCTGGCGGCTGAGTAGAAGATTCAGAAGAAGCCGGTGAGCATGGCATCGATCCTGGGTTGCGGGGCAAGTAGAATAGAGCTAGGTGCGTCGTATATAGGGTTCCGGTAAGATTTACATCAATGGTGGAGAATCGCGGTGCGGGTGGGTTGGGTTCATTTTGGTAGTCTCTTGGGGGCTCTTCGAAATATTTGGACTCTTTCGCATTGTTTATGCCCGCATTGGCCACAACAGTATCGATCCCGCCATGCGGGCTGAGCTTCACAGCTTCGCGGAAGAAGTCGACTTGAGACTGCCAGGAGGTTACGTCCAGGGGTAGGAAATGGAGGTTTGGGTTCTGAGTCTCTTCCCGAACACGTGCGACGAGTTCGGCTCCCGCTACCGTATTGATGTCACCTATTATCACTGTTGCACCTTCAGCAGCCCAGCGGGAGAAAAATGCGGCGCCAAATCCGGACGCGCCACCAGTAAGCAGAATTGTTTTGCCGCGGATGAAGTCCAGCGGGATGGGGCTGTTGAAATCCATTGCGTGGTGTTGGAATGTGCTAGACATTGCTAGTGTAAAGTTCTTGCTTCAACAGAAAAAAAAAACTACTGTGGAGATAATAAGGAAATACTTTTCCCGACAGAATTTCTAAGCAACAAAATAGAAGCTCAAGCTGAGCGAAACCAGGGTCAAAGGGCAACCCTCACAAATGCAGGATAGAATCGTTTTGTGGTCATCGAAAGATATCCCACGGAAACTAAGCGTTGAAAAAGCAAAAGACACGAAGCAAAATCAACAGAAAAAGGCATCCGTTGATATTTATAGAATTGAACCCGAGGAAAAGGGATTGATTCAGCCGCTCCAGAAGAAAACCCTCGTGCCAGGGATAGACCCAGCTTACGCGCCATAGCCACCTCCGTCATTCTGTGTTGCTGGGATGTTTCAGGGAAAGATTCGTCGCCTTGCTAGGAGCAAATGGTCAGCCAGTGAAAGCGTTACTCAGCATTGTTGAGAGCACTGCGAAGGAATTATAAACCACCAGCCACAGATTTGCTCGTTAGCTGGCCTCCTAGCTCCTCTCTGGTGCCCTCGCGGTCCAGACTTCCCGCGCTACCTGGGGGCCAATGGCCCCGAGCGAGAGATCTGGGAAGATCTTGTGGTTTGCTGAACTGAGGGTTAAGCTCAAGCCGACGCATTGTATGGTGGATTCCGATTATTATTGAGCAACCATCTCGTCCATGTGTTTGATGGAGAGCAATGTTATCCACACGGTTGAAAAAAAAATTGGATAGAATCGGCTGCAATATGATCACGTGCATATATCCGTGCTTATTAATCGCTTTTCATCCAATCGGGTAATTCGCAATGGATATATCTTGCCGGCAACTTCACATTATTCTTACAGCGTTTGTAGGTCGAAAGAGATGCCATCGCCATCTTCAGCTCTTGAGTCTCCCAACCTCTCACCGTATTAAAAAGCTCAGGGCTGGTGCTTGGCTTGGTGGTTTTGCGATCTTCACTATGGCAACCTCTGCTGGCAAGCTCCGAACTCTCTACTCCGCCCATTCTTCTCTTTCCAGTCTTCCCCCTTCGGCCCGACCTACTCTCCAATTAGCTACGCTGAGATCCTATGCAACGACTACCCCTCATGACTCCCCCATAGGCAATACCTCCAATACTCCCCCCACAGTCAAACGCCCAGCCACAGCTTTCAAAGACAAGCTAAATGCCGGACCAGCATTCTCCGACTTTGTCTCCGGCAAGAAGGACGAACCTCTTGACCCCGCCGAAGCATATGCCCTGAAAACAGCCCTGGTAGGACCTCCCGGCCGTAAAAAGGAAATAACCCGTCTCCCCCCCTGGCTCAAGACAGCCATTCCGGACTCCTCGAACTACAAACGCATCAAGAATGACCTCCGCGGCCTAAACCTGCACACCGTCTGCGAGGAAGCCCGCTGCCCCAACATCGCCGATTGCTGGGGCGGCAGCTCCAAGTCTGCGGCGACAGCTACAATAATGCTTATGGGCGACACCTGCACGCGCGGCTGTCGCTTCTGCAGTGTGAAAACATCCAACAAGCCTCCTCCGCTCGACCCGCACGAGCCAGACAACACAGCTGAGGCGCTCTCGCGGTGGGGCCTGGGATACGTCGTGCTGACTTCTGTCGATCGGGATGATCTCGCAGACGGCGGCGCGAGGCACTTTGCAGAGACAGTTATGAAGATCAAGCAGAAGGCGCCGAATATCCTCGTCGAGTGCCTGACGGGTGATTACGCGGGGGATCTCGATATGGTGGCCCTCGTGGCCAATTCGGGGTTGGACGTGTTCGCGCATAACGTCGAGACGGTCGAGGCGCTGACCCCTTTCGTGCGTGATCGTCGGGCGTCGTTCCAGCAGAGCCTACGTGTGCTGAAGGCTGCTAAAGCGGCAAAGCCGGAACTTATTACGAAGACGTCGCTTATGCTAGGGCTGGGGGAGACGGAGGCACAGTTGTGGGATGCTCTGCGGGCATTGAGGGCTATTAACGTTGATGTTGTCACCTTTGGACAGTACATGAGGCCGACGAAGAGGCACATGGCCGTACATGAATATGTAAGACCTGATGTGTTTGATCTGTGGAAGGAGCGTGCACTGGAGATGGGTTTCTTGTATTGTGCTTCAGGCCCACTAGTAAGGAGTAGTTATAAGGCTGGCGAAGCATTTATTGAGAATGTGTTGAAGAAAAGGAGGGGGGAAAATGCTGGAAGTGTGAATGAGAAGGTGACCACGAGTGAAAATGTCAAAAAGTTGGTAGCGGGTGAGGCTATGATGTGATTTATGTTTCCTCTCATCTTCATTGATGAGGCGATATTTGCGATACATTTTGTAAAGACCTAGCTGGGGCTTTTCAACACGTTACACCTGTATACATATTTTCCCCCCGTTCATCTTTTTTTCTTTTTTGGTCTTCGGCGTTTAGGGATTGCCCCCTGATTCCATTATTTGGGCCCCAACAGTCCTTTCCCATGTTTTCGTTTAGACGTATACATGCCTTGAAAAGGGCTAGGGGGATTCGACAAATCTCAGATAAAAGCCTATTTCGTTCTCTACTGCTCCGATATTTTCGAGTCCATCCATCTCCCTCTAAACTGTGCTAATCTCTAGAACCAGGTATCACCTCTGCAGGACGGTGATATTTAGTGTCGTCAAGACTGTACAAAGTAAAAACTTCTGAATTTCAGAAACGCTCGAATGCCCCCAAGGTTCACCTCCAGGCATCTCAGAGCTCCGTGGCGCAACCTTCGCTGGGTAGGACAGATGAGACTCCCTTTTCCATGTCAGTGAAATGGACAATTTCACCAAGACATTTTTGCTGGATCATCGTGTTGTCCATGTATGTACACGTCCCATTCGTGCTCAAATTGCCATGGATTCTCAATGCCCCCACATGTGATCGAAGGATAGGTTCCCTGAGTTTGAAGAAGCACAAACTGTCGTTTCTACCATTGCGGCCGATTCTATTTGTCGAGAAGCGGTGAATACTTGAACTGCTCATCTGCTGATAGGGAGAAGGCAACTACTCCACCATCACTTGAGCTAGTTTCCAGTATCTAATGTGACACCCAAACCAGGAGCAACAGTCAGGACAGGGTGTCGGTCGGGAGGTTTGGAATGAGAAGAGGATGAATCAGAATGGAAATGAAAATGAATTGGATCCGATAGAGTCTTTGCCAAAAATGGGAGTAGCTGGTTCGAGCATATTCGAAGCGAGAGAGCTTAGCAACCCATTGAAGATGCCACACACAATCCTGCATTTCTTGATCTGGGCGGCGTATTCAGTGGAGGGGTACCAGAGGTAAGTGATTCATGACAACTGCAGAGATGCCTCTATGTTTGGGAGCTGATTTATATGATTCATCAGAAGAAAAAGCTGTACCTTAAGATAGGATAGCCCCTGTGTATTCAAAGGCATGGATATGGATGGAAATAGCAAGATGACAGCGCAATTGTAAGTTTTAGAAGTGAAATCTGCTCATAAACGACATACCACTGTTAGCAATTAATCAACCTAGCTGTATATACCTGCATCCAGGACGTTGATTTGAACCCAAAGGAACATGAAACGGTGGTTCCAATTTCCAGCCGGGAAATCCCTCGCAACAGTGGTTCGTCAACACATATCATCCATGGTTGAGATTCCATTCCCTGCCCCTTAACTAACCCCCTAAAACACTCCCATTGATCGTGGCTCTAAACACGAAGAGGTTGGCGGAAAACGAAAGACACATCCAAGCCACACAATAGAAGCTGGATTATCTCAGCAAGACATGGATTTGCACGTGATCCAGAGATTTCCGCGAGAATCCCCCGCGCATGGACTGCAGGATGAACAGCTTCAGATCGATCGTGAGCGGTTCGAGGCAGCAGGATGGGCGCCCGGCCATCGCCTGCTGTGATGATATACTTCATGAAGCTGCTGGCCGGTCTTTATCGATGTGAACAACGCTGAGTCATTGCGTTATATGGGTTTTCCTGTAACTCAAACTTGATTCTCGCATCTTTCGTCTCCCCCACAACTGCAACGACTAAGTTGCGATGATGCATGCGCCATAGATCAAGAAATATTATCACATCTCTCATCTATATTTAATCATCGATGGAATATTCCATGGATGTCTCGTTGATGGTTCTTTATGTTTTCTTTTATTTCACAATTTATTGATTGTTTTCCTCTCCATTTACGTTAGCTAATTGGGTTTTGACACCATCGCCAGACTTGGCTAATGCAGGCTCAAATTGCGTGATTTGCAACAATCATGAGCAAATCCACCACAACTTCCCTGCACATCTGCGGCTCCACGTCTCTATTATCGCTCCGACTATCTCGCGCCGCGGGCCTGCTGGTGGGATTCCACGCCGGATTGCGCCAGAATCAGAACGTCTGGCGGTGGGTTCTGCAGCAAGCCCCGTGCAGAATAGCGAGAGGGCGCTTTTTCGTGGATGATGTGATTTTGGACAGTCTGGGCTGTTCGAGGGTGGTTGGTGAGGGTTTTCGTGGGTTGTTGTGTGTGTGGTCTCTGGCAATCCTCGCTTTTCCCTATCAGGAGAAGAGGGATTGACTGGGTTCCCTCCTCTCCTCTTTCTCTTTCGTTCGCTTTCCCTCTTCTCTCCTTCCATTGCACATCCGGATCATCTTTGCTTCTTTGATTTCTAAGACGTCGTCATTGGCCTGTTCCTCTCTCACATCTCCCGTTTGTCAGCATTCGTCTTTGTCTCGTGTTTGTATGGTCACCTATATTTATCATACTCACCTCCTTTCATTGGAATATCATACATATATATACAATCGATTCTTCGGCCCTGGCTCAGATGTGCTTCAATTCGTTAGCTGTCCAAGAAAATCAAAGCAATTCTTCTTTCTATATCAACATGCCGTCCAAAATCTCTTCCGGCTATCCTTCTGATACAGAGGCCACGGAGACCGAGTCTGGATATGCCAGCGCCAGCGCCAGTGATTCCAGTCTGCCAGAACTCGTTTTTACCAAACCCCATTTGAAATTTCTCAATAAGCACCTTCAGCTCTTAGAACCCCAGGGTATGTTCATACATCACAAAAGCTGCTCTAGGGCCGTCTATTGCAGATATACTTTGTGCCTGAAATTCAGCGAAACTAACGATATCCTCAGATGTCCTCCGCTGGTGCATCACGACGTTACCAGGCCTCTACCAAACCACAGCATTCGGCCTAACAGGCCTCGTAACACTCGATATGATCTCCAAACTCAACATCCACGGCTCACAGATGGTCGATCTCATCTTCCTGGATACACTGCACCATTTCAAAGAGACGCTGTCCCTTGTAGACCGCGTCCGCAAACATTATCCTTTGACAAACATCCACATCTACAAGCCAGACGGCGCCTCGACCGCCGAGGAATTCTCGCGGAAATACGGCCCCAGGTTCTGGGAATCCAACGACCAGCTCTACGACTGGGTAGCCAAGGTCGAGCCGGCTCGACGAGCCTATCGCGAGCTGCAAGTCAACGCCGTGCTCACGGGCCGCAGACGCAGCCAGGGCGGCAAGCGCGGCGACCTGGACGTCATCGAGGTCGACGAGGCGGGCCTCATCAAGATCAACCCGCTGGCAAACTGGTCGTTTGCGCAGGTCAAGGAATACATCACGGCGAATAACGTGCCGTATAATGAGCTGTTGGATAAGGGGTATAAGAGCATCGGCGACTGGCACTCGACAGCGCCCGTGAAGGAGCATGAGGATGAGAGATCTGGGCGGTGGAAGGGCCAGCAGAAGACCGAGTGTGGGATCCATAACCCGCTCTCCAAGTACGCGCAGTTCCTGCGCGATCAGGAGCTGAAGAGGCAGGGGGAGGCTATTAGCCAGGCACTGGAGGTGGAGAGTAATTGACGCTGCTTGTTCATCTTTTCTTACTTTTGTTGCACGGTTTTTTAGTTTGGTTTGGTTTGGGTTTGGATTTGGGTTTTCTTTTTCTTTTTCTTTTTCTTTTCGTTTGTTTTCTTTTTTGCCTCTGCTATTGCATTTAACGATACAGGAAAATCTGGCGCATTTGGGGCGGGGCGGTTTTGTTTTGTTTGGAATTATTTTCGATAGCTATGTCCTCTGCGTTTTTCCCCTTTTCATGCAAGGCATACATACATACCCACCTGCGATATATTTGTATATACGAAGATAGAGTGCTATAATCAGGAAAGGGTCTATGATATGGAGTATATAATATAAATATGTGATAGACAAGTGTATAACCCATGTGACTTGAGACTGCTGAGATGCTGCGAACTTCGCCCCCAGTCGGTATGACTTGAGATTAAGTAGAAGGTATGTATGTATGTTGAAATTTTATCATAAAGAAAGGAGTTAATTCGCTGCGCAGGATCATTGGCCATACAAATTCCATGTGAGATAAGGTGTCCATGTACATTTCGTCCTCCATATAATCGATAATATGATATAACAACTAGCCAGTCGCACTGCTATATTCAATATGCTAGGATACACCTAACCCCTATTCTATCCTCATAAGCAGCCAAACTAAGTAACAACCTCAAACGCATGCATGCATGCATACATATGTTATCCTAGGCAGAAGATCCGGCATGATGTTCACAGCCATTCTGGCGGTGGTTGGGACTGGATCTTGTGGGTGGGTTTGTATATAGGGTGAGGAGGACGTGGGAGGCGATGATATATGGAGGGCTGCTTTGGAGATGACGCTCGTAAGGGAAGGAGAAGCAGAATTTGGGAATTGTCAGCGAGGTGTAGGCTGTTTAAGCTGTGAGCCAAAGGATGTGAACAGGAGGATTGCCATTCGTATACCACCATTTCTGGCTCGGCGGTTCGCAGGGGCTTAAAGGATGAGCATGTTGAAGCTGCTCCAAAATCATCCCAACGATTGTAAACTATATGGTTGCGGCGAATCAACTGTTTTGGCCCGAAGACTGAAGCTGGAAAGGCAAGGTTCAAATTCTTAAAAATATCATAACCGTTATATATGCTGTAGTATCAGCTGAATTACAGCGTTCAGCACTCATGTATATGCAGGTCTTTCAAAATATGCGTCTAGATATAACAAACATGAAAAAAGGTAACCAAAAAAATATGAAACGTACGAACAAACCGGCTAGAAAAAAACCAATGACATGATCCAAAATTACGACCTATTGATCCGTTCAATTTCCAGAAGAATCAAAATCCACAAAACCCCCATCTTTCCCATCCCTATCCAACATATATCTAAACCGCTTCTTCTCAGCCTCTCCCTTCAAGAACGCCGGCACGTCCAGATTTGACTGAACCCTCTGATATACCTGAGACGGTCTATCGAACAAATCCTTCCCCGTCCTCACCACCTCGACAATATGTTCCTTACTCATAAACTCCGGCCGATTATACTCGGTATGCGAGAAGCTGGTGATCTTAGTCTGCATCTCCTTCACTGTCGCAAAGCACGAGCTGCAATGCCACGACGCATTGAACAGGTCCGTCTTGGGGACGAACAACTTCTGCAGGATCGATCCCTTGCGCAGGTCGTCCGGCTTTATCGTATTTTCCATGCCTTCATAATATGTCGCTTGCGGGTGCGCCCAGTCCGGGCCCTTGTGTAGCCATTGGAAGCTGTAGTAGTAGAACCTGCTGCGGAGATTGACACGCCGGGGGAAGCTGCAGATGCGGAGCAAGGTCACAGTGGCAGGGCGAGGGATCTCGTCGATGTCGGAGACGATAATGACGTCGCCGAGCTGCGGAGCTGTGGCGGGGAGGAGAGCAAGAGGACTCTTCGCGTTTGGTTGGCCGAGGGTGGGGAAAAGCTGGGTGAAGCCGGCGTTTCGCTGAAATTTCTCGCGGGAAAAGGCTTTACGTACGTTTTTGACGTCTCCTTCCACGATATGGTGGATTATCTTGTGGTGGAAGCGGGCGAATTTGGCCCAGACGGAGGGGTCGGTGAGGAGCAGGGGCTTCGGGTGGCCGGTAAAGGTTGTGTTAGATTCGACGACGACGAAGAAGTCGACTTGGTCATTTAATTCGTTAAGACGGATTTCGAGCCAGTCGAGTTCGGTGTTGAGGAGGAAGATGTCATAGACTTTCCGAGCTGGGTGAGGGGCGTTTTGATTATTTCCTTGTCGTGGATCATAGACTGGCCAGTTGTAGAGGCCACAGAGCTCGTTTGCTTGATGCTTTGTTAGCCCGTTTTGATGATTGATATTCTGGAGAGTTTCGCCGATATATTGCGGAGGAGAAGAATATATCCATGAATACAGGCCCACGATGGATAGCAAAAATATCGAGACATAGAGGATAAGGGGTTTAACCCCCAGACGTGGCCCAAGGATCATTCTGGGGATAACAGCGATGATTATGCAGAGGGCATCAGGCAGCGAAGTTGAGTATGCAAAAATTCAATTTATTCTAAAAACAACGGAGCCTTGGGAAGACCGTCACAATAACAACAACAACAATAACAATAACAATAATGATAATAACAACAGTCAGACAAATAAAAGATAAAGAGGTATGAAACGGGATGCGACAAGAAACATGACAGGAGACGAGCAAAAACTTTTGCGGTCGAGGATGGCGGAAGTCATCACGGGGGAGGCAGGGACTGCGCGCCAGGAGTTCTAGAGGCCCACATCAGCCATCGATGTGATTGAACATTGCAAGCCATTTTGGCTCAGACATAGCGGGAGGTTTTCCTTGCATGGTATTGGCCCCCATTTTTTTTAGTGCCGTCAGCGGAGCTCGGTTTTGCTGTTGGAACTGGGACAAGGATGTCGCTGGAGATCATCGGCCTTGTCGAACCATCCTTCTTGAGATAGCGTATTCAATTTTGCTTCCTTTTTTTTTCATTTTAGAAATTCCCGGGGACATGGACCTAGCAGAATAACGGGCAAAGCGATGCGAGCTGCAGCGACCTGCGATTCCAGCGACCTGCGGTGCAGCCTGCAGGTTCCTGTTTGTCCCTCAGCTCGGGAAGCGAACCACGGTCCGGCAACCTCGATCGTGGTAAAGCTCCACCACGAGGCATGGGAATATAAACATTTCCAAATAATCAATGTTATAAATGGAAGTACGAAAATAAAGAAGTTATGCTAAATACAATGCGCCTCGTGGTTGTAAAAGGACTTCCCACCCCTCAATGCCTCCCTGCCACCGTGGTAACCGGACCAGTGTAGGTCTTCCGGCCTTGCACATAGTACATTACAAGACTAATAGCAACCACCCCGCTGAATATGACTATGCTCCAATTGAAATTGTCCACAGTGACATGTCGATCTCCAGGCCAGAATGACCAGAACAGGGCGAACAGAACATATGCGAGACCAAGACCATTAACAATTGGACCAATTACGGGTCCCAAGCTCCAGCGCGCATCAGGCAGCAGTTTGGGGCGTGTGAGACGGAGGTAGAGCACACAGCTAATTGAGACAGCGTATGTCGCCATGAGCGCAGCAACATTGAGTGATATAATGGCATGGAATGCGGCGCTTGATCCCAGATTAATGAGCGAAAGAAGTACACTGATCAGACAGGAGACAAATATGGCGTTGGCCGGGATGTGTTTCGTTGGATGGACGTCAGATAGCCAGCGGGAAAACGGCAGGCCTTTGTCGCGAGCGAAAGAGAACGTTTGCCGGGATGTGGAAGCATTAAATGAGACATTGCTTGCAATTACTAATACAAGGATGACAATGGTAAGTGCGTTAACTCCCTTCGTGGACACTGCATTGCGGAATACGTAGATAAAGGGGAATGTTGAAGGGTCGTTCAGAGCGTCGTCTACAGACGGAATGGAGAAGACATAGGTGACGATAAATATGATGGCTAGGATTCCATTCGCGACGTATCCCCAAGCAATCGCGTTCGGTACATTCCTCCCAGCGTCCTTGACTTCTTCAGCCATGTGTGCGGTTGCATCAACGCCTTTGCAGTGAAGTCATGTTAGCCCAATTTCTCCAGAGACTGCACACCTGCGAATGGGGAGAAGACATAGGGACAACACACTCAGGCCTCCGTAGATGGCTGAAATCTGCCCGACCATGACGCTGACTCCTATACTTGGCCAGCTTCCACCATTTCGAAATTCCGTAAATACCGCCCTAGCAGATTGATGGGGAGCCATGACCCATAAAACAACCACGACCGCAAGGAAGCCGAAGATATGGACAACAAGAAGCATATTCTGGATCATGGGTAGGCCTTGAGCCACCCATATGTTGAAGAAAAATATCAAAGCCACCATTGCAAAGACAAGTAGAGTACCCCTCCAAGGAGTAGATATATAATCTGGCTTATTGACAGTTATAAGGCCTTCAATGATGTTCCCTGTGAGAAACGATCCAGATGCTGCACCAGCTTGCCATGCTAGTACCGACAACCATCCTGCCAATCAAAATAAATTAGCATCAATTACGTTACCAATATGGCGGAGTTCATCACTCTCCTCACTAACCAGTGACGTAACTCAGGAACTTTTGATGTTTCTCTGATGCAAATTCAGACACCCAATGGTATTGTCCCCCAGAAATTGGCGCCCTGTAGGACGGATAGAAAAATGAATATTAGCAGCTCCCTCTCATTAGACAGAAAAACACAACCCACACACTGGCATATTTGGAGAATTACATAGAGGCCATTTCCGCAAGCGAGAAGATCACGAAACCAAAACCAACGAATGTCCAGATATATGACCAGAATAGTCCGGCGAGGCCACCATTCGTAAGCCCTTCAGTGTTAGATCTTGCAAAATTCCAATTGATATTAGCCCCAATCCATGAGTTTTGTTCCCGGCATACAACTACCGGAATACATATACATATATATATATATATATATATATATATATAATTGGTTGGCTCACATCAACATGAACTCCCAAGTCGCTTGCAGGATAAGGGCAAAGCTCAGGGCGGAAAGCGGACGATAGTTCCTCTGCCTCCCATCAGTCAGTCAAGCACACCGATATCGAATTGAAACTTCCCGCGGGGAACAGACGATTAACTCCTGTCGTTTGCCCATACGGTTCATATCCTTTTGGTCATTTTTAGTATGGCCCCGCCGCATTGCATCGTCCCCCACGCCATCGTCGAGACAGTCCTCGATGTCATCCATGTTATAATGGTCTGAGAATTCGTGCAAAGATTCCTGGGAAGAGCTTTTCGCTGAGGTTTGGTGAGCGGCGCCATCTGTGGTGGCAGCCATCGTTGTTGACTGATCGAGCAAGGAGTAAGTAGGCTGTTTCCGATACCACATATATAGATCATATATGTATGTACAATAAATCACGCTTCAGGGCGATTGTCTCGAGGGACAGGAGGAATACAGTGAATAATGTCGGAAAAGTGAAGAACACAGAGTACAGGGCCAGGACAGGGAAATGTGTTGTGCGAGTTGTATGCACGACACGCGACTGCTCCAGTCATGAGAAAGGGTGATAGCAAACACCCACGCCCACGGAGAGAGTGTGTGTGAGAAAGCAAACCTGGAATGGAGAGAGCAATGAAAAATATAGAACACCAAATGAGAGAAAATTCCCAGAGACGGATTGGATAGATTACTCCGCTGCTTATCTGGAAAAGTGGGAAGCCAGACTCCTAGCAACTTTGCGCCGCCAGTTTTCGGGTGCGAAGATCACATAGGGATTAATTAATCCCGTGGGTTCTCGGCAGCGAGGATGGGACAAAATCTGCGGCATTGACGCGAGACAGACGGCTATTCGAGTGGGTTATAGGGGAGTAAGTGCTATTCCCACAGTCCCACATACCGGCAACAATGAATGGAAATGACTTGGGAATATCGCAGGTTCAGTCGTGCGTGAAAGTCTTTGTTTCCTGCTCTGAACGCCTCCATGCCACAAACCGAAATCATCTGCAGCACACTCCAGACGGAGTACAGCAGGAGGGCCCATGTGAATAGAAGAAGCAAATCAAGCGCAATTATGGAACACAGACAACGAAACCAGGAAGCATCATGTTGCTTTCTGTACTACCCTTCGGACCCCGACACGCAGAGCTTTCGCAAGCCTCGTATAGCCAGTTCGTCATTCTCTTGGCCGCTGAGAAGCAGCCTTCTGGGACCAAGAATATCTCTTAGAGGCCGCAGGTGATAAGACACCATTAGGATGTATTTTTGGTTCTTCATCGACAGGATTGAAGCCCTGGCAACTTGAAAAAGTAAAGGCGATTAATGGCCGATTCAAGGATCGGACAAAGGCTAACTATCTAGTCCCGATATGATATAGGGTCAAATCTGATCATAAGCTTCACGCTTATCCATTTCATTCCTTATTATTAAATAGCTAGTTACCAGCTATCGTTCAAGTAATTATCCAGGATAAGTAACTAACTATTGGATATCGATTCAACGTGGTATTCAGTGATTTTGAGGTCTTGTTCAGATAAATATATAATTCCGACAGGGTGAAGTGCACCGTTATGCCAGATATAGCTCAAACTTGCCAGGATATATATTCTATAATCTTAAAAACGATATTGGCATAGACAGGCGATTAGGAGAATTGTCAGGAACATATATATGGACCCGAAAAAAAAAAAACTTCGAAATGGCCCTGGTTGTATGAAAACCTAGAATAAATTTTAGCTCTTGATCCACCGCTTGGCGCCTGCTGCCACTTAACGCCCGGTTGTGTAAAATCATTTCAAATCAACTTTGAATACCAATATCTCTTGGACGGGCGCTACGCACTAAACAAATCCTTCTCGCCGTTGGATTCCAGAAGACAGGTCCTTGGTTGCCCCGAGACCCGAGAGCGAATGCACAACTTGCTTTCGACCGACCGAACACGCTCAGAAGCCGGCATTTAAGGCAGCAGTTAAAAGCAACTCAACCGCCAGGGCTTCGGGCTCAGATCCATTTAGATAGATCTCTACCGATCTACACGCCTAAACGCTAGGATAGCTCGCCGTTCCTGGCTATCTCCCAGAGATCAAAGCTCTGTCGAGCTCTCGGAGGACGGGCAAAGGATATCCGGGACCCTGGAGTTGAGTCTAAAGGGATTACCAACCTTACGGTCATTCCAGGGTTCGGACCATTTGGCCCATCAAGCCATCGAGAACCCAAAAAATGGAATACAAGTGCATTGTTTTCTCTCAGCTTCTACGGAACGTTGTTGATGACCAAGAGGAAGCATTGTCCGAACATTGTTATTATTTGCTACAGCGTGTGCCTCTATCGAGAGAAGTTGAGGTTGCGCATTTTTTAGCCTTCATGCACACTGCTTCCATTCGCCAGCCAGCCACCAAGGATGATAAATCACCGTTTCTCTGTAGAGTGATGTATTTCCTTCGAGGGTTCCACGGCTAGAATGATCACCCGATATGTTGGTTTACAGCCTCATCAGAGCCCGCCACAAAATTGGGGCAGCAGATTGCATCCCACGAATGAATGACAGCGTGCACTTCCAATGCCCGCGGAACCAGTTTAGCACAATAAAAATTACATATTAAGGGTTCACTCTTCTATTGTTAGTCGCCTAAGCAGACTCCATGGAGCTGTCCTACCTTGCTTAGGTTTCTCTATTATTTTGAACGGAGGACGGCATGGCTGCTCATCCATTTCTTTCGAAGGCTGCCGAGTGCTGACTTTGACTATAAATTATGATACGTTTGTTTTACTCTCTGTATACCGATCTTCCTTTTATATCAACTTAGAGGAGTGGATACTGTTTTCTTGCTTTTATCACCAGAACCTCGAGTGTCTGTACCTACATGGCAATATCAGGCAATTTACCACCTGGGATTTCGGAGCCTCTGGCGGTAGATACCAACAAAGACCATGGGGGGTTTATAGCAATCGTTACCGCGCTGCTTCTCGGATTCGCGCTTGTTTCCCTGGGAATACGTGCATATGTCCAGCATTCCAGGCATGTGGTCAAAAAAGATGATTATGTTCTCCTAACGGCAGCTGTGAGCTTCCCTACTGCTGCATATCTGAAGCATTCCAAGTGGGGGACATAAATAGCGCTCAGCTAACATAGCTTTTTCAGATTGTATTTTGTATCCAATCATCCGTCGTATTCATTCAAATAGGCAATGGATGGGGAAAATCAAGAGAGCTTCTCACACAACGAGAGCATGTAGCGCTGCTCAAGGTATGATAATTCCCGACTTCTTCACCTCAGCTAAAACGACAATGGCTAAAGGGTGATTCAAACATAGGCAACCTACGCTGCAGATATTCTATACATTGTCACTCACTGCATTTCGAAAAGCTCTGCTGCGCTCTTTTACCTACGGATATCACCTAGTAGTTCGCATGTCTTCGTAGCATGGGGATTGGTTGGAGTGTCCGTAATCTGGGCAGTGGTATCCATGATTTTACTATCATCAGTTTGTGGTTTTCCTCGACCATGGTTGGATGCTAGCTCACATTGCGCCGCTATGGTAAGATCATTACGGATGTGAATTTTCTGGAGTGAGCTGTGGTTATATTGGCTAAAACGTCTTCAATTACAGTTTCCTCGGTGGCAGATTATAACAGCTTTTGATATAATCACCGAGGCTAGCTTAGCAGCTGTATCTTTGTTTCTTGTAGCTGGCATTCAAATGCCCGTTATAGGGAAAATCGTTGTTGTTTCGGCGTTTAGCTCTCGTCTTCTGTGAGTCTCCCTGTTTTTTCAATTCGTTGATATTGAATCTGATCATCACGACACATCCCAAAAGTCCAATTGTTCGTTTTTTTTAACGTACCGCAGTGTCGCGCTCCCAGCCTCCTTCCACTTACACTATATAAAAAAAATGATCGAGTCCTCAGATTACACTCTGGTAGGCAGCTCCGTTACAGCCTATCTCCAGTTAGAATTGAGCTACGGCATCATGGCAAACACAATCCCCTGCCTCAAACCCTTTATGGCCGCATATGAGGAAACCGGCCGACCCTCTTACAGAAGCCGCATCCACAGCCGCAATGGAAGTCACAGCAATAGTGGAAACAGCAAGGGCAGCCGCAGCCGCAGATTCAGCCGTGACACATTCTCCCTCTCGACGATCGCATCAACCAAGTCTAAAAGACCTTGGATAAGAAATTCAATCAGCACAACAATGGCCAGCGACAATGTGTTACAACCACCTCCTCCCCTATTGCGACAAAAATTCCCTCCCAGGGACAAGCAACCACAATCATTGGGCCGCGATGAGGTGAGGCGCGCTACGACAGCAAGGATTGGCAGCCCGGGACGAGAAGGTTCAAACTTGGAGAATTACAGCGGTAGACGGATAATTATAAAAAAAGATGTTATTTGGAATGTTGAGAGTTCGAAATTTGCAGACCAGGAGGGACCTGCTGGCGCTACGATCAGAACCAATGTACTTTGATGATTTAATCCGTAGGAGATGTAATACCATTTCTGCTATTCTATTCTTTTATATATGTATGTCCCCTTTACGACCTGTGGGGAAGCCCTGGAATTTTGGATATCTTCGTCGATGTATTTCTCTCTGTCATGAATGTAGGAGGAACCAGAGATATAAAAAAGCCTGGGAGACAGATGGGAAAATAATTACATCCCCAGCTTTCAGTCAGAGCTTCAGGTCCCAAAGTTTTGAACCCTGGTCACGTTCCTCTTAAGGTTGAACTGAATGGGGAAGCCTTATCTTAATTAAGCTCGGCAGATCCGCTGGTACCGATGTCGATCTCCCGATCGCCCCACTCGGGCCCTTGATGGTGGTTGAATACAGTTTTCTGACCCTTGGAAACAAAATGTCAGGGCCAACAACAAAAGTATCTGATAAGCAAGGAATGCTGTTACCCTGGTCTCATGTTTTACGATTTTTAGATATGCGACCTTACATATAGAATTCTGCATCAAATTTTGCTCAACCCGCTTCTGGTTACTAGTGAATTCCCGGGTCCATCGATCAATCCATCAAAGGAGCTGTCAAAAAAAATAAATAAAGAAATAAAAATGCACACCGAACTCCATTCATAATCCGCACAGGGACACGGCGGAGCGTAGAAATGAATACATTCCAAGCCAATCCATATCTGTGAATAGTAATACAATCATCAAGGAACAGGACGCCAGCCCTCCAAAGAAAAAATGCGAGAAAAAAGAATCGCCATAGTAAACTAATGCATTACCAATTCACCCCACAACTATCGACATCCCATAATCCGCAAACCCCGGATTCCCCAGGATGTACCTCAATGCCCTCTCGCGATCCTGAACAATCAATTCCTCAGCCTCCCACCGCTTCCTCTCCATCTCTTTCTGCTTCACCCTTTTCATTCCCCCAGCCCACCACGACAACCACGACAACTTGCCAACTTGATCCATACTATCCAACTCTTCATTCTCCGCCTTGACAACCAACTGTCGCACCATCTGCTTCCAATTGTCCAGGCCCGCCTTGACACACTCCCGGCAGCGCTGGTGCGTGTCGGAATGATTCATGGACAAGCTGCCACTGCTGGCGTTGTTCGTTGTCATGAACATGGAATTGGAATTAAGGTTTTGTTCTTCTTCTTCGGCATTGAGTTGGAGGATGGTGGCTTCGGCTAGGTCGACTGCGTCACGGGTCCATGCTAGGCCACGTTCGTGAGACGAGGCGGCGAAAATTATCTCCCCAATGTACACCATTAGTCCTGCCTCTTCACAGGCGGTGTAAATGGAACGCATGGCGCGTTCGTTGCCGGTCCGGGTTGGGAGGGGATATGCAGGGGGGGTAAGGAAGGAGAGGATGGATTTGGGGACGAGGGTAAGGACGGAGTCGTTCTTTGCCTTCGACGCATTTGGAGGAGAGGAAATTTGCTCGGTTATTGAGGCAGAATGCTCTTCTTGTGGAAGAGATCGACGAGCTCTCAGGACAGACACAAAAATCGATAATGCAGTCGGCAAATCACCTAGGCGTACCTGGTGTACACCCAGGGCAGTCGACGCCCGTAATAAGTTCTCCGTCACATGCGCATTCCCTCGCTCTTTCAGTATGCCGGTTTTCCGATCCACAACCTTGTTCGGGTCCACGTCCCCTGGGAGTTCGGCAGTTGCAATATCCATCGCCCAGCTATATACATTTCCCGCCGTCTCCTTCAGACCCTTGAAATCTAGCCAATCAGCATAGGCAAGTGCCGCATCGAGTTTCTGATGCGTCCCAAATCCTTTCGTCGTCAGTATCTTCACATAAAACGCTTCCGGACTCTGATAGGCCGGCACACAATGTTCCTCCTTGAGCATCTTCTTCGTTCCGGGTAAAAGCTGCGGCATCACATTCGACGGACCAAGCACACACTCCGCCGGCCCAACAATCTGTTGCTCTGTATCCTCCATCCACCCATCCAATTTCTCCGCCGCCTCTCCCGCTCCCATCAGCGCCTGGAAGTAACCGATCTTCCACGCCTCACTCATACCCGAAATATCATACCCAGCCTTCCCGACGCCCTCAATCAGTAAACCCCCTTCATCCTGCTCCTTCAGCCCCTTCCCATCGATCTCTGGATCCTCCAACCTCGCCAACAGATCCACATAGAATGTCCCCACGCTCGCCCAGCTCGTCTGTAGTTTATGAAAGAGCTCCGGATGTGCTCTAGCGCGCGCCGTACGCAGCTTCCAACGGCTCCTAAATGTCCATTCTGGCGGTGTGGGGAAGAGCCGCTCATAATTCTCTTGCGAGAACCCCACGCGGATCACGAAGAGGAGCACTATGGCTGCATACACGCTGAGACCGATTTTCAAGCCCCGGTATATCCGCTGATAGTAGGCTTTGCGCTCTGTGCTGATTAGACGGGGGATGTGGAGGCGGAGTAAGGCGGCGTTTAAAAGGCGGTTGGCGGTTGTTGGGGTTGATCGGGCGGTGGAGGGGGAATGGAGGAAGGGGAGTTGTGGTCGGTGTCGGGCGGAGGGCAAGGTGATAATGAGTTGCGGGCCATTGATGGTGAAGAAGCGGGGTTTCGTGGGTTGTGTGTAGTATATGGGTGGCCGCAGTGGCCCGAGGGGATTTCGTATTCGTCGTGTGAGAAGTTGTGGACGCAGCATGGTGAAGCAATGCCGGATATGAATAGTTAACTGGAAAGATTATGGCTCAACTGAGGGTTGGATCAATATCAAAAGAGTTCTGGGTGTTTGTTTTGTTTGCATCAGACTTAGCCCACTTAGCTAGACTTGCGGTTTCAATGCTAGTACTGATCACGAAAAAACTGTTATTCAATCGGATTCTATTGAATTTGTTCATTAGCTGGTCACTATGTAAATATATAGCTGACTTATTCTCTAGTTACGTTTTCTAAAGTCGAAATACCTAGGACGGACTTCCATCCAACCCAGTAGGGCACAAACATCATGGGTTCCAAGAGGTTTTAAACCAAAACCCCTGTGCCTGATATCTGAACAAATGTGAACAAGACAAAAAAATAAAGTAAAATAAAAATTCCAAAGACAAAATAAAATACCGCAAAAAGTGTGGGTGGGAATAGAGTCACTGAGCCAGCCGCAGTGTATCAACGACAAAAGCAGGGCAGAGGCTTTGGAAAAGAGAAAAATTCAAAAATCCAACAACGTAAAGTTTTGTTATATATATCTTCCCACTGTCACCTTTTCCTTCTCTTGAACCGTTTTGATCATATATCATGTTTCGTGCCCTCTCGTGTAATATGGATGAAGTGGAATAAGAAAACAAAAGAAACATCACCCAAAAATAACCAAAAGAACAACTTTAAATTTTCCAAAAAAAATCTAAGATCTATCCAAAAACCCCTGGCTCTCAAGCATCAGAATGATCTCATGCACAATAGCCCGTACGGTCTGCTTCTCAAGATCAACAGTGAGGTCCGCAGCCTTGGGAGTCTCATAGGGATCATCCACGCCAGTAAATCCCTTGATCTCCCCGCGTCTCGCCTTCGCATAAATGCCTCGCTTATCAGTCTTCTCAGCATACTCCAGCGACGTCGCGACGTGGACAAGGAAGAAGCTTCCGACCGCCGAAATGGTATCGCGCGCTGCCTCTCTACTGAACTCGTGCGGGGCGATCGGAGCGGCGATGACGGCGGCGCCGGCTTTGGTGAGCTCGGCTGCCACGAAGGCGATGCGCTGAATGTTCTTGTGGCGGTCTTCACGGGAGAAGCCAAGTTCGGAGGAGAGTTCGTGGCGCACTGTGTCGCCGAGGAGGAGGGAGACGGAGCGACCGCCTTGCTGATTTAGCGTGACTTGAAGGGCACGGGCGATGGCGTCCTTGCCGCTGTTTTGGTAGCCAGTGAGGAAGATGGTGAAACCCTGTGTTGATCTGGGGGGGTTTGATTCGCGAAGTACTTTGACCACTTCTGGGTATGAGAACCATTCGGGGATGTGGCCGCCGGTACGGAGGCGTTTTCGAAGCTCCGTGCCGCTAATGTCCAGGGTCTTGGTGCCTGCGGGCACCTCATTGACGGGTTTGTACTCGTCGGTATCTGGGAGATAAGTGACCTGCTGGAATTCTACGACCTCGATTCCAAGCTCGTCCTTGTATTTCTCAACGGCGTGCTGGGCGTCATAAGGGCCGTAGAATTCGACGCCCTTGGAATTCTTTCCTGGGCCAGCATGGTCTCGTCCGACGATGAAATATGTGGCGCCATGATTTTTGCGAATAATAGCGTGCCAGATTGCTTCACGGGGACCACCCATTCGCATGGCAAGGGGAAGAAGACCGAGGACAGCCATTCCGTTGGGGTATCTGGGTAAAAGAGCCTCGTAGACACGCACACGGGTGAAATGATCAATGTCACCTGGCTTGGTGAGACCAACGACTGGGTGGATCAGGACGTTCGCGTGGCGGGCACGAGCAGCTCGGACTGTTAATTCACGGTGGGCTCTATGCATAGGGTTTCTGATACTTTTGTTAGCTTAAAAAGGTCCAAGCTAAATATGATCATGGGGCAATCACCTTGTTTGGAAAGCAACAACCCTCGTCCAACCGAGCTTGTCAAAGTGGGATCGCAATTCAGCGGGCGTAACTGCATAGAGGTTAACATTATAGCTTATGATATACCTTTGCAGAGGTACCTTACATCTCAGAGCTACATAATCATAATGGTTGAGCTTATTCACAGCTTCAACTTTTCCTCCAACATAAAACTCCTCAACCTTATTGAACAGGTACTTGATTGAAGGATGTTCTTCATCACCGCCAAAAACTTCCTTTGCTTCCTTCAGCCTATATTTTATGAGGGAGAAATACCACATCAGCATCTCAAAATTATACGGCAACAACTAAGTGACAAGAAGCTCACACAAAACATACTTGTCGGGCTTGTAAACGTCATCTACGGTCAGGATCGCTAGATTGCGGTCATCTCTGAAATCTCGGAGGGTAACCCGAGCTCCTGGCTTCACGCCGAACTCTTGGATGTCCTCTGCAGATATATCAAGAGTGATTGGAATGCTGAAAACATTCCCGTCTGCTAGTCGGACATCTGTGACGACGCTGTTAAAGAAGAAATAATTGATATTAGATTTGTTCTGCGCAATAGGTATTCTTTATCCCCTAGTGGTAATAAGCGGAAGATTTATCCACCCACGCGGTGTAAGATGTAACGTGCTTACCCATTGTAATCCTTCTCGTTCATGAAGCCTTCGAGGGGGCTGAAGCCACCGTTCATAATCAATTCCAGATCGCAGAGTTGCCTTTCATTAAGAACAATGGCAGGCAGGGTCTCCGCCTCAGCTTCCAGCTCGTCATGTCGTGGAGAATCCCTTGCCAACAAGTCCTTGAGGAGCCCGCCATGAGGTTTGTTAGCCATGCTGCTTTTTGGCTCTCGCCTGGGCTGTCAACAATGGGCGAAGCGGGGAAAGCGAGCCTTCCGAAATGCTATGAAATAGAAACAATTGAGCTTTACGTTCAGAGATGCAGTAATCTTGTGGAGAACGCGGGAGAAGAAGTTGAAGAGATGAGATGACGAAGAAAGAAAAAGAAACAAGGATTTCAAAAAGGGCTCAATCAAACAATGATCTAATCTGCGTTAACAATTGCCCGTACTCCTGGCTCAATCGTCGATAGGACGGATTGACGCCATGGAAGGCAGAAAAAGCCTGTTCCTCTCTCCTGGTCAGCTCGAAAATTGAGGTGCGGGCCCAAAAATGGGGCCGGCAACAGCTGGTCATTGGCCCATCTAGCCAGGGCTCTGGGCTCACTTTGCGATATCATTTTTCTCGTTACTCCATCACAAGTACCAACTATGTCTCCTCCGTCGCATGTTACAGCGGGGCAGCCCACAGGAGGTACATGGATGCGCGGTACCATGTCGTAATCCTGCCAGAAAGCCGAAACAGGAAAGCCGATGACGCTGGCATAAAGCTTAGTCATGCTCCGAAGCATCTGCATAAATTTCCCCCATCACCAATCAGCAGTCTTGAATCGCTGCATTATCTTATTCAGCAAGCTGGCTCGCCATCATCCCTGCAGACACCGTCAGCCTGCCCTGTTATGGCGTGATCTGTACGCCAAGAGGCGGTTGAGTGTCCATATTGCGAACTTGTTGTACGCAGCGTAATCTGTACTCCGTGGGTGCGACAGTGAAGCATTGAGGTTGAAAATGGACGAGGTCGAATGCGAGAACGGTTAATCGAATGTCTTGCTTTCGATTATTCAAACCTACATAATGTAGAAGTTACGCATTCTTTTGTCAGGTTCACGTCAACCGTTCTGAAAACATGACCTTGGCTATTTATTTTCAAGTTATTCAGATTGGACACCTTTCCAAGGTTTCTCTGAGGGACGGGGTATTGGGTATTGACATGTGAGTATACTAATCATGCCCTCGGACTCAAGATCTTTCTTTCTTCGTCCGCAGTAGAAGTAGAAGTCATTTTAAACTTACATGACCATGGACACTTTCATCCCTTCTACCCTGATGCCATTGATGTCAGCGCTCATTTCATGGTTAAGCTGTATCTTCAACAACGATCGGCAATTCCTTATCAATTAGATAGTGACGAAATCAGTTGGAGGCGAAGTCTGCCACGACTCGCTACAAGGTAAGCAGTGTTTTCCCCTGATATATTCCCTTGAGGGAGTTGTATAACCTACAACGAGGTTTCTATTGGGTTGAATAAGTTACGCGGATTATCGTTGTTCCCGGCAACCAGCCAAGCATCAATTTGGACCACCACGTGCTGATTCATACAGACGACGTTCTTTTGAATAGCGAATCCCTAACCCAACTGATTAATGCATGGGATGACACTGGCACAAAATTTGCGTGATGCCACTTCTCACTCCGATTAATTCACGGAATCTCAAGAGAAGTGCGTGCGGAAGCCCCAGCGTATAGCCTTAGGTGGCTGCTCAACATCCTACCGGATTCATCGAGGCTCAAAATGACTTCAGATGAACAAACCAGAAAGGAATCCATCCGGGAACCAAACCCCATATGTGTGTTGTTTTGACTTGGGGCACTCACTTGAAATTCCAGAGTGCACTAGTTACGTTATGTCTGGAATAAAGGCACCGTGCCAAAGTGTGTTCTCTCTGTGAAGAAAACAAGGCGACGCTTTCGCCTGCCTCGTCGTCTGTGGCCCAAAATCGAATTTTGGAACTACACCACTTTTTCGGACAGCTAGGCAATCGGGCAGATGAACAGCCATGTCTACTGGGCTTGGAAATCTGTCACAGGCGTGTGCCATATTTTTCTCTAAAGTCTCGACGGGCTGCGAGTCTCTGTGCCGTTGAGAAACTTGCTTGGGTTGAGAAAGCCCGACCAGGTGAAGAACTTCGCACTATGGAGACCTTTCCTATGCATTTCAGACCAAAATTCGGGTACCTACTCTCCATGGACATTTGGGTACACGCCATTAGAGCCAATGGCGGCACCAATGCCTGTTCATGCCATCAAAATAATTGGTGCAACCCCAAACACACGGCGCGGAGTGCTCAACATCAGTATGATTTCAATGGTGTCGCCTCCAACAATAGTGACACCAGGCCTACATGCACTTCATTGATATGACATTTTGAAGGCTGCAATCGTTATCATTCCGAAATCCCGTTTGTTGAGAATCGTGGTGTTTTCTTACTTGTTCCAGAATTTGCCCGGGTTTAGGATACAACTTTCCGGTTTCCTCGACACTCCAGGAAAAGCGCAGTATGGATTACAAATATGACCTAGAGCAGAGTAGAAAGTGGCATCGCCACATATTCTATGCTCCAGGTGAAACCAGACCGGATTTCGGAATCATACACCGGTACACTCACTACCCTCCAGTTATATCCCTTATCTGAAAGTACATATTTATAAGCAAAAATGGGAATTTCACTCCTTTACATATATATTAATATATATATATATACACCGTGATCCTGTAGCCATCACAGGATCATAACTAGGAGCACCAAGAATTCTTCAGCCACAGAATTCGGACACAAAAGTCACGTCTTCCAGATGGCCGAGACCCAATACCCTCCCCTGGATGCGCCTCCAATAAACTCATCCGAACCATGGCAGGGCAATTCGGTGCAGAAAGACGGCACTGAGGAAAGCGTCTCTAGCGATGATGCAGAGTTCAAATACGAGTATCCTAAAGGGCTTGCCCTCACACTTATCCTCACATCGGTTACCCTAGCTTATTTTCTATTTTTCCTTGATCTTGCCGTCATCTCCACAGCCACTCCAGCCATTACGTCCGAGTTTGACTCGCTGGTGGATGTTGGTTGGTAAGTAAATGCTCGAACTCACCACCACCGTTGCCCACATGCCCAGGATGCTGATCCCTCTGACGCAGGTATGGCGGTGCTTACCAGCTTGGAAGTGCCGCGTTCCAACCATTGAGCGGAAAGATTTACAGCCAGTTCTCCATAAAGGTAATCGTTGGTCTTCGGCCAAGGCTTCACTCTTGCCTCGTGCGTGAAAATAAATTCTGACGAGGTCGTCGTGTAGTGGACGTTCCTTGTATTCTTTTTTGTCTTCGAGGTTGGCTCTGCCATATGCGCAGCGGCTCAGTCATCGCCCATGTTCATCATCGGGCGCGTTATTGCAGGCGTAGGGTCTGCCGGAGTGGCCAACGGCGCTGTGACAACTATTTCTACTGTCCTCCCAACGAAGAAACAAGCGCTTTTTATGGGAATCAACATGGGGATGGGCCAGTTAGGCCTTGCAACGGGACCTATCATCGGAGGGGCTTTTACCACCGGCGTGTCGTGGCGGTGGTGTACGTTATTTGATCCTTTAGGTTGAAATCGCCATAGACTAACTTTATACCGTATCAGGCTTTTATATCAATCTTCCTTTAGGTGCTGTCGTCGGCGGATTCCTTCTTTTCAACACTATCCCCGAACGGAAACAGAAGAATCCGCCCCTAGAGATCCTTGGCACGGCGGTCAAGTCTCTAGACCTCCCGGGATTTATGCTTGTTTGCCCCGCGGTCGTCATGTTTCTCTTGGGACTCCAGTTCGGCGGCAATCAACATCCCTGGAATAGTTCGGTTGTGATTGGCTTACTAGTTGGCGGTGCCGTCACCTTTGGCGTTTTTGTGCTCTGGGAGCGTCGTCAGGGAGACGAGGCTATGGTCCCGTTTGCCATGCTGAAACATAGAGTCATCTGGTCGGCCGCAATGACAATGTTCTTCAGCCTGTCTAGTATCCTAGTGGCTGATTTCTATATCGCAATTTACTTCCAAGCAATCCTCAATGACTCGCCCTTCATGAGCGGCGTGCACATGCTCCCAACCACACTTGGTTTGGTCTTATTTACGCTTGTCTCCGGCGTGCTGAGTAAGTGCTTCCAGCAGTGATTTTTATTTCTTTCCCCAGAGAAGTTCTCTGCAAACTGACCGAAGCCGATAACTCCAAGTTTCCGTTGTTGGCTACTTTCTTCCATTTCTTCTCGCGGGAGGTGCGATATCAGCTATTGGCTATGGCCTCTTATCGACACTTGCTCCTACAACCCCAGCTGCAAAATGGATTGGATACCAGATCCTGTACGGTGTTGCAAGCGGATGCACGACAGCTGCTGTAAGTTTTCAATCCCTAGCTAGCAAATTACATAAATCATCTGTCGCTGATCCGCATCTCCACAATACAGCCGTACATCGCCATCCAAAACCTCGTGCCTGCAGAGCAAATCCCCCAAGCCATGGCCATTATAATTTTCTGGCAAAATATCGGGGCCTCCACTTCTCTGATCGCCGCAAATGCTATTTTCAGCAACACCCTTCGTCAGCAGCTCCAACAGCGCATTGTACAAGTCGGCCGTGCTCCAGATGTCATCATTGCGGCCGGGGTCCGCTCCATCCGCGACCTGGTGTCTGGATCCCAGCTAACTGCTGTGCTCGCAGCATACGCCAAAAGCATCGACAGCGTCATGTACCTTGGCATTGCTGTTAGCATCGCCGTTATTGCTTTTGCTCCGGGACTTGGATGGAAGGATATTCGCAAGGTCAAAGATCTCGAGGCCATTACCAGCGAGTCGCCTAACGGCGGCGAGAAAGAAGCGACAGGGGCCAACAAGTAGGACAAATCGTCAGCGTTGTATTGAATACATCTGTAATCGCTTCTCTTCGCATGATCTCCGGCTGCTGAGCATTCAATTCAATAAGTCGGAGGTAGGTATTTCTATTTTTTATGGAATAATCGATTTCTATTTCCGGATTGCCTGAAAACATTTTTATACTACCTTTGTAATTTAGAAATAGGCTCTGTTCAAGTGTAGGTGTGTTGGTTGGATGGTGTATACACATTACACATACAGCCTTTAATATTACCCGTTAGTGGCTTGTCCGACCGAATTTCTCTCATTGGATGGACAAGAATGATAAGAAGGACAAACTGTTCGCATGCAAAGAGGAATATTACTGCTATGATGGGAGTTTACCCACCTCTCTGGTCTGTTGGATCACTCTGTCCACAACCAACCTCGCCCACGGCGGTTTATCATATGAAAGTCAAACCTTCCTAAGTCTAGCATCCTTCTCAATATTGCTTGCGCAAGTTGCATTTCAACAAACCACAGTAAATTAAAGAGTGTTGGTCGCAAGACCGGTGATTGTTGATTGTCACACCTGGAGTTGTCCGAAAAGAAACGACAACATGAGAGTATATTGCGTCGCTGCCAACAGTCGACATATCTCGTCCTCTTTACCAGAATCCCTACTTCCTTATCTTCCATTTAACCTCTGTCACCAGGCAGTTCTCCATGGAACAGGAATTCCGTCCAAACTCTCGGACCGGCATTCTTCCTCTGGATGCAATTTTCCTATGACGCCTGAATTTAGCTCCTTCGCCTCTTTGTCAATGATTTTCTCATTTCAACATAGAGTTTCTTGTTTATCAAAATAGCCGATTTCCAGTCAAAGTCAATCTTGGCAAATTAGTCTTTTATTTTACTTACGGACTTCGGAGTCCAAATCCGCTCGCATCAAAGCAGGCCAATGTCATCTGGCTGTCCAGCACAGCACAGGAAAGCACATTTCTGATGCTCTCGCGAGCCACTAGACTTAAGAAATCATTCTTATGGCCCTATATTTTGATGGATTATGCTAAGGCTTACAGCGTGCGGGTTGACCCTCTTCCTGAGTGTTTGATCACTCTTGACATATTCACCATCTCGGATCTGGGACAGCATATACGAAGTCCTTAGCCTGCAAACACCTTGATTCTTCCTTCATGGTGGCTATACCACATCTACGTCTCATCAGTGCCCGGAGCTTCTGGCATAATTTATCTCTCAATAATAGTATGGAGAGGCCAAGAGCTAGGCAAGCCCACGGGCAATCCAGCACCTATGGCCAAGCTTGCACCCAGTGCTACAAGGCAAAATGCCGCTGTGTGCGGACCTCAGTGGGTGAAGATTGCGAAAGGTCAATTCATGACACCGGTCTGCGAATACATGACAGTCGACTGATTATTCCTCAGATGTGTCCGCCTCAGGAAGACGTGTCAGCCCTCAGAGTCGGTTCGCAAACGAAATGCCCATGTAGCTGAAGAGTCTGATACACGGATCGCTCGATTGGAAAACAAAATGGAGAGCTTGCTATCCGCAGTGCAATCTTTGGCCGGTTCCCTAGAGGCCCCTAGGGCCTCGGTCAATAATATTCAGCCTTTTCAGCTTCTCAATGCAGACCATATTTTGCCCTCTACTCCTTTTTCGAATTGCACACTAGTAAACAGTTCGAGCACCAGTCTAGGCTTCAGTGATGTGTCGTCGTCTTCGAGGCCCTCGATTTCCGCAGCAACACCGAATCCTAATCAACTATTTCTATCCTCGCACTATTCCCTATCCTCTGCTCCCTCGTTATATCCAGCGGACGAACGGCTCAATTTTTTCCGGTCCCGAATGCTACCATATTTCCCTTTCATCCATCTTTCCGCTGATATAACATGCGGGTATCTGCATCAAAACAGGCCTTTTTTGCTCCAAGCCATCCACGCCGTAACTACATTCTCAACGCAGGAAAGGCTGGTCCAAGTTGAAGAGCTCAAGCGCCTCCTGTTCACATCTGCTTTGCTCAAAGTCCAGTCAAACATCGACTTACTCCTTGGATTATTGACCTACCTTGCATGGAGCAGCGACGCATTTCTCGGAAGAGCGGACCTCGTTTCTCGTCTGATGATGCTCGCCATTTCACTAGTATACGATTTACGGCTGTTCAAATCATCCTCAATAGATGTGGAAGTCATGATGTCTATGACGCAGGGTTGGGCTGAAGAAAGCCCTCGGAACCTCGACGATGAAACCCCTTACGGCTTATTGGAGAGGCAGCGGGCAGTGCTGGCATGTTTCATTTTGAGCTCTAAGTGCGCACAGAATTTTCTGATTTCCCATAATTTCTTAATTACTGTCTTTATTTCCTAAGGTCAGATTATACTAACATCAGACTCCTAGTGTTTCGTCACACCTTGGGCGTCAAGATGCCATACGGTGGACACCTCAGATGGACGAGGCGCTTCGAGTCATCACAATGGACAACTCATGCCCTACGGATAAACTATTTGTTGCCCAAGTACGGCTGCAGCTGCTCAAGCAAAAAGCGGAGTACGTTCGACAAATAGAAGAGACTGGGTTTGCACGCCCAGGGTCAGCTACTTCGCCAGCCACGGCTCCTCGCTTATTATATTTGAAGTCCCTCCGAAGGCAGATGCATGAGTTAAAATCTTCGTTCCCCCCAGATCTCGCCCAGATAGGCAAGTAGTTACTCTGGCAGATAACCTAGTAGATTATACCCCCCACAAGAGTGCTGATGCCTTCGCCTGGGGAGACACCCAGGGTTCACTTGTAGATATTCTCAGTACACATGCGCAATACGTCGAATTATACATAAATCACTTAGCTTACTCCATAAGCCAAAGTTCGCCGCCTCCTGATACATCCGGACGACAGAGCGACAGCTGGATATTACCGGGATTCGGACGCCTGGAGTGCTTGTGGCAGTCGGTCGAGAACATCAAAGCATGGCTAGACGATTTCTACAAAATCCCCTGCTCAAAGCTGCCCGGTCAGCCCTTTCATTTTTGGTCACAGATGATTCTGACCATCACACTTCTGAAATACCTATCCACGCTCAAGGACCCAGAATGGGATTGCCATGCGGTGCGGAATAAGGTGCACCTGATATCAACAATGGACCACCTGCTCCAAAAGCTCGCGCTAAGCAGCAAGGAGCCGGAACTCCAGTGTGATGATCATCTGCTTAAGTATTTATCCAAACTTCTAGCCAGGTGTCGGGTGTGGGGTGAAACTCGGTGGAACATGGCTTCTCAGGTGCAAGATATAGAGTCAAGTCAGGAGGACGGGGCAACCACCCCTGACACTACCTCCCACAGCCATTCCCATATCCCGGATCTAGGTCAGATGTCCTGGATGCAGTCGATGGATTTGGGCGATGATCAGTGGTTTGAAGACGTATTGGGTATACCGACGACATTCTATTAGTTTGCAGGATTTGTATGGATTTATTTTATATATATTTATATACATATTTAAGTACCGAAGAATGGAAAATAAGTAAACTGTTCAGGCAGTAATGGCAGCATTAAAGGTGCATGCGAAGGCCATCCATGAGCTAGAGCGGTGTGTGTAATTTGTGTGTAAGTCCAAAGAACGGAAAATAGGGACACGACAGCGGGTTCTGCTTTTGGCTAGGATTGCGACTTGAAGCAGTGAGAAGAATGTACACAGAATAACATGAGATGATAATGGTTTCAAAACAAATAGCTCTAGGCGAGTTGGGGTAGATGAATAACAACGGTAATACTAAATGGCCGGGCCAGCACCTATTAAGTATTGTCAAACCCGAGAAAGAAAAAAAGGGGAAGTCGGGGAAGGGGGGCGGGGGGCGGGGGGCGGGGGAGCGCGGTTGGGTTATATTTTAGAATCTGGACGACGGGGAAGCTTGAGGACCCCGTTTAAAAAAATTGAAACACCAGTGAAGTATGGAAAGGTGTTGTGCAGCGTTAAGATAAGAAATTTTCCATTGGAACATTGTATCTTATCCCACCCATCCATATCCATCCAACCCCCACCCATGCCAACGTTTAAATTTTTTTGAGAAGAGAAATAAGAAAATCGAAAACAAAACAAAAAAGGGACATTGAAAGCGGCAAAAGAAAAACTCCATCACGCCCTCCCAACAATCGTGCCATTATCCAACCCGATCGTAAATCTAACAAAGTCAAGAGTGAAATCATGGGTTGTGCAATTCACGCCCACTGACCAACCCTTTTGTTTATCTGACTCTCCTGAAGGGTCTCGGAAGAAGGATTGGATCGAATCATGTGCGTTGACTGCATCGGCTAGGTCTTCAGTCTCCCCGAATATGAAGAGGACAGCAATTCGGGAGAAGTCTAGTAATTTGGCGGACAGTGGCGGTAGGGCTGGAGAATTTGTTGGAGCGGACCATGGCATTGAAGATCTGGTGGGGCTCGCAACATCGGAACTCCGTGCTCTTCTCTCAAGAAGGGCGCGGGTGTGGGTATTGCGGTGGTGGATCGATTTGCGAGTTGCGGTGCTTCCCTTGATAGCATTAGGTTTGCGAATTGCTTGTCCATCTCGTTTTCGACTAGCTCCATTAAAGGTCACAAGCGCGTTCTGGCTGGTGCAAGACATACTCTCGTCGTTGAAGAGGCGGAGGATTTTTGGTGTGTCAAGTGGAATGCTAAAATTTGCTTGTGAGTCCTCGAACAATCGTAGGAGAGCAGCGCCCAATGTTGCATTTTGGAAGCTAGAAGAATCGTTCGAAACATTGATCGTCGTACAGCTGTTATCTCCTGCAATGGCGCATCTATCCCCACCGAACCCATTAACGCAAACACATCCGCATGAGCTTGGATTTCCAACGCTGATACCTCCGTTCTTGCAAGGGTCTGTTGCTTCGCAATGTTCAGAGAGAGATGCAGAGGACGGTTGGGAAGCTCGAGGAAGAACAACTAGTGTGACAGGGACTACAACCGCTGTCGAAATGAGCGCGAGCGCGACAATACCGATTAGAATAACTGCCCAGAGAGGCAAACCACAGCACCGTCGCACACCTTTCTCTGGTCCTTTTTCAACCTTCGAGGGAGATCTAGGGTCGGTATTATCAAATGGGCCAGGCCACCGGTCATTACCAGCTGGATGGGCAATGACAGGTGGTGGGAATGAAGCCAAGATATCGGATATGGAACCGGAATTCCGGGCTCTGTAATCATCACTTGCATTTAAAAAATCAGATATCCCTAGCCTACTCGCCGTCTTTCCTCGGTCAAGGTTTGATGCTAGTTTCGTAGCACGACGAATTAGATCAGGCAGGCTTGTTAGACTTCCTCTGGCTTCCGCTCGTCGAACGGCGTCCATGTCAATTTGAGGTGGCCGCTTCTTCTCGTCGCCCTTAGTCACAAAGCTGGAGCTCCGACCTTCCATCTTCTTCAAAGTTGCTTTTGAAGCCTTCCTTTCAAATTGCATGATAGGGATTGGCGGCTTTTCGTAGTCATCGTCTGAAGACGAAGAAGATTCATAATCATCCGAAGGTCGTAATTCTGGTTGGTCCGGTACGTTTTGTCCCTCGTCGGCGGGATTTATCATCTTTGAATTTGCAGTTTCAGGCATCCCAATAGGTGGAGCCCCTATATTCTCATTAGAGGTTTTGCCGGTTGCCAACTTCGGAGCTTGGCTGCTGCCAACGGACTGATCGCCTTGGATTTTATTTATTGTACGAAGTGAGGCTTTGCCTCTCTTTCCTAAGCTCGCTTGTCTGACAAGCGAATCACCGGGCGTATCATCTCCATCATTTACGAAGAAATCTTCGTCTGACCACCTCGGAACATCAACGTCAGGAGGTGCAGTTCCCCAACTAGATGGAATAACTTTACTCGATGCGTACGAGCCTCCCTTTCTTGGCGTAATCTCAGGAGGCTCTTCAGGGATTGGAGAGACGGAAGCGGCACCCAGGTAATATGAGGAGCCTGTTCGGCGTGTTGAAGGGGGGGGATGAACGCTGGAGTTCTCTCTGGCCGGGGGCAAGGTAGCAGAGGGAGTAGGTTGGATAACTTTGGTACCCAGAGGATGACTACGAGAATTCGAGTCAACTGATCCGGATACATTATCAGCAGACCGCAAAATCTGCTCTGGGTTTTGAGCCCTTGACTGCTCATTTTGAAGTTGCTGAAAAGATGATGTAGATTTTTCCTGTCGGTAAGGGATGCTAGGGGCATAATCACGGGGTTTTGAAGCATCTAGGAACGACGTGATGTTATCGGGGCGAGCAGGCCGTTGAGGAGCCGGACGCTTGGAGAAATTGACAGTTTTATTTGAATCCCTTCCGTTTTCTCTCGGACCAGCATCCTCATCGCGGAGTGGCCATTGCGGGGCAAGCGAAGGCTTTGATATCACAGCCGTTTTGCTCGAATTGTCAAGAGTTTTGAACGCGGCCGGAGCAGGTGGTGGGCGTCTAACGGAGATAGGGCCCTGGAGCGTAACTTTTGAAAATCCGGTCAGACTGGCATTTTCCACTGGTCGGATTCCCCTTTCACCGGCCAACATCCGCTCTCTCGCCCGGCGAACAGAGCCCCCACCTCTACCACCGCTGTCACCTCCGTTTTCCCTCCGAGTGTCACTCATAAGCCCTCAAGTATATTCCTATACTGCCCGTTTTCCAGAGAAAGGTGGTTTAATCTCGAACTATACTGAAAATTTTACAGAACACATCGAAACCTCGTGAGAATTTTTGGAGTGGGTCGCATATCGATGCCCGGATCCGAGTCGAGGAAAATATATGAACGCAAGATGATGATATCACTGATATCACTGAGATTCTGGCCCAATTTTGCTGAAAGCCTCGTAGAAGACAGAGAATGGCGAGAAAATACGGGGCAAGAAAATACGGGGCAAGAAACGTGGACAAGGTGATATCGACTTGCGGGTGGTATCTCGGAATTCACTCTCTCGAGATGCAAGGTCAGAACCAAACCGGAGCACAAAAGACAGTGGTGTGACAATCTAGTCACTAAGGATAAAAACGATGGTTTGAGGTAAACCGCCTAGCCGGCAGGTGTATATAACCAGCGTAAAACGCAAAGTAGAACTTCAAGTCACGTTAGATGTAAGAACTAGTTGACAAAGGGTATTTGATGCCTGTATCGCTAGTTAGCTTCGCGATCCCAAGTTCGCATATGGACAGAGGCTCTCTAGGGCACCACTTTGCAACAGAAAGTGATGAGGTGCAAAATCGTAGAGCATCAAACTGAATGCCCGTTGCATCCTCCCTTCTCTTCGCCTGGTAGTAGGGGTTTACAGGGGAAGCAACGAGCACATACCAAAAGGTACCGATGCGCTGTCTTGAAGGGAGCGTAATTGAAATTCAAGGAATGATGGCTTCTTGAATGAGGAATATCGTATGCGATCTCCACCCTCTTGAAATGCCAAACTCACGACGTCTCAGGACGTCACTTGGTCCAATAAATACAATTCTTGACAGGTTTGGAAGAAAAAAAATATCAAACACTTTCCTCCTGGAATGAGGACTCCTGCCTCAGACTTAACAACAGCAAGCCGATCTGTTGTGTTCCCAACAATTGCCGTCGTAGCGAACGTCTCGGGGCCTAGCCAACGGCAAGGACGGCAGAGCTTCTAGCTCAGCAAGAAAGGCAGATGAAAAAGCCAAAAAGAAAGAATAGAAATAAAAGAAAGCGCCAAAGGAGCGAACGTCGTCCTTCTCACGACAAAACTGACCAAATTTGCACAACAGCTGAACCCGCAACAAACAACGAAGAAGTCGAAGTACGAAAGAACAAAAGAGAATATCCAGTAAAATGAAAGGGATGATTCCTCCCGCCGTCAACCATCGTGACCAGCTGGAATTTTTCCCCATTCGCTCCCGAGGCCAGGCTTGAGAAATTCGAAACAATGGCTCAGGCGTCAAACTGCTCGTATTGGGAGAGGATCCTCGGGACAGGGTGTTGGGAGATTGTCATTGGTGGCCTCCCCGGTGGGATGCTCCGCTTGCAGGGTCTGTTCTTAGGCGTTTTTTCATATTTAGTTAGGCATAAATAGTGATGCGCAGAGTAGCCAGCTTCGGATGGCCTGTCGTGTCAAATATCAACGCCCTCTCCCGTGTCATTGTTCAAATCCCAGGCCCTCTCTACCGATTTATTTGACAAATTAAGAAGCGAGGTTGATTTGTTGGCTAAATTCTCTCGCATAATTCGCCATTTATCGATTTTCCTCTGTGGCCTCAGAGCGTCGATCCGGTATTGCATGTGGCTGAATGTTGACCTTGGTTGATCCTGGCTCAACGAGATTGAAAAAAAAACCATGTTTTGAACACCAGGATAAACTTCTAAAGTTGCAACCTAGATCCGGGCAGGTCAACCTAGACCGCCGGTAAAGATAACGAGAGTTTTAGCCTGTCGGGCTCAATTATAACAAAATGTTGGTGCTTAAGAATCCGTGCCTGAGATCGTTGGGCAACAAGCAATTCACGATCGTCATGTTGAGGTGAGACATTGGGTTTCAGAATATAAGATAACTGGTGCTTTTTTCCCTTCCATCTGTTTTGAAACAGACACGGTTAAGGCTGCCCATGGAATGGTTGGTGGCACTCAAGTGAGTAGAGATCGCAGTCATTTTTTCAGCTGCAACGCGATGGTTATCATCACCAACCCATCCCGAATTCAATATTTGCATGCGCGAAAAGCTCAAGGTTCGTCATTTTCATTGCCCAAGGGGGATTTTCGCATATTCCAGGAGCCTCGTAAAGAACCGGCCATATGCATATGTCATCATTTTCTGAACATTGGTTCAATGCAAAGGGATATCATATCCAGTGGATTATCAAGCGATTGCCCGTCGTGGTTTACTGGACCATGAGCCTGTCTCGCGAAAGATTAAACCAACATTCTATGGTTCATTGGACCGAAGTCAGATGCAGGTTTGCCTTCATTTCAAAATTCGCTTATGTATCCCTGTCCATGGAGCCTATATTGAGGTTATTCGGGGCCTCTCTGATATATCAACGATCAGCGACTCCGCTTCTCACAAACGAATATTCAATGCAATTACTAGGGCTCTGAATGCTCTGCAGAATCGACAGGCACAGAACAAAGTAACGATAATGCGCGATGGCTATTAGCAGAGTGATGTCATTTTCCATAGTTGATCCCGCCTTCTGCATATGTTGGCTCGGGGGTAGGTTGACGATTGACATCGCTAATAGTAATGATTGTTCAATCGCAACTACCGGAATCCCTTCTGGAATATCTCCCTGTTTGCGACTTCCCAATCTTAGTATATTGATCAATTGTTTACATTATACAACATCTTGACGCATCCAACTATCTCCAGCTTTCGTTTGATCGTGTCTCAATCCAATATCTGACCCTGCAACCGTTCCTGCTAAACGGTTCCCTCATTCATGGGATTTGCATACAGTCATCTAATACAATTGAGGGGATATATTGCAACCGAATTCTGTATTGGATATTCACTTGGAGTCAATGGACCGTAAGTGCTTCTTAGTACATTTATCCAATTTGAGATTCACCCTGTTGAAGGCAATTCTGACTTATGCATTGCCAGAGGATCAAGGCCACCGGAAGAAGGTTCAGTTCAGGGGAAATAACACGAGGTTTCCGTCCTCTCATCCAAATGAGCAAGAACACCCACACACAATCGTAGCTCAAGCATGGGGAAAAACTCCGCCAAATACAGGACGGAAGCGAGGGTCCCGCCCACCCCTACTGAGATCAGTTCCCTCGCCCAGCCATTCAGCCCACATGAGGAAAATCTTCCAGAATGCTACTACGTCCCTGCACTCAGCCGGGCGTATATTGGGGTCCTCATCCATACCGAGAGTATTAGCATCTGAGGGCGTGGATATTCAAATTCAAGATAATGATACCTACGAGATCTCGGAGAAGCGCTCGGAAGACAATCATTTTACATTTACTGATCAGCTGCCTTCACCGTTGCTGCTGCACCCTGTAGTATCTCCGAATGGGACGCGATGGACAGCGGTACCAATGCCGGATGAGCCCATCAGCAGCGGATTCCATTCTCCGTACTTCCCTCATCAAACTTCCTCTCCGAGTTTTGCCAATTCGCAGTATCTAAGCCGAAGTAAACCCAAGAGAGTACCTCTGCCTCCCTACCATACAGGTAGTTCGCCATTGGATTTGGCAGAAACAAAACTTGCCCAACGTTTCCAAGACACTTCCATTTCTAACGTCCAGTCCTGGCTCGATGGGTTATGTGACGAACCTTCAAGTGGCATTCACGAATGTGATGACTCTCCGTCTATGAACAGGGTGAAAAGGGAAGAATCGTTGGTCCCTAGCCAACACCACACTTCTCTTGGAAGTAACACGGAAAACAAGCGACATTCGTCATCCACCTTTATAGTCCGGGTTCTAAACCAGCCTCCTTCCCCGGCGGGTAAAGATTCCGACTCTCTGTTACCTATAGACTCTTCCCCCACCGCTATCCCTAGGCCCAACAGATCTAAGTATAATGCTCCTTCAACTCCTATCCTTGTACGCAAACCCCACAAATGCTACACTTCCCCAAGGTCTCAGGGAAGAGGACACATCTCACTCACCCTCCCACGCGGCCACTTCATGCTCCCACCACGACGAAAAAGGACCAGGGCATCTTCGAGTTCCCTGCCTCAGCAATCGCCTCCCGCGTATGGCATTACGCAGACATTCGAGGTTGCGGAAGATGGAATCTCTGACATTCTAGGAAAACGCTCTTTACCAACAAGCTATCAAGAGCAGGTGACATTGACAGGATTAAGAGATTTGAGCCCTCATGTGACACCCTTTCGCAAAGGTAAAGGGCCCAAAAGATCCAGATGCCCCAGCTACTATGATGAAGATTTCCTGCAGGAAGCTCGGCTCGAGCGAGAAAAAAAGGTCTCATCTACATCATCAGAGATGAGCAAGGATAGCTGTAAAGTTCCACTTGAGGAGACTCAAGACGTGCAGTTCACAGAGGAACCAATTGATCCAAATCGTGACTAACAAGCTTGAAATTCCTAGAATCACTTCTTACCATTCCCTGATTATAATTCATTTTCCGCTTCAAATACCGATTCATGGTTCCACATCAGAAGTTATCACATGTCCTATTTGATCGGTTTCCTCATATCCTGAACACCATTCTTCTCGGCTCTACAGATGTATCACTATAACTGCACCTCCTTTTCTTTTGCCCATTACATTTCCCTTGAATGTTCTATTTATTATCCCTGTGAGCATTTATTTGTATCATGTTTCGCTTATATTATAATATCGTACGAATAATTATTATAATGTTTAAATTTCAATGCAAACGCAAACCCTAATTAACCGTATTTTAAACTACGGAAAAAGTATCATAAAAAATCACAATGATGGGCGTGCCAATTTCAATGGTGCTGCTTCTACTCGGATGTATCCCGCTTGCACCAACGACTGCAACAACGCTAACATGGACTATCCAGGTTTAACGAGTTTTCCCAACATCTACAACACTGCATACAGCTGAAAAAGCAAACCCAACAGCGCTCCAGGCTCGTTCATCAGAATCCCAAGTTGGAGTTTTCCATATTTTCCATTGCATACCACACCACATCAACAGCTAGAAACGAAACATTGGACAATACCGGATACTAGGGTACTTTTCTATTAGAGCGGCTGAGGAGAGAGTATGGGAAAAAAGCGGAAATTAGGTAGATAACAATACTTTGCGTCCTCGAGCAATTTTTCTCCTTCTGCTCAGCTCAGTAGCAGATGTTGATGCAAACATTGGAACAACATTCTGCATTGCTGCTGCAATTTTCAGCAAGGCCTAGGGAAACGATGAAGGAGAGCAGAAGTTAGTCTTCTCATATATGGGTTCTCTGTGCCGTTCATTAACCGACATCCCTGCTTCTCCCCGCCATCCGCTTCCCCCTGGGGCCAAAAAAACAAAGAAGCAAAAGAAACAAGAGTAAACAAAATTATTCGGAGTTATTGATGTATGTTTGAGGCTCCCTCACCTTTACATCTCCTCTCAATGACTGAGCTTTTGCTCAAGTTCTGGTCGGAGGTGGGCAAGGCGCACCCATGCTGGCGGTGGAAGCGAGGGAAAACAATTACGGAGGTAATGAAGAATTTTATGATGTATGCATTCAACGGATGGCTTGAAGATGTAACAGTCAACCATATACTTTGGTGCTTTTCAGTAGTAGCTGCTATTTAGGAGAGCGGTACTTGTGTGAAAATCAGTGATGGTTTGGGACTCCTCTATTTATAATTTCCAAATATTTCTGGTTCATATGGCCTTTTTCTCTAATTCTCGATGTTGATGGCAGTGACAGAGAAGTCAATTGTGTGGGTGCCTATGTGCATGCACTATGCAGGCTTAGGAAGAGGCTAACGAGCTGAGAACACAACATTTCGTTTACGCATAATTATCCTCTACAAGCCTATCAGATGAAGATGAGAGGTTCAGCTTTGAAAGACATGTGTTCTGGTCCTCGAAGTTTCTCTGTTATCTCGGCCTGGCCACGGTTCAAAAAAAAAAAAAGAAAGAAAGAAAGAAAGAAAGAAAGAAGGGAAAAAATTAGTACGGAAATAGAAACTCAGGCAGCAGAAATGGAAGCCGAATAATCTTAAGAGTCCTTGCTTCGGCCTATGATGTGTCGTGTCTATGTTTTCCTAGAGTCAAACAAACAAGATCAGTTCAAAACTATCCGCGGATTCTTTTGGTATTTATTGCGAACAACCTCGGGCGTTCCAAAACTGTTTATACCCTAGAGACCTTGCGTCACGATTTCGGAAGCTGTCTTCTCGCTAGAATCTTTTGCACGGGAAACTTGGATTGGCACTGATGATAAGTAGAGTAGCTCTTGGTTCCGGGTCTCGGGATGGCCGATGATAAGATAAAGTTCTCTAGTGTCAGAGTCTAAAACTCTAATCACACTCCACCCATCCGATCTGTTTTGTACTTGGCCTTGCTGCTCAAGATCCAGCGGAATCGTCAGTTTCAATCGCACCGCATCTCTAACCCAATTTTTTTTTTATCGCGGTATTCTGCAGTTCTTGGGATCCCACCAAGACGGCCTTGATAAATATCGGCTGCATAATCGACTGGATTGGTTTGAAGTCACAATAAGTTAATCGAATCAACACTTATTTTGTGTAAATTCTAAATTAGAGTTGCTCTCTGGATAGCTATAAATAGCCCACCTCTGGAGTAAATACATTTTCAATCTTTCTATCGAACTGCGTGTTTTGTGTGCGCTTGAACACGGATATAGATTTTTACTCTAGTGATACAGAGCTTTAACGTTGACTCGTTCGCCCGACTACGTTCTCTATCCGACTGTTAAAGAATCTGCCTCCCACTGTAGCAATGTGCGAACTTTGCAGTATGCCAACGATACGTAATGCCGACGCTCCAATTGCGAACGTCCTTTGTTCCCCCTATTTGACACCTGCACGCATATCGGCTTCAAGACTACCAACAGTGGTGAGAACAAAATGTCAGATTGAAGCAAACCATAACAAGAGGAATCTGAAAATATAATGCGGCAAAGTCAATACATAGGGACTGATCAATTAGAGACACCATCAGCCTTTGCCATGTGGTAAAATATGAATCCAAGGGCACTTGATATAAAATCGGTGGATCAGCTGATGTCTCCTGAATCTGCCTGTTGGAGCGTCTCCCGCCACCGACCGGCGGATAAGGTTCAAGTGGACTTATTGGTCATTGTACCTGAGGGATGGTGGGGGATGGGGAGCAGTGGGGCCTCGCGTTGTGAGGTTGTTAAGGGGTGTTAATTCGCTAAGTTTTGTAGAAGGAAAAAGTTCTAAAATGATTACATTTAAAAGGAACCCTAGGTCATTGTGATTAGACCTAACTACGCCTGAGCACGCGGAAAGGTCCATTTCACTTACTCTAGATTTATGCATCAATTTTTCAAAGCATCATGATAGAATCCCATAGATCATCCCAAGACAACTAGATCATCAACAATACCTCCAAACTAACATTATATTTAATGAGACCCACCTAGGAGAGACACAAGGATACAAAATTTCCTGGGGAGTCTGATGAAAATATAAATATACATTTCCAGCAAAAAAAAACCCCTTGTGTTTACCTCTATTGTTTCCTATTTTTCGTTTCCATCATTGTCGACCGTTGCAGCGGCCAACATGCCTCTCAATACCTCTATATCCCTCTCAACTCCGCGCATTTCAGTAATCACAGTAGCCAATAAGGGAATTGGCCCGTCGACGGCCGTACAAAATGATTGTTGCGCGCTTCGTAAAGCTGGAGGAACGAGTATTCCAAACCAGTTAATTGGGTTGGACCGCTTCCCGTTAGCTCTTGACTTTTCAGACTCTGTGGAAATATTCAGCTCGTCTGGGTCAGAGCTTCGAGAGGATGCTTTGGAATTTGTCTCTTCATTTCCGTTTTCAGTGACATCTTTCGGTTCTATTGCGTTAGGAGGTGATAGCGATACGCTTTCGACGGTGAATGACGGACTGCTTTTATTTTTGTTTGAGCTTAAAATGGTGGGTTTCGCTTGGGTAGGAATGCTTGAAAGCGGGTAGATTGTTCTGTGGGTGAAATGTTTGGATTAAATTAGCCTCCGCTTGCTGCCCGTGACATTGAATACGTGTATGTTTCGAAGCAACTGCCACCCCCACAAGATGAGATGATATTTGCAACGGGAAAGCATACAGTTTCCTTATCGCCTTCATCCTCTCATCGTAGTAATCTTCGCCATACCGCCGGCCGGGAGGGCAAGATTTATTCGCGCACGCAAGCGACAAAAACCCCTATAGCGAACCAATCTCTCAGAATTTTGGTTTTCTATTTCCCGACATAAAATGAATAGTAAGCTGGAAGCCATACGGAAGAGAATTCTCGACCAATCTCCTGCTGCAGTCGCTGTTGTTGATCTAACAGGTGGAGATAGCGTTCTAAAACGCTATCCAGCTCTTGCGAAAGCTCCACCAGCGATTTTTCTGTTGGTGATGATAGCTCGCTGGAAGCAGCTCCGTCAGCTGGGGTTGCGGGTGGCGTGGGCAATTGATCCATAATTTCCTGGACCATGATGAAAGTAGCATTAGAAGAGAGCGCGCAAAAGCAGATATGTTGCGTGATAGGTATTGACGTAGCAGGATGGAGATGTATTGTGCTCACGGAACTCACGGATGCGGACATGCAGCTGGGGCTAAACCCGAAAAATGTTTTGGGCTAGCGTCATCGAGACCAACCTCAGCGCCTTGATCCCAGACATCCGGGGCATTGTTTGCCGACAGAACGAGACGACTCTGCCTAACTACTCTCAGGGCTTCGTTTTATTTCCGCTATTCATCTTGGTTTAATTTGCCCCTTCTGTTAGATTACGATTGTGTTTTTGTTAGTTGACCCTCTGTGAAGGTCACGCCAAGCGGAAGTCAAAACCTCGAATCCGTCCGCTGTTACATTGAACGCTATCCCCATGCGCTATCGTTGTTACTGTTGTTACCACAGGTACGCCGTGCAGATATAGAATTAAAGTACTCCAGCGGCTTTAATCCGATCGGAAGAGGATCGGAAGAGGATCTGAAATCACTCGCTGCGGACTCTCACACTCGGCCACGCCGAATATCCCGCGTTCGGCCCCACACTCCGGAGGATATCACTGTGCGAAGCGAGACAAAGAGGGAGAGACGAATTCTTCAGCTTATATCTATCTATAAACTCCTGCTATCATGTCTGTTGTCACTCAGTCGAATTCAGCCTTTCAGGCTCGTTCGTTGGTAAGACACCCAGTTGGCTTCTAATCGCACGGTCCATTTCTTTCCTCAGTTCATGTCACATTTTATATCAATATTCTCATATTTTATCGACGTTTACGTTAACCATAAACATGTCACTAGTTCCGGTCACTCCTCCGTCAATCACGCCATTTTGCTGCATACAATTTTCGGGAATATGCGCGGAGAAGAACGATAGATGCGTTTCGGGAACACCAACATGTGACTGGGGAACGGGAAATACAGGAATTGATGCAAAAAGGATTGCAGGATTTGCGCATGATGAAGGTTGGCTCCTCCGCCGCTGCACATGCTGTTCTGGACTTTGCTGTTGCCCTCGAAATTACAAGAAAGAAATGTACTAATCATTCCTCGCATTACCTCAGAGACAAACCGTCATAAGCCAATTCTATCAACTAGACAAATTAGTTGTCGAGGGAGAAGCTACGGTATGTTAAATAACATTCTATTTCCCGTGCTTTGAAAGGACGGAGGAATTAGCAGATGCTAAAATCTTCGTACTTTTGTAGGGCAAAGAATCCGGGAATGCGGGCAGCATTGTGCGACAGAAAGATACAGGGTAAGCATATGGTCCAACCTACGTTAATCAGGTTCGCATGCTGAACAGTAACTCTCCAGTTGGGATTGAGCGTCTGGTCGGGCTTCGGATTCGATGGGACTCCTCCACCTCAGGGTTGGGAAGCAGGAGAATATACCAGCGGAGTCGAAATAGCCCTGTGTACTTGTACATATATAATATTTGTTTCCCATTTTTATTTGTTATTTCGTAGTTCTTTTTCCTTATAGGCGATTTTCGGCCTTTTGGCGGCTATTCTCAGCTCTGATATTTGTGATACCTGCAGTGGATTGCCCCACAAAAATAGAATCAATATATACCCATGGAATCCTACATCCGATACACAAAAAGAAACAATGACATACTACCAATCTTCATTCCGCGGCTCCTCTTTGCTCCATCGTTGAAAAATCCATTCAGGGAGTAAGTTTTGCGTCACGTGATTATATTGCTTTTTAGCGCCCTTTGACCGATTGCACCGAAGATGCGACAGCACCGATACCATATGCACACGACGGATTGATTCCTGGTGGAAATGGTAGCAGTATAACCAGTCCGACGCTCGGCATACGGAAATCTAATCTCTGGAGCGGAGTCTGAACCGGCGAATCTCCATTTTAATCTCAATGCCTTCGGTACGTGCACATTTCCATCCCATAACACTGTGTTAGTGAAATATCCTATTTTGAGCGCCGCATCAGGCAGTATCCCGGCGTACTAAACCACGCTTCACGCTGTTAACAAAATGCTGTTATAGTTCCGATCCTCTCGTCGGTCGCAAGCACTTGCGGAAACCGTCCCCAATAGGACGAGAACGGGACAGGTCGATCACGATGTCTTCGAAGGCTTCCCCGTCCGGCGTTGGGTTCGGCAACCAGTCGTGATTTACCAAACCCCGAAAACTGAACAACCAGATACGAGATTAGGAGGACCACAGGCGTTGCCCGAATTACCGATGCCCAGAGACAGTCACCTATTAACACCAATGAGTCGGGCATTATTACGCGCTGCCAGAGCCGGATGCAAGTATATTCGACCAGCGCCTCCTGAGGTTGAGGGTGACGAAAAGGAGACCAAAGACTCCGATGAGCCTACTGCGGCGCCTCCCTTTGAACGTACATTTACTGCCGGAAAATGGACATTGGCACCGCGACATATGGAGCCACCTGAAGCAGAGTTTCTCGCGAAAAGGAGACCAGGATTGTCATCACTGTATGGGTCAACTGCATTAAATGGTACGGCTGAAGTACAGCCAGAACCTAAGCCGCCAATGAAGAAAACCAAGTTCAAGAAGATTGATCCTATAACGGGAAAAACCTCGATATACGAAGCCTGGGTGCCTGAAGGTCATAAAGTCGAAGGGGAAATTATAGAAAATGCTGATGTCGTCCCTGGAAATAGCGATGTGGCTGTTGTTGCAGCACTGCCTGTTCCAGGAACTGCTGCTGAAGGAATTGGAGTGGGAGATCCAAGGGGCCTTGTCGCAGAGCCAGATTCTAGCATGGTCGCGCCAATGGAAAAGCAAGATCCTCCATCAAAAAGAAAGGCATCTGGTATTGAAAAAGGTAGCCGGAAGAAAGTGATGTTTGCATCTGGCGAGGGGGAAACTGCAGATACTGCTCTCGGCGATACTGACGCTTCTCAAGCCCCTGGGGATGTGATGATGTCGGGTACAACACAGGATGGCAGCTCGACTGCTTCACAAATATTACACGAAGAAGACGAGGAAGGGGATGAGGAAACGGAGGACGAAGAGAGTGATGAGGGACGAGAATCTAGCCCAGAATCGAAATCCCCGGAAACTATTATTAAACTTGAACAAGAGGGCCAAGGTGATGTCTCAACAGTTCCTGAGAAAGAAGAACCCATACTGGATATGCGCGATCACGCTTTATCCCCAGAACAGGAACAACACAAGGATACTTCAATTCCAGCAAGAGATATGCCTAGTTCACCAGATCTCCCACTTGCGACGGCTCCCTCCACAAGTCATATATCAGAGCCGCCGCGAGAGGGGCTATCTCCAAAACCCGAACAACAACCCCCACCACCCGTCCCCACTAAAAACCCTTCTCTAACCCCAGTCCCACCATCTGCCGGAACCTCTTTGTCTGATGCAAACAAGGACGCCTCCTTTAATGACCAAGCGTCCAAACCATCCGAACCCGCGGGTGATGACGCAGAATCACTAGCAAACAACCAAAACGGCGCTTCAAACCCCCAAGAATATCACTATATCCCCTCCAATGGGGTTAAGCCCGAAATCGCTCAACACTCTCCACCGCAAGAAAATCCCCACCCGGCCTTAGCCTCAACGTCGACACGTCCTGAACCACACAGCGTGCCCATCCTTTTCGAAGACGGTGAAATTGATCTGCTTAGCAGCCTAGAAGCCAGTTTAGACAACCCGGGCAATGATACTGCTGCGGATGTTTCAAGGCCCGACGATGCACGCGAAAACAATGAGTTCGGAGAATCCGCCGTTGAGAGGAAGGATGTCGAAATGGCTGGATAAAGGATGTTGTTATTTGAGTGCATTGCCCCGCCTTTTGTTCGTTATCGTCCTCCGACTACCCCTGCGGAGAATATATCGTACTATGTGAAACCCAACCAATTTTTATTTTATTTTCTTTTTCTTTTTTACTTTTGGATGGTGTGTGTGTATATATATAACGTTGCTCGTTGTTGAAATTTATCTTGCTTAACATGCAGTTGAGTCTGTTTACTACTAGGGAGTTTGCTTTTCTTGCTGTACTTTTAGGATGTCGGATTTGGGAGGGGAGAATATTGTTATCATTATGCTATTTTTTTTTCTTTTTTTGCATTTATTTCGTTAACCCCTTCATACATTTCCTTTCCTTTCTCCTATTTATTCTCTTTTCCTTCCTAGATCACGGTGTGACATTCATATCTGCCACGGAGTCTTTTTCTACGGTTGCTCACCGGATGTGCCTTTCTCTACTAAAGAGTCTAATGAAGAAAGTATATACCCTCTAACACAGAACGCCAGGGACTGAGATAAATCCCAATTTGACGAAAACTCCGTTATATTATTGATTATCTTCACCCCCTTTTTTCCTTCTATGTCCCATCGCTAATTCCACTATGTTTCAAAACAAAAATGCCACGCTTGCTTCGCTATACACCTTAATTATAAAGACTTCAAAATATCAAATAATGGCCTATTTAGGCGATGGTATGGATACTATACTCGGTACATATTCTTGTTTCTCTCTTCCCCTTCTACCACTTTTCTGTTTCCTTTCCGTTCGTTCGTTCTTGCTTCCCCTATTGGCTCATACTAATCTTGATCGAGCCATTAGTTGGAGGGGATGATTTTTGCAGTTCTGCCCAACGCACTCAGAAATAATCAGCAAAAGCGAGCAGAGAGGGGAAAATTTTTCTTTTCCTTTTACGATATCGCGAGGGAAACAACGTATAAAAGAGAGTATTTTGTTCTCTACTCACCCTTCGCCCGCGTGCCGCCCACCACAGAATTCCCACCACCACCAATCGTCGCAGCTACTTTGCCAGCGACAACCTGTTCCCGCGTGACACTCATCATATCCGCAGGTAGCCCCATCGTTGCCAGAAAGTGGACCGTTTCGGTCCACTCGCTTTCCCGTCTTGCGCGGCTCCATTTCAGTTCATCAGCCATGAGGTCAATTACACCTGGCAGCGCTTGCAGGGCGGCGTTAGTGTCCAGGAAGGCCAGGCGGGTGCGCCGCGCGAGGATGTCCGCTGCGGTCATGGCGTATTCATTTTTGACAGCGAATTTGACTTCAGCTTTGAGATATGGGTAGGATGGTGAGAGGCGTTCGTGAGAGGCGGGTGAAAGAGTGGGGGTTCCTGAGGTGGAGGAGGAAGCAGAAGATGCGGATGCGGATATCGAGGCGACTTCCCAGGCACGGTCGCCGTATGAATGTGCCAGGTGCAGTGCGACTTCTGCGTCGAAGTTGAATTTCTTGATGAGATCGATGTATAAGGTTTTGTGATATCCGTGCGCGCCAATGACCGGCACTGTGTGTGTTTGGCAGGAGCCGTCCAGGAGGGGCGTAGTCCTGTCAGTGCCAGTGCCGCTGATATCAGGGTGGAGACGGTGTCCTTGTGGCTTCAGTTGGAATTCCACGATGGCCTTGTTGACCGCATCCTCAGCCATTTCACGATAGGTGGTCCATTTGCCACCAGCGCAGGTGAGCAGGCCAGATTTTGAGACTGTGACCAAGTGACTGCGTACAAGAGATTCCGTATTCTTTGAGTTCGGGTCCAGGACCAGCGGCCGTATACCGCACCACGCAGACAATACGTCAGAACGGCGCAGATCGATCTCCGGAGCTAGCTGTTTCCGAACCTCATTCAATATCCAGTCGATATCCTTACTCCTGGGGATGGGCGATTTCTCTACTTCGCAGGGTTTATCCGTCGTTCCGGCAATCAGATTTCCTTCCCACGGTAAGAGGAAAATCACCCGCCCATCCGACGAAGGGTCGACGAGGCCGAATTTCTGAGGCCCAAGCCATCCAGGGAGAACAATATGGACACCACTACTAGGTGCTACTATGTTCCTTTTCGTTGGTTCATCCATCTTCTGAATGGCATCTGAAAATGGACCAGTTGCATTGATTATGCCCTTCGCTCGTACGGTAAATTCCTGATTATTACCTTTACTTTCGCAAAGGGTATCTCGAACCCGCGCCCCACACAGTTTCCCACTGGCATCCTTCTCCAGGCCAGTGACTTCCATATGATTAACCACGGTAGCGCCATACAGCGCAGCAGTCATAGCGAGCGAAACATTCATTCTAGAATCATTATGTTGGCCATCATAGTAGCAGAGCGCCCCAACCATCCCATCGGGATTGAGCGTTGGAAACGCGCCCATGGCTCTATTCTTCGTCATAAAATACGACCCTTCTGGCGAACCCTGGTGGCCAGCAAGTAGGTCATACATCTTCGTCCCCGCCCAGAGATATGGGGCCTGCCACCATGCGCGAATGGGTAGCAGAGTGGGCAACCACGTCGAGAGATGCGGGGCGATATCGAGGAAGTATTTTCGTTCATGCAGCGCCTCCTTCACCAACTTGTATTGGTTGTAATCCAGGTTCAAAATGGCCTTTTCGAGATATCGAACTCCCCCATGGACGAGTTTTGTGCTTTTGCTGCTGGTGCCGCTGCTGAAGTCATCTCTCTCGACGAGGGCTACTTTCAACCCGCGTGTTGCGGCATCCAGAGCAATGCCTGCCCCTGTAGCTCCTGCACCAATTACGAGAAGGTCGTATACGCTCTCATCTTCCTTCTCCCCTGTTCCTTCATGGTGCGTCTTTGGAACTCTTCGTGTACTCTTTTGGAGTTTGTCATTTGCACTGCGTCTGAGGTCGGATATCTGTTCATCCCTCGACTTTATTCGAGGGAATCTTGGAGGTATGTCCCTTGGCAAGAGCGATCCGTTTTGGATTCTGGACCTTCCCGGGCCGTTGGAGCAGGATGTGATCGTGTAGACCGCGATGGTTCCTGTGGCTGCGAATATGGAAGCATAGGCCAGTTGCCTGAGGACAGGCCGTGATGCGAAACGGGAGGCCATATGGATTGAGCAAAATATCTTTTACCCTTGGTCGTTGGGTCGTTGCAAGCTCGTTTGGTAGTAAATGCCTGAGCTTCTTATAGTGCGAACTTGTGCAATGGCAATTTTGGCGGCTCTATATATGCAATGGTAGAAGTTTTGCAATGAGTTTGTTTGTACTAAAATATCTCTAAGCCCGAGGAGACGAAAATGAGTGATGAAAAGGATCCCAATGTCCCTCTATCAATTTGTACAATGGCAGAAATGGGAAATATTTTTCAATTTAAAGAGAGAGCTCTTTGAGGTAAAACAAGGGTGTTGGCTAGTGTGTTGCCCACAGCAGGCCTATGAAACGCGGAGAAGCACACAACGTGCACGACTTCGCAACATCAACAAAGAAAAGGTACGCAGTGGTATATTATGACCTGCAAATGAAGAAAAGAGCCCATGGCCACTGCGAAATGGAGGAAAAATGAGGAGAAAACGGAAATTGAAAACAGAAAGCTATATTAAAGGTTAAACGGGGAACTATATGGGGCGTGTATCATTGAAGGAATTACAGGCTTCATGATCTCCATATTAAACTCGATACCCGCCCTCACCAGCGATTGGAAACATGCAACTGATCCACTTTGCAGGGCTCGATCGGAGAGAAACTAAATATCGCAACCTTCTGCACATCGCCTGAACTAGGAAGCAGACATGTGGCCTTTCCAATTCAGTCATTCTGAATACTAGGATTCGCCCGTCCATATCAGAATCCATAAGTGCCATTCAGCGTGAAACGGGTATGGCAATCGGCATCTCAAGAAGGGAATATGGACCCTTAGCCCATGAACCATCGACTCCCTCGGCGCAAAGTATGAGTTAATCACTGTTGATAGTTTGCTGGTGTTGATGCGGCTCGGTGCAAGTCAGCCCGAGACGCCGCTGAGTCATCACCACAGGTCAGCAGCGTCTCGGCCTTGCTACGCCGAATCATTGACCAGGCATGTGATTATTGATTTTTGATTATTAGACGGATCTCCACAACAGGAATAGGGCGGGGTCTTACTCTATCGACTAGTACCGTAGAAGAGCTCGCGAAGGTTTCTAGGGGTGAACAGCCCTCCAAATATCCATTTCTGCATAAATGGCTGGTAAGGGAGATTGTAACCCCTCCTGTGACTAACATTGGGATTCCAGCTGTCTTGTTAGCTACGAGCAACTTATTCCTGCAGGGCGATATTTAACCCATTGTAGGGCATTTCCTAACCACTCCAAGTTATTTTCTGATGCTTTGTTGTGGAATTCCACACCAGAGAGGAATACCTATCCAGCGATGCAAAGGCTGATAACACTTCTGGCAAGACCTCTCTGCAAGCTGAGTGGGCAGTCCGGGAATGATGCCCAGTGTGGCAATGATTAATGAAGGCCAAGTTGACAGGCCGACGGAACAGCCGTGAATCTAAAATGGTTGACATAAACTCTCATACCTACAATCGGCTGGCTGCTTTCCTACTGGTGGGCCAATCCATGGAGACGTAAAACGCTGACATGCAGAAATAAACTCAAAATGAGCATTCCAGGTTCATGAGAATGTGGGAAATCCCATCCCATTATATAATTACTCCTACTTTCATGCATTCACTTGGATGTTCATTTGATTCTTGCAATATCCACTTGAATCCTTGGGTGGCCACCCCGTGTTGGGACTTGGGCGGTTTCCAATAGTCGGTCCTGTTTGGTATGTGGAAATGCTGCATTTTAAACTACTGAAACGCGGAGGAAGAGAGGATAATCGAGCAGAATCGACTGATGTTAATGTGCGATCTTCCGGTGAAGAAGCTCAACGCTCGACAAAGGAAGAAATAAAACTGCCATCTCCAAGATAGCCCAATAAGCCCGATAGCCCGACCATTGAACGGGTAGTGTCATCGGGGAAGGGGCCGCAGAGAGGGATAATAGGAAACGATAGGTCAGGATCGGGTGTGTCACATCATATACAATATAATACATACTCTTGCAGGATTGGAGAACGGAGACCACAAGGGAAAACTCATTCTTGACTGACCGCAAACTGTTTCCGCGGTTGATCTTTATACTCAACCTCCTCAGCCAACTTTTTCTGGATCAAGTCCGCCGCCCCTATGCACCAGTATGGACTGACTGTATGGTCGAACACGCGTTGTGTACAGTGGGCCTCGCAACAACAGCGTTGGATATACTCAATGAAAGCCCGTAGCATTCCTTTCTGGCTTTGCACAGCTTGAAAATACCAGAAGCTTCCCCGGTTCCAGCATTTCCTCAATATATTAGCTTGAAAAGCATTCTGAGTGACTGATTCTTGTTTCCTCTGCCTCAAAGGCGTCTATGAACTCGCCCATGATGTTTTCAAACTTCTGCAGGTGTTCGCCGTGTTCAATGTCGTCGATGGGTCGACCAGGATTGTCACGAAGGAACTCGACATTCCCCTTGGATCAAAAAAGGCCGGCTTGTTGAACGAAGCTGGCTTTTTAGCCCTGGCTCTCTCCCCTTGCTGAAGCGACGGGCTTTTGTTCCCATGGGATGATCCGCCTGTTCATTACCATTGTGTAAGTATGGGACAAACCCTGAGCTCACTCACCACGAGTCTTTCCGCTTTGATCATGTGACTAACGCGCAGCCACCTCTTGCCAAGCCGAATATCAGGTTGCTTGGTCCTTTTTATTTTATTTATTTATTTATTTATTTATTTTTATAACTTATAGATAAGCAAGAAGAAGGAATTAAATCTTAGTTATTGGGAAATTGTGTCGCAGGGCGGCTTCTCAGACGATTTGCCCTGCTGGCAAAATTAAATATTAAATGTTGATCGATCCCACAATTTTCTCACTTGGATGGATGGTGGCTCTATCGATTTGGAAATACAATTTCAAACAAGATACTCGAGGTTCCATCCTTGCAAATTTTCCATTCCTTTGGCAGAGTGTCAGGTTTGTCCTTTTTGGGTACTCCATCCATTTGGCGGTATTTTTTGGGGGGTGCGTTCGCAGTTAATTTATTGATTCCTCAGATATAGCACAGAGCCGCCTCTCACGCCTCTCACGCCTAGGAGCAGGAATTGGATGTTAAAATGCGATTCTAATGCTGAACAAGACCCAATGAATTGAGAATTGAAGTCAAGGTTCTAGCTCGTAATGGCTATAACGCGCCGTCTACTCCGCGAGGAAATCACGTACTCCACTGCTAAGGGACGCGAGGCCAACATCCTCCATCAACTAGGGTACCATGACAAACAAACCTCCTTCTTCAACCAATTGAATAACAGCCGCGATTGGATTAAGTATGTTGTAGCTCATCATCTAGGACTAGGTGCGGGATCGGTCGACTTGTGTCGCGTGGCCGAAGTTGAGGACTGGTTTCATGGAAGCTTCAACATCTGTGTTCCAGTCACTATCGAAGACGAAACCTGGAAACGGGAGAAACAAGGAGGCTGGCATGTTCTACTTCGACTACCTCTTCCCTATCGTATTGGGGAAGCCTTTCGATCTGGAAATGGCGATGAGAAGGTCCGTTGCGAAGCTGGAACCTATGCATGGCTACAAGAAAACTGTCCAGAGGTGCCGATCCCACACATGTATGGTTTTGCTATGTCTACCGGCGAAACTGTACGTTCTCTCATTGCGTTCTATTCAAGTGTTGACTATCTGACCTAATCTAGTTCACACGGCTCGAGCACCTGCCCTTCCTATCCCGATGTTTTCAATCCATCCGCCGCCGATTGCTCTCATGGTTTAATCTTCCAGTTCCTTCTTACTACGCCCGTCACCAGGGAGGAGTCCACAATGCGATTGGCGCTGGCTATCTGGTAATCGAATACATCGAAGAGACTCAGGGAAGGATGCTCTCAAGCTCATGGTTCGAGAAGAATCAGCATGATGCCAAGCTGCGTACCAACTTCTTCCGTGATCTGGCTCGCATTTTGTTAAGCATCAGTCGAATACCGTTACCGCAGATCGGCTCGTTTATTATTGATGATGGTGGATTCCTGCGTTTATCAAATCGACCATTCTCAATCGAGATGGCAGAACTTGAGAACGACGAAATTCCAACTCACATACCTCGCGACTATACCTACTCCACGACTGACTCCTACGTGGTGGACACACTTGCTTTTCATGATAGCCGCCTCCAGAACCAGCCAAATGCAGTAAAGAGTCTTGGTGATACTATTTCTCAAATGGCCGCTCTGACAGCCATGCGAGCCACCTTTCCACTGTTTCTTCGGCGAGATCTCCGCCGTGGCCCTTTCATTTTCCACTTGACCGATCTTCATCAGAGCAATATCCTGGTTGACGAACACTGGCATATCACATGCCTAATTGATCTGGAGTGGGCTTGCTCTCATCCAGTTGAGATGGTTGCGCCTCCCTACTGGCTGTCAGGCAAGCGGGTGGATGAACTAGACCCAGAGAATTATGACGAAACTCGAATAGAATTTATGGATATTCTAGCTGCTGAAGAGACACAAATGCGGGATTGTGTTGTTGACAAAAATGCCATGCCACGACTGTCTGATGTCATGAACCGCTCTTGGAATACGGGCACATTTTGGTATACACTGGCACTTTCCAGCCCTACTGGTCTTCACAATTTCTTTTACGACAGGATCAAACCCACATTTTTCAAGCATTCTGTTGATGATTTCATATCAATTATGCTTTTTTACTGGGCAAAAGACGGGCCATTGCAAGCATATCGCAAAGTCTCAGATAAGGAAAATTATGACATCCAACTTCAACAAGCATTCGAGGAACCCTGAGTCGGAACTTGACATGATCCAATCCCCTTATTTGCCATCTCATAGGCTACTATCTCTTTTCTTTCCCTTTGTTCTCACCTCCCTTCCCGTCTCCACTGCCATCTCTCTCCTCTTTTTCTAAGAAGTCCCTGACTGCATCACCAAGACTATTCATGGCACTTTCGACTTGATTCTCTCTTCTCTTTTTCTTATATGCCTCGGCAGAAGAGGTGAGCAGCTGAAGCGTCTTGACATCCGCCTTGAATCCCACACCCGCTTCTTTGCTCTCGAATTTTTCAGGTGGTGTTTTGTCTGTCATCTGCGGAGACAGCCGGTGGCCGCACCGTTTTTAAGATATAGAAATTGAATATTAGCAGAGGTTCGGAATTTTATGTTCTATGTCTCGCAATATCAAAATACTTTCGACGGCCTGACAATCGTTTAGCAGATCGGCCAATGGTTACACTGATGTGTAGCTGAAGGATTTCTGACCTACACGAGAAAGTTGGAACAAATATTGACACCCTAGAAGTTGTGTTAGTCAAATGCCGTCGGGAGAAACGGAAAAATGATTACTTGCGTCAACAAATACCCGTGTATAGTGGTGACAGCGCGATGACAGGTAGGCGACAACGGGCTTAGAAATGAGGGGGTCTTCCACGTAGAGGAATTATTCCTAGAGTTGCACGAATTGTCTGTATCGCGTTCAAGATAGTTAGATAAATTGTATGTGATTTCCGTGAGCGAAGAAGTTTGATGCCCAACCTAATATTTATCTAGCAGCCACCCTCTTACGGAAGGTGGGTTGACCCCGCAATGTTACTGTCATTGCAGTTTCTCCACCAGCTAACTACTTCCATCTAGTTGCTTCCCACAACCTGGTGAGATATTTCGGGAAGTTTGGGGAAATCTGGATGTATAGTACAACCGGCGGGCCGACTTTCCCACTGTTACTGCTATCCAATCATGCCTTGGAATAAATATGGACTAAACCCAGCATTTGGGATCCAGACGATGATTATTCGCTGCACAGCTACAAGTATTGTTGTCACACCTGGCATATGCAAACCTGATTTCTGAGCTGTCGAATGGACTTCGATCCAATGGTGACATGATAGTATCCCCGGCATCAAAGTCCCTTTTTCCATGCTTCGCCGATTCTGGATGAAGAAAATAATAATACAACTTAAAATAATACAGCTTCAAATGGGGTATGGCTCAATGTACAGTACCTCGTAGGCTCTTGGTCCGATAGACATCACATCCTGCATAGAGATATGTGCGGGGTCCATCAATTATCGCAACTTATACGGAGGTGACTTCTCGTACAATACCGTGTAAAGAGAGTGAAAAATAAAAAGCACATGATGGGCCATAATGAAATGTTGAGTTTGGGGGAAGCTTCCATCTAAGAAAATGTCGGCAACCCTAACCTTAACCCCAACTCTGCAGTGCAGATGCGATTCGTGTACCTCTCAGAGTGCAAAAAGGCGATACTAGGAAAATAGAAAACCATCCATGTTGAATGAAGCGAAAACATACAACAGGAGAACTATGGCCTTGCTCACTCATGGTGGTTAGATCAAGCTAGCATGTTCAGCTGCTGTGTTTGAGTGATGTTCACATGATATTTCAGTGATCTTTTGAAATACCATCTGTATCACAATCTGTACAGATGTAAGAGATGACTGAGACAATTGACTCCCTGAAAATGTGAGGCTCTAGCTGCAGAAGCAAGAGGAGAAACAAAGAAGAGAGAAGGTCGACAGAAAGGAGGAGAAACAATAAAGAAAGAAGCTATAAAAGAACTGTCTGAGCACATTACATCCTCAACCATCAACATGCAATTAATGAAAGATGAGGTATTCACTTGTCAATCATGCTAATCAAATTTATTTGATATACACAGTCATTTATCCATCTGTCTTCTCTTGCATTCCAGTCAACCCACTCTGTTACTCCATATCTCTCAGTAAACTTCCCCAGCTGCCTAGAACACCCATTCCGCTTTCCCCTCGGGAGTCAGTGAAGTGGTGCTCTCCTATTGATCTCCCGTAAAAATTAGGGAATTCGAAAGAATGCTGATGAAGCCAAACCCTCAGGGAATGCCACAATCTTGCATGAAAAGGTAACAAAAAGGAAACAAGATGAGATGTTAATTTGTGATGGCAGTACATAACATCTGCCAGCATGATTCAACTTCTCCATTTGGTATACAAAGCCTACCAGCGGCGTTCATTTAACCTCTCACTTCTCCGGAACTAACCCCCGCGATTTTCCTTTTTCAATTTTTCTTCTTTTCCCCAACGTTTTTCTTCCTGCCCTGTTCTGTACCGTAAATATTCGGCGATTTTAATTTTGCTGGAAATTCCGAAATAACCTATACACGTGGTATAGCAAGTCTCAGTACATCAACCGAAAGGGAACGTACATGATGTGTGTGGTGGTGTGTTTCGATGATAAATGAGCACATCTCATTCATCAGCTGCAGCTGCTGGGTTTCTGTCTCTGGTTAGTAATGTAAGATATGCGGTAGTTCGTTTGATAAACTACCTATCATGATTATATGAAATGGAGTGGGTGCCGGTGTAGTTGTAACGTCGTGTTATAGTTATGATGGCTCTAGGGCGCTAAAGGTCCCGGGAGAGCCGTTCATGGAGGAATCTGGAGGACGGGAAAGCCCGTGTTTTCTTCACGCATGTATCCATAGACAAAATACGTTGGTCATTTGGAAAACGGAATCAACTTACACAGTTTAGGCGAAAAATATTAAACCATCACTTCCCTTGCTAGGGTGTTGATTTTCACAGGTGAAGAGAGCCTCCTTCTCCTAGGTTCCCGGGGCTTTGTCGTTGTTTGAGATTGACTCCGCGCTGGGGCTGGTTTGGAGGTTCCTTTCATTTGCTGAGCCGCTGGCTCTCTTCGACTTCCAGCTTTTAATGCTATCTGTTTAGCCTCTGCCGCTTCCTGTTCCGCTTGTTGAGCTTTTCTTAATTCCATGTCAATGATTCGCTGGCTCCGGCGCAATGGAACAGACTCAGCTGTAGCCGTTGTGGAAGGTTTTGCTACACGACAAGACCTCTTTCGTTGTAAGCCAGATGTACTAGCTTCCCCAGTGAGTTGCCCCGTGCTTGCACCGCTTTGATCCAGTTTTGCCGCATGAGAAGACCTCTTTTGTGGTAAGCCAGATGTACTAGCTTCTCCTGTAGCTTGCTCTGTGCTTGCGCTGCTTTTATCCGGTTTTGCCAGACGAGAAGACCTCTTTGCTTGCATGCCAGTTGTACTAGCTTCTCCAGTAGCTTGTCCTGCACTTGTGCTGCTTTGATCCGGTTTTGTCAAAGAAGCCGTCTCCGAATCTGCGTGAGTAAGTTGTTCAGCAGATACTGATAGTTTTGGCTGCTTGTGTAAAACTTCCGGCGTATCAATAACGTCTACAGAGTCTTTGGAGTTTTCTATTCTGCTGATCGATTGACGACGGCTCCTTGGATGGGTTTCCGTGGGTGGAGGTGCTGATTCGGCATGCGCTGGCGGCGGTGCTGTAGGCTCCGTGGCCACGTCCTCTTTTTCCGCTAGGCAGGATTCATCGTCCACATTTTTACCGGCGGATTCTGCACATTCTTGCTCAATTTTGGGAAGCTCTGCTTCTACCCATTGAATCCAACTCATGTATTCCTCCAGGTCAGATTCCACTAATGTTCGCACAGTGTGGATCCAACCCATATCCTCCGGGATCTTAGGGTTGCGTTTACCAGACTCCCAATCTAACATGTCCTGCTCTCGCTCTTTGCGCGCGGCTTCAGCCTTCTCCCTCCACGGGGGAACGCGTCTGTGGAGATAATAATGATACTCCTTCCACTGGTCTACTCTGGATTGCCGTTCCTCATCAAAATGTAGCTGGATGTCACCCTCAATCCCTTCCTTTTCGCGGTAGTCATGAATGTCCTGCTGGTACTGGGTGAAAATCTCCATTGATCGCCGCTTTTTTAATTGGAAGTTTTGGAAAGAAACCCAAACATTTCTTTGGTTGTAATAGGATTGGCCCCAGTAATCGATCATATCTCTATATTTTCCGAAGTTTTTAGGAGCTGCCGTGGCATATTCCAGTGGAAATGCAGGCCGTCCCCCATGCTCTACCAAATAGTTATAATCCCGTATACAGTCAGCGAGATGTTGTTTTTTGAAAGCTTCCGCCTCTGGGGTCGGAGTCGGGAGACGGCTTGGGGTGTGGCTTAGGGTTGGAGTCGTGGCCACGCTCGTGGAGGAAGCGGAGCGGCGGGGAGCATCTGCATTTGATAAAGTTCTGTATCAATCAAAGATTATTTAGTTTATAGCCCAGGTATGTCCACAGCAATACACACGGTAGTCTCACTTAAGCTTCTCCTCTAATTCCGTGGCATCTAAACTGTATTCATTTTGTCTCGAGTTGACAATCTCCCTTCCAGCGCTATGTTAGCATCGAAATTCTCAGGCAGGACATCAAAGTTAAAGCCATTCTTTCTTACTGCAATTTTTTCAACTGTTCTTCGGTCCATTTTTCCGGGTCCGACGGTTCAATCCACCTTCCCGGCATCGTCAGCATACAATATCATATCCAAAAATTTCAGAGGCACAACTGAGTCGATTCGGGTTGTCTTACCGCACGCCTTCAAAATCCTTTGCAGTCAATTTGTCGAGATCAGCAATAGATATCATCATGTTAGGCGCCATAGCGAATAAGGACGTACTTCTTCAAGTTTATAGAAGATAGTCAAGTAAAGTTGCTGGGGCGGGGATGTTTGCGGAGAACAGAAAAATGAAGCAGGGAAGAAGGAGAAAAGGAGGAGCTGAAGCAGGGTGGCCAAGACCAGTCTTGGGCAACTCCAGCAAAGCAACAACAAAACACCAACAATACAGCGAGCAGACCACAACAGGGCTGGCGTATCACTTCTAAGGAAGACTTGCGCGCTTTACCGAAACAGGGCGCATCAGGGTTGCAATATCCGGTGGATCTAGCCTTGCACACGGCATCACCCGCACTCCCCAGTAAATATACCCACAGGGATCCATACTTGTGGGTATACGCGAACCAGGCATATTGGAATATTCCTCGAAGTCTACGCAGCGTAATAACCAACCAGCATTTGGCGTTTAATACAGTATGTTGTCCTGGACTCAACTTGTTTCATGAAATAAATACCTGGAACATGAAGTGTCGCTGAATTAAAATACGATCGCCAATTATTCCCTTGTGAGAACGGCAGCCTGATGCCAGGATAATTATTTTTAGGAATTTTGTTCCGGCTTGCAGGGTATTTATGTCAATTGCCAAAATAATACAAGGCTCTCTTTGTTTGTTTATGATTATTATTCGGTCAAGGATGCTGCTTTGTGCGAATGATGAACGGCCACGCCACCACCACATCATGGATTGGAGGCCCAACTCCCCATCATGCGTTGGGAGGGCTCGCTGCCTCACCACTGAAAATGTCAGCAAAACATATCGGCCACTTGGAATCGGGGGAACCGACATCTGCAGTGTGCCTCGGAAGGTGGATTAAGTCGGCTGCATGCCTGTTCGCCCACCAGATGCATCCGCCGCAGATGCACTCCTCACTTACTTCCCAGCAGCTGCGCTGCATCCGTTGGCCGTCGCTCATTTCCTTATAAGCAGTGCTTCCTCCCATGGCTGGTGTTGTCTGATGGAGGATCCCCAGGTTTCGAAAAAGCCCCCCATCCATACTACAATGACTTTTTACCCACTGTAAGATCTTTTTCGCCAAACATGGAAAACGAAACACACGATCCAAACCTTATTTTGTCGATGGTGGTGCGGCGAAGAGACTTGCTGGCATCCCTAGGCTTGGACACAAATAAAGACCGTTTTGATCTAGTCCAGAAGAAGCCTACCGGGCCGCGGAAACCAAAACCAAGCAACCAACAGACTAGCACCGGGCAAGAGGATGATGACACCGACGAAACGGAGGAGATTCGGGGGCCCTTTGGGTATATCCGGTTGAAATTTAACGCGCCGCCCAGGGATATCACGCGGGGATTCTCCTTCGGGACTAACACGAAGCTCTGTGATGTTGTGTTTTCCAAACCAGAGGCGAGTGGCATAAGCGGGACTCATTTCGTGATTACTTTTAATAAAAAAGGCCAACTTGTGTTGAAGGATGTATCTAGTCAGCAAACTGCGGTTAGCTATGATGGCAGGGGATCTGCACAGTGGCGAAGGGATTTCCAGTGGATGCTAGTCCTTGACAGGCCAAGAGCGACCCGCATCCATCTCCCGAATGATTTCTACCTTGACATCATATTCCCAGATCACGCTTCCTGTCAACGGCAGTACGAGGAGAATGTGCAGAGATATGTGCAAGAAAGTCAAAACCAGCTTTTCAATTTCGGTGGCATGGCCTTACTTAGCCAGGACCAAACTCGACCACGTACTCCCATGAATGACCCGATCTATTTTCATGTAAAAAGAATTGGGGAGGGTGGATGTGGCGCGGTTAACAAAGTTATAAATGTGAGCACCGGGGACATATATGCTTCTAAGATAATTCCAATCGATGATCTGGCCGACATGGGGCACAACGGAGTAGAAGTGGGCACGAAGGCACTCGAACGTGATGCATTGAAAGAGGCAGATTTCGCAAAAGAAATACAAAATATTAAAAGCACAGCGCATGTATGGCATTTATTCCACTCTGCTCGCTTCAAAGTTAACAAGTTTCATAGGAACATATCGTCCAGTTTGTAGATTCCACAACGCATCCGCTGCAGCTGATTATGGAATATCTGCCCTTGGGAAACCTATGCTATCAGCACGAACGCGACCCGCTTAATACAGAAGAAACCCAACTCCTACTTGCTCAAGGACTCGATGCTCTTCGTTACCTTCATTCCGAAAATATCACACATCGAGACATCAAGCCAGAAAATATTCTCGTCCGCGGCAGAAAGGAGCTCTTTCATATCAAATTGGCCGATTTTGGGCTTTCAAAAATCGGTAACTCTATGAGATCAAAACTCGGAACAGAATTTTACGACGCTCCTGAAGTCTATGGCAGGATGCGCAATGGTAGAAGATATGACAATAAAGTTGATGTCTGGAGTTTTGGCGTCGTGGTCCTAGAAGTCTCTGGTCGCCTTCCTGGTTTATTTGATGAACAGAACTATCACAACTACATCGCTGATGCGGCTGAAAAGGCGCTTGATGCCTGCCCAAACAGCCAATTCTATTATCTGATATCTAGGATGTTAAAAATGAATTCGACCGAGCGGGCCTCTGTTGCCGAACTTTTTGACGGTAAAACTACCATCGAGTTTAGCACTGAAAATAATGCACACGGTTCGCGTTCAGCCACTCCAACAAATCGTGGTCTTCATAAGCAGGCAGACAGGGCTTCAGCATCCCCAGACGACGCAAAGCCAGTCACAGCGGTCAAGATGCAATCCCCTACGCAAAAGCGGCAACAATCGCAGCCTAGCTCCAGAAACACTCGCGTCAAACGCACGCGAAAACAGATAAACGATGAGCTCTCAACTCCACTGGAAACTGACAAAACGGTGAGGAACGCTGCGCCCAAGACAGCTAAATTTGATCCTGGAAGTCACCAGCGGCCCAAACAAGACGATGATGGCGTCGACTTCCATCGCAGCCCATCAGGTGTAATTGGAAGCGGATTGGTTGGTCAAGCCCCGGGCTCCACCTACAGTTCAAGAAAACAGCGGGAGCTCCAAGCAGGGTCTTTAGCAGATCCATCTTCACAGGGCAACAGCCAACAGGAGAATCCCGGCGCAGGTGATGATGAAGCATCATCACGGCAGCCACGGACTGCGATTCCACCGGACCGAGTGCGGAGGAGCACAACTAACCCTGTATCGAGGGTGGGTCGTCTGAAAAATCACTCATGATACAAGGTTAGTTGCCAGCCTGTTCAATTCAGGTTTCTGTTTGAAACGGGCATTTTCATGCACATGTGCTTTACTAAGGTGTCTTTAATTTCCATTAATTTTACGCGTGGGAGTAAAGCAACACTCAAGCAACACTCGACGACGAGAGAGGTAGTTATTGGACTGAGAATGACAGGTCTTGAAGCTTCCGGGTATTCTTCTCGGTTATATTCCAAGTCAGATGGAAATACAGGCATCCTTCGGTGAAAATAATAATACCAACATCTAAAAGCTGCCTCATGCTCGTAAACTCTTCCCTTTCGTTGTCTTTGTTGCAACTAAGCAAAGCCTTAAACTAGGTAATAGCTGAACTAACTATGTGATATTCATCAACCTCCCAACATCACGATGATGTGAAATCGTGTAACTCGTGCATGTTAAAATGCACACGGGAAAAGCATCACTATGATGCCATTCCTAAAAACGAATTTGTTCTTGTCATCTGGATGGTACAAGAAATCATTAGTTATACACCAAATCTTCCCGGCTCTTTCTGTCAGTTGTGAGATTGTTGTAATGTCGAAAAATCCTCCCAAGCATGATCCGTATTTGCTGTAGGCAAGACTGAAGATTCTTTTGGCAGCGAACATGTCTCACAGTGAGTCGGGGATGAATGAAACATGATATAGCAGCAGTTATAGCACAAGAGGCGAGGAGGAGGAAAGTAACGGAGGGCTTCGGGTTAGGGCTTGAGCATTCTAGATTGATCACGTGTCGTGGGCCAAGGTTAAATTAAGGTTTGATACCCCTGAATTTTGTGGGGGTGTCTAATTAGCTTGTGCGGTATCACTAGTCTAATATATGGTTGCATAGGTGTCAGACGGCCCTGCTAGGCTCTGCCCTCTGCCCTGTCTGGAAGCCGGAACCAAGCTCCAGCCACTATATCCACCAAAAACCTCCCGGTATCAATTGGGATTTTACTCGGATTTCTCTCATTTCCTCTTCTCTTTGTTCAAAAATATGTCTCCAAAGTGAAGAACAGCATGTATTTTTGTATTTAAGACTTCAATAGCTAGAAATGTGTGAGAAAAAGAGGTAAAATCATGAGTATAAAATTCCTCAAAAACCTGCAGAGATCTTGCGGATGGGCAGATTTCACCTCAATCAGATTCATACTTCTTGGCATATCTTTCTTCTCCCATATTCCTTTTAGATTTCATAATAGGCTAGTCTGACCTGAGAGAGTAGATTTGGGGGAATCCTTTATGATATGTGCATACACTTTATTCTTCATCAGTAATCGTCCTCGTCAAGGGGATTGCAGAGCTCATCATAAGTCGGTTCTGATAAGAAAATATGGAGGATTAGAACGCTTTCTCATGCAAATTTGCGGTTAGGGGGGAGACAGTGTGAATAGCCACAGGAAATCGCGTATGCCAAGAACAAGAGCTTAAAAAAAGAAAGAAAAAAAAACCCCCCCAAGACTTACACCCTTCTTCGAAATGGTCGAGTATCCAGCAAGCGGCCGAAAGGTAGCCGCAAGCCCAGTAAACATACATCCGTCAGCCGGGCACAGAGTTTCCCAGTGTTCTTGGTTCGAGTCACCAAAACACGCTTCTCTTCCTCTATTGGTTCGGAACTGATCAGGTTTGAATACTCCTAGTTAACGGATTTTCGCGCATTTCCAAAAAAAAAAAAAAAAAAAAAAAAAACTTTCGAGAAGTTGAGAATTGACTCACTCTGATCGCTTTCAGGAAGCCCTCCGTAGCAATCTCAATGCCGATTACATACTCAGAATTGGGGCCGTCGATGTCGAAATGGCGAATCTCTCCATCGGGAGCCTCTTGGTCCTCATCTTCATCATCATCGTTGGGAAACTCTCCCATATATCGTTTCGGTTCCCAGTAACGCCGAATGTATTCGGTCCTTAAGCCTAGCAAGCACTCCATAGGCCCGGAGCTTGTTATATCCTTTTTTACGTAGGCAGATATCCGAGTTAATTTTCGAAGCTCGTCGCCATGCAATGCCCACATGAGGAATTGGTGCGGAACCAGGTCAGTAGGTACACCATGGCCCATATCTCCGGTTGAGCTGGGAGACAAAACTTGAATATCAGGGTGACTCCAAATAAATCGTCGTTGATCTCCTCGCGGTTCAAATGGGGATGCGGCTGAACTCCAAAGGAGCCGTTGGCCGAAAGGGCGTTCGGATTCTGGGACAATCCTTGCATCGTGAATAGAAAATTTGTCACCTATCAAGAGAATATAAGTAAATCGGGTGAGACTATATATGCAGAATGATGGGAAATAGAGTTGGGAGCACGTCACTTTCAGTGGCGGGGCTCTCTAAGATTCCAAAACGAGAAATGATTCCATCCTGAATAAAGACACGGTTAGTCTTGATGAAATGATGATTCCGTGTAATACTTTGAAAAGGGGCGTTTACTTCTCCAGCTTGCCCAACTAGGCCAACAAGGTAGTGATCCTCGGAGACCATGAACGGCCTATGATTTCCTGCACAAGAGCCTATGGAAACATGCTTCCCGGACACAAAATTGACCTGGGAATCGCGTTAAGTCAGAAGGACCCAAAATGGCTGGCGATGCTAGTGTGATTATAATCTATCCATGTTACACTTACCTCGATACCTTTCACAGCTGTACAGGCATGGGCATCTAGAAGATCCATCACAGGCATATATAGGACAAGCCCTGAAATCCAATCAGAACTTTCAATGGATAAAACATGCTGATGAGCCCCCCCAGTTGCTGCGTCACGTCCAAAAGGCCGACGGCTTGTCCTAAAACTAACAGTCAAACCCATCAGGTAATCGTCACTACTCCAGAAGGTCTCCAACAAGGCGGACCGACCGTTGAATTCCTCCAGAGTATGTAACCACTGTTTGCTAATGGTTCTAACCTCCATGTCTGGCTGTGGATATTTAACCATTGGTAGCTGAAATATCTGGTTTTGTTGCAGTACCGAATTGAAGTCTTCATCAGTTGTGTCCCTCCGTTGGTGAAAAGACAAGAAATATTTTTCTGCAAGCTGCGCGCAAGCACACCAGATGCGTCTCCGGTTGGCGATACCCAAGAACGGACCACGCATACCATATACCGGCATAGTCGCCTTGTTCAGCCAAAGGTAGAGGTTCTTATAGTCTAGGTCAGGGACATTATCTTCCTCAACAAGCTTATGTAGCTCCCAGAACCAAGGCATTCCCCAGTACATAAGCTGTTTCCACAATGCGGGATGGCGAGTTGTTCTATAAACAGGCCACGATGCTGACATCAACGCCCGGGTTGAGTCTCCCGGAAGGAAGCTAAGAATGGAGTACAGAAGGTCGAATGGTAATTCGCCAAATGGATCTCGTTTCACTTTATGCGCAAGCGACAAAGAACTCGTGGAGGTACCTTTGAAAGCCTTTTCTTCTACTAACTTCCGAAGGATCTCTTCGAAACCAGGGGTTGCCGGATGGGTGACAGAATACTGGAATGCACCTTTTCATCAATATATACCCTCGAACATTCCTCAAACAGGAAGAATGGCGTACCTCTTCTCCAGGAACACAATCCCAAAATTGCTCTACACCAGTAAGGTTTCCGTAATCAATTTCCAGATATCGTGAGTATTGTGGAGAAAGCCCAAGCATAACGTGGTAAAGAAGATCCTTATCAATTTGACCTATTTCCGTAGAGCCTGTAAGAACCCGGATGAGAATTTCGAAGCAGCACCAATGAAACGGAAAAGCTGAAAGATCGCTGAATCCATAGCTGCAACAAGTTAGCAGAGTGTAGACGTCACTAAAGCAATAATATCTCTTACCAGGTGACCCAATTTTTGTCCAGCGAATTGTGGTTTTGAGGAACATTTGGATCTGACAAGCTTATTAGCTTGGTCGTGCTAAATGGAACTGCGGGAGTGTATCTGCATACCATCGCCTGACGAAAATTCAACCGCGTCCTAGTTTGCACAAATTAAAAAACTTCATAAAGCAGGTTTGCAGAAGAATCCTAGAGCTTGGAAGGAGAAGACATACAAAATCAGAATACGTCCCCTCGCCCGAAATGTAGGTCCTACGATGGCTATTAGTAAAAAGGCACCGTCGAATAGATACTTCAGGGAATGAGCTGCATACGCACTTGCTAAGTCCCATCGCTGTAGGGTTGTACCCGAGCACATGTACCACCCGAAGCCATTTAGTACTCTCTTCGCTAACGATGTCTGGATCGTAGCCACGGTTGCCGTCCATTTCCCTTTGGATTTCCCAGGAGTCTTCATCTTCCTCCTCAGATACTAGCACATTCTCACTTTGTGTATATTGTGCCGCATTTTCATTTCCCAATTGTTCACCGGCCATAGCCAGGCCGCTGCGTTCACTCTGAGCCTGGAGCTCCTGAATTTTCTTTGCGATTAATCGCTGGCGCACTTGGCGCTGTTCTTTTGACTTGCCTCCAATCTCAACTTCGTATAAGGTGCCGCAGCACAATGAACAATATATGTCGAAAGATCCCATTTTGCCAAGTGAGATGCTTGCTACTTTGGATGAAGGATGTATCAGAACAGGCGAATAGTTCAAAAATGATCATCAACAGATTTGAAAGATACTTAAAAGTTGAAAAAATCATGAACAGAAACTCAGATGCGGCAAGGGAAACATGGCACCAGTCCGATAAACCGTTTCTTGAACTGAGGTCTGAACGTGAGGCAGCCGACAGACTAAACAAACATCAGCCAATTCAGATAGTTATCATTAAGCGATCAGGCATCAAACCCCACTATCGCATTTTTGTCCAATGAAACAACAACGACAATTGCCCGCAAAATATAGCCGGGCTTGAATAACTAGTGGTTGGTGTTTGCCTCGTTCCTGGCCGAGACTCCATGCTTCTTTACTCGCCATCGATATGGGCTTGAGGCGGACATCAGCCGGAGATATGAAAATTCCTACCGTTTTGAATAGTGGCAGAAACAAAGAGTACGTATTTGAATGAAAAAGAAGTAGCTGCTCACTTCAATGTCAAAGAACAATAATTATGCTTGGTTAATAAATCGGTCGACCATGCAGAGAGCTATTCCGGTTGGTACGGGGCCCGATCTCGTTCGTCTTTGGTCACCTAGTGGCATCAGGTAATCAGATCAGATGGCCAAGGCTGTTTACGATTTGACACCAAAACTAAGCAGTGTCAAGAATTGAGAAAATCACTATCTTTTGACCTGAGATATCTTAGACAGCTAATAGAGGTTGTGTCAATGATGTGGAATGCCCACTCACTTGTGTCACGCAAGAAGAAGGTGAAGGTTGAACAAGAAGTCAAGATGGGCACATTAGTGTCGAGAACAGCCTGAAGAGCAAGTGGTCAAGATTCTATAGAAACATATATATTTACCCTCTAATAGAAGTTACCCCAAATAGGCTCATCATCAGCTCTTTTCACCCCTTCCCATGGAATTCTTCCTTGGAGTATTCCAACTACAAAACTCACATGAAATTCTTAAATCTGTGTCATCAGAAAGCAAATGGGCAAGCAGAGATATATGGCTGAGCCATTCCAGATTTTTGAGCATGTTACCTCCCCTTTTTGAGCTAGATAGAAAAGCAACTGTATGCAACATTGAAGTAATTGTACAGATATTGCAGCACAGAAATATTATTTTTGCAGCAGTCACACATTCATACCAACTGAGGGGAAAACCTGGATGATGACATCAAAACTGATCCTGCAGCTGCAGCAACTCATTGCTCAAGATTGCCAACCATTTTAAACTGGCTTCCAATAAACTCCATAGTGCAGTTAATTACGCCGCCATTTAGAAGCCTCAGCGACGCAGAGTCCATCACCACCCTGGATTCACCATCAAGCAACTTTCAATCTGAGAATAATTTCCCAAAATCTTGACCATCTGCTTCAAAACACTATGTCCTCATCAAGATCAACATCAAGCAATGCTTCCAGGGACACCAGACACTGGAAGTCATGGCATCCACCACTTGACACAGTGACACAAAGTTGGGCATGGGGGACTTCCAAGGTGGTTGGCCGCTCAGTCAGAGATCAGTGATTTCCCATAGATGCTAGATGATTCAGATGCATTAGTGAAAAAGAAATGGATGTATATGGGCAAACATCAGGCAAAAAAAAAAAAAAAGAAGAGCGGGACAAAATGGAGACTGAAGTTCCTGAGAGAGAGAGGGCGTAGCGGGCGGGAGAAAAGGGAGGCAAGATTAGACGAGATGCGATTGCCATGTTAGTCGAGAGGGAGGGGAAATGAGGTAGCTAGGTCAATGAGTCCACAACAGCACCCGCGAGTGTGATCGCTGGTGTGATGTTCATATAGGTATCCTGTAGAATCCTGGAACATTGCACACGACTGCCTGGATCCATGCGGGGACAATTCCCATGTACCCCTTGAAGTTCAAGTGAAGGAGGGTGCAAAAAAGCGGCGACAGGGTGATACTGGGAACAGGCAGAGAGAGGTGATGAGCAAAAACATACAACAGCCGGGATTCGCTGGTGGTCACCCACCCAACTACTAACCGGCCGGCGAGCGGCTTAAGTATGGCTGAGCGGACGGGAAGCCCTGTTTTCCACTCCCAATGGTCGTATGTGATAGACACTGAAAGATGCTAAATAATAAACGCAGATCCGCAGTCGTTTGCTAGGCTGTTGATTTCGTATTTGACCATACCTCGGGTGTTGGTCGCAGCAGACGATCGGACCCCATCCAGGGGGTGTTGATGGGACTTTCCCCTGTATACAGTAGAACGTCATAGAGGAACGCGCCTAGCGTGCATCCAACGAATGGTGCAACAATTGGAACCTGGAGAATAAAAGATCAGCACTGGTAGAGCCTAACAGATTCCTGACACGAGCACTAGCAGGTGCAAAAGAGGATAGCCATACCCAAAAGTAATAATTCCCAGCAGACCATACCTCAGGGCCATATCCTACTATATATGACAGCAACCGTGGTGAAAAGTCTCGCGCAAGATTGATCGCATATCCCGTCTCCCAACCAAAGCAGGCACCTATGCCAAAGATCACGAAGAACAAACCCAATGGGGTGAGATTGCCAGCGCCATTGTTATTGTTGTCGAGCAAAGCAAAGATACAGAACATAAGGATCGCACTGGCGATAAGTTCAGAAAAAAACTGGCCTGTTTTGGTCAGGAAACTGACCGGATATGTACAGAAGATGCCCGCGGTGGAAGTTTCGAGGCCCACAGTACGGATACCAACGCCTCCTTCAAAAACATCAATAGCGGATCTATAGTTCCCATAGACGATCCCAGCGGCAAGGAATCCACCCAACATCTGAGCGATCACATACACGGGGAATTTCCTCCATGGGAATTTGCGAAATATGCAGTTTGCGAGAGTAACGGCTGGGTTTAGGTGGGCCCCTGATATACCTGAGCAGTAGGCCCCGAGCATCAGACCAAGCCTGTCAATTATGTCAGCTGTCAGCTGAACTGATGCTAGATCCAGGATCTTTTCATGGCAACTTTTTTCTCTTTTATCCCAGGTAGCTCAAGGGGGGGTTTGAGACAAAAAGCGTAAGAAGGTAACTCACCCCCAACCCCAATTGATCGACTGGTAATCTCCGTTCTTTCTATTACTTAGAATGACCTGAGCTATAGAGCCATCTCCGAAAAGAACCAGAATAAAGACACCAACGAATTCAGCGAACGGTTCTCGTAGCTTATATCGAATCCGATACCAGAGAGGCTGTTCCGCCTCCATTTTAGCAGCGTGGGCCTGTGCACCCAGAATTTATGTATGGAAGAAGGCGTTAGGGATGGCCGCAGCGCACGGAGTAGCGGCTGGGGAAAGCTTTGGCGGCACGGATGCAATTGGGATACCCCGCAGATGGACTTTGTTATGGGGTTGGTACACAGATTATGGGGTTGGTACACGGACCAAAGAAACAGAGGGTACCACAATTGATGCCGGTAATTGTGGAGTGAGTTTTGCCTGTCTGTTCCCGTTCGCTACGAGTCGGCATAGGGTACTTATAGTTAGTCCAACGCGCACGATTGCCACTCTGGAACATGGTTGCCACGCGAACGAACTGAACAGGAAGCTCTGGGGGTTATTCAAGTCACCGTTTGATCCGGGTAAACCGTACCGACCAGTCCCGTGGCACAGCGGCTGTTACAACACGGCCATAGCACAAAGATATCTTCTGTCCTACGAAGTCCCCCATCTAGTTGACAATTCCTAGGTAAGAGAGCCAGCTATCTCCTCCCGGAAGCGGCCATAAATAAGAACCCCCGGTGCCTCGGGGGTTTGAACTGCGCGCTGTCGGTCATGATAACCCGAGAGTACGGGGACGCTACTAGTAACACGGATGTCTGCAAGCCCATTAGTAATTCCGGTAGCGTGCTGCTCAAGCAACATGTAGATGCGCTTTGTGTGGCGATTGTAGCATCCGTTTGTCGAGCATCGGTTTGTCATAGTAGCATTGGTTTCTACTCGTAGCATCGGTTCGTACAGCCTCGGTTTGTCCAGACCCAGAGTCGATCAGGCCCCACGCAAATGCAGAGAGCAACGAATTGAAGACGAATTACCCTCACCCAATGTTACGCTGTACAACGCCGAAAACAAGTATATTATCGAGCGGGATTCCAAGAGATTCTTGTTTCTGAGGTTAGAATATGCGTTAACAGGGGCAAGGTTTGTAACAAGGTTTAGGTTCGGGACTAATGCGATGGTGGTTGCTTAACCTTCCACTGGTAAATCAGATCCCACTACAGCAGCCTATAGTAACAAATGTGTCAAATGGGTTTTTTTGATGTTTTCCACTGTAATTACTTAATTCCACTTACAGACACTTATTGATAGAAATTTATACTAGAAAGCACTGCATCTTGAATTCTCTAAGCACATTTTAAAACAGTGAATTTGCATCATTGTAGATAACATCACTAGATATCATCACTAGATATCATCACTAGATATCATTGCTAGGTATTATCACTAGGTATTATCACTAGGTATTATCACTGGGTATTATCGCTAGATATACAATTGATAGATATCATTGTCAATATATATATATAAATTGTGGTTTCCACACTATGGGCTGGTGGTTGTATAGATAATGGATTGAGTGGTCACATTTGCTGTGAACTGGACCACACCACCCACATCCATGGATATATATATATATATATATATCACTATGAGCACAATCATCCAATAAATGGTTATGTTGACTTTTTGATATGAATAATTTAGTTATCATAGTGCTAGCTTATTATATTTAGTGATGATATCTAGCAATGATATTTATAGATGATGATAGTTATCAATGATATACATCAATGATATATATATATTCCCATGGGTGTGGCCATTCAATCTACCACTATACACTGCAACCATCAGCCACAGCATAGTGTGGAAACCACAATTTATATATATATATATTGACAATGATATCTATCAATTGTATATCTAGCGATAGTACCTAGCGATAATACCTAGCAATAATACCTAGCAATAATACCTAGCGATAATACCTAGCAATAATACCTAGCGATGATATCTAGCAATGATATCTAGTGATATATCTAGTGATGTGGTTCCCACACTATGCTGCGGCTGGCGGTCGCAGTGTATAGGTGGTGGGTTGGGTGGCCACACCACCACACCCATGGGTATATATATATCACTATGAGCACAACCATTTAACAAATGGTTATGTTGGCTTTTTGCTATGAATAATCTAGTGATTATAGTGCTATCTTATCACAGTGATGATATATATTGAAGATGATATCTAGCAATTCATTGCTTTCTAATAATCAACACGCTCTGTTCAATTACAAATAGAATGAATATGGTTGGTGTGTGTACATTGTAACACTAGTATAAAAAAACCATTTGACACATTTGTCACTATAGCTGCTGTGCCCACATGCTAGAACTAGTTGATTCTTTCGACAACCCCCGCCAAAAGCCAATCTGCCCCAATCACTTTGTATGAAGGGCCTGGTATCAAAAAAGAACATCTGGTGTTGATGTAAGTCGTACAAGTAGCTGTTGCGCGTCATCCATTATATAGAGAGACCTCCCAGTTCGTTCCCACATAGACATTTCCCTCTCATACTAGCACCGAGATAACCCGAGATAACCGCTACCACTACCTCACTCACAGCAAACGCACGCCTTTAAGACAATACTGCTTCTGGCTGGCCGCTGAGCATGGGCAGCATCGGTCAGACTTTCTTGGGTTCCATCGACCAAGGGACGACAAGCTCGAGATTCCTCATATTCAGCGCGGCTGGAGACGTTGTTGCATCGCACCAGCTCGAATTCCGGCAAATATATCCTCAGCCTGGGTCAGTATACATGGCCACATACATTGATATCTGAACCACACGAAAATGGCTATTGCTATATCTATTCTACCTTGAAAGGGCAATGAGACTGATGAAGAAATTTCACAGCTGGCATGAACACGACCCCTTGGAAATAATATCATCCGTTGAAAAATGCATCGATGGCGCCGTTGCTTCATTTGAGAGCCAGGGCCACAGTATAAAGGCTATCAAGGCCATCGGAATTACAAACCAGCGAGAAACAACTGTGGTATGGGACAAAGACACAGGGGAGCCGCTCTACAACGCGATCGTATGGACAGACACGCGCACGCAGGCACTTGTTCGCAAGTTGAAAAAACGCCTTGGGGGAAATGACCTGCAGGCCCTCTGTGGACTTCCCTTGTCAACCTACCCATCTGTTGGCAAACTGCTGTGGATTATCGAAAATGTACCAAAGGCCAAAGAAGCATATGAAAAGGGAACCCTCGCCTTTGGGACCATTGATACATGGCTCATATATAAGCTCAACGGCGGAACAAAGAAAAATGTCTATGTCACCGATCCTACAAATGCTTCAAGGACAATGTTTATGAACATCACAACACTCCAGTATGATGAGCAACTCATTGAGTTCTTCCGCATAGATCGCGAGAAAGTCCATTTAGCCAAAATAATCCATTCATCAGACCCAGAAGGATACGGCTCCCTAGCTTCCACGGTCCTAAAAGGCTTCCGTATCACAGGCTGTCTGGGGGATCAATCTGCCGCACTTGTTGGCCAAAAGGCATTCACTCCTGGCCTGGCGAAAAATACATACGGCACAGGTTGCTTCCTGTTATACAACATAGGGGAAACCCCTGTTATATCCAAACACGGCCTCCTCACCACCGTCGCTTTCGACTTCAATGGGAAAGTTATGTATGCGCTTGAAGGGAGTATTGCCGTTGGCGGATCCAGCGTTAAATTCTTAGTAAACAATTTTGGCTTCATAGATAAGTCCAGCGATATAAGCGCTCTGGCCGAGACAGTGGAGGACAATGGTGGCCTGGTTTTTGTAACAGCCTTTAGCGGCTTGTTTGCCCCGTACTGGATGGATGACGCGCGTGGGACAATGTTTGGAATTACTACGTTCACAAAACGCGGACATGTAGCACGTGCGACGCTTGAGGCGACCTGTTTCCAAACTAAAGCCATTCTCGATGCCATGGAGAAGGACAGTGGCCATAAATTGACAGAATTGGCGGTCGACGGAGGCATGTGTAATAGTGATTTGACGATGCAGGTAAGGAATATGATTTGTTTCCTCTTCCCCTTGATATGCTTAGGCCACGCAGCAAATAACAAGCCACATATCTGTAAAACATTAGACACAATCCGATATCATATCTATCCCGGTTCATCGACCAGCAATGCGCGAAACCACAGCTCTGGGGGCTGCGATTGCTGCAGGATTGGCTGTTGGCGTCTGGCAAGGGCTCGAAGAATTAAAGACCATAAACATAGACGGCTGCACCGTGTTCACGCCCGCTATTACCAAGGAAGAGGCTGCTACCAAATTCTCTAGATGGGAGAAGGCTGTACAGATGTGCAAAGGCTGGGCTAATTGAGGGCTGTCATGTATTCTATTGCAAGTTTTTGTTGGGTTTTTGACCAGTCGTAGCCCGAGATACCACAATGCCAAGTTTCCTATTTGCTGCCACTCTCTCGCAACTTGACTCTCTATCAGCATCTATCTTCGTCACACTTCTCGCTAATAACAACGAAACGTAGTTAAAATAATCACCAGCAGGAAACCGAAAAAAAAAAAAAAAAAAAAAAAAAAGGCCACCTAGAAATCATGATACTTATGCGCAGGTAAAAGTACGGTGGAGCGGCCCAATACTTCTAGTTCTGGTACAACACGTGCAGTGCGCATAGTTCACCAGTAGCCCCCTGCCAATGCGTGGCGATAGGAATATGTAGTGATAAACATGCGAGAGAGACTTCTTGAGTTCTGTCGATCCACCTTGTTCCCAAATAAAACCGCCCACATCCACAGAAATCAATATCGTGCATCGCCGTTGTCTGGAAAAAGTTTTCAACGCGAGGTAGATGAACGTACATACATATGTGGATTGAAAATTTGTGCTCGACCCTTTCTATAAGAGTTAGAATAAGCTGTCGTCATCAGCAGCAGCAACGAACAATCCAGAAATCCCCACCAAAAAAGTGAGCCGATTGGCTCGAAATATTTGTCGGTGCTCTCGATTGGATTTGCGGTTCGTGCTGGCACCTTGAGCTGAAATGCCGCTCTCAAACATGCCGTTGACCCTCGGGGTCACCAAGCCCGAACGTCGAACCAATGGCAAGAAGTGTAGAAGGTGAGTGGGTGTGTATCAGGTCAGTATCGCAAAGGGAACATCGCCAGTCCGATCGAATACGCATCTTCCCGTCTGAGAACAAGCATAATTTAGCGTCTTCAACTCTCCGTGACTATTAAACGAATTGAGGGGCCTGCTCTGGCACGACTTAGTCAATAATAATGACATTGCCCATTGAACATGACGGAAACATAAGTACGCGGAAAAATGCCCAGTTCTAGGTGAGGAGAGATAGGCTCGGAAGGTTGTGCGCAAACTGTGCCCATAAAATTAATGTACCGGCATACAGAAAGCATGCGTGATGACGGCGTCCCATTATTCTAATCCTGTGGAGGCTGGAAGGCGAGCCAGTCGGGGTCTGTACGCGAATATGTGAAGTTTGTTGATACGAAATGAGTTTTCGGTCTTGCCCAGCTTTCAAGGCCGTTAGTTTCCAATTGCTTTGAGCCAGCGCTAGTTGTTGTAAGTGGAGGGTGGTGGTTTACAACGACCACGGATGGCCGCGGATAGTTGAAGAAGTCGAAGACTTCGTAATATTCAAGTTCATTTGATGCGGGGACTTTTACGGACGGTAGTTGGAGGGCTGAGGCAGATCTTCGGGCTAGGAGAATGCTGAGGTCGTATGCGTTTCTGTGAAGAAGAATTAGTTGTGACCTAACATATACTTGGTGAATTCGCGGATGAATTGAAGCTCACCGCCGCATATCCCTGAGAGATTTTGGTCCCGACGATTGGGGAGAATGTGATGATGAGGATGTAGGTGAAGTCAGAGCCACACGCTTTGCTTCTTGATACTCTTGTAGTATGCGCTCTAGAATCTGGGAGTATCTCTTGGCGACTCCCCAAAACTGTCCCATTTTCTCCAGTGTTGACAGGAAAAACCAGATGTTGGGATTAATATCGGTATTCATGACTGAGGCATCAACCAACAACACTCTCGCCGAAACCCACAGCGAGAAGGCAAAATGAGGCCCAAGAAGGTCCAACATCCCCGTATTAACGACATCTTGGACGATCTCACGTAAACTCTCAACTGCGGCAATACAGCGTTGCATCGCACTATACGACGGGGCGAAAATTTGTGAGCGTACTATTGGATAGGCAGCGCAAGAATGCAGTCGCAAGACGGAAACCACAAAGGCTGCATGAAGCATGATCCAATTAGATATCCTACTGGTGGGGCTTGAATGACAGAGTTGAGAAATCCGACTGTAACCGTCTGGTAGACTGTAAAGCCACCTGTCAAGCTCGCGGTCTAGTCCGCGATACGTAGCTTGCCATTTCTCGAAGTCCACCGGTGAGACAATATCAATGGGGTTGCGCAGGAATTTGTGGATACGACTTAAGATTCGTAGAACCTCACAGTGATAGGAGAAGCTACCCAGATTCTCGGCGTGGTTCACTGTAAACTCTGGTCTTCCGGGTCCAAAAAACCGTCTAGTTTCAACCGCTTGGTTTTTGGAAAATAAATCGTATCTGCAAGGTAACGGTCGATCTGTTTGCCGTTCATCAAGCGTAAAATCAGAGCCGGCCTCGACACATGCATATCGATCCAAGATGTATGTCATCCAAAACAACCGTCTGCGCCCTTCATTTTCAATCCAAGAAGTTGGTTGAGGCAGGGCAAACTCTTGTAGAGTGCCTACCGATTGATAGCTAGGAGGCCCAAGAGTCACTCCCCTCTCCGTCCCAAGCCCAAGCTGTATAACATTCCTCACTATCATGCTTAGCAGTGTCCAGCTCTGTGGCCCGTACGATTTGCCAAGTACATCCAACGCGAGGATCATAAGAGCCTGTAGCGCATCAATGTTAGTATTCTCGAAGGCATAGAGCAAAATCTTCTGTTTCGAGATAGTATCGTATTGTCCGCGCCATCTTGATGTTAAGCTATGATCCCTGTAAAACCGTAGTGTTGTCCGGACAATAGCATACAGAAGGACACGGCCAGCCTCATCTGGCACGGAAGATCCAAAAAGTCTATCGAGCGTCGCCTTTCGGTCAAGAATGGGACACCATGGATTGACGTGCTTGAAATATAAGTCAACAATCGTATACAGTGTACCTTGCGGCGGCAAATCTAGCTCAAAGATGGTTTCATGTAATCCGGCAATGGTTAAGCCAATAGCACCAGAAGATTCCTGGTTGCCCGTGCTCTCCAGAGCATTCACTTTCGTCAGAGATTGCACGGAAATTGCTCCAGGCGGCTGCGCTCTCTCATATTCTACTCCATCCACATGCCGATTCTCAACACTGGATGACGCCTCCCCTGACGAAATGTCAACTGGAGCAGATCGACGGAGCTCAGAATCAGGGGTGAATTTCCGAGTTGTTGGCAGCTGAGGCTGTGGAGGTGGTCGTGAATCCCGCTCAGATTCATGCTCAACAATGTGGAGCTCTAGACGCCGTCCTAGCAACTGCAACATGGCTTCGAGCCTGTTGATCTTCTGCTCGAGCTCGCGGCCGTATCCGGATCGAAACCCAGGTCGTTGCCTCTCCCTGTAGACACAGACGCGACTATTACGGGTGCACCAGCCGCAGCTGGGCTCTGCGCGGTCGCATTTAACTTTTCTTGTTCGGCATAGCTCACAACTCCTGGGCATACAAAGCAGCCAATGCTCACAAGGTTAGTTTTTGAGCCAATATGCTTCGGGGAAGAGAGATTCATGAGTAAAACATCCTCTTGAAATGAAGATACATACGTTGTTATCGTTAATCGCTTCCTCTTCCTCGAATCGTCTGCTTGTCCTTCTTGGGCACTCTCGTCTTGGTCACCGCTTACACCATCAGACATATAGCTCAACCCGGGCTGCCAGTCACTGTTGTTTTCCATTGTCTTTGGCGAAATGCTGCTCATGTTCAATCCGAAGAAGCTAAGCTCGCACCAGAAGCTAATCTCGCACCAAGAAAGCTATGTGCCGCCTTGATATTACATACTTCCCTCAATGGAGCAGAATACCGTGTAAAGCTTGAGAAACGCAAAATGGGCCTTCGACAAGTCATTGAATCTTCTTAGAATCCAAGCATGCTGGTGCGATGCTGGGTTAGCTCAGCCGAGAGGGGAACATCCTCAAAACGTGACCTTGCTCGAGGAGCGTCCGTAACCGCTAATTGGCCGAGTGGTTTTGTTGTTTTATTGGCCTGCTCCCACATGAAGCACCATGGATGTACAGATCTGTATATATTCATATCATCCTTCCGCAGCACCGCCCCACAAATTCACTCTGCAATTTCAGCCATAAAATTGAAATATCCCATCGCCAATTTCACATTATTTCCGACACTTCAACTACCCAGATTCACTCTCCGCATCATCCCAAGCTAGCACTAAAACGTTTAAATATTCAAAATCTAGCATCCCTAACACAAACGTATGGAGAAAGACCCATTAGTTCGAGAGACCGACGAGAACAAAATGTTAAAAGAGGAAACCAATGTTCTATGCACAAGATCAGACAATAAATATTCAATGTACATCTACCAAAAAACCGCGAATAAGGCCAAAACCAAGAGAAATAAACATTTTGAAATCGTTAAGAAAACAAACGTGAATTCCGTTCAAATCAAGCAGATTTTCTACCGTCTCATGGTCCCAACGATTCTCTTCACAGTTTTACTAATCTTAGACTGTTTGCCAGGGTTGTTCATCGTATATCTCCTCTGCGTCACGGACACTTCAGCTTTTGCCTTCGAAGTTAAACTCCGAGAAGACAAGGATGTGGTTTCCTTCGCGTCGTCTTCTTTTTTATGATTCATTTTCCCTGCTTCCAGGAACCGTCTCATAGCAGCTGGGGTCCTACTTGCGGCGCGCGCAGCAGAAATGGAGTTTAGCTTTTTGGAAGGTCGGTTGAGCTTCGTGTTGCCTTGCGGCTGCGTCTGGGATGGGGTCTTCGCTGCAGATCTCTGAGTCTTCTGTTTTGCGGGGGTTGTTCTCGATATTGTGGCGCGGGGTCTGACTTTAGATTTCTTAGTTGGAACTGATTTGGCTTTGACAGTAGTGATAGCAGAGGTTTTGGTCTTGGGCTTGGGTTTCGCTTTCGCCCTTTTATTTGAATTAGTGGCTGGTCGGGTGCTGGCTACAGCTTTCTTGATGCTAGGCTTGAGTGCTTTCGATGCTGGCTTGAGAATCTTTTTTCTTTTGTTGAGGTGCGACGTGGAGGATTCGTCGAGGACTTTCTCCCGTTTCCGCTTCTTACCCACTGCCGAAATTTTCCTTGGCTCTTGAGACAGGTTTGAATTTGTCTGCTTCTCGCTGCGGGGCCTATTAGAGTCTTTAGGCTTGGGGCCCAACACGCCACGACATGTCGGCACTCCACAGCGGCATTGCTGTACGTTTTTTTGAGAATAGGGACTGGAAAAAGGGTATGACAGTCAGTGACCCATCAAACCTGGCAAAGGCAAGGAGCAAATACTTACTCGAAGTTGTAATCGTAGGTGAGCTCTTCTCCAGTCATGATCCCATTTTCACCAGCGAATAGGGCCATGCGCGGTTTTCCGGCAACTGTCCACTTTTCCATCCTACAGTTCGGCTCGCAGGAATGATTAACGAACCGGGCAATGGAGCCCCGGGTGGCATCGATGATCATGTTCTGATCAAAATACATAAGATAATAACACTAAACGAATTCACAAGTCAATACACAAAAAGATATTCTTCCCTTGATAGCAAACAGGTATAGAGACAAACCTCATTATCCTTATACACAGTCCTCATGCGCCTCTCACACTCCTCCTGAGTGATAATCTCACCGGTGTACTCCACAATTATCTGGTTAGGCGCAAAAGTCCGATTGCTGCGTACCCCATATCCACGGTCCGCAGTTTTGATTACCTCAACGCCAATGTTATACCTGCCACCCATCTTGATGCGCTGGCGCAGCCCTTCGAAACTTCGATTGCCACACAGTTCAGCACCCAGTTTACAGTTGTTGTCATCACATTCGTAGAACATGTACCGATTCTGGCAGTTCTCATCACAACCTAACTCAGGAGTACACATGCATGTAGAACGCTCTCTGAGTTTGATCGCTTTCCATATGCAAGCCGCATCGCCGACGAATACATCTAGTTACCCACGATTAGTACCACTACAGAGGATGGGGGAAAATAATGAAGATGTGACACACTCTTATTAGTCTTCCGCCACTCATCCGGTTTCGGCTGGCCAGGGGGTAGTGGTGAGAATATATCAAAAGGCAACTTGAAATCTCTGCCATCCTCAATCAGCCTCTCTCCCGCAAACATCGGCAATGGGAAAGTCTTCTTCCTGTCCTCTGCATTCTGTTTTCCAAATTTAAGCCGGTTCTTCTCCTCTGTAAGCCTGGGATCAAAGTAACGATCCTGCCCCGCATATAGACCATGTGAAAGCCACTTCTTTTGCGTTGTCCGCTTGGGCGGCCGCGTATCGTCAATGGCACTGGTATCTGATGACTTTTTGGGGACCATAGCATCACCCTTAGACACGCGTCGTTTCTTCATAGCCGGACCATCAGCTGTAGATGGAGGCCTAGTTGAGAGAGCAGCCTTCTCACATACGACATCCCTCGGGCGTAGACTGGCCCGTCTATTTATGACCTTCAGTCTATCTTTACCCTTCAACATAGCCCCCCGCGACCTCTTCCCAGGTACCGGCGAAGCTTTCCCCACTGTCTCATTAGTTTTCTCCAACAGGACCAAACGCGAAGACCGTCTCCGAGACCCATTTTCACTACTTCCTTTCCCTTTTCTGCTCACAGCTCTTTTCCCCAACTCGTTTTGGCCCGATTGCGTCTCGTTCCCTTTCTTCGTGGTCTTTTGGTTCTGTTCCTCCTCCTCAAGTTCAACACCACCATCATCCCCCTCATGCAGCAGCGGATTCGAATGCAACGGATGATGCGTAACTCTCTCATCATCGCTGCTCATAATATGTCTTCGCTCCTCGCGCACCACACCGCCCCCTACAGCTATCACCAGCGACGAACGCGTGACGCGTCGAGAACGCCTCTCCGCAGTCACAGTCCCCTCTGTGTCATTTATCTCCACACCCATCACAGGAGTACCACTCATACTGGAAGATTCCGACAGACTCGTAGCGGGCGTTAGTAGATGTTGTTCGGTGGAAGTTGATGTTGTCAGTGCCGCATCGGAATCTGGAACGGAAACGGGTGGGGACGGGGATACCCCGGAAGCCCGCGAGAGACGCGCCATCGGTTGATTTTTTACGAAATCGTACCTTCCTCCTCCTGGGGGAATGGGGCGGGAGGAATCTCGTAGGACAGGAAAATAATTTCTTGCTCGATTCTCATGGAAAGGGAACAATTGAAAAGGTATACGTGTTGACAGCTGAGAGATGGGTAGTTGGCGTCTGCGGAGCGGGCCGTGGCGCTAAACACTAGGTAGACTTTCGCTACGCGTGGGTATTAACGGGTTGAAGCGCGTTTCATGGGTTGTCAGATGGGTATGTTTGATTAGAGACGGTAGAGGGGCGATAAACACCGAGAGAAAATGGTGTTAGGAGGTGGGATTGCGTGGAGTTGGTATAGCCGTGGCTTTGTCAGGGGTTATCCATGCAGAGAGGGCGCTGACCAGGCCAATCCAGCCCCTTATTACGATATCCTACACTGTTATACATATGTCGTCCTTCCTTACTTTGTGTAGCTAGTACTATCTCTACCGGCTCGCATGCTTTTTGCTCTTCCGATTCCTTCTCAGGACAAACGGGCATTTCTCAGAAAATGCCTCTGTGCTCACAATGGTGCGTGGTATGGGTGTATTCTTGCGATACAAAAACTCCAAAAACATAAGGAATCTATGAATGTAGTGTGACCGATACATCTCTCAATCGAGGTTAGGCTTGATATCAAGCGCCGAATGTAGAAAAAAATACTAAAAAGAAGCTGTTGAGACACAATAAAAAAAATTAATTCCAATTCAACATCGCCGGATTGGTATCAAAAAGTTTACCCCGTGAGGGGCCAATGAAGTTGTAAGTGTGAAAAGGAACAGGCATCCATCAAGCAACACGGGTATGAAGCCTAATTAATTTAATTCTAGCAACGCCATCGAACATCTCGCTCATATCGAACATTAGGGAAAATCACTTAAAAAGTTGGAGGTGGTGGGGTCGAAAATTAAGACCGGTTGGCATAAGAAAGGAAATAAAAGTGGTCAGGGAGAGAATAGAAGCTGTAAGTATAGAGACGGGGAATCACAAAGTGAATAACGATGATAAAAAAAAAGTATTAGCTCACGTCAGTGATGTCGCCTTCGTATCACCGAATTCTGTGATGCGGTGATTTTTGAAGGAAATGAAGATATAATATAAATGTGAAAAGAGCGTGGAGGTTTTCAGTACTAATGGATCAACCATTGGTGGGTTTATTTATTAGAGGCAGGTCCATTGGGAACTCCCTGCATTTCCATTCCTTCGCCAGTCTGTGCTTCCAGGTCACGCGCTCTGTACTTGCGCTTCTCGGCCTCAAAACGCTGGTCCCCTTCTTCGTACCGTCTCTTGAACTGGGCATAAGTTGGGGGTCGAGGCCGCAAAAGCACGGCGATCCAATTCCTGAGAATATTGCCCTGGGTAAATGGTCTGTGTCGATCTTCCTTGGGAAACTTATGGGAATTAAGGTATTCTCGGGTCGTTTCGCCTCTGCCCATTAAAAGGAAGTGATATGCCCAAAGCGACGCGGGGTATGGTGCTGCGAGGAGGCCGTATAAAAACATGGCAAAAGGAACCCGGCATTTGGAAATGGCTTCACTGAACGAGATTCCCTCTTGGTTACGGTAACCAAGACAATGCCCCAAGCTTGCACCCATAAGAAAGAAAGACAAAATCGTTCCAGAGCTGACAAAGGTGAAAAAATAGCGATAGTTGCGGCGCCCAACACAATTGTTGAGCCAAACACAGTGGTGATCTAGGGTTTCAACGCAGTTGTCGCAGACACGGCAATGATAGCAGCGCGGAGGCCGCCAGATATTACATGTTCTGCAGTACTTCACTGGAACATCCATGGCCGCTACGTCTGATGTTGCAAGCTTTGTCATCACCCAATCATTGGAAGGCGGTCCAGGAGTTAATGGATCTTCGTTTGGATCGGCTGGGGGCATTGGGTGCAAATTTCTTGGAAAAATCTGGGAATTGGATGTTAGATTCGTAATAGACATGTTAAACATCTCAGGGACGGAGAATAGTTAGATCTTACTCCTGGATCAACAACAGAGGCATGAATGAAGGAAGAAAAGCAGAGAAGGAAGAGGTACGCGAAAATAATAGGTATCGCAGGAGAAGCATTGCGCCATAGCCATGGAGCTCTATCCTAAAAGTTAGTAAACTATTCCCTGAAGATAATTCCGCAACTTATACTTACGAATATCCGAAGAATAATGCAGCGGGCAATACTACTATGATTCCCGTCGCGATATTGACTGGTTTATCACGGGAATTCTGAAACCTGCCTCCACCGCAAAACACTGTGTTTCCCGCAAAGTATTCATAGTTCTTCCCTAAATTTGGCTTGTTCTCTGCCTTGAATCCCTTTTGCAATACGGAACATGGAGTGGACGCAGCTGAGGAGAGTCTTTCATGGTTCCTCGAGTCACGCCGATCAGGGCCGTCATTTTTGCCAGGCATTAGGAAACCAGAACCAAAAGACATGGGTGATTTCTGTGCATTATCCTGTGGGCTGCTGGGCTTATTATAATTCTTCCCCAAGTTGAGGTTTGATGGTGTTGCCATTTGTGGCCTATCGTGGAGTAACCTTACACTCTCACCAAGGCTTCGCACGGTTGTATTTCCTGTAGGGCTTGCATTTGACGTTCCACGATCTGTAATAACAGGGTCCGTGAATTCGGTACCTCGTGATGGCGGCGGGAGTTCGTTGTCGTGAGAAGAAGGCCCGCCATAGAGTATTGTGTGGTTCGAGAGCAGGCTCCTTCGTTTCTGGCTACCAACATCGCTCATGCCATCTTCAGTTGAGGTGGGAGGGCCATGGTGCTTGGGAGTGTTTATTGGTCGTCCACTGCGTTGTGCTTGCAGCCTCTGCGAGCTCATTGGACGGAAAAACCCATGGGCAGTCAGCGAAGGAATGTGTGTCCTACTCATTCGGCTCGAGGAGCTTGGGGGTCGACTCGTCCCTTGATTGGTCGCAGTCATTGAATTTCTGGTTGGGGGAGGACCACGTCGGGAGGCCGGAGGCTGCGACCATGCCGGCTGGGAAGAAATCGCAGTGGGAGGTCGTGAAGTATCGCCATCTTCTGAGGCTATATCCGTCATGTGGGTGGAAATATAGGAAACAGGCCGAGGCGGGTTGACGGCATGATCAGGCATAGCTCCAGGCTGTGGGTTATGCAGATCATCCGACGCAGCAGAGCTTTGTCGATTAGCCATTTTTGTTATTTAGGAAGATGAATTGGAGAATAGGCACTCGACATAGTGCCGGAAGAACTGGGTGGATGGAGGAGAGGTGGTCGATCGAGGACTCGTATTGATATTTTTAGTCAGGGGCTCAAACCTCGACGGATTTGGGAACAAAGGAAGGGCGTGTAGATGAGGACTCGAGCGCAACAACAATATCACCCCTAGAGGAGGCTCACCACGGAGGAAAAAGAGTGTGTGTAATTTATCAGCAAAAAAACCCCCATAAAGCAGAAGTGAAGTTGTTGTTCTCTAGCTATCTCATCGTCGCCCTGAAGTTTCCTTCCCTTAGCTGTGGAAAAGAAGCATTACACGTGACTATCTCGCCATGCCGCACGTCATGTGACAGCCGGCATTAGCTAAGCCGAGTAAACCGACATTCGTTGCTTCAAAGGGATATAATATCGAATCACACTTACGCCCTCACCCTCGTCCATTACTATACAACGACCCTTCTGTTGACCCAATTAGCTCAGTAACCGGGGTACGCTATAAAATGTCGTCGATTGCCACCACTTTTGCCCGCCGCGCTGCTCTAAGACAGCCTTTCAGAGCACCCGCCACCATAAAGCCAATCCGTCGCATCTCATCCAAGATCGAGGAGGCCGGCCTTAACAACGCCCCAAAGAGAGACCCTGAGCTCTACGTATGCTGCTGCTCCCTATCAGTGTATAGAAACCTCTGACTGATTATTATCTCATCTGCTATTGACGGTATAGATCCTCTTGGGTATCATGGCCGGTGCTTTCGGTATTGCTGGCTGGTACCTTGGCAGCTCTCCCACAACCATCACCTCGGAGAGCAACATTCGAATTGGTGAAGCTGCTATGCCCTGGGAGCAGGAGGATGAGTCCAAGGCCAACTACAAATACCAATACCACCCCCATGGCGACACATCGAAGCCGCTCAAGAAAGCCCCCAGCGCTCTGAATGAGGTTATCATTCCAAACGTGACATTGCCAAAGGTGCTGTCTATGTATACATAGAAATATCTGACTGGTGTTTGGAAGTATTGCTAACTGTTTCGATATATTGCAGGATCTACACGACCGATTCAATAAGTATGGCAAAGACGACTATTGAGATAAGAAGAGGCACCGCAATGAACGAGTGATTTGCTGGTAAAGCAAGCGAATTTGTATTGCATAATTGAGAAAAAGAAGAAGCTGGGGTCGTCTGTTGGCCATATTTTTTTATAACAAAATACAATCTGAGAGGAACAGTGCCCTTTGTAAATAATTGTTCTGACATTTTTCCATATAAATCTCCTCATCGTCCCAAGTTGTATCTGTCAAGCTCACTCCACATCATCCTGTATTTCTATGTCATACGCGTGCTGGGTCGCCTCCTCTTTACTTATTTATTTATTCAATTAAATGTTGGGAAAGCTCAATCCTCAAATTCGATAAAAAAAGAAGAAATGGAAATAGAAAAACAATGCAAGAGAACGGTACTGAAACATGTCTTGATCGGCATATCCTCAAAACAAAAACCTGCTACGCATATTTTAAATGGCACATTATATAATATCGTATTTAAACGACAGATATTAGACGGAAAAGAGGAAAAAGAAAAGAAATAGGAGGAGAAGGGGCGCCAGGAGCGGGGAGAGGGGGAAGCTGAGGGTGGTGATGGAAAACAAAAATACACTCGTCAATTTCCTTCATCCTTTTTCGTAGCCTCATTGCCTTCACTTGCGGGTCTGGGCTTACCATCGTCCTCCCGTTCTACAGATTTCTCATCACCAGGGACGGATGCAGGTTTGTTAATAGGCACCTCACCTACCATGCCGCCTTGGCCTGCTGTTTCGGGATTCTGTCCCTCCGCATCGGGGTGGTAAGGGGCAAGTTGTTCCCCATTAACCTCGCGACCCTGAGCATCGATTATTCGTGTCTTGGTTTCATATCTGGTTTCAAATGAAACGTTGCCATTTTTCTCCAGCATTGCAACTTGCTCTTCATTCAAAATATTTCCATGCTGATCACGATATACCACTGAGTCGAGATGGGTAGACGCTAGGTTTTGTCTAGGGGTCACCAACGCAGCATTGTCTCCTCCTTCCGCCTGGTCAACAACCTGTTGCTGCTGCTGTTGCGACTCGGGAGTTGGTATTGCCTGTACGGATTGTGTAGTTCCACCAACAAAGCTTGCTTTCTGATAATCAGCTAGCTAAATACCGACAGTCCAGTTAGCAGCCACCAATAAAGAATAAGAGAGTACGTCACCCCATTGCCACACTACAACAAACTTACATCATTATGGAAGAGATTACAATCAAAATCCCAAGAATCAAGAAGCTTGGCTCTGCGGCATGCAGCTTTAGTCCAAGGGTTACCATACGCCAAGGGCGAGAGCATGGTGAAAGTCACAATAGACAAAACAACGAAGAGCACCATGAATATCTTGCCAATTACACGTTTGCTGCTCACCATGCCAGACAGACTGATTCTGTTGACGCCATAGTCGATGACCTGACAGAATGCAAGGATGGCAAAGTATAAAGACGGGAAATAGTGATGAAGGAAGAGTTGGCGGGCCATAAGATAGAAAGGGAAGTAGTGGAAAGCCCATCCTAGAACAGTTTGGCCAATCTCATAATCGAATCGTTTGAAGGTGACGTTTTTATAATCATGGCAGCTGCGTTGCCACCGTAGCGTGGCAATGGCCTTAAAAATGACATAGGCAATGATTGCAGTAGTTGAAGACCACCAAATAAGGGGATTCCCCATCAGGTAGATCTGGCGGTGCTCTCTACTCCAAAAATTAATACCGCGTAAAAGAGTTGGCCACGAAGGAGGTCTGGAATCCCAAGCATGTGAATCGAGCAGGCCTGCGTTCGTTGTCCACATAACTTTCTGAAGTTCCCAGAATTTGCCCAGGAACCCAGGAAGCTTGTAATTGACCTTCTCGGCATCTGGTCCGAGCATTGGATGGTCATTTTGCTCAACATACCAAATGCTATTGGGTAAGGAGCCGCCTTTGGCGCATGTAACTTCCTGCTGCTCAAATCCCCATTCTGGAAGCTTCACCTTATGCGAAAATAGAACGCATCCTGTCATCACATGGACGAGTTTGAATTTCGTCTGGATTGTGCGGATGCGCTTCTGCGCTTCGTCACCATCGGACATTGATCGGACAATTTCAACGCGGAATAAGTCGTTCGCATCACCGGCAAACCCTTCATAGCCATAAGCAGATACCTCATTCTGCCATTCCTCTTCCGTTACGGGTGGGCGTACATCATGGGAATGAAGTCTTCGTTGAGTGCTTGTGTGATAGAGCTTGATCACTGACCCGTCTATGACGTGGTTAGCAGTCAGGTTATCCCAGGCAGATGGTCCCTCGATTTCTCCATATTCACCCAATGGCTGAGTTTGGTTTTCCATGATCCAGATGTTGTTTTCATCCTTATGGGGATATAAAGTAATCTGCTGCTGCTTGCTGCCCTCGGGATACATAGAGTTATGCGAATGCAAATACCCT